TAGGGCTGTACTGGTTTCTGTAGACTGGTGAATGTCCCTCTTCTTCTGAATTGGGGAGAGCAATTGCTTTGGAAATTAATCGGGGATCAAGGGGTAATGTTTCCTTGAGCATTTCATATATGCGCTCAGGCGACTCCTGAATCAAGGACATGGTTTGACTGTTTTAACTGGCACTTGATGGATGGAGTTCAATTAAAACTGTGGTAAGAAAAAAAGAATGTTCTGCTTTCAATAGATAAGGGGAATCTGAATTCAATTTATAGTTGTAATCAATGTCTCCTTACTTACCCCTCAATTTGAACAAAATAGAATGTGACCCAACAACAAAGCTATTTAGCCGAAGGTATCTAAAGGAAAGCTAAGTTTTTTTGCCCCATTTTGTACTATTGTTGATGATATGTTGATAATTCTTTTATTTTCACAAGTAAATAATTTTTTGATTTGGCATATGGATTATAATCGTTCTATATCATTTGTTGTTTATTCTCATAATACTGATAGATGTCTTCCATATGTAAATTTTTATTCTTTTTTATTTTGTCTTATTTTGTGAAATTTAAAGTACTTTTTGAGGGGTTTCAATTTTGTGAGTAGCTTCGGAGTTAAAAAGCAGACAACTAACTAGGCTATAAATGAGAGACCTTGAATTGATGGTAGTGGCATACTATTTGTATCAAGAAGAAAAGTCCCATTGGGGGTAAAGTTGACAAGAAAAGCCATGGCTTGTCTCATTCAGGGTTAGAGTTTGTAACACGTGGCACTTCTGGGTTTGCATAGCATAACTCCGGTGGGTAGCTGTTATCCCCGCTCCATTTTGTCGAACTACAAACGAAGCTCCTAGATTAATCGTTAGAACATACTATAATGCAGTAGTGCAATAAAGAGCAGCTGAGTAGATACTCCCTTTTAGGTAACAAAATGGGCTTACGTGTATTGTAATGTTATGTGTACTATTTTTACAATTAAGTGGTGGGGATAGAAAAAGCGGAGATTAATGCCACTGCCGAAAAATCTAATGCTTTCATGAGTGGGGATAAAATCTCTACAACTCGTTTTAAAAACACTGATTAGATCTAATTTAGATAACACTGTATAAATAACGTATAAAGTCTATAATTTATCAGTCCTGATAAGTGAACCTTCGTCATACAACTTGTCCAAAGTATCTTTAAAGTACTTGGTACAAATTGGTCTTTTGATCTTCATGGTAGGTGTGATTAAATTCTTCTCCACTGACAATGGCTCAATATCAACCTCAATGTTGTGCAATTTCTCAAACCCTTGCAACGAGTTACCGAGGGACTTGTTCATATCAAGCAACAATTCACGCTTGCGCTTTGGATCTTGGAAGAATCTAACCAAATCAGCTTGATCATTGATCGTTTCACCGTGTCTTTGCTTGATGTACAGAGTGATGGAGACTGGGTCCAATCCAACTACACCAACCAAGTGAGTTCTCAAAGAATCACCATGAACAAACATTTGGGCAATGTATGGGAAACAACTCAAATAAGTGTTTTCAATTCTTTCTGGTGTAACATATTCACCCTGGGCCAATTTGAAAAAGTTCTTGACTCTGTCAATGATATAAGTACGTCCATTCTTTGAATCGATACGAGCCACATCACCAGTGTAAAACCAGCCATCTTCATCAAATGATTTAGCAGTTTCTTCTGGATTCTTGTAGTACCCTTTGAAAATTTGTGGTCCACGTACTAGCAATTCACCTCTTGGACCACCTTCATCTTTGGAGGTGTATCCCATTGCTGGCAAGTCTCTTGTTCTACATTCAGTGGTGACACAAATTGGTCCACATGAACTTGCTTCTGTTTCAAACATAGAACTGGCCATGATACCAGCAAAAGTCTCACTCATACCATAACCTTGACCAGCACCGACATTCAACGAAGCCTTCAAAAACTTGATGGTCTCTGGACTAATTGGAGCTGATCCTGACATCAAGACTTTAAGGTTCTTCATTCCCAATTTCTTACGCAACAATCCCAAAACTCTATCGTACAATAAATGTGGAGGGTTTGTATACTCGTTGGCTGGGTCACCTTGAGAAGCCAACTTGGCATTGACAGCCCTGGTGAACAAGTTCTTTAAAATTGGCTTCTCGTCATTGTTAATTGTTTGAGCCTTGATCCCGGCTTCCAATTTGGTCAACACTCTTGGAACCAATGCCAAAAAATCAGGTTCCAAAACTTGAATATCTTCCAATAAGGTCAATGGTGAAGGACCCTGTGGGAATCCAATGGCAGCACCGGCAGTCACTCCAAACTGAACATCCAATCTTTCGTATATATGAGCTAATGGTAAAAAGGAGTAAAACACGGAATCGGCATTGGGTAATGCTATCACAGAATACACGAATGTGACACCAGCAACTGCATTTTGGTGCGTTAAGAGAACACCTTTTGGGTTTGCGCCAGTAGTACCAGAAGTGAAAGTAATAGTAAACTCGGTCTCTGGTTTTGGTGGAATTGGATCCAATGGGTTAATTTCACCAAGCTTTTCAACCTGGGTATAGTCAAACAACGAAATGTTGTGATCGTGACAATAATTCTTCAACGAAGCATCCTCAGTAGTCAAATCATCCATAGAAACAAGACAAATCAAGTTGCTCAACTCTTCTGGATTCTGCTTCTTTAATTCAACCAAACCTTTAACTTTGTCCTTGGAGCACAAAACGACTGGACATTCAGTGAGATTCAAGATATATTTACTGGTATCAGGACCCAAGGTGTCGTACAATGCTGTGTTTTTGATGGAATAAGCAATTGAGGTCAAATCAGCAAGTGCCCATTCGGGTCTATTATGAGCAAAAATGGTCAAAACAAAAGATTCATCACTTAAAGGGTCGTACTTCAATTTCTTGTGGGCATCACTGTCAGTTTTATAAGGATTATTTTGTAAAACAAAAAACAAACCAGAACCCAAATTGTTTCTTCTTTGTCTAACAGTGTTGTAGTCCTGCCAAATGTATTTACCAAACGTACCGTCGCCATTCCTAACTCTTTTTCCAAAGGCACGCTTGTGTCCATTGTTTGCCACGGAAAGTTCAAACGATTCGTACAAAGTATTGATTCCGGGATAAGGAACAGATTTCAACTCTTTCTGCGAGTATGCGTTTCTGTAAACTGGTGAAAACCCCTCCTTTTCTGAACCAGGGAGTGGAAGTGCAATACTGGTGATGCTTTGGTCGAGTGGGAAACTCTCTGTAATGGTTTTCCAGACTTGTTCTGGTTTCTCTTTGAATAATGGGGCCATGATTGCCGAAGAATGAGATTAGTAAAGTTGTAGTTGTAGTTTCAGTTTCAGTTTGAAAGTTTTGAACAAAACAAGCTTTTCTTCTTTCCTCTCTTTGTAAAATATATTATTACAAGACGAGTTCAAGAGCTAAAAATTGAAAAATTTTATGTATATAATGGCGGTGGCATTTGTTATAAATATTCTCTCTTTTATTGATACCTATATATCTCCTCCACACGACCTTTTCTCTTTTTTTTGTGGAGAAAGTTTATCTTCCTCGGCAAGGAAAAACATAAACCTCATAACCAACGATAGCGTAACAAGTTTCCACTACTTACCTAACCAATTGTTTAATAATAAACCGGACAAAGGAAAAATAAAATAAAATAAAATTAAATTTCCACACCAGATTTAGTCTAAAAAGTCCATGCACAGTGTATGTTATACAAAGTCCGAATCTGTGGTCCGCATAAATCCGTACCAAATTTTGCTAGTCAGCGAAATACTTCACCTTCCCCACCTTGACCTTCTGTATCTGCCCGACTAACTCGATTCCCTCTGTTCGTACCCACTTAAAGTGAGACCACTTTATTGACCTTCTGTTGTTAGAACTGAATTTATGTAAAGGGTGAGGCGTGGAAAAGCGGAAATAGCTTACACTAGAATATTCCCTTTGTTGGTAAGTTTTCCTTTAATGAGCAACGCGTAACCCCTCATCGCTACCGATTACGTTTTGATGAAAACGTTTTCAATGAGTGGGTCGGTAGAATTTCGGCTCTTCTCTTATTGTTTTTTTCGCTTTGTTTACATCCAGAACAAATCTAGCCGCAAAAGCTCCCGACATCCGAGTTTTCACAACAGAGGTGGTTACGAGTTCATATCAAATTGCAAATCGACCCGACAAGGGAAGAGTGGATGCTAGAAACTACCACGATAGTTCAAGGGTTTCATCCAGTTCGCTATACACCCGGCTATCCATATGACGCGTTGCAACGCCACGATTTTGTGTTCTTTGTCCCCACAAAATAATCAAAAGCGACCATATACGGAATGTAAATGCGCAGCTCATCTATCTATATCTATTGCTTTATTTTCGTATATATCCTGAGGAAGCAGAGAAACCCTCTGCTTGGATGCAGCTTTCAAAGCAGTTTCTAACCTCCTTTGATGCTAAACGTCAATTTCATTTACTACTCTATAAACTTAGATATACTTGTATGGATTCATAATTCCAGCCGGGTCGTAGTGTTGCTTGATTTGCTTCAACAAGGTAATCTCAGTTGGATTCTTGGAATATCCAATGTAATTCTTCTTTTGGAATCCCAATCCATGTTCAGCTGAGATTGAACCCTTTTTGGAAGAGACCCACTCATAAACAAATGGTTCCAATACGGACTCCACTTCTGGTGTGTACTTACGTACGCAGACGTTAAGGTGCAAGTTTCCGTCACCAATGTGTCCGTACCCAATAGCTGAAACTACTGGCTTTTCAGCATCTTCAAAGTCAACCAAGTTGGCTGCAGCTAATTTTTCATTAGCAGCTTCAACCAAACCGTACAAGTCCATCAATGGGATTGAAACGTCATACTTGTAAACACCTCCATTCATAGCACTTGCCTCCGGAATACTCTCTCTCCAAGTCCATAAGCTTTGTACTTGCGACTCGTCTTGAGCAACAATACCATCTTCAACCAAGCCACTCTCCATTGCATTTCCTAAAAAGGTTTCCAACTTCTCATCATCGTGATCTTTATTGGAGCCTGATGTTTCTATCAATATATAGAATGGATATTCGCCACTTTCAATTGGATGTTCAAGACCTAAATGCTGCTTTGTCAATTTTTGCGATTTCAAATCCATAAATTCAAATGCTGACAAGATTTCACCCAACTCTTTTCTCGATTCAACAAACGCTTTCTGCACTGTTTCATAGTCCTTGACAGCAAGGAAAGCGACATTTGTGGCTTGTGGTCTTGATGGGCAAAGGATCGAAACACCAGTAATAATTCCCAAGGTACCTTCAGATCCTATGAATAATTGCTTCAAATCGTATCCAGTATTGTCCTTACGCAAGGAGTGCATAGAATCATAAATGGTACCATCGGGTAACACCGCTTCTAATCCCAAAACACTACCATGCAAAGATCCATATCTCAACAATCTCAACCCACCTGCATTACAGGCAACATTTCCACCAATCTCACATGAACCCTTGGCACCTAAATCCAAAGGAAAGATGTACCCTTGTTCCAGTAAGTATTGGTCAGCATTTTCTAAAATAACACCAGCGTCGACTTTCAAAATACCACTGACTGGATCAAACGATCTGATCTTGCTTAATGAAGATAAGGATATGATAATTTCATCAAAAATAGGGTTGGATCCACCAACCAATCCAGTATTGCCACCTTGAGGTACAACAGCTAAACTGTTTTCATTACAGTACTTTAAAATCTCTGCAACCTGTTCTGTGGTTTTAGGTTTAAGTAATAAATTAGATTGTCCACGGTACTTTCTCATCCAATCTTCATTGTAGAATAACAAGTCATCGGCATCGGTAACAATGCTGCTCTCAGGCAAGACTGATTTGAAAAACTCCAAATCTGAAGAGTCAAGCTTCTTGAACTTTGGATCTCGTTGGACTTTGGCTGAGTATGTGTCGGCAGTGAGTGGAACTGATTTGACAGTGGAGTAGCTTGCTGTGGGATATGCTAAATGGAAAGCCTTTGCTGCAGGTCTTAATCTTCTAACTAGAAGGTTTGCTGATGTACTTAGCAATCTTCTCTGCATTGTGTTCTCTTTGTTGGATGAGGTCAGAAGTTGCACAATTTTTCAAAATCAAAAATTTTTTTTTATTTATTTTGCTCTTACATGCAGGTTGGTGATTAGCCGCTGTAAACGGGTGCAAATCTGCAACACTAACAGAGTAGTTCATGCAAAAGAGGTGGAGCTGTGCTGATAACTTATAATAGAGACTGGTCATCTGTAGCTGAAATGGCGTTTATCTAATCAATTTCGATTAATTGGATGCGTTTTTACCATGAAAATAGCAAGCCAATCGAAGAACAACTAACCGAGAGAAGGGACTTCCCCTCCACTATAAGCTTTTGACTATTAACTTACAATTTGTAAACGTAAATGAGTGCTCTTTGGAGCTTCCTTTTGATGGCTCTGTCTGAACCGAGAACCCGGTTCAAGTATAGCGAGAAGCGAACAGCAGTGCATTAATTGTTAATTTGTTCACTCCACTTGGTGATAAAAGCACAACTTCAACGCCTCATTCTTATTATCAAACTATACATGCAACTTAGTACTTTCAATATTAAGCTTTCTTCTTTTTCTTGTCTAGCAATGATAAAGTGAAATTTTTAGTTATCTAAATTGGAGGAGGAAAAAAAATAAATCATCAATTTATCATCTGAAAATTGAGTCGAGGAAAAGATCCCCTTGTTTGTTAATTTATCTACGAGCAAATACAGCTACTTTGATAGCAGCTTATTGTACCATCGTAAAAGCACTATTCGCCAATCCAGGAACGCCCCCTTTTTTTTATCATGATGAAGTTGTTGTTATCATTGGTCTTTCTACTACAGACAGTTTGGTCTTTTCAGTTCCCGTTTGCTATTCCAAATCTATTCAGTTCCCCACTGTACCAACATGCACATTACTCCAAATTAGATCCAGATGACCAACCAATTGATTTGTTACAATACAAAGATGATGTGGTGATCAGAGTTTCTTATGCCAGTTCCCCACCTTTAAAAGAGTTTCTCGCCAACCCAAAAGAAGTCCAATTTAACAAATGGGGCAAGAACAGTAATCAACATACTATTGATATACAAATTGAAGAGGAAGAGCTTGTTAAATTGATTGAAAAGTTCCCTTCCTTGGAATACCACACGATTATCGAGGATTTACCCCAACACATTTATGAGACTTTCCCGGTATCTGAGCAACAAGTTATCACACAAGATGAGGATTTCCACGTTCAATCAGAGTTGTTCTTCAAAGAGTACCGTGATTTAGCTACTATTAATTCGTGGTTGAACTTGTTGCAGGCCACTTATCCTGAGGTGGTTAAAATTGAGGAAATTGGAGACACTTTTGAACACAGAAAGCTCAATGTTGTTCACTTTTCTGTGCCAAATGATGATATAGAACACCATAACAAGAAAACTATTGTAATTACTGGTGGTGTTCATGCTCGAGAATGGATTTCGGTGTCAAGCACCTTGTACATGATTTACCAATTGGTCAAGCTCTACGGCACCTGGCCCAATTCAAAAATATTAACTCAGTTGAATTTCTTGTTCATTCCGGTAACAAACCCTGACGGATATGAGTATACTTGGACAACTGACAGATTGTGGCGTAAAAACCGCCAAGAAACACCAATTCCAAGATGTTTTGGTATTGATATTGACCATTCTTATGGGTACCATTGGACCAAGTCTTCTGATTGGGCTTGTGGTGAAGAATATAGCGGCGAATTTCCTTTCGAAGCGTTTGAATCTCGCTTGTGGGATGAGTATTTGAACAACACCAATAAAGATCACACAATTTATGGCTATATTGACTTACACTCATATTCACAAGAAATCTTATACCCTTATGCATACTCATGCGAGCAACAACCAAGAGATGAAGAGAATTTGATTGAATTGGCTTGGGGTATTGCTAAATCGATTAGAATGAAGCTGGGCTCCAATTACAATGTCTTACCTGCGTGTATCGACAAAGATTCAGATTTGTTGCCTGATTTAGGAGCAGGTTCTGCATTGGACTACATGTACCATAATCGGGCATTTTGGGCATATCAGTTCAAATTGCGGGATACTGGTGGCCATGGTTTTTTGTTACCTGCTAAGTACATTGAACCAGTTGGAGATGAGATTGTTTCTGCTATATTGTATTTTTGTAAGTTTATACTTAGTGATGATCGTTAAAATGGACGTTATGTGGTCAAAGAGTTGAGAAGGTACACGATATTTTTAGGATTTTTTAAAAATTTTATTGTGTTATAAAAAAACATTATACTTTGTAAGGACGATAGATTTCGAAATGTTAGCAATTTGCGTTAGGCAGGGGAAGCATCAGCAATAACTAGACAATTGTGCACATAGAACCGACGAATCCTCCTGTAACATTTCTGACCCAGTTGTCCTTTCAAGCATCCTTTTTACAAATGGTTGAAGGGGTGTTGGAGTTGTTGTTAGTTTGTTGAACAACCATTTTGTTAATTGAACTTTATTTTGTTTGATGATGAGTTGAAGATACTTTACAAAATGCTGGCAAAAACTGTCCTCTTCTATAATCTTTTGAATTGTTAGCACCGGTATTCAGAGTTGATTTTCAACACGTTTCTCAACCACTTTGTAAACTGTTGTCCTCATCCAATTAAAGGTTGGTGTTTTATGTTGTGGGACAAAAACTAGTATGAAGTAGGTGCTCACCTGATTTAGTCGTTGCAGTTTCAGGAGGGGTGCTAGCTGTTACGACTATTCTTGAAGTAATAAAATGCCCCGCCTAAGAAGAACGGACGAAAATTTTACGCAAATCTTATTTTTTGCAACAATTTTGTGCTCCTCCTTACGCCCAAACAACAAGCGGAAAATGTTGGGAAAAAGTCAAATGCATAGCATTTTCAAAACTTTCCCACCAACCCCTATGTTTCAAAATTACCCACGCGGAGTCAAAATCCAAACTTTACCTCGGTAGAAGGAGTCCACATTTCCATTGTCATGTCCTAAAGGGGAAAGAATTTTAAACAAGCTGCTCTTGTGGAATGTACTGGAGTTGACAAAGGGTGACGAAGTATTGAAAGTGGTCTGCGAATTGGAAACATTTAAAGATAGAAGCTTAAAATCAGAAGCATTTGACCAGTAATTAAAGTTTCAAAACATGCAACCTCACCCAGTATGTTAAGCTTTAACTCAATGCTTTGAAAGGAAATATAACAAGCTCGGAAGGAATTCAGATTAACACAAATATCTAAATATTTCCCTCCTTAATCCTAGTTCATCTTTTCTTCTACACTAGATAAACAAGCAACTTTAAACCAACTAATTAACTAACCAACAATGGCTGCTCAACAAACAAACAACAACTCCAACACTGCTTCATCTGCTGGTAAGAAAAACGCTGGAAAGGATAACTGGGTCGCTGCAGTTCCTGGTGGATTCGTTGGATCCATGTGCACTATCTTCTAAATGAAGGAAGCAGACGCTACGAGCAGACACTAGTTTTAACTACTGTTTTTATTCGCTTTTCTGGTTTCGTGTTGCTTCTGTCCTGTTCAAAACAGTATTGATCTATACTGAATTAAATGAATTTCCTTATTGGTAAAAGTGTATAGTTTAAATACATGTTTTTGATGTCTTAAAATTGCATATAGAGCCGCTCTATTCTCAGTATCGGTATAAACCTCAGCATTGGTTCAAGTTATTCCGGACCCCCACGTCGGATTTTGAAAAAAAAAAAAAACGCATTCGGACCCTCCACTTTTTTAAAGCGCGGCATTGTGCTGAAAAATTTTGGAACTTTCTTTTGTTCAACCTCACCATTCCATACCCATTAATGAGAGTTGTTGTACAGAAGGTCAAGAATGCCTCTGTCACAGTTGATGAGAAGGTAATATCATCGTATGTAATCAGTTGCTTAAACTCTGCATTGCACACACTTCATATACTAATCTTACAACAGAATCGGCAAGGGTCTTATGATCCTAGTAGGTATTTCAACATCCGATACCAAAGATGACGTTTTGAAACTAACCAAAAAACTTCTTTCATTGCGTATATTTGAAGACATGACCCAGCCAGCAGAAACCGCCACCAAATGGTACGGAAAGCCATGGAGCAAATCTATAACTGATATTCAAGGTGAAATATTGTCCGTTTCCCAATTCACATTGTACGGAACGATCAAAAAGGGAACAAAGCCTGACTTCCATAAAGCTGCTAAGGGGGAAGGTGCAAAGGAACTATACGATACATTGTTAGATGAATTGAGGAAAGGATTGGGCCAAGAAAAGGTGAAAGATGGTGAGTTTGGTGCCATGATGGATGTAGCGTTGGTCAATGACGGACCTGTAACCATAGTCTGGGATACTCAAGAGAATACCTTATAGGTGGACTTTCAGTCGAGGCGAGCTGTTTTAGAGCATGGACAGGGTATTTCCTGAAATGACATCTACACACAGTTCTTACTTCTATGGGTATCGGTTAGGAGTGCATACTATCTCCTCTGCTGAATTGTTTTAGACAATCTCATTTCCAACAAAACTTCTCTGCCGGGTGTATCTTGCTTCACCAACTCAATAAATAATCCGTTATAGAAACTCTACAATTTTCGAAAAAATTTTAAAAAAGTCATATTGAGATAGTTCTTTGCTATATAAAGAAAACCTGTGTCAAGGTCATATTCAACGGTGGAAGAATTGAAGGAGAAAAGTAAAACAGCGTTAACTTTGGCATCAGCAATGATTAAACTACTGTGCACATGGATCCAACGAATCCACCAGGAACTGCAGCGACCCAGTTATCCTTTCCAGCGTTTTTCTTACCAGCAGATGAAGCAGTGTTGGAGTTGTTGTTTGTTTGTTGAGCAGCCATTGCTAAGTATAGTTTGTTTGTTTTTTGTTGTTTGATGTAGAGCAAAGATGATTGAGAAGGAATAGATGGTGAGTTTCTAGCCCTTTTATATGCTCTTGTGAATCTCTTCATGTTAATTTTTTACTCAATATCCGTTTCTAAAGAAAAGCAAAACCTACTCCTCATTTCTACCCGGAACTTAAGTACCTCAAACTCGAATCACTGATTTCAATGGTAAAAATAACCATGGCTTTCCCTCAAAACTTTATCGACATTTGAATTGCAGAAAATTTGCAAAAATACATTGCCATTTTCGAACAGTACAATAAGCATTTAAATTAAGATTTTGTTTGATCTAACATACACTTTTCTATCTTGAAAAATGACAATAAGAGATAAAAGACAAGAAGTGAAGCATTTGACTCAAGATCTTGTTTTGAAACGAAACTTTACAAGAGTATTCCGTGGCTTTGAAATAGTCATGGATGCGATTTACTGCTTTGCATTTACATTTTTTTGTTTCTTTTCTTATTTTTCTTTTTTGCAGCAACTGATGAAACTTTATTACCATATCGGGACGTCACAATGGCTGCAAAAAGAACGAAATCACACAGCAAAATTTTTAAACTTCTTCAGTTCAGCATCATGAAACAAGTTTGAATATCTTGAAACTAGTTTCTGCAATTTCTAAAACTTGCTTTTTTAAGTTTAAAATTGGGAAAACAGTGATAGCTTCGACCCTCTGATTGATCACATTAAGCTCGTTGCAGCTTTTTCAAATCTGTTTCACGCTATAAAATTAAAACAAAGCTTTGAGACTTCGATTAGTTTGTCTTCCCTTCCACATTATATGATCTTAAAGGGGAAATTTCAAGTTTAGAAAGTGACAAACTTTTGCAATTTTGAACGATATTGCAACAGCCTAAAGCAGTAACTACTCCTTGAAATTTTCTTTACATGAGGAGAATTCAAGCATTAAAAGAGATAGCAGCCTTAAGCCGGTGTATGAGATTCCAGTTCTTGCTAACACTGATTACATGTACTACTTGAGAGGCTCAACCAATTTGCAGCCCCTATTTTCACCATTGAGCTAACTTTTAACATGTCTGAGTAAATGTTGAAAAGGATATAAAAGGGCTATATATTCGCCATCTTCTGAAAAACTACTCTTCTCTTGTTCTACAACAAACAAACTATACTTAGCAATGGCTGCTCAACAAACAAACAACAACTCCAACACTGCTTCATCTGCTGGTAAGAAAAACGCTGGAAAGGATAACTGGGTCGCTGCAGTTCCTGGTGGATTCGTTGGATCCATGTGCACAATCGTCTAATGGTTTTCCAACAAAGATCTTTTCGTTGCCGCTTCTTCTGAATTATACTTTTTTCGCTGATCCTTTGATATGAAGTATCAAAGAATATATAGGATCCGAATATACATCTATGCCCCTTATTTCCAAATACAATTGTAGTTCAGGTATTATATTACATTATTCTAACGTCTAAATCCAAAATCATTACAAACCGTTACTTACACACGAAAATGGCTTACCATACAAACTTTCTTCGTAAGACCATATGATACTTTGAATAGTGGCATACAATCCGGGACCTAAAATGTAAAATCCCAATGCAAATATTATAGCATTTAGCACATATTCTCCCTTTTGTATAAAGCTTGATCTCGTAAACAACTCAACCAAATTTATACGTATACCTTCCTGTTTATAGTAGTACAATTTCCTCAATTTGAAGTATGCCAACGCCCAAAAGATGAACCCAAAGAAACAATCGAAAAGCGACGACATCAAACTCAATAAATCGCTAAAGAATGGAATCACTTCAGCGATAACAAAGGCAATAGCCCATAATCCACCGTTGAGACCAGCCCATACACCCCATCCCAATACAGTATTTTCGTTTCTGTGTACACTTGCCTTGTTGAAAATCTGTTGAAACAAAAACTGGGAGGAGACATTACTGTACAACGACCCAAGGAACAAAACGGTTGGCAAGGCAAAACTAAACGAAATCTTTTTGAAATTAGCAGTCAATGCACCAAATGCCGGTGCAACCATATATGCATTTCCAACGTATACGTAAATAATGGAACCAGCCAAAGCAAAAGTGATTAATTCACAAATTGTGACCACAACCAAAGCCTTACGGAAATCTCTAGGTTGTTTCATCTGGGAAATGAATGATGGGTATGTGATTTGCCCCACAAATGTATAAACAATGTTCAAGACTGCTGACATGATGTTGACGTAATTCTCACCCTTTTGTGGCCATGCATGCCATACAACTGGAGTGGCTGGATCATACTTGTTGGGGTGACTTTGAACTCCAGCAAAGATCATGGCAAGGACGACGGCAATAAACATAGTTATGGCTGAAAAGTAGCCAACACCAGATAAGTGACTAAATGTTCTTGGTAAAGAAAGCAAAAAACAAATTATTGCTGTAACCACTCCAAACACCACTGAACAAATGGTGGTGTTATCACTAATTGTATTCCAGTACTTGGCACCAACCAACACATGTAACGCCTGAATTAAAGTGTTGTTGAGTAAAAAAGCAACTGCAGTGGCGTACCAAACCCACCTCTTCCCGAATATCAAGTGTTGTCCAATATCACAAACATTGGTCAAATGGGGGTAGGCAGCACAGTAATCGCTGATAATTAAGCCAGTGTATAAACACAACAATGACACAATGACAGTGACGATCAAGCCTAGACCTAAACCCAACACCGAATATGACCAAGGGAACGACATAATAGCAAGACAAATATATTCACTAAACAAAAGCCCGGCGGTTTTTTGCCATGAACAATTACGGTAATTTATCGAATGTTCACTCTCTTCTTCAATCTCCTTTTTCAAAAAGGATTCGGGGTCAAACGATGAAATATCGGAGTTCTCTTCCACCTCCGTCTTGGAATGGGCAGAGCCTTTGGGAGATAAAGACATTTGGTTCTCTGTGAAATAATTCAATTGGTTAGCTGGAATAAAGCTTTATTTCGAAGCTGATATTTTTATTGCGGATTATCTATATCTTATATACTGACAAAAGAGATCTTCTTCGACTTTATTCATTCCCACCCCATTGTTTCTCGTCGCCTTAGCTGTAACGGGGCAGAGGAGATTCAAATTGCCACATTTAATTAAAACCCAAATTGCTTAAGGGACCATGCATGAAATAAGAAAAAGAAAGAAAAGAAAATTATCAATAAACAATACAATTGTACTGCATATGGGAAACTGGAAAAGTGTTTTACATTTAATTTGTATTTGTGTATAGATTTCTCAAAAATTTCTTCTTCTTCTGTACAGGGCGTTTCTATTCTTGGTGTATCTGTCTTTTGGTGGATTTCGGGGTGACAGGGACAAGAAAAGAAGCTCTTAACCATTGCGTTGGTTCATGGGTACTTCTTACTGGAACTCGTGGATCTCTGGCTCTGGTGAATGTAAGGAGGTATAACCTCGGTCAAAAAGAGTTACTCCCTGTGCAGTCAATAGTGGGGAACTATGGACTCTGTTGATATCTCTACAATGTTTCGGCGTTTAGATAATGTTGTCTGTCTCTTGCAATGACGTGATTGATTGCTGCGAATGCCACAATTTCTTTAATTAATTTAAGAGTTTCTTTTTTCTTCTGAGTCTTAAACTTTAACCGCCCATACATATCATAACCAACAATTTCACTCTTGGAACAATAAAGCACGGAGAAACACAACATGCACTTTGAAGAAACGGTCTATTCAGAATAGCAAGCAGTACCAATAGGACTAGAAATACGATAAGTGTAAGAAATGAAGTCACTTACGATACATTGCCCTTTTATTTTCTTTTCTTGGTATTGCTTTCAAATAAACATCCTTTTTTTGTCTTTTTCTTGTCGAGGTTTATCGATTCATCAATTACACCAGCTCATGTGGATAAATCGACCTATAGTGAACTCTTCCACTGCTCCACATTTCGTATCATCTGAGGGATAGATACATGAAATTTGGACGCTAGCCGTATATGCAGTACTCTCTTAAAATACGCACCAGCACTTATGCAAAACCTACATAGAGCTTCCACAAGAAACACTTTCTCGGTTAGTCAATTGTTCTCTTCTTTGTTGTCATCACCCAATTAAGCTCAGTGGGTAAACCCACATCTTTTCAAATATATTATGTTTAAATTCTGCCGTAAATCAATACATTCCCGGAAATTAGTACAAATTTTAGAGTTAAATTTTGGTTTGTGCTCGTTCTTCTTTTAATTAGTCTATAATCAGTTTTCAACTGTGGCTCATATGTGGCCGATTGCTAATTTGAATTAACGATTAGCTCCACTCTGATTGCAAACAGTTTCGCCAACAAAGAGGACAAAATAGTCGCCTCGTATTCGATTCAATAAGCAAATTGAGTCCGTTTCCGGGCTCTTCTCTTGCCCGTGCTCTAGACCTATACTATGTATTACGTAAAACAGCCGACACTGTTTCCCAAGATGCTGATACGCTACTCAGAGCTTAGCAATAGAGTATTAAAACGCCTGTTGTGAAAAATGCTAATTTTGGAAAATCCTTTTGCAAGCAAATGTTGGCCAATTTGAGTTTTCAGAGTGATCAAAGGTGAATCCCACCCCACATTATATCGAACAACCGTAATGAATCTTGTTGATCAAAAGTCTTTCTCACTATGGCAAACTTTTAGTCCTTCACAGCCATTACTTTAGACTCAACTGGTAGCTCCATTTCCATATTACTACTTGCAATTTTTTTATTGGCTAAACCATTTTCGTCGTTTGCGCACTACCATGTTAAAAGAAAAACATTTCTTTCAATTATCAAAAGTCATTGGCTAAGTTCACCTTCAGTTCATCGAAAGACCAACCAACCAACAAAACACACACACACACAAACACACCACATCCAAGCCATGTCAGGAGGACCAGTACCAGTGTGGAAAAAATACACCAGTAGGCCAACCGGAATATGGGAGAAATTGAGGGAACTTTTAGTATTGGCTCCCAATAGATCATCAGGAAATATGTTTGTTCCATTATACAGAAACCCACCACCAGGTTCAAGAATAGCCGAAGCCAAGGCTTACGAAGACCCAATAACAATCCCAGCTGGTGATATAAAGGGAAACCCATACTTTAAGCGAGATTTCAGAAGAAATTATCCTCAAGTGCATGGATTCAACCAAACTAAATTATCGGGGTTATTGCAATTGGGCAATAGTGAACACCCTAGAATATCAGTTGGTGAGAAAGGAACTAAAGAGTTGAGCACATTTGAAGGTGGGAATATCGTTAGTTTAACTTCGACTTTGAGTAAATTACCCGAAAACGTAATCAAGGGAGAAATCTTGGGTAAACAAGGTGAACCCATTGTGGCTCCAAGTTTGAATAAATTCAAATGGGAAATATTACCAGAGAGTGTTCATGGAATGTATACTGATGAATATCCATGTCGTATATTTACTGATACAAAGGTTAAAACTGTATCATCATCGTCATCAGCTTGAACATTTTAGATAGATAGGTTTCACAGTTTTTCTCAAGAATATATAACTGGTCTTATTGAAAACTGAGGGAATATTTCTGGTAGAGCGTATAATCCAAACCAGCAGGATAAATAACTGATGGAGTACTTGTAGTTGTAGTTTTGCCCTGATGTAATGGTCCTTTGACTTTGTACATGGGTATTTAGTGTGTTCAACGTTTCACAAGGATGGATTTGGAACCACGGCTGATGTAATAAATGATGGTCAATGATTGATAAATCAACTAGTCTGTTCAAGACTAAATTCGATGACTCCTTGAGTGACTGATCTAATTCATCAATATTGAAATCTAGTTTGTCATTGATGTAGAATCGAAAGGAAAAAATGGGCACCTGGTAAAACTTGTCATAGGATATGGTAAATTCTAACCTCGTATCATCCTGGCCAATGGTCAGACTGGCAAACATGTATCTTTCCTCATTCACTTGTTTTACTTCGGCAACAACAACTTTGAATCTAACTGTCGACTGTAGGTTATCTAATAGAAAATCTTTGAATTGGTCAATGGCACAGTTGAATTCTTGACTGGTTAGGATGTTCATCTCACATGTTGTCATCTTCAACATCCAATCTTCATAGTGTGAAGTCAGCTGCGCAAAAGGTTCCCCGCTACTAAGCAGTTGCATTTATAAATTAATACCGAACAAAAAATTTACACTAACCTTTTAAAACATTGAATCAAAGGATTAATTCATTATGAAACGCCTATATACTTACTGTATACTTAAACCAAACCATCCCCCAACACTATAATACTTCTCGCTCCTGAGCTTGTCTGTCTTAGGCCCTACACATACACTATCCGCCTCCCCTCTCTCTATCTCTCCACACACGCACTCCTCTTCTACTTGCTACTCTTTTCCTTGCTCTTCTTTAACCCTTCGCTGGGTTTCGGAGTACTCTCATTCAAAAGCCCGCTCTTACCATTGGCAAAAATCTGGGCATTGCTAGCACTTATACTATTCCTTACCGACATTTCCTTCATTCGTTCAGCACTAGGGTGTCTAGAAGGGATACCATCACCAACGCCCCCGCCTAACCCAGATACATTCTTCAATGCACCACCTTTCTGCTTTTGCATAGCATAATCGCCGCTATCGAAATATTTCTTATCGTGGAATTTAGAACTTAAAATCTGTTGTGTTGATGGTAACTTGCCATACATTTTATAAATCTTCAATTCTTGCGGTGATAATTTAGACAAATCAATATGTTGAGTGTTTTTTGGCTCCGCCAATGGATCGTCATCTGCATACTTCTCGGTCATGTTGTGCTACTCTGTCTATCTGGTTGTGTATGTGTATGTTAATAATATGTAATCTATGTTGTATATGGGGGAAGCTTTATCAAAGGAACACGCAGTCGTCGTAAATGTTCAGAGTCACTTACATAGCAAAAAAAAGTATTCTAAAAGTATTGGTGTATGGATGTGTGGGGACTATCATAATTTATCGCTACCAGATGCGTGTTTTATATTCAAGATTGATGTGAGTAATGGGAATTGAGTAATCACCAAGATGACAAGATCGACCAAGTAGATTACAAAGTCGTATAGTTCCAAAGGAATTGGAATCAACTTGAACGGAAGTTTGTTGACATATAATTGGAACTTGACATTATCCTGCGAATTCAAGAATTTTTCATCAAAAGTAATGCCAAAGAACTGATAGTCGATTCGAAGGTATATATCTAACTGATTGTGATCAATTAAGCTGGCATCACTGATCAACTCCCCTGTCTTTATGTATTCGTGAGATATCCTGAAATCAAACGGCAGTGTAGCAGGCCAACACAATTTGACATTCAACAAATCTTTATTATCCATTACTGAATCATTATAATTATTCAATCGTACAAGGATGGTCTGTGGTAGTTGTGTAACGCTATCATAGGGCAGCGACACCACATTGGACCGTTTCATGCCAATTTCTAGCTCATCATAAATTGTGGCAATGGGGTAATCGAGCAATACCGATAGACTTGAATTGATCCGATGCCAGTTGCGTTGAATTTGATCTGATTCGTTCATTGGCTGAGGATGTGATGGAATGTCATAATATTGGGGAATCTTAAGTAGGTACGTTTCCGTATTGGCTAAACATGCTGGAATAATGAGGTATAATAGAACTAGCCAAAACATTGAGCGCTACTAAGAAATGATGTGATGTTGGGGGAAGTTTACAGTACAGTTTTTTTGTACGCGGTTTTATTTTACTTTTCACTTGAAGTATACAATGCTATCCCTTTTCTAACTCACGAAGGCTCAACTTGACCGTTATCCAAGGACACATTTCCATACACCACCCTTTAACTACTCCAATATTAATTCCCAGACCAAAACTGCTCACAACATCAAACTCCACGACTCTAAGATCTTGTTTACTTTGTAAAATTTCGACCATCCGATGCCAGTAAAAAATACAGTTAACCCGCCATCCTTTTAACACCAACAGCTTCAAACTGGGTAGTCCAGTACCACTTAAAACGCGTTTGAGGAATGACTCATCTACTGATAATTGTCCGCTTTGATGCTCGGTTTCCGTTTTCACCTCATGGATAAGATCAAGAGACTCAATGCTTTCAAGCCCTTTATCCTGGCCAATATTGAAGATAAAGTCTCGGAATCGTTCCGAGTATAAGAATGTGGATCCACCTTTGAAACGGAGGCCTAGATGGGTTAATGTGTTGTTGTAGTTGAAATTCTTAAGCTGGAATGGGTAGTCCCAGTAACAATCAACTAATGTTAAGGACTTTAGGGTCAACACGGGAACTACAATCAGTTGCGGGTCCCAGGACAAGTGATATCCTCCAAGTTCCAACTTTTGAACCATTTTGAAATTTGCCAAATGTTCAATGTTAAACATTTTTATTGAGTTGATAGATGGCTCCCGCGTTACTATGCCTTTGCTATTTGGCTGTAATCTCGCTTGGGTATCTTTTACTGTGGGGTCGGTGTATAGTGTCAATTGGGTGATTGTATCGTTGGATCTATATCGAAGCCAACCGGATGAATTAGCGGTATTGATTGACAAGTGCTGTAGTCTCGGCAATTGGTAAAGTGCATCTTGAAAAATGTCCACTTGCCATTCCCCATACGAAAAAGCATCAGCTATTCGTAGTTGAGTAATCACATATTTGAATTGTTTTAAAAATCGAGTCTGTCCCTCGCTTTCCTCAACCAATTTGTACCATACTGTTTTCACTTGCGAAAGTAAAAATGGAACCAACAAATGTCGAAACTGTTTACTCAATACAGACAAGTTCTTCAAATCCAGTGTAGTAAGATGCGAAAAGATAATGTGTACGATATCACTGGGTAAGTTTGGTAGTGACAAGGTTTTTTGTGGATGCACTGGTTTGGTCGTTTGCCATGATTTGTTTTGAACTTCCTCCTCCCAGTATTCAACACCTTTCATCATCTTTTGTCGTTTAATATCAATCCTTTAAATGTACTGCCATGGAATGTTACTGTTTTGACTTTGTAAAATTAAAAAAATATATGACCAAAAAAGTATGACCTTTCTTTCTTTAACGTTCTCCCCTTGACAGAAGAAAGGCTAGATTTTGTTATCGCTTACTTTTTATCAATCACACATAGACGAACAGACAGACAGATCGACAAAAAAGAATTCAATGTCAGATCTCTCGATGTCGTAAAAATATTAGAAGTGACATTGTACTTATTTCCACAAAAGAACTTCGTTCTCTCTCCTTCCCCATTCACAAAACTCGTGAGACAAAACACTTGAAAGCAAATCGTCCTTTAACACCACCAGTACCATCTCAATCAGAAAGTAGATAGAGATAGAGATAGAGATAGAGCTAATCACCCATCCAATCACTACTACGCAGTCACTACCCCCTACCCCTTCCTTAAAGCAGAATAGATGAATTCGATAGATGGTGAGCTGGCTACAATTGTTACCCCTCATCTTCAAGAACATTAAGAATGACTTTATTGCAAACTTTGTCACACGACTCCCACTACTACTAGTGATTGATCCTGATTCATTTGAACCTCCGTTCACTAATGGTCTAGATGAGTTTCTCGAACTAGTCAATCTAACTAGTGTCGCTGACCTCGAGAATTTGAATATCACTGTGAGTCAAGCAGATTTGATATACTACACCATCATCGATTACGGTATTATTATACTATCTGTTGTGTTTGCTGGGTTTGATATTTTGTACAGTATGCTACGACTATGCATGAGTGCCATTGTTATAGGAGGCTTGATTTCAGTTTTAGCGTTTTGCACAATCTGGTTGATAGTGACAATCACAAGACGATGGAAATTGATCTCAATGATTATTAGAAATAATGAGTTTGAAGGTGTGTGGTGATGGTTAGAGAGTGTGTACATATATATACCAAAGGCTGTAGGCTCATAAACCGTTCTGTCTGTTTGTCTGTCGATGCCTATTGTAGTCGCTGTTTTGTAAAAACGGACAACTCTGACTCGATCCGTCTCGCAATAAAACCTGGAGTCAAAAGACAACCTCGGAGTTAAGGTCAAGAAAATTATTCGGCAAAAGACAAATAAAAGGTAAAATAGAGCTAGTCTAGCGTAGGATGCAATATCGATTAGTCAATGCAAGTCTCTGTTGGATATGATAGTCTAGCACTATGTAATTGACAATCATGTCTAGTGTAATCAAACAATTAAGAAAAGAAGCTATGGTGTATATATGTTCCCTTCTTTCCCCTTCCTTCCATTACGTAATGATTTTTTAATTTGATTTAATTAAAATAAAAAAATGTTTTTGAATTTTGATTTTCTCATTTCTTACTTTTATTTTTACTACTCTCCTTTTAATGTAACCACTATTAGTAATTGTTATCTAGTTTTCATATTTGAAGTATATATATATATATATACATATATGCCTATCACTTCAGATATAAGTCATCCACGTAACACCAACTACAGCAACAACCACAACAACACATCTCCACAGACCTCAACTTTTACCAGTAACGAGTCTCAATCACCGCCATACACGCATTCGCAACCTTTGTCACGCGAGCAGCCACAGAATTTTTTTAGGCGATTAACTAAATCGTTTATTTCATTCCGACAACCAACATTTGCCACCAGCACTATTGATCGGAATAACGCATCAAAATCGTCACTGAGTACCCTAAAGAAACTAATTAAAGGGTTGTTTCGCAAAAGAAGGACTTCCTTAGGCAAAAATATTGATAATAAGATGGAGAGTGGCAATAGTGCAGATCGAGATGCACCCCTTGCCACCGAGGATGATAGACCCGATAGAGACAGAGGAGAAATGCAGAATGGGAATCAAAGCCAAACAGATGATCCGCTTTCAGACGATGAACTGGACTTTGAATCCAGGGTGGCTGAATTTTTCCCTAATTCTCTGTATCGAGATTTACAGCATAACACAAATCAGTTGCAAGAAACTACCCAGCCAACTACACAACAGAATTTTGAATCAACCCAGTTGGAACAACAGAGCGTTCCATCAGCCACAAACACCTCTGATAATACATCTGCTACCGCCAACACCATCAACTACAATAACAACAACTACAACACTAGCGACAACGACACCAATAGTAACAACCATAATAATAACGGACGCAACGAGACTAACCCAAACACAAATAACGCCACGTCAGACACCCAGTCAAACACAAATGACCCACCACTGGGTCCCGACAACAACAGCAACAATAATAATAACACTGATACCCATAATAGAGCAATCGTAATTACCGTCAACTATCTATTTTCCGACCAGAACCGCCCCGACAACCCGAATCGATCAGGTTCACTTGTTCTTTCCTTACCCAATAATTCTACCAACCGCGATCCTGGATCCATCCAAGAGTTTATCAGAATTGCAACGCAAATGGCATACACTTTGGTTATGAGTGGATTACTGAATCAACAAAGAGGAATTACGTTGAATAAGTTTGAACTGTTTGAAAAGATGAATGTTCGTCATTTTGGTGAAGATGATTCAAGGGTTTGTTCGATATGCTTTGACGAGTTTGATGCAGTGGAGGATGAGGATGAAGAACAGGCTTTGGTGGACGATGAAGAAGAGGAAGGAGAGAGGAAGGTTGTGGGCAACAAGGATGAAGATAAAGAACGATACGTGGTGCGTAAGAGGAGAAGATTAGTTGACAAGACATCTCGATTATTGCGAAGATTTTCCAGATCACATACTGAAGCGATTGAAGATGGAGAGAGACGTACCCCAAATAGATCAGAAGCTAGTTCCATTAGTGATTATGTTACACCTTTGTCATCAAGCAACACGACGTCTGGGCCTTATATAAGGACCAGAGCGTCGTCAAATGATACAGTACCATCTACAAATGCAACATCACCACCACAACAACCACAAGGGTCAACACAAACAGCAACACAATCAGCAACACAATCAGCAACACAATCAGCAACACAATCAGCTCTAGACGATTCACGACCTGTTTATTTGATTGATGTGAAAGAGCCATTTGACCATTCCCCAATCAAGATGCCCTGTAACCATGTCTTTGGTCAAGACTGTTTAAGTGAATGGTTGAAACAGCATTCGACGTGTCCTTTGTGTAGATACTCGGTTGCAGAACCAGTGAGATCAGGCGGAGCCAATGCAGGTGAAGGTAATGATGGAGGATCGCCACCAACAGGTGCAGGGCTTTTCACGGGTGGGGGCTTACCTCAAGCTCAACACCAAGAAATAAATGGACAAAATTATACATTTTATACCATTCCGCATGAGTCATTACCCGATATTGGAAATAATGGCAATGGAAATGCTAATGACACAGGGGGTGCAGGAGATGATGCTATGCAAGCAAATTTTGCCAATCGGTTGGCTCTGCTATTACGGCCTGCATTGATGGGTCAGACAGCTAGACAAGGTGGTGCTGGTGGTGCTGGCGGTGCTGGTGCTGGTGGTGCTGGTGCTGGTGCTGGTGCTGGTGACACTGCTGATAATTCTGCAACTACTGGCAATGACAATAGCCCATCAATTGAACCACTTTTACGCGTGATGCAACAGGCACGAGAAGCTAGAGAGCGTATGATGAGAGGTGAGGGTACTGATGCTGATGGGCGGTTTGCCAGACTCAATTCTGCTGAGCCCCCATCATATACGCAGTCTTTGCGAAATTCAGGTGAACGGTCATTTGCTCGACTTAGAGACACATCACCTGGTCTAGGAGGAGGCATGCGACGGGTTGGTGGTGGTGATGGTGCAAGTAGAGGAGTGGGGATGGAAATAGGCGAAAGAACCAATTTAGAATTACAACGTGAGCTGCGCATGAGACTGCGAATGAGGCATCGTGATCAACAAGAGGAGGAGCGTTCTCGATCATTTCTTCCTGGATATAGTGAGATTATGAATTATATTAGAAATGGGTTTTCTGGATTACGAAATACGTCAAGTCGACTCAATGGAGATCACAATCATGGTAGTAACTCGGGTGGTGATGATGATGACTCTATGGATTTTGAAACGAGAAGAGGACGTGAAATGGCATTACATCCAGGTGGATTAATTAGTATGCGTACTGCTAATGGTATTGAAACTTTTACTGATGAACAAGTTGAACAGATGCTTAATGTAGATGATGTGGCCCGTGATTCTGCAAGACTGGGACTGAGAACGGATCGTGCTAGTAATGATCGTAGTGGCAATGGTGGGGAAGACAACAATGATGATGGTGATGATTTAGATGAAAGTAGAAGAGGGCTGCTTGATTCACTTTCTTATCATCGCAGAAATTATCGTTGAGTCAGAGCATGTTTTACTCAACTAGGTTTTGATTTATTGCATGTTGCATTGTTGTTTGTTAATGCTGTTTTATTTATATGAGATGAGGATCTTTAGGGAATACTACACTTCGGAAATTTTATTATTGGCTTTTTTGCGGAGACTAGGTATTTATCAGAATTAATTTGGGATCTATATTTGTTAGAGTTTTTACATTAGGTGTATGGATCAGGATCAGGGTCAGGTGAAAGACTTTATTTTTCAACATTGCTTTATTGTTTATATAGGCCTGTGTGAATATACATATACATTAGATATATTAAAGTATTAGAGTTATGTTAAAGTATGTAGAAGATGCATTAGAGTATTAAAATTGTGAAATATGAATATGTTTTGCTATTAAAAAGGCTATATAAATCCTATATAGTTTTCTTTTTTTTTTTGATTATTAAATATTATTAGTAGCTTTGATTAAAACTAAACTAGTCAAGCAGTATTAGCTGAAAAAAATGAATTGATGAAACAACTCCCCTTAAAAATAAATTGAACTAAAAGTCAGAAGTAACCTTCTTCCTTGAAAAGTAGAGCAACATCTGTCTATAAAATTAAACCCTCCCAAACTCAAGATTGATAAAAATTGATAAAAATGTGAAAATAAATGTGATCTTCTTTTTCTGATGGCTAGTCAGACCCACCACCATCAACCCCTTCTTCTCTCATTCTTTTCCCCTTGCAATAAACTAGCAATAATGGAAAATTAAAACGCGTCAGTTTTGAGTTTTTCTCCGTGCCTTTTGCTCAAAACAAATCGGCAAATTCAGCCACGTGTGGATGAACCAAATCGACATAATGCCAGGATGCTTCTTCTTCTGCTGCTTCAGCTCGACTAGAATTGCTTGAGGTAGTAGAGCTACCGTCACTGCAACTTGTAGTAGTACGGTTGACATCACCGTCATTGTTATAACCAGTAGTTGCATTCAGTTTCAGTTGAAAATAGCTGAGGTAATTGTACAGATTTCCTTGTGACTGTGGGAATTGTTGTCTGTATTGGGGCTGGCTCAAGACAGTTACTTGGCTGAATTGACGTCTTGTGTGAGTCATTATTGATCTTCTCAATGGTTGGTAAGTTGATGATTTAGTAAACATTGTGAATAGTTGTTTTGTATGATAATAAATGATGATGAAGAATGAAATTGTGGTTTTCTGAATTTGTAATTGGGGGACAAGTGGTTATTTGGATATGCATTTATATATGGAAATATTTGTTTCAGAGGATTGTTTGGCAATTACCTTCTCGTATAGAAAAATTGTTGCAAAAAAAAAAAGAGAGAAATACCCCTCCCCTTTCTTTCTTCTTTTAAAACAAAAGCAGTGTCGCAAAATAACTCCTCCTTTTTTTTTGTTCTTTCTAGAACTGTGTCAGTATTCTTTTCTCGGTTTGTATAATCAGTGTCGTGTCATGTTTTATTTTTTGTTACACGATGCAAAACTCTTTTCTTTTTTATTTTTTCTTAAACGACCAGCAGGATCAAAGGAGGGGAGGAAAAAAATAAGTAACACCACACAATACACAGAGACACTGCCTTCACTCAACAGAAAAAAATATCAAAAATTTTTGGGTAAAACGCACATGGTAGCGATATATATAAAAAAAAGGAGAAGTCAGAAACTTCTAAGCAAGAAAGGAGGGGAAATAACACATAGAGGAGAACAAGAATAGTGATAAAGAACGGGGGGAAGGAGGGAGGGGGAAAGAGTTCTATAATTCGAAAATAAGGGATGATCACATCATACCACCTCCCTTATCCCTAACATCGCCCCTTCTTCTTTGGTGTTACAATTGACAGGGGAAGAACAACACAATTAATTGAATCTCAACAGGAGTCAAAAAAATAAGCAATTGGAGGTAAGAAGAACGTTTGGTAAAAATTCTAGATCCATTTAAAAAACGAAAGCTTTACAAAAGATAACACGTGTGTTTGACCTCTTATCTAATCATCGTCAAAATGCAAGATTCTGCACTCCTTCTAAAAAGAAAATATCCACCGATGGCCTAGATTGCTTTAGAGACAGGCTATAGTGAGCAATCAAGGAGATAAGCCTAAACCACTCAACAAATCTTTTTCTCATAACAAAAGCCTAGACACTTCTATAAAGTCCATGTGATGTAACAATTTCAATATTGCTCTCCCTTTATCTCCTTGTCTTCTAATTTTTACTGTAGTTTATTGACTATTCGTCTGCCATGCGGCGTCAGTTTTATATCTGGCAACAATGGCACCAACACTTCACTCAATTCAGTCATTTGATCCAACTGTGCCACATCTAAACAAGTCTGTAGCACATAATTACCATATGAATCATTCAATACTTTGAAAAATTGGCTCGATGATAACTTCAACAATTGATCAATCAACTTGGCACTCTTGTCACCATCTAATCGTAGTGACTTTTCAAGTACATTGGAGCCAAACTTGTGCGTCGATAGTTGGAAGAAATTGGCCTGTAAGTAGGCAAGTATCGTATCAACACTTGCTTCATCACCATGAGTTAGGACATACTGCACAACATAGTTTCCATAAGGGTCAAATGTTAGTTTGTCCACTTTTATAGTAACTTCATGACTTAATGCTTGAATCTGTTGTTGATTACCATAGTCTAAACAGCGTTGTAAAACACAGCATCCATGGCGATGACATGCAACCACTTCACAATTGGTCTTTATTGTATCGTAAATCACTTGATTGGTGTCATTTGATAAATTAATGAGACACTTTTGTACTACATGATTCCCATTTAAATCACGTGATAAGGAGACTATAGTTGGTGTTAAACTTTCAATTATCAAGCTGGCACTCTGCTCTTCGGTCTCGTTTGCTTTATCCTCCTTTTTGCTTTTGCCAACACACTCAATTAGTTTCTGTAATGCTCTAGTCCCATGTGAATCTAAAGCTATTCGATGGAAATCGGTACGGGCAATTTTGACCAAATCTAGTCTTTGTTCTGGTGTGATACATTCAACTAGTTTTTGAATCAAATAGTTGCCAAAAGGATCAAACATTAAATTAACTATTTCATCGTGTAATTCATTGAATATTAAAGTGGCCACAGATTCATTATCGTCAGTTTTCTCATCTGCAGTTTCCCCGTTCAGAATCCTTTCTTGTTCTTGACTCAATTCACGTTGCAAAAATCGACATCCATGCTGATCACTGCATAAATCCAATATATGACCTTTATAATCATCAAGCTTGGAGTTTGCATACTTGTTGACATCTTCTCCCTTACGATGACGATGATTGGGACCATTGCCAAATTGATTCACACTGAAATTGTTTCCATAATTTTGGTAATGATGTGCGTGTTTGTTATTCCTACGATTATAGTGTCCCCGGTTGAATTGATTTTGTATAAAGTGGCCTCCATTCCCACCTTGAAATTGCATTCGATGCATAAATTGCTGAAGCTGGTGTTGATGTTGGCGTTGATGTGGCTGATGCGGTTGATGATGTTGCTGGTGCTGTTGCTGATGGTGCTGTTGTTGTTGTTGCTGATAATGTGGCAATGGGAGCACTTGTTGATGATTCATTGGGTACGGTGGATTACCAACATGAGGAGTTGGCTGTTGTGCAGCTCCTCGTGGGACGTTACCCGGTTGATGCGAGTTCCACACTGAACCACTTGGTATAGCTGCAGGTGGTGGAGTTGGTCCAGTGTTGGGATGCACTGGAGAATGAGGCAACGGTGCATGTGGACCCAACTTCATATCGAAATTTTGGAAATTAGAAAGACCCGGTTGGTGAGGTGGTGGGTAATTGTACGGCATCATTGGGGAAGGAACACCTGGGGGAACACCTGGTCCAATGGGATGATTATGATGAGTCATTGACATTGGCGAGAAAGGGTTGAACGGCGGTGTAGGTGGTATATTGACATGTTGCGGAGCAATGACACCAGCGGAATATGTAGGATCAAAGGGCTTTCCAGAATCATCATTCTTGTCGGTTGCTTGTTCTCCCTTAATCTCCTCCTCGCCAGTGGCGGTTCCTGTTTCGCCTTGTGACAAGCTTAGTCCAGTCAGTTGTTTACTTTGAGCATCCTCTTTAGAGTCAGGAAGCTCAAGTGGCTTTATAAAAGGAACAGTTGTTTCGTCGCGATTGTTCTTTAAAGGTGGATCAGAAACGGGGGCATATCCTTGGCTATTTACCCCACTGAATTTCAGGTCAAATCCACCAGGGTGGCCATTCCAAGTTGAAGCATAAGTCGCTGGTGGTGGTGCGCCGCTGTTCATTTTCAATTGTTGTTGAGGTGTTACTGAACCTTGATATGGAGCGAAATAGTAAGGACTTTGTGGATGAGGTGGATACATGGGGAACCCAAAATTGGCTGCTTCAGCAGCACCATGGGTACTAGTGTCGGCTGTTGATTGGTTCTCACTCTCAACTTGATTTGAGCCAGCATCCTTCTCTGGCTTCGCTTCTGGCTCATCTTCTTCGTCCAACTTTAAGTTATTAATAGCTCCTACTATATCGATATTTGTATTTAGCTCGGTGTCTGGTGAGCTCGTGTTCACACCACTACTTCCTTGACCTCTCATACCATTGAAGAAGCTTGAACTAACCAGCGCGCTTCTGGCTCCACTAGTCGTTTTATTGTTTGCATCCTGTGCTGCTATTTCAGCATTTGATATAGACAAGGACCTCGACATTTGTAGCACAAGGTCTGTTTTGTTTGATTGTGTGTGTGTGTGTGTGTGTGCGATTGTTTAATCTAATGTACAGTAAAAGGTGAAAACTATGAATAAATTTTGCTAGTTTACAAAGTACTCTGATGAATTGAATTGAATTATAGTATACAATTGAATGAAATGAAATGTGAAAGTAAGTGATAAAACTGATTTTATTCTATAGTGTGCTTCATGTACGGAATGCTTTGAAGTATATTGGTCTGTTATATTTAAAGTTGATTCAGAGTTGTATTAAGCATTTTGATGAAATGTTTTGATCTCTTTTCGGTGGTGAATTTTGTTCGTTTCTATTTTTTGTCTGCCATTGCACGCCAAAAGTAAAAGTAGGATTAAGAGGGCAATCTACAAGATAAAGATGTACTGTAGATGAGAGTAAAAGGGTGGTGAAAAAGAATGTAATAAGTGGTGCTTGTACCTAACTGTCTTCTGAGGTGAACAGTCCTGTCTGTTGACGTAAGTTTATTAACATTGGTGGCATCAATATACTTCTGCGTATGTAAATATTGAAACTCATTGCAAAAAACCCTTTGCAATATCAACTTCTATAACTACCCCCCCCCCCCCCCCAAATAAAAAAGAGGAAAAAGGCATATTCCCGATGTGTGGTTTTAGCTTTTAGTTCTATTTCTATCCCCAAATGAGATTTATAATTTCTTCCTGTCCTTTGTAATTTGCTGTGGTTGTTGTTTGTTGTTTGTTGTTTAGTTCTTTAGTTCTTTAGTTCTTTAGCTCTTTAGTTCTTTGTCGTTGCATTTTAAAGAAACGTTTTCTCATTTCCATTCATCCCTAATTTATCCGCCTTTTAATCTTTTTTTGTCAACCACTCACCTCACTCACCACTACTAACGTCCATCGGCTATATATAAATACAACCTCGGCATAATAGCGTAATTGTTATACTCTGGAATACTTAAATCATCAACTGCATTGACGCTTCCACCCTCCCCTTCTCGGCAATCATCTCATCAAAGCACGATTTAGTGGTTACCTATCACATCATCATCATCACCGTATAATTTTATATTCTGCATCCCCATAATATAAAATGTCAGGTATACCCACCTTGAAATACCAGCGGCCTCCATGGTATAGGTTAGCCGGTTATGATTTCCTTCTTTGGGCATTGTCAATTGTCATGGATTGTTTCTTTCGAGAAATCCGACCACGAGGAGCCTTCAAAATTCCTCGAGAAGATCCCGTAATCTTTGTTGCAGCTCCTCATCATAACCAATTCGTTGACCCAATCATCCTACTGGGGCAAATAAAGAAAGAAGCTAATCGAAGAATATCATTTTTAATTGCTGCTAAATCATACCATTTGAAGTTTGTTGGGGCAATGGCCAAATGTCAATTGAGTATACCAGTCGTTCGACCTCAAGATAATTTAACTAAAGGGTCAGGTAAAATATTCGTTGATAAAAATGACCCTTGCCATATCTTGGGAAAGGGAGCAAAATTTACCGAGGAGTGCATGGTTAGGGGTTTGCTTGCGTTGCCCCAATCACTTGGAGCTAATGAGATATCGGAAATCAAATCCGATAATGAATTGTATATCCGGAAACCATTCAAGCAAACTGATCAAATTACTGAGTTGTTAACCAATGGAACATCATTCAAACGAGCTGATAAAATTGACCAAAAACAAGTTTATCAAATGGTGTTTGATCATTTACTGGATAATGGAAGTATTGGAATTTTCCCCGAAGGTGGCTCACATGACCGTACTGATTTATTGCCTTTGAAAGCTGGTGTTGCCGTAATGGCTCTCGGAGCAATGGAAAACAACCCCAATTGTAACGTCAAAGTTGTTCCATGTGGTATGAATTACTTCCATGCTCATAAATTTAGATCAAGAGCTGTAGTTGAATTTGGTGACCCCATTGTTATCCCCAAGGAGTTGGTGAAAAAGTATTCCAACCCCGAGACTACCGCAGAGGCAGTTAAGGACTTGTTAGCCTTGATTACATCCGGTTTAAAAGCTGTTACAGTAACATGTCAAGATTATGAGACATTGATGTTGATTCAAGCTGGTAGAAGATTATATGCTGGAAATTTTGCCCAGCAGTTGCCATTACCATTGATTGTTGAAATGAATAGGCGATTAGTTATTGGATACGAACGGTACAAAGATGAGCAGAAGGTACAGGAGGTTAAACAAAAGGTGTTGGAGTATAACGGTTTGCTAAAGACTTTGCATTTACCCGACCATGACGTTGAAGATTGCCAGGATGAAGGGTACAAGGCCAAGCTCTTGCCCATTTTGGTGTTTAGAATCATCAAGTTGGTCATTTTGTTTACATTGGCGTTGCCAGGAGCCACTCTCTTTTCACCAGTTTTCGTTTCATCGAAAATTATATCTCGAAGAAAAGCCAAAGAAGCATTGGCAAACTCAGTGGTTAAGATTCAAGCAAACGATGTCCTTGCCACCTGGAAAATTTTGGTGGCAATGGGTATAGCACCAATTGTGTATTCATTCTACGCGTCAATTGGTACATATTATTGCTCGGCTCATGAGCTTTTATCCTCATTTGGCTTGTTTTGGCTTTGGATATTTTTATACCTATCTGGTGTTTTTGTCACCTACAGCGCTTTGTTAACCGGTGAACAGGGAATGGACCTTTTCAAATCAATTAGACCATTGTATCTTTCAATCACATCGGGTTCTGCTATCAGACGATTAAAGAAAATGAGACGTGAATTGAGCGAAGAAATCACCGATATTGTCAACACCTACGGACCAGAATTGTTCCCCAAGGATTTCAATTTATTGGAATTGAAAAACTCATTGAGAATTTCTGATCAAGTTGAATACGTTGACTCGGACGAAGAAGAGGAGAAAAAGACGCAAGAAATGAGAAATAGAAGGAAATCAAGACGTAAAGCTGAACGCAAATTATACGTTAATGATGACGTCTCCAATAAATCCGACGATCATGGATCTGAAATGACTGAAAGTTTATCTCATTCATCATCAATGTCCGATGGTATTTCATTGCTCAACACTGAAGCCAATTCGTATACCAATTTGCCAATTTTCAGTGATTACAGTTTGCACAAGAATGTCACTAATAAGAATCTCGATTTAGATCCCCAGTCGAATTTCAATTCGAGTGCCACGTTATATGATGATCATAAACAACATATCGATCAACATCAGCAGCAGCAACAATGCCACTCTTATGTGTCCTTGCCATTACGTGGTCGTCCAAGCTTATCCAAAAATCCATCTGAAGAACAGTTTGAATTGAACTTCTCAAACAAATCGTCATTGAAGGGTAAGATATTTGATAAAATGAAACAAAAGAGGACTCAACCGTGATGACTATAGACATTAGCAATAGGTCTACATAATAAACATTTAATTTTGATTAACTATTTTGTATATGTGCTTGACGTTCGTAAAATTCAGCAACTTCAGTCGAACTAGTAGCATCTTCGATCCCTTTATCGTCTCTAATGCGTAAAAATCGAGGGAACCTCAAACTAATTCCCTTTCCGTATTCACTATGTGCTGCTTTATAGATTGGGCTCAAGGATAAATCGGCTGTCAACACTTCAAACAACATTGTCGGTTCAAACCAAACGTCAGGCGCGGCATTTGAGTTGGTTTTATCATAAACATAATACTCTTTAGGTTTGGTAATTTCCAGTGGATGCAATTTCTCATACAATTGTGTCAACATCTCATCGTTGAACCCAGTACCTATCTTACATGTCGTTTCCAAGTCCCCCGTGTCTTGATTATATGAAGCTAGTAAGAACCCACCATATGTTCCCGTTCTTTTCCCCTTACCGTTGTATGCACCAACCACCACAAGATCCAACGAATCACCAACACCTGCCAAATAGTCTTTTTTCAACTTCAACCAATTGCGTGATCTTTTGGATGGTTCATAGTACGATTCGGAACCCTCGAGCATTTTCACCATGAGGCCCTCACATGAATCATGCACACTCTGATCAAGAAATTGTTGAAGTATTTCCAATGATGTTGAATCTTTCGACGTGGCAAATTGGAATTTGCCTTCCAATGGCTGAAGGTGACTAAACATGATCGATCTTCTCTCCAGCAAGGAACACGTCAATAATGATTCATTGTTATAGTAAAGTAAATCAAATGCAAAAAGACAAATATGTACCGTGATGTCCAGCTCATTAACGTCTTTTCTCTTTCTCGTGGAAAGCACTTGAAATGGTAAAATCTTCTTCTGCACTCTATCCCATGCCACCGCTTCACAATCTAAAATCATCGAAGTATGTTCCTGCGTCTTGCTAAACTCTTTAATAATTGAAATTAAATCAGGATATCTTTGTGACATATCTTCCGAGTTTCTCGAGTAGATCCGCACATCGCCATTAGGCAAAAGATGAATCTGAGCTCGTTCGCCATCGTATTTGTATTCACAAGTAAACTTTTCGTCTTGGAAACGGTCCAACACTTCGCTCATTGATTTGGTTGGTTTGGCCAACATTGGTTTCAATGGAATACCGGGAGTCAACTTACAGTGGTCTAATAAATTGAACACACCATATTTGAAAGCATTTTCAATCAAGATTTGATAGTTGGGGATCCTTGTATACGCTTCACGAACAATGTCTTCAGCCTCGGCCAATTTTTCAGGACTTACTTTTTTAGGTTTATCCAACTTCAAGTTTTCATAATTGACAAATGCTTGTGCCAACCCGACTAAAATAGTTGGACCAGCTAATCCAATTCTCAATTTGTTTTCCAATGACCGTATTAGGAATTTAGCTTCATTATGTTTGACATCACAAGCGGTCAACATTTTATTGATGATTCCAATCTTTTTCGATTGTGAGTCCTTTCCTGTAGACTTGGCAATCTTGGTCAAGTTGTCGAAGACAGTATCGACATCCAAACTTGTGGGTTTAAACATTGTTCGTTGTCCACTACGTGACTTTTGAGCAACAATTCCTAAATCACCATACTCTTTTAAATCTTGCTTGATCTTGGCTGGTGTACGTCCGTATCCCTCACTTATCGCCTTGACTAATAACGTCTCGCCCAAACCCAACTCTAAATCAGGCTCGTAATCAGGACCCAACCTATTAATAAATAAATAAACAATTTTAACCAATTTTGAAACATCATTTTGTTGCTGAAGAATATCAAGAAAGTATTGTGATATGATTGCGGTAATTTTCAATCGCGACGACTCTGCTTCAATTTTTTCCATAATGTCAGTTAATGACGAATAGGGGATTTTCAGTGCTGACAACAACGACGACCCCTCTTTTTTGGTTTGCTTCTGTTGAGATTCGCTCAACTCAATCAATTTCTGAGCTTCTGACTCGGAAGCGTGCTTGCTGTACAGTTCTGAATCGGAAGTAGAGCCACTCTTGCTTTCTTCAGGAGCAGTTTCATCGTCATGCACATCCTCTTGTTCATCCTTCTCCTTCTCCTCCTCCTTGGCATTCAATTTCGGTTTCTTCAACTGGGGTGATAAATCAGGAGGTGTTATTAGATCAGGCCTCTTTGAATTTTTTGGTGATGCAGCGACCTCCTTCTGTGGAGATGGTGGAGTCTTTGTCTTTTTCTTTCTGGCCGCATCTAAAGAAGCAGTGCCGCCAAAGAAACGTGCTATTGATTGTTGCTGTGCCATAACTCTATTGTGATAATTTCCCTTCCTTATTAACAACCCTGATACCAAATTAATTCGAGTCGCTCTTAAATAGTTCATTAACGGGGTACCACCAGTCAAATATGTTGGGTATATGACCTTGTAGCTTAGATGAAACGTCACTTGGGGGTGGGAAGAGTGTATACTTTGAAACTTTAAAAAGTTTTGATGTTGTTTGTTTAATTCGCACGCGTTTGCCTTTTTACTCCAATCGCGTATTACTTTCTACACCACAAAAGACTAATATATTACAATCGTACATTAAAGGATTTCTAAATACTTACATCCCAGATACTTTGTGGACCTCTTTCTTCATACATCTCACTGCAAACAAACAACTCTTTATTATGATGATGCGAACTTCCCGAGAAAATTTGTTTAGCATATATTTCACCTCCTAAGAAAAAAAAATCATGCCACGATCCTCCTTTCTCCTTTGGCAATTTCCATTCAGGGAAATAGTCAGGTACTTTCGCAAATCGGATACGATATGGCACTTGGCTCAAAGCCAGTTGTGACTCTCCCTCCTGTGCATCTTCATTCTGTTGGTACTTGGCAATGGCAGCATTGATATTGTGTTGTGAGTTTGCAGCTCCATTTGTGGCAACTGGTTCTTTAACCAAATATTCGTGGACTAAATGGGAGTAAATCTTTTGTTTCAAACCGGGAACCTGCACTGCTGAGCCAACAAGTATAATATTATCATAGCAATCTTGCCTCTTGTCAAGATCATTAATTCTCAAAAGTGTCTTGTAGATAGCAGCACCAACAATGCTAATTAGATTTGACTCAGTTGTGAATCGTTCTTTGCCCACCCAAATTTTCTCCTGTGTGGACGAATCAATAAAGTAATTCTTGTCCAATTCTTTATTCGATTTCACTTGTTGTTCATCAACCTGTTCCTTTTGCTTTCCATTTTCATCAGTTAATACTTTTGCCACATCAAACTCGCTTGGATCCTCAACTTCAACATCTGCATCTGGATCAATGTCTCCAATTGATTCCTCCCCTTCAAGGAGAAACTCAAATATACCACTAAATTTCAAATCCTCAATCTGTTGCAGTGTAAAATTAGGAAACTTTACCCTCAAATCTTCATCCAATATCACACCACCTTTGCCAGGAATGTACTCACCAGCAAACTTGACACTTTGATATCCTATAACTGGTACAACTTGTATATAGTCCTCGGCGATATTGACTACTAGCGAGTTGACAGTATTGGCAAAGCCAAAAGTAGCACCAAGACTCAAATCCAAGATATTGAAAGCAGTAATTTCTAGATTCTCAAACACAAACTTGGTGATATATTCTAGTTGTCTCTTGGACCATGTTAACGAAGGCACAATTATTAAAAGCGGAATTTGATTAATTGTTAAAATGGGGTGTTGTTGAATGACACTTGACAACACAATTTGTATCAATGCATTGAATGCATCCAAGTCAACGATTTTGCCCTGTTTAATTGGGTTTATTTGTGTCGTGGTCTCACTTGCTGTAGATAAGTATTGGTTGGTGCCTTGTTCTTTGTATACAGTGGTTGGGATTTTGAATTGTGGTGGTGATAGGGAATCTTTCAAGCCAAATGTGAAAAGGGTATATTCAGAACCCGGCTGTATTATAAGAAAGTTATCTTCCTTGTATAATGGCATTATTCTGTATGAAACTGATGTTGCTGAACTGTTTTGCTTGAACTTTGTTGATACTTTTCACCGAATTTTTTTTTTCCTTTTCTTTCAAACAAAGACGCTACCGTGTGTAATACATAATGTGCATGAGTCCAAGGAGAGGAATCTACTCAATGCAATTTGTTTATTCAATGATCTACATTGGCTATAAACTTTTCATAATTGGCAGTAGTCCCCAAGATTGATTGCTTTCGAGTGGGCGAGCTACTGCGTCTGTCAAAGTGACCATTTATAGGGTGTGACGATATGTAATCATACCCTTCGTCATCAATCTGTTGTTGTTCCATTGAGTCAATCAACTTCACTTCATTGATGAATGGAAGTTCATCAGATGGTAAAGATGGTAAGTTTTTGACAGAAGAGCTGGCTGTTTGCACTGAGTCAAACCGTGGCCTTCTGGTTGTATGTACAGGATAAGGCGGTGAGGCCAGTTTGCGTCTGTTTTTGAGCGACTGTATCGGTTCAGTGTTGATTCTATTCAATGCTGGTACATTTTTCAAAGAGGTGTCAGAAGTAGCAGGACCTGTTGCAAAATCAGGAGTACTGTTGTTCGCCAATGTATAATTTTGCTTTAGTTGGCGATTCAAGTTAAGCTTTTCAGTTGATGGGTTGGATGAGTCAATGCCTCTTTCAAACCTGTATGGTGTAACTCTAATATTTGACATGCGACGTTTAGTTTCTGGTGGTTGTTCACCACTGCTAAAAGTAGGTGTTAGCGATTCCCTCGACTTACGTCGGCCATCGTCTCCAGTGTAATGTTGTATGATATCACTAACATCGTCTCTTTTTTTCAATCCATCTAAAGGAGTCTCTTGTGATTGTTGTTGTATCTCCTGCAAATACGTTTTAAGCAGATTGATTAGCTTCACATCATCCTGTTTAATTAGCCCCATATAAAGTGCGGCAACGAGACCAGCTAAGACTATGAGTCCTAATGCAATCACGCAGACAATTAAGCCAACCGTGAAGCGAGTCAACAGATCTCTGAATGCAGCAGCAACTGCCGTCAATATCACTCCTAATGAAAAGCTAGGCACGTGGAATAGTTTAAAGTCTTGTTGTTGATTCTGTTTCAATTGGGCCATAATATTGGGAAATAATGACAGCCGCTGAGTGATTGTGGATCCTATGCTAGTATCTGAGCTAGATATTGGTGAATTCGTGGGAATTGTGGTAGGCACTGAATTTGATCTTGCTTTGCTGGTGTAAGAATGCGGCTTTGGTATTTTTTCGGTTTGTTTACCCTCACTTGAATTATTACCCGATTGGGAATTGATCTCATTAGATGATTTCGATCTCGGTCTGATGATCTGTGATTGTAGATTGGCCAAATCAGCATCACCTTCAATAGTATAAGAGCAATCCATTAGTTCATTGAGGTAATTGTCTACCCTGCCCTTCTTCAGTAGGTAATCGTCACTAGTGATTGATAAATTGCTATTATTACTACTGCAGTCATCCACTTTTTTCAATCTAAATACACCATCAGAGTCTTGTTTGTACACTAACTTTTTCTTCTTTCTAGTAGTAGTTGAAGTAGCCATTGGTTAGTAAAAAGAACTGTTTTTTCTTTAATTGGTTTCTGATAAATAGATTGGTGGAAATTTTTCAATCTTAAATACAAAAACCGTTTTCATAGGAGATTAATAGTAAATGTGCACCTGATGTCGTGATTACATTGTTGATCCTTTTACACAAAAACTCACAACCAAATAATTTCTTGTGATAAATAAAACCTATCAATTCCAAACTGAATTGCATAGCCTATATAGTTTAAAACACTTTGTATTTTTCACGTCCTTTTGATAAATTCAAGATGTAAACTAATCAGCTCAATTGCAAGTCCAAAACTGTAAACTGGTTTCTGGAAATATCAAATGATGATTACTCAATCTTTAACATATACAAACTATGAACTGTTCGTTAACGATCCCAGATGGCCCCTACCTTTGACTCATTCCCATTGGTCGAATGCCAACAATAGATTAGACGCAACAATAATACAATTACAAATACAACACTGAAAAAAAGAATGTGTGAGAGTTTATTGTTATTATGTATCTAATTTTCAAGATTAATGTTAACCCTTACCCTTTACTATTGTCTATTGATCAAAGAGGCTGTGGTATCTCGGTGGGGTTATCTTTTGCTGGTCGGTACCTCTATGGTGACTCACAAAAGCAGCTCAAGACGTTTGCAGCATTTTGATGCTCTTCTCTTTTTTTGGTCTCGATATTTCCTAAAGCGGCTAAAATTAAGTTTATCTAAGCATAACAAACAAAGATAAACGTGGAATCAAGCCACCCTTCTTCCCACTTTCTCTGCCACCACAGTTACACTTTAAGCTTAAATTAAATTAGTATTAAAAAATACACAAACCTTTTCTTGTTATAAATTTCAAAATATAATACAGTAATAACACATATAAATCTACAAAGTGAAAAAAAAAATATCCCTTCAACTGTTCATCTAGTAGTCAGTCCAAAAAGTCTATTCTCTAACAAAACAAAAACAACAGAATCCTCCTCTAGATAGTATACCTGCCTCTCAATCTTCTTGCTAATTGCATGTCCTTCTGCATAATAGTGACTCGTTTAGCATGAATGGCACATAAATTTGTATCCTCCAAAAGATGAACCAAATAAGTTTCCAGGGCTTCTTGTAATGCCAAGATTGCATTCAGTTGCCATCTCAATCCATATTCAGGACCAACGAAATCTAGCGAAATCTCTTTGATCAATCTAGCAAAGGGGAGTTTACGAATTAATAAATCTGTTGATTTTTGGAAATGACGTATTTCTCGAAGGGCCAAAGTGCCTGGTCTATATCTCTTTTTCACGCGTGGTGCTGTTCTTGTGCGAATTGTTGTTGCGGTTCCTTGTTGTCGAGCTGCTGTGGATGCTGTGCCTGATGGTTGACGGGGCCGTTGTCGTAAATTAGATGAAGTCGATGGCTGTTGCTGTGGTCGTCTGGATGAAGAAGAGGCTGTTGTTGTAGATGCCCCTGGTAACGTCTTGCGGCCAGTTGTACCTCGTGATGCTGCTGCATGTGGCACTCTTCTTGGTTCTCCTGCTGGTGATCCAGCGTTAGTTGTGGTGAATGAAAGTTGTTGTCTTGATGGTGGTGGAGGTAGTTGCGCACTAGGTTCAGCAATAGGTGGTGGTGGCGATGGTGGAGGCAAGTTTGATCCGCCACCCCCTCCTCCAGAGCCAGCAGCTGCTGAAACTGGTGGTGATTGTTCTGATCTTACGTCGCGCCTTATAAAAGTTGATGCTGACCTAGTGATATCTCCAGGACGCTCTTCAAAACGACTTGTCCTCCGTATTGAAGTCAATGACTCTGCTATGTCAGCACCTGGTCTTGGTGAAGGTCTCACAAATCCACCAGTAGCAGGGCTCGGTACCAATCCTTCACCTCCTCTTGTTATTCTTTGTATATTACTCTCTGGCTGTGCTTGGCCCCCCTGTTGATGTTGTTGTTGGTCTCTTCTTGTTCGAGCAAATGGTGATTGGAAAGGCGACCTCATTTGTCCTGTTGCTGTTGCGGCTTCTGCTTGTGGTCTTCGAACAAATGGCGATTGTGCTGGTGATCCTGCTGTAGACGATGCTGCTGTACCTTGCTGTTGCAGAGCTCGCTGCTGTGCCCTTAGTTGTTGCTGACGTCTTAATTCTTGTCTTTGTCTCCTTAGTTCCTGTAGTTGTCGTTCTTGGGGTGTCATTTCACCTTCTCTTGCGGCATTGTTACCGCCCGCATTTGTAGTGCTTGGATTTGTGGCATTTGTTGATTGATCAGCCATAATTTATCAATGTTTGCATATGTATGAGTGTCAATTTGGTTGAGGTTGAGGTTGAAAGCGTACGGTTGACTTTGAATATTGTATAAGTTACAGCTAGAGATCAATTGACGGCTGTAGTTGTAGTTGTTATTGTAATTTAGCTCTATACCTGTGAATCAAAGTGTGTTGTCTATGATTTGAATTAAAAAAAAAATAAAAAACTTGTATAAAAAACTTTGTATTAAAAAATTGAGATGAAAGACAGAGTACGATTTCCCCAAAGTAGTTAAATTATTTTTCTTTCGGTTTTTTTTTCAATGCGCGTTAATTGATAAACTACCAGCCATCTTTTTTAAAAAATTTCTAATTACTTTGATTGAAATATCTGCAAAAAAGTTGAGGTTGATAGAAATGCAAAACTACAATAAGGCCCTCGAGGGGGGTGTTGCAACTAGGTTGATGAATTTGTTGTCGTGGTCAAGGATTCAACCAATAGGTCTGTAGTTGATTCCCCTTATTATTGTCGAAAATTGCAAAAACCACCACTAAAAAGTAAAGCATGTTGTTACTGGAACAAATAGATTTATAGTGTTTTGTTGGTTTAACTTGATGCTGAAATACCTCCATAGTTGTTTATATCTCTTCAATGGTGTCTTATCTTCAGGGTACTTAATAGGTAATGAACCCGCCAACTCGACTCTTCTAAGTGCAAAACACGACACGACACTTCAATTTAGACGACAGTAAAAGTTATATTATATAATATATTATGTAATGATTAGCAATTACCTAATTAGTAAATGAAGTACCCAGAATAGGAAAAAAATAAACATACTACATAAGCTTATATGCAGTACCACACATCCTAAAAAGAACAAATTTTTGTTCTAAATGACACAAGCATCTAATCTATTTCATTGTGATGGTAAAGTTGTCATGACGTAAAGGAGTATATGGTGTGGCATAACGCTTTGGTGTCTGTCACTAGACTTATATAAAGACCGTTCTAATGAGTGAGAGGGTAGGAAGAGGGAAAGAGTCTTCTTCTCTGGTTAGTCCAGTTGTTGATATATGCAAAAGCCGCACCTTTTGTCTATATGCAATTATTCGACCAAACTTTGTTTCACAGATTGCGCATTTCGTACGCTTTGCAATCTCATTGAACGGTGTTTTTTTTTGAGTTGTCTGTCCAAGAACTAAGTAGTAAATGTATCTCTCTACCTATACTGAGCTCCAAGTAAACTCTCGAGTACAATATCTGCAGCAGACCATTGAAATGACCTTATAATAGTTTCTATCAACTGTTTCAATGTTTGGTTAAAATGTTAAAAGTTAACTTGGTTTTGTGTATTTATTAAATTGCTATTTTGATGTTTGCTATTGCAATTGAAATTGAATTGTTGAAGAAGAGACATGGAGCTAGACATCACATAGCTTGACTTTTACACAACAGTACTTGAAGGTACTTTTCTACAGTCTATAACAATCTTGTTGCTCAAACAAGGGTATAAACCAAATGAAGAAGTAATAATTGCAGAGCAATATATAGACCTCTCTAAACTCCTTCATAAAAAGTTAACTTTGTGTTAGTTTGTACACTTCCTCTTCCTCCTTTTAAACCCCCATTGTTCTCTCTGGTTCTTCTTATATACTTCTATCATCATTAAAAGTGTGTATACATTGTGTATTGTGTGTATGTGAGTATTTCCCATCAACAAAAACAAAAACCTGACTTTTGTTTTTTCTGCTTCGTCTTTTTTTTAAATGACTTTTCTTTCGACACTAAATAAATCCATCAATTTTAAACCACAACTCTAGTTCTTTCGTTACAGACACACATCATCACATCACCCCCATCCACCTCATATTCATTGTAACCAATTGTGTCACCAACAACTTATTTCAATTTAAAACACACACACACATACACAAGCATCATCACCTAGTTGGAAATTAACAGTTGTCAATCACTCAATTAATCACTTCCTCCAAGATAATAAAAAAAAGCAACAGTAGAAAATGTCTCACTCAGTTTACCAAACTTCAGGTAAACCATTGTCCAAAGAGGCATTGTATCACCAAAGATTGAAGCAAGGTGTCTTTCAATCTCCTAGTGGAACCATTGTTGGAGTAAACAGCAATGCTTCAGATACTGCTGCCTTGTTAGCTGCTTCATCTGATTTGACGGTCAAGCCATCATATGAACGTACAGTTGCACCTGAAGCACAAACAGCTGCTTTAGTTGCTAAACCACACGAAGTTAACATCTGGAAGAGACACAAGGAAGATGCTGATGCCGCTGATGCCGCCTTATCAAGCCACTCAAAGTCAGACTCCTTGACTAGTCAATCAAGCCAACAGCCAAACACTATTGTCAGAGTCGGTATTCCTTCAGCATTGAATAAGAGCTCTATTTACAAGGTTGCCCAGGAAAAATCTACTAGTACCATGACTTCAAGAATTGACCCCATTAGAGACGTTTCAAGATCCGGTATTCAGTCCAAATATGGCGCACAATCTTTGAATATTGGCAAGATTAATCAAGTAGCAACAAAAAAGTCTGGCAGTACATTAAATTCGAGATTCAATCCTGAATTGGATTACAGATCTGGTTTGAAAAAGGACAAGCCAACAGAGTATTTGAACCAAGAAGAAGAAGATTTGGCTGCTTCAGGTGCAAATGCTTCTTTGTACCACACCCCTTCAGTTCCTGATTATGCTTCTCAAACTAGGTCAAGCACTTTTAAAGCTCACGAAATTGTCAATTCCACGTTGTTAGCAGCCGCTGCTGCCAAGGCCAATGATCGTTTGAGCACTTTGAATGCCAACACTCCACAAACATTAAAGGCACAAGCTCAATTATACGCTAATGCTTTAGCTGTTGCACAAAAGAATAGCGACGAAAGAGCTAAAAACAGAGTTGCTGGTGTTATCAACTTAGGTGGTGGCTTAACAATCACCCAGGCCGAATTGAACCAATTGGCATCTACTTATGTTCAGCCAGTTATTGATGACATCGAGCAAAAAGCTGATTCAAAGAGGGAAATTGAGTTGTCCAAAAAGCAGAGAAAGTTGGAATTGAAAGCAGCTCATGAAAAGGCTAAACAAGAGGAGCAAGCAGCCAAGGCTAAGGAAAAACAAGATATTGAAAATGCCAAACGCGAAAGAATTGCTGCTAATGAAAAGTCAAAGAAGTCTGAAGATGAGAAATTGAAAGAGCATGAAAAGACTAGAAATGAAGAAGTTGATGGTAAACAAAAGGAGTATGAAGAAGTGGAGAAAACACATGCCGAAGAGAAAGAACAGCTTCTTGCCGAGAAGAAGGAAAAACAAGATGAAATTGATGCTGAAGAAGCTGCCAAGAATGAAGAAAGACAGAAGGAGTTGGACGATTTGCAAGCAGAAAAGGATGAGGTAGCCCAACCTTTGTTGGATGAATTGGAGGAGGAAAACAGCAAATTGAAGGAAATCACTGATGAAAGAGATGGGTTGTCTGAAGAGGTTAATGGAATCGAAGAGCAAAAGAATGAACGTGAACAAGAAGTTGAAGACTTAAACAACGAACTCGAAGAGACTCAATTAGCTATTGATAAGTTGGTTGAAGAGTTGCGTCAAGCTTCAGAAAAACATGATACCACTGATAAGGAATTGGCTGATCTCAAAACTAAGGAGACCCAAGCCAAGGAAGAACATGCAACCGAGACCTCGAGATTGGATGGTGAAATTGCTGATTTGCAAAAGGAAAAGGAAGACAAGACTGAAGAAAAGGCCAATAAAAAGAAGGATATTTTGGGTGCTATTGATGAAAAAGTCAAGTTTGAAAAGAGGCTTAACGATGAGTTACCTCCACATTTGAAACGTGATATTGACGAGGATAAACTTAGAGATACTGGCTCATTGTTTGCTGAAGATGAGAAGCCAAAGCCCAAAGCAGTAACTTCAGAAGCTAAAGAAACTAAACCAGTAGGATCTGAGGTTAAAGAGTCCAAACCTGCAGAATCATCAAAACCATCAACTAGCAAAGCCACCGATGGTGAAATCAAATCAGTTCCTTTAATTGCAGTTGCTGACAAGGCCGATACTGCTAAGGCTACTGAATCAGAAAAGCCAAAGAAGGAAGCTACTACTGCGGCTGCTACTGCTACTGCTACTGTTGCTGCAGCTGCTCCAAAGACTGAAAAGAAGGATACAGCAAAGAAAGAGCCAGCAACTACTGCTAGTAAAGCTGGTACCTCAAGTACTACAAAGCCTGCAGCAAAGAAGCCAACATCTGATTCAACGCCTGCTAAGAAAGAAAAGAGTTCATTTTCAAGAAGATTGAGCAATTTCTTCAAGGATCAATCTAAGATACCTGCACCTGCTAAATCTACCTCGACAAAGTCCACTCCAGCTAAGTCCACCCCAGCTAAGTCCACTCCAGCTAAGTCCACTACTGATAAGTCCACTACTGCCTCCAAAGATGAGACCAAACCCAAAACTACAACCACTGAGCCAAAACCCGCTAGCACCACTACTGCCCCAACAACCAAGCAACCAGCAGCTAAAGATGCAGAAAAGGAAGCCAAGTCATTAGATCCAAAGCCAAAGCGTGCCAACACTGCCGAGACTAAAGATTCAGAAGATGGGGATTATGGTGATTACGACGATGTAGATGATGAACTTTCATTGAATAAGAAACAAAACCAAGGTGGAGTATTCAAAGAAGAGCTTTTGTAAAGGAGGCAAGAAATGAAATTGGAAGTGAAATTCAAAACCAAAGTCGAAGTCAAAGTCGTTTGTTGTTTTAATGTTGCAAAACTTTAGTTAATTAATTAAATAATTCATTTGAATTTTGTTATGTTTTTTTCAGAAGAGTTGTTGTTTGTAACTTTGTAATTTTGTTGTTTGTTTGTTTGTTTGTTTGTTTGTTTGTTTTATATAATCATACGTATTAATCGAAATACTTAGCATATATATGTAATGGAAGAGGATGGTGTGTAGTAAAGTTCGTTGGTGATGAGAGATGACTGATGAAGAAGAAACGAAAAAAAATAAAAAATATAAAAATAACGAAGCTCAAAATAAAAATTCAAACTAACAAGGCATTGAAACCGCTTTTACGTCGTGTGCAATTATGACAGACTTACTCCATAAACTAAATTTCAAAATAGCAGATGCATCACCCGAATACAAAACAAGACGCAAATACCAAATGGTTCGATTCTTTACATTTTCTGCCTTGTCAATATTCACATTACGATTAATCCACAAACAAACAATTGTTCGGCAATACATCCCCACCTTGTTCCAACAAAACCATCAGCCACCTACATCATACAACTTCACCACTGACGCCGCCGTCGCTGTCGGAGCAGGCACGTTGGCATGTGGATCAATCCTGGGGATGATTATAACGGGTACGGCATGGATTTTGGATGTCAGTAATTTCAAGGAATTTGGGTATAGGATGAAGGGTTTGATGGGTGGATACGAGAAGGAGAAGGCGTTGAGTGAGATGGAGGTTGATGAGGAGACGAGGATGTTGCAGGATGGATTGAATGATTTGCTTGATGGGAAATACGATGAGAATACTAGTGAGATGAAATGAGAACATTAGATTAGATAGAGGTTGGTATGGAATGCGTTGTTGTAAATAGTTGGAATCTGTTTGTAGAGTACTGGTAGTGGTGTTGATGTAAATATAGATAGACAGTTTATTGTTGACTGATTGTGGTTGTCCCATTACCGAGGATGTAGCGCTACCGTCCATATTTTGCATTCCTCCGTGCCAACGATACTTTTCTACTACAATCTTGTGAAGCAATATACAGCCTCGGGGTAAGTCCAGTCTGCCTTAATAGTAGAAATTCAGTTCGCTACACTCTTCTAGAGACCAACCACCTGTGTAAATGCTGTATGGTTTAATAATACCCTTCTGGAGATACTGTGAAATCAATAGTAAAGAACAAAGTGACCACCTAGTTTTATCAAACTTTAGACTATTCTATCTGATTTGACATTCCCATTAGTGTTTATTATTATATGAAAGCTATAGATTAATCATCACAAGATAATAAGCCTTTAGTCAACAAATATATACCACTTTTTTGATGGCAAAAAAATAAAAATATCCCCTGCGGTTAAAGTGTAAAAAATTCCCCCACATAAAAACTAAAAAGCAATCAGTGAGTGTTGTGTTTTATATCCGCACCGTAAAAGACAAAAAATCATTCGACACAAGTTTTATCAAAGATAGAGTAACATACACTCTCTCTACTTTCTTTTCTTTCCATTTCATTTCACTTTCTTATAAAAAACTTTACTAGTGCTATTCCAAGGCTATTGATATATCTATATCCCCCCAGGCTGAAATAGAGAACCCCTTGTTTTTATTTCTATTTTTTCCTTATCAAAATTTGAATAATTTCACGTGCAGAATACACCTTTAAGAATGGCTAGATATTCCAAATCAAACAAACCAAAAGGGTTAAAGCAGCAGGTTGTGTTACCAACTTATCAACTAGACTCAAACTTGGTTTTACTCCCAGGTATCATTTACAACGTTACATTTTCCCGTTTCAAAGCTGCTGCGTTATTGTACAGATTCAAAAATGTTGTGTCACGAGTTTCCATTATCAACAATTTGTTAGCAGAATACAACTTTGATGTCAACGACAACAACAAAACCACAAACAGTGCTGCGGATGGTGACTCACCTAACCCAAGTGTTATTTCACAGGATGCAGTTGATGGTATTTCCCAATTTTACACTTTGGAAAGTTCCATCAATGAAGGCAAGGAGGATGAATCTTCAGGGCCTATTAACGACTTTGATTGGTTGACGTTGGCTATATCGCCCAATTTAGACAAGATATTGGAATCCAGAAACAAAGATGTCGACAATTACGCCAAAGTTGTGACGGTAGTTCGGGTTGTTGGCATTGTTGATGATTCAACAAATATAAAGTTGACTTTGCAAGCTCTCACCCGGGGAGTTAAAGTTGCGGAACCTCGTACCAAAACACGTCCGAATGAGGCTAATGTTACTGTTGATTGGAGCACGGAAGTCTCGGATATAAATAATAGGTTCAAGACATTGAGATCAAACTACAAGAAGCTATTCAATTCGATTGAAAAGTTTCTCATAATGTATCGTGAAGCTTTGAAAAATAATGCAAGCATGGGAAGCAACAATCTCTCGTTGACCAAGGACAATTTGAATGATGACAAGAAGCAAGGGGATAAGGATCCGATTAAACAAGATTTGTTAACATTGAATCCCTTGGCTACTGCTTTGTATATGCAGTTGGCGGGCTCGAAGGACTTTAGCAAAGCATTCCTGAGCTTACAGAGATTGTATTCCCAGATTCGCACCACTTCTTCTTCATCTGAGGATGCAAAAGTTGATGCCCAGACGTATTTGAGGTTAATCGATTTAACGTCGGCGATTTTACCATTCCCCAATTATGAAAAGTTGAAGATGTTGAACAGGTACAAAATAGACGACAGATCAGATGCAATCAATGAAATGATTTTGTTGTTGAATGATGTTTTTGAAGCGTTGAAGCAAAACAACTCATTTGCCAATAACTGGTTCCATAATGAGGCATCGAACGTTCAACGTGCAACTGTTGTATCCAACCAGCTCAAGTCAATTCGAGTGTTGCTAGAAGGAATGAGCAAAAGAAATAGAGCGGCTCAAAAACAATCGCAATCAAATCAACAATCGAGACCTCCTAATGCTCCCAACTCTAGACAGTCTCGAGCAAATGGAGGGCCAAGTAATGGTGGCGATGATTTTGAAGAAGGCGATGATGATGAAGACGAGTTGCGAGCAATTACTGATTTCATCAAGAATAAATTGCCAACAATCACCTCTTTATCACCCGACTCCAAGAGGCTAATCTTTAAAGACTTTAAAAGAATCAAATCAGCAGCAAATTCTCCAGGAGGTGGTGGAAATGCAGATTTCCATGTCATTCGAAACTATTTGGAAATTGTGATGGATATACCATGGGATAAGTATGTTAGTAAATTTAAAACCAACAGGGAAATCGATTTGAAAGCTGCCAAGGCTCAATTAGACAAAGACCATTACGGTTTGGAGCATGTCAAGAGAAGACTTATCCAATATTTGGTGGTGTTGAAATTGTTGGGTATCAATGCTGCCAAGACTATTGATGGGGAAAAGGGCAAGGTGCCTGAAAAGAATGTCAATAATCAAAAGGACTCCACTACGAGTGAGCAAAATGGTATCCTTATTGCCAATGGAGATGAGACGTACCGTGCAAAACAAAAGGCACAAGACCAAGTTGACAAGTCGATGGAAGACTCTAGACATGAAGAGGGTGCTCTCGAGGCAATTAGAGTTACCAAAAGTAACAAGTCGCCCATCATTGCTCTTGCAGGACCACCAGGAATTGGAAAAACTTCTATTGCTAAATCCATTGCCACTTCCTTGGGAAGAAATTTCCAAAGGTTGTCATTGGGAGGTATTAAAGACGAGAGTGAAATTAGAGGCCACAGAAGAACTTATGTTGGTGCAATGCCAGGTCTCATTATCCAAGCTTTGCGTAAAGCGGGCTGTATGAATCCGGTTATCTTGTTGGATGAAATCGATAAGGTCGTTGGTGGCAATTCAGGTGCGACAAAGTATAATGGTGATCCATCGGCGGCACTATTGGAAGTGTTGGATCCCGAGCAAAACAGCACATTTATTGACCATTATTTGGGATTCCCCGTTGATTTATCACAAGTCATTTTCATCTGTACTGCTAATGATCCGTATAATATGACAAGACCACTTTTGGATAGATTGGAATTGATTGAAATGGGCGCTTACGACTATAATGAAAAGATGATTATTGGACAAAGATACCTCTTACCAAGACAAGTGAAGCGCAATGGGTTCCCCGTATCGAGCGAACGCAAAGTTGAAGAGTTTGTTAATATTGACAAGGCAGCATTGAAGAAGATCATTATTGATTATACAAGAGAAGCAGGTGTAAGAAACTTTGAGAGGAAATTGGGTACTTTATGCCGATTTAAAGCGGTTGAATATTGCGAGCAGTTGAATGATGCACCAAAACGTTACAATCCTCATATTGATGAGAACGATTTGTCAATCTATCTTGGTGTTCCATTTGCTAGTGGTGATTTCACTGCTAATGAAAGTACATCCATTGGTAACTCGAGAATTGGAGTTGTCAATGGCTTATCATACAACTCTGAAGGTTCGGGTTCTGTTTTAGTCTTTGAAAGTATTGGATTTGATAGACGAACCGGCAATGATGGCAATGCGTCATCTGGTTCAGGTGCTACATTACACATGACGGGTCGATTAGGTGAAGTGTTGATGGAAAGTGGTAAAATTGGATTAACGTTCATCAAGCTGATGATTTACAAGAGTTTACTCAAGTATGAAGAAGAACCAGGGAAGCAAAATACATCGGCATTACTCAACAAATTCAACAATTTGGACATTCACATGCATGTGCCCATGGGAGGAATCCCCAAAGATGGACCATCAGCAGGTGTTACAATGGCATTGCTGTTTTTATCAGTCTTGTTGGATAAGCCAGTACCTACTGATATTGCCATGACGGGGGAAATCACATTACGCGGATTAGTTTTACCTATTGGAGGAGTTAAAGAAAAATTACTTGGTGCTCATTTAAGTCATGGAATTAAACGTATGATTGTGCCTAGAGAAAATCGTAAGGATTTAATTGAAGAATATTCAAAGAGTATATTGGAAGAAAAACAACATGGGAAAACCAATGGATCATCGAAACAACAACACGCTGGTGGTGGTGATGGTAACGATGATTTGAATTTCCTTAATGAGTTGTTGAAAGACAATGAGGAGGTCGATTTCAAGATGGACAATAGTGAACAATTTTATTTGAAAAAGTATGGTATTCAATTGAATTATGCTCGAGAATTTTACGATGTTGTTAAAATCGTTTGGAATGAAGATGATATTCTTTTGAAAGAGGAGTCTAATCAAAAAAGACTACTTGAATATCGTATTTGATTTATATGTATATAAAAGAAGATAATAAATGTTGACATTGTAATTGTACTTCTCTACATCAAACTCTGGCTATCGTCTTCTTTTACCTCCTCCTCCTCCTCCTCCTCCTCCGTTACCTTCATCAGAACCAATGGCTCTCTTTTTACCTTCCTTGGCAAAATATTCCTTCTTGCGTTCTTTTTCCTTCTCTTTTCTCATTTCTTCACTCTTGACAATTTTCTTCAACTTTTCCTTGAACTTTTCATCTTTTTTACTCCTTCGTTTGACATCCTTTTCTTTACGAATAGTGGCAATCTTTTGCATCAAATCGCGCGCTTTCTTTTCCTCGCCACCCAATACAACAGCCCGCTTATTCATATAGGTTTGTTTCTTTTGTGGCTTCATTTGATGGATTTGCGACTTGAATGGTAAATCAGTTTGGATCGATTTAGGTACGCGCAATGGATTAAATCTTCGTTCAACTCGTTCAATTTTCTTGTATTGCGAATCATCTTGTAATGGAGTGGCAATTTCATTATCAGCACGAACTTGTCCCGTTAATCTCATACCTTTCCATTCAGAATGATGGTTCAACAAAAGGGAGGTGACTGGATTGTAGAATTTCTTAATCTTGATGGGATACCAAGTCTTGAGGAAAATCGTATCGGACATCAATATCTTGTCTTCAAAAGTCGCTCTGAAATACCCATCGGGTTTAGATAATGCTCGTTTAATCTCTCCTCGAATACCACTAACGGTTCTAATTTGCGCTCCTTCGAATTTAGCAACTTCCAAACCATTAGAAAACATGTCCTTGATGAAAGCCGTGTTGCGGTATATTTTGTATGGATGACCCACCAACTTCAATTTCTTGACAATTTCAACCGACGAATTGACATCTTCAACGATTCCCGTTGCTGCTACTCGAAATGCTCCCGTAGTTGATTTACTGTCAACAATGTTGAACCCGACAAACGTTGTATTGGGAGCAACTAATGGCCCATAAAAGGATGCAAAACAATAAGCATGTTCCGGAGTATATTTCAACATTCTATTCCTAGTTCTCGAATCAGACGTGGTGTATATGGGCAATGTTTGGAATCGACGCCAACCTAAAGATAAAATCAATGGATCTTGCGATTTCAAAATCTTCTTGTGCCATCTATGCCTTCTGATTCTCGAGTTCATGATACCGAATCTCATTTCAGTAGCCAATAACCCTCCAAGAACCAAGGGGTATTCTGGGGTGAAATTCTCAACAAACTCGCACGGCAATGAATTAAATACAATCTTGACATAGGACCCAGCACGGTACCCTTCAATCTTGATACGTTGTTGTTGATCCATTTCTTCATATTGGGCCTTGTTGATTTCCAATTGTTTAGCCATTTTGTTCTTTTGAAATTCATACCACGTCTCAGCTTCGGTGTCACCTTCCGGATCATCAGCACCAAATTCACGATCCTCTTCTTCTTCAAACTGGGTTTTTAATTTGGCCTTTTTGGCAGCATTGAGTTGACGTTTTTGTTCAACTGTTAGATTCTCGTCCTTATCAAGGGCATCATCTTCTCCCTCGGCTTCTTCTTCAGCGTCAAAATCAGCGAAGTCATCACCTTCATCTTCGTCGTCGTCATCGTCATTGTCGTCATAGCCATTGTCACCATCGTTAGCCCTTGCTTTACCGTTCGAAGCTTTTTGGGTACCTTCTTCATCTTCCAAATCTTCAAAGTCACCGTACAATTCTTCATCTTCATCACCACTACCTGCTTCACCATTCTTTTCCTCGTCTTCATCGTCATCATTCAACTTTGGTGCAGTCAATAATCTCTTCTTCAAAATAGAATATCCATTCTCATACTCCACATCGCTATCGTCATTTGAGGACGTAAATCTTTTCTTTAATTCTTCCACTGGAGGAAATTTTGGCTTTGAGTTATCCAAATCATCACTCAGTTGCTTTACATCCTTCTTTTTAAAGAAATTTCCATCATCATCGTCATCCTGTTCAATGTCTTCTTCTTCTTCGTCTTCATCGTCGTCGTCAGCTTCACCCATCCACCTCTTTATGGCATCGGCAGGATCAATATTTGTCATGTAAATCAATTTGTTGATGTCCCATTTCCTCTTACTCGATCCTTTCAATCTTGATGCTGCTGATCTGTAGGAATCTTCCTCTTCATCAGATGAAAGTGCCGAATCTTCAACGTACTCCAATTCTTTATCATTGTATTTGTCGCTATTGAAATCAACCTCAACCAATCGAGGCTCTCTTTCACTGTTATATTCTTCTTCTTCTTCATCATCAGACTTAGCATTGTCAAATTCATCATCCTCAGAAATCGATTTTCCATACACTCTTGCTTTCCTCATTGACGTCCTACCTGTATCCACAACAGTCTCCTCGTCATCTTCATCGTCCACGTCAGATAAAAGCCCATGCGCTTCATCTTCTCCACTACCATCACTATCTTGTGATACTTCATTTCTCAATGCACTTGAATTTGAAAACAATTGCAATCCCGGGCCTTCTTCAAATCGTTCCGACATGGTTTTAGCAACATCTTGTAAATTCGTAACCATGCTTTCGCCTTCTCCTCTAACTTCACCATCTTCAGCATTAGCATTAAAACTTTCCTTATCACCAACATCAATATAGACTGCATCCTTATCAACAAGAACCCCGCCGACATCGGACATTGGCGCATATATGATCTTTTGCTTATCTTCCAATCTTTTTCTTCTCCTAGTTGTTGTTTTGGCTAATGGTTCACCCAGTTCAGCTGCCGCCTTGATTCTTTCTCTCTCCAATTCTTCCAAGCGTTGTTCAAAATAAGGCGTGGGACAAGGATCAGGTAATTTCTCCACTGACGATACGGTATAATCACCAACACCAGCAATATGAATATTGGCATCTTTATAGGATAATGGAGTACCATGAAGATATCCATAAACAGCCACTTTTCGATCGCATTTCGGGTTTTCGGCAATCAATTGTGGATGAGTTAAATCAGTAATTCGATCACCTAGCAAGTAAGGATGCTCGTTTCTCCATTTCAAAGGTCTGAACTTCATAACCGATATGAATCTACTCAAATTTAAAATCTCTCGATCAGGATAACGACCATTGATGACTCCTGAAAGGTAGAATAACTTGGCACCTTGATAAACTTCAGTCCAGAACCGGTGTTTCAATCTCTTTTTCGATGTTCTTAACGTTGATTGAGATTTGAAAAGATCTAAATGAGTGGCTACTCCTAGTACTCTAGGCATACCGTGGTGTTGAGCAATATTTAGAAACTCCATAGTTTCCATTTCCAATCCATAGTTCCCGTCAATTAAAAGAAGTACTAAATCAGCAATCTTGGCCACATCAATCATTGAATTCAAGTCGTTATTCACCTCAATAAAAGTTAATCGTCTTCGTTTCCCACTAACCACAGTAATGGGACCTTTGATTTCCGTCAAGGTGGTTTTAGTCAATCGTCTAATTAATGATTTAATCAATGTAGATTTCCCAGTACCCGGTGGTCCAACAACGGCAACTATAACTGGTGGTGGATCATCGTCTGGGGTCCTATCAACCATGGGCACATGTAGTTTACGTTCATTGACATCATGCGATCTTCTTGCCATCCGTTCCAACTTTCGAGGTGCTGCTACTGCAAATGCCTTTTTGTTCTGACCATTTTGATGTAGTTTCTTTTTGGCTCCTGTTTTCTTGGTGGCCCCTCTATGGGCCTTATTGGATTGTTGATCCATAGTACAGGAGAATAAACGTCAGTTCAGTAGTTGTTGAAATAAAAGAAAGGTGTGATAGGAGAGTGACTTTACTTCTTTGAAGATTTTTTTGTCTGTGGTAAAAGTCCTCCTCATCGCTGCTACTTTTTTTCTATTCCACCTTTTTTGTGTCACATTTATCACCTCCAAGTTTTTGCAACATTACAAAAAAAATATAAATTAAAATCAATCAACCATTACCAGTCTACTTTATCATGCAAAATGAACCATATTTCAGACTATATTAAGCTAATACTATTACTACTACTCCTACTAATCTTCCCGCACCCTGTACAGGGACTCTGGCTCTTTAATCATCACAAAATATGTAATCCAGCATCGTCACCAAACACACCGTCAATGCCATTCACAGGATTCAAAATCGTACGCCAATATAAAATATCCGGGTACGCTCCCCCCATATCCATGCACTTTCTCACTATAGCTCATTGTAGCCGTGGAAAAGTTGATTATAAAAAAGTGTTGCGGACTCAAACTAGTAACTTTGTTGACTGGGAGGTGCCCTTTTGTTTATTGAAACCAAAACTAAGTGAGCAAGTAGTGGGGATGAATCAAATGCTGATACAGAAGCATAATAGAGATATTAATATGATAACCAACAAGGCATGCTCCAGCAATAATTCATGTTCATTCTCAATGAGGAATTGCGCCTGTTCAAATGTAACGCAACTTGAATCCAATAGTATTACTGAATCATCCTCCTTGAACAATGTATTACACACAATCAAGTATAAAACCAGCAAGATCAAACAGTTGTTACGCAAGAAATTTGATTTAACTATGGAGAAATTAACAAATGGTAATTGGGTTGAATATAGCGGTAAGAATAAAAACATCAAATTTGAACTGCAACAACGTCTGCAACAACACCGGACATCTATGGCAGGCGAGTACAATAAATTCGATGGTGGTAACCAACAACTGCAACAACTGCAACTGCTATCAACTATATCCCTTCACACCGCATTAACTCAAGAAATCAATAATTTAATCTGTTACAAAATGGCACGCCGTAAAAAATACGCTAAACGCAAAATATCCTTCTTCATGCCGCATACATTTGTCGGTGGTTTGTATGAATGTTTGATACCACTAGATCAAAAACATCAAATTCTCGAGTCCTTTTTAAACGAAAGCAGCATCAATAACCTCGGGAGTCCCTCCTCCCCTTCAGCTTCACCATTTTTCATGGTGCTGCAGAACTTCCAAATCAAATGTGATCCCCATTTATCACGGCCGCTAGCACCACTAATCGCCGAAGATTCCACTAAACAATGGTTCGAGAACAAGTTGCACCACGTGTTGAATCCCAAGTTGATCCAGACTATACCTTACTTAACAACGGTACCACCGTCATCATTATCTACGGCAAACATGTTATTTCCTTCATTCAATCTCCTCCGATTCACACCATGGCAACAACAAGAATCATCCCCTGACATGAACCTCCATTCATGGGCCAGCAAGATTGAAGTGAACGAGGAGTATAATTACGACGATGTTGATTTACACGTGGTGAGCAAAATGGTGGCGTACCTGGCCAATCTCCTCAATCAATTGATTGCGCCCTTGGATTTTAATTGGTTGGTGAAGAGTTACAATCGAGCCAATGTAAATGAACGCGATCCTGCATCTGACAGTGCATCATCATCTCCTCTTGAGTATGGTGGTGAGGAGATAATGTTGGGCAATGATGATTCAAATGGGGAAGTTGTCAAGACAGCTGAAGCCAAAGGTGCCAGTGATGGTTTATCATGGGATCAAAAAGTTAGTTTTTGGTTGGCAACTTTAAATGAAAACTACATTAATCGGATCTTGCTAAAAATCGAAGACAAATGGGACAAACTCAACCTTGATTAAAGCTTCTTCGCAGAGACCAGCTAATGCACAGGACTAAACAAGAGTGACTAAAACATATCCTTTACAAGTAGGAACTACGCCTTTTTCTAAAAATCTTAAAATCTTAAAAATCCTTTTTGTACATATATATAAAGAAAACAGGTTATTAAAAACGAAACCTCTTCCTTTATCTTTGCTTTTGTCTAAAGCGTTGAAAAATCTAGTAATACAATAAACAGAAATGTTTTTTGGGTGGCTTAAATCGCAACCCTTTGAGTAAATAATGGACTATCCCATATTCCATCAACAGGATGACGCTTTCCTTCTTCACCCTCGAATCAAAAAAAATAAAGCCATCGAACGTATTCTATGCCATCTGATCTTCTCTCTAAAGAATATTCATGGTATTGGTAGGATTTGATCTGACCAAATTAGAAGTTGTGCTTCCAGTACGTGCATGTCCATTGGCATCCTCATCAGCACCATATTGAGGAGTTGGTCTGTCGAGTTGTTGTTGGTGAGTATTTGTTGTTGAATTTAGCTTCTCGTTTGAAGCATCTTCGTCCTCGTCGTCGTAATGATCATAGTGTAATGTATCACTAATTCTGGTCATGTTACCTTCATCACTGCTACCACTGTTATGCTTGTTTGCGGTGCCCTTTCTCTTTGACAATCTCCTAGCAAATTTATTCTTCCATTCACCAAAAGTTGATGTTGCTCCACCTCCACCTCCAGACCCACCTGTTGCGCCTGTCTTGTCTGTGGTGCCTACCGGTCCTTCAGAGTAAACCGACTCGGATTCAATTATATCATCACTGTTGTTAAACCTGTTATTGTTTGGTCTAATATGATCAGGTGTGGAAGAAGATGCCTCCTCGTCTCTAGATACATCATTCAACTTGTACATCTGTGATTCCCAATCAGCAGAATGATCTTGAGCAGCAATACCCAATGCGGCCAATTCATTGCCTCCAACATTACCATTCTTTTCATCAAGATAAGCTGCTTGACGACCATTCTTGTTCTTGATTGACGACTTTCTTTGGAATGAAAAACGATCATCCTTGGCAGGAGCAAATCTAGCATCGGGGTTCTTACTCATGACTGAAAACAACGAAAGAGCAATAATGAAAATCAACAACACAAACGAAAATGCTGCATTGAGAATGAAAAACACCCATCCCATAATTGAAGCAACTTGTGCTGGTTGGCCAAAAATGTCGGAAAAGAACAAAAACAAAAATGAATTAATGGTGGTAACAATCGCAATCATATAATTCAAAATATTGGTGGGCTTGTTTAAAAATGGTGAAAGCCAAAACAATACAATCGTGTATGCCAAGTCAGCAAGGAAAATAGGCCAAACGGAAACTTTACCACCAACGGACTCTTGACAAAAGGCAATAAATACCCCCTTGAATACATTGTATCCGAGTAAAACAATTCCAAACCAGTATAAATCAGCATGAAACATTGTATAACAGAACCCGTACTTCTCCAACGTCTTTTGTTCACCATATAATAAAGCAGCAGGGTTATTAAACTTGCGACGCGATAATTGTCCAATGCGTAATACATTGTAAAAACTCCAACCAAATACAATAAGCATCAAAAGGAGAAACAATACTGCCAATACAACAACAGCACCAGAATCAACTCTAGTAAACTCCCATAATGAAAAAATCGTCAATTGAGTTGATCCAATCCAAATATATCTCAATAGCGAACCTTTAACCACACTTCCGAAACTACCTCTAAACATGGAAAAGCTGCGAGGATTGAGTTTGCCAGTTCTAGTTAATAAAATGACAATGGATTTGGAAAATACCAATAAAGCCACGAGTAAATATCCAATCAACACAAACCAGGTGTATCCAGTAGGAACAATGGAAGTTGTTTCAATGTGACTGTTATAACCAATTCTTCTAATACCACGTAAAACAATTAAATAGGTATTTGAATGTAATGAATAATCCAATCCTCGTTTGGCGAAATCAACCACTTTTTTACCCAAGTAGAAAGACTCATAGTCTAACGAACGTTTACTCTTTTGCACCAAGATTTGTTCTGTTTCTCCAATAAAATAAGTGGTGGGCGTACCACCAGTCAGTTGAACATACCATCTGAAAATCTGTTGCATAAATTTGATGCGAATCAATCCCATTGACCAAGCAAGATTTTCGGCCCATGAACTAGCAATTGGTGGCACTCTTTCAACTGCTTGCATAGACACCACAACAACACTTTGAAAGTAAAGGAAAAGCGAAACGGCATTAGCAGCAATATGCGATGCGGCATTGGAATTTCCAAATGTTGACAACATGGCGGCAATCAAAAGACCTAAACCGGCAACGACAGCAGTGGCCCATTTAACACCAGTTTGACTAACTGTTTTACCATTGGTGAAACTTGCCTGAAGACATGATACTACGTCACCACTAGACTGATCACGAACAACAACTTTAACCACGGCATCTATATCAGGCACCTGGTAAGCAATACCGGGTATTTCCTTGGTATATGTTGAACTAATATATTGGATTGAATCAACTTTAATTTGTCCTGGATAAAGAGGACAAAATTGTTTCCAACCAATATCACATAAATTGACATCCTTCTCGATAATTAAAAACCCATAAGCATAAACTTGGACATGAGCAAGTACTTTACCACTGATTTCGGTATTTAAATCCAAAGTATATCGTAAAGACCGGTCATCAGGGTCAAAAGTGACATTGAAAGTTTGTGGTGAGATTTGCGAATTATCCATACATGTGACTAATGAAGATGCCGATAATTTTCTTCTAGCATAGGCAGGAGTTATGAATAGACACAACAAGGATGTGAGTAAAATCAGAAACTGTTTATATAGCATTGAGATCTTATGGCAGTGTGTGGGTGTGTGTGTAATATGTTTATTCTCTTGGCTCTTCCCTTAAAAATAATCTGTCAGGGGGTTAAAGCTAAAATTTTTTTTTTAAAAAAAAAAGATTATAATTGTGGATGTTTGTCTAGCGAGTGTAGGCGGTGATGATTTGGTTAGTGTTTGACAAGATTAGGCAGTATATAATCTTGAGTGTAGTGCTAGTGTAGTGTTAGTGTTTTCTTGTGTTGTGGTTTTGATAAAAGATGATGTTGAAAGGGGGGAGAAGAACTGTTTGTGTACAAGTAATCTTAGCTCTAAAAAATGTATTTCTATATCTACCTCTGTAGTCACTTACTCAGTGGAATGGGGTGAATGGAGTGGATGTATGGGTTATATGGTGGTTCGGAGTGTATTCCGTAGTTACTTATGTTGTTGTTGTTGTTGTTGTAGTTATTGGTTGTTATTGGTTGGTTGTAAAAGAAGATTAGATTTGTTGTGAATTTTCAAAATGTGGTGATTTGTTGGTTGTAAAAATCTTTTTTTTTTTTTTCATAAAGGGAGGAGTGTAGTACAGTATAGTATAGTATAGTACAGTGTAGTAGTAGTAGTAGTAGTAGTACAGAGTGTAGTGTAAAGTGAAACGGGAAGGGGACAAAAACAAAAGAAATGCAAGTGAAGTCGTGTGTATTGTGCAAATGTTATGTGTACATGTATTTGTACTGTATATAAGATTAAAATTTTCTATTGTTTAATTGAATGTGTATTATAGCCTCTCTTACTGTTTTGGCAAAGCAAACTAACATAAAGTTATCGAGAAAACAAACAGCGTAGAGACTACTACTTACTATGTAGAATGTTCAATTGCGTTCTAATCAATGGGACCGAATAGAATAGTATATGTGTATGTGTGTATGTATTATGTGTGTATGTATTATGTGTGTGTGTATTTACTAAGTTGTCTAATAATAGCACTCAACACACAAAATCAAAAACATATTATATTATATTCTTAGTAAGATTTTTCTATTTTTCTTTATTTCTGACTGTATTGCTCAAGAGTTTTAGAGACGGAGACACCACTTGTGATATCCTGTAAAATAGTTTACTGCTATAATGCAATTTGTTCTGTATAGTAAATCTGGTGTATATATGATGAGTTTCGGTCTAATCGGAAAGGAAATAATAAAAAAAAAAATAGGCTTTAGTGTAATAAAGTCGTGTATAGTGTACAAACTCCTTATTTTTATTTTATTTTATATTCTTGATATGCAACACACAAACAAATACCCACACGTACTATTATATGGGCAGAGCATTCACACTGCACAATTCTCTCTACAATTGAGAGATTAACCTTCAACAAAGAGATGTATTCTTTGTTATAAGTCAAAACACAATTACAGATAACTGTTTTGTATTTTATTTGCTTATTTGCTTATTTGCTTGTTTGCTTGATGGACAGAAGAGATGCGGTGGTGTGAGGCGCAGTGCCTGTAACTATATAACATACTGATGATAAACTCCAGCTTATTTTGTTGAAGCAAGGTCATTTTGCAGAAGATATTCAGCGGTTATTAAACGGCAGCACCTGCACCTGCACCTGCACCTGCACCTGCACCTGCACCTGCACCTGCACCTGCACTTGCAAATACTAAGAATACTGTGTTACCAGCACAACGCTGGCTGGCATAACAAAATATATGCACCTAGATATGGTATGTGTCACAAGTGCACGACCTCTTTTTTTCTCTTTTTTCGAGGTTTTTCTGATTTTGTGTTGTACACGTTACCTCTACACGCAATTAGTACGCGTGCCACATATGAAAAAAAAAAAAAAAAACATAAACAACAACAACACACAGTTTTATAGAGAAGGAACTAAAAAACAACACAAGAGTATAATTGCACATCCCACAACTCAGATCTCACATCTTACCTCAGATGATGATGTAGTTGTTGTTGTTGTTTGTTGATGGATGCTTTAGATGTGCAACACAATAACTACAACTCTTTTTAGACACACAAATAGGACAGAATGACATTACGTGTTCCTGGTTCTTTTCTCTCTTCCTCCATTCTCTTATTTGTTTCTGCTACTTTGCAACACTTAGATAAACAAAACTCCAAATTATAACTGCCGATGGCATAGCCACACTTCCAAACACATAACACAACATATAACAATTATCTATACAATTGGCTATACATTCAATACATTCAATAGTCCTGTGTGTCGTGTGTACTCGAGAGAGCATTTGATAAACAGCACAAAGAGGACACAAGACTGCATGCGAGCCCAATCGGCAAACGGATTAAACCAAAAAGAGCAGTCGGGGTCAACCTGGTAAGAAAGCTAATCTCCAAAACGTTTCATACTGTGCTGAAGAGTCTTTAAGTCAACCCCTAGACATCAGCTCCACAAGATTCTCTACGCCTGACTTAACCATTACTGATTCTCCAAATGAAAGTGACACATCATTCGACTTGGAAGTTAGTGATTTTGTTGATGATACTGAAGATGTCGATGGACTGGTTGAAATAGCACCTAAGATGCATGATGAGCCTGAAGTTGAAAGTTGAGATGAGAAGCACAAGCAAGAGAAAGAGAAAGAAAAAGAGCCGGCATCAGGTGAGAGTCATAAGTTATTACCTCAAGAAGATGAACTGGAAAGGAAAAAACTTATGGAAAATCAAAGCAGAAGAAGAAAGATTTCGATTGTGTGCTCTAGAGATAAGGGAGCTATTGATTGGAAAGAACAGAGTCCCATTCACAGAACATACAAGAGACTTGCTTAATATGTTCTACGAGAGGTTTAAACGTGAAGTCAATTCCTCTTGAGCAATATGCAAAGTTGACAGCAAAGTGTTGATATATTATGTGAAATTTATAATATTGTACAAAGACTCTAAGTTGTAAGTCTCAATATATATTTTTGTCCACGAGACTGTATAAATCTACTCAGTGTCATACCCCGTACCCAAAAGATCCTTGGTTCTGTTACCACTGTCACTAATGTCTTTTGAATGGTGTTTTGGATGTTGTGCGCAATTTCAACGCTTTTTTTTGCGTGTCGCATTTTATTGTTTATTGTCATTTTTCTTTTCCTTTTTTTTCTCGTGACACAGCAAACACAAACAACTCACAACACTCACAACACTCACAGCATACATAACACACGAGTAAAAAAATTCTCTTTTCAACAAAATATCAAAACATCATCATCATCAGCATCAGCATATCATTAAATCATACACGTACAGACTCACACACAGATATACTGGATCATCTTAGATTGTCATTTTATATAACTACATAAACTACCAGCTTTGTGCAGTATCTTCTCGTCACAACCATTTCCCCCCACATATATGTGCTAGCTTTGATATAAAAAAAAAACCATCTTTTTGAACTAGACAGCACCAACCAATCCTACAACAGTAAAAACTTGGACACAAGCCCCTACAGTTCACACAGATTTTTTTTTAAAAAATAAAAGAATTATAAATCACAACCAATAGAATAGACAGTTCAGAGCTGTATTTCCCTAATGACCAACTTTGTTAAAGATATCGAAGAAATACCGAACTTGAAGCCACCACAAGAGACATTTGTGGATGACCCAACATCATTAAAAGATATTCATTTAGATGAATTAACTTTTGATTTGATGAATGGATTGAAAAACGTCAATAATTTGCACATATTTCATGTCATTTATATCTATGCCCTGTTTATTAAATTTATGATTAAATTACAACAAAATCCCCAACTTTATGACAAATTTAGGCAACAGCAATTGCAAAAATTGGAAGAAAGAGAAGAAGCTGCTATGGCTCGACTCTTGAATAAGAATAAAGCAAGTAATGGAGGTCAGAATGGTTATGCTTCAGCTTCTTGTTCAGTTTCACCACCAATCTCGCATTCAAATTCAACATCTACTACAAATTCATTGGGATCTTCTACTGGTACACTAAGAACAGATGAGCATAGTGATAAAACAGGAACAGCACCTCCATTGGTAACTACTGACCACATGGATGTCGATGATGGAAAAACAGTTGTTGAGGATTTTGCAGATGGAAATGATTTACCAGCAGACATACTACTAGACAGAAATGATAATGATGAAGTAGTATTTAATGATGAAAACATTGACAATATCAACTTTAATTACAGTAGTAATAAAGACAATGATGAAGGTGATCATTCTCCGGCTAAATATATCCCAATTGACACCTTACTTGAAAATTTTAAATTGGATGAAGTTAATTCAGCATCATCGTCAGAAGAAGAACTCCCCTCCAAGAGTAGTAATAGCAGCGGTAGAAACACCGCCACCACTACCACCACCGCTGCTATATCTAATTTCCGTACATCATTGATCTCGGAAATCGAACACTCGCAAAAAATCAACCATGCCAATCAGCAATTGGTTAAAGTTTTCCAGTTGATTAAAACTCCTAATTTACCCATTGAACAATTCCTTTTACGTATAAAGCAATACTCGCCCTCAATCTCAACTACAGCCTACCTCCATTCCATATACATCTTGTTCAAACTAACCACCTTACTCGGTCAAGTTACACTAACTACCAACAATTCTTTTCGATTCACCGTGGGAGCAATCAGAACATGCACCAAGTTGCTTGACGACGTTTATCAAAAACAACAGAATTTCACTCATGTTGTTGGTGTTAGTTTACGTGACTTGTCAAAGATTGAAGTCAATTTTTGCTATTTGATTAATTTCAACTTTAATTTGAAATGTTTGGATTTGGTGTTGGCTCAGTTTTTGAAAGTGGAGTTTGTTGAGTTGTGCCAGTTTATGAAGGTGGAGCTGAATGAAGTTTATAATGAAGTTGTCAATGGTTTTTGAAACTAGAGAGGAACCAGAGGGGATGGGAGTATACTCATTTACTACTATTGTTAATGTTATGACGCATATGGATTATGATTATGATCATGATTATGATTATTATTTTTTAAAAGATTTTGTAAACCGGTTATGGTTTTGGTTAAAAATATACAAATGCAACTAATCTCTCTTTCCAACCCCACGAAGATGTATGAATGTTAGTGTTAGTGTACTTTAAAGCTGGGTATAACAATATTTCCTCTATCTTCCATAAACCCCATCTCGTGCTTTCAGCTTCACAAGGTTGCAAAAAAGTAAAAAAATGCGGCTTCTGTGGCTCGAACACAGTACCTCCAGATCTTCAGTCTGACGCTCTCCCAGGTGAGCTAAAGCCGCTAAGTAAAGAAAACCCACGCCGGGATTCGAACCCGGAATCCTTTGATTAGAAGTCAAAAGCGATAACCATTTCGCCACGCAGGCTTTTCGATGTGATTAAAGTTTTGCTGGTTTTCCCAACTCACTTAAATTTGAGCATGTGATACATAATTAAGAGAGGAAGCAAAACAGTGGAAATTGATAAATTCATTTATAAATCTATTAAGAGTACGTATAAATTGCTTTTCTAGATAATTTCAAAACATTCAAAGTCTCAAGCATGGGTTTAGTCTTTGATTAGGTCAAGTTTAAGCGTAGTTGGTGGGAAATGTTTTTTTTGCTAAATTTAAATGAAACAAATTGGTTGCAAATTTATATAAAATGCTAATCATTTACTATAATATAGTTAAAAAGTAAATTAACAAAAAACATTACAACTCTTATTTAAAACCTGGATTTAACCAAGTTGTTTTGACGAGAAGTATTATCTGTTGCAGAGCTAGTGGCGAGATTAACTCTTGTAGTTTTCCTAAGTTTCCACCCATTCTAGTTATTCCGCTTAGTTTACAAATGATATCATTGTGTACTTTTTACTAGACTAAGGGAATCATGGACTCAAGCTGCAATATTTCATTGTGTTTAGTGCCTTACAATAAAATTGTCTTAGCCAGATCTAGGGTGTTGGGACTAAGATTACATTACAAGCCAAGAAAGAATTCCATTTTGAAAAAAGCATTCAGCCGAAATACGATAGGAGTTGGAATCCTAGAGTGCTACTTAGTTGTAGGTTATCCCTTTTGCTCTGTCAATTAAAAAGTGTATGTTACAAGTTAGCCATGCACGAATCCATGTTGTAGATTTTGTCCCGTAAGAGTCATAGTGCATGCATGAGAGCTTATATTTCGCTCAATTAAACTTATATAGTGAAAGTATGGAGGAAAAAGGTTTTAGAAAATCAGTGATCTCTTTTATTTATACAAGAATTTGAGTGACTCAATTTGAAAATGCATGGTTATGGGTATTCCTCTTTTGCTTCTCTTCTAAAATGTGTCATTTTATACAATATAAATTCGCTTTTTGTGGCACATTTATCAATAACTGTACTATACACGACCTCAACACTATCTTATCTATTGTTTACGCTTTTATAATTCATAATCTTTGAAAGCAAAGAGTAATGGCAGTAGGAATTTACCCTTCGTATACTGTGATACTTTTACGCCTCAACAAAGCTAATACCACCAACACAAGGTAAGGAAAATATGTTAATACAAGAGAAGTAGAGTAAAATTTTGTTCATGACGTATGTTGTGAATCTTATCATTCCACACCCGCGCATGTCTTTCTTTTTTGTGTAACTCATAGCAAAAAGCAGACCCCACGAGGGGGTAAACAAATTCATTACCATAACAACAAACAAACAACAAGCAAACAACTTCTGTTTAACTCAGTTATTACCCATTAAGAGTCATTTTGCATATTTGAACTTATTTATTCCTTACTATTTTCTTTACACTTTTGCTATATGTTGACCACTACTAGACTTCGACCATCACCTAAACCCACGTTCACAATGAGAAGAAATAGGGCCAAAATAATAGGTGACCCTCTTACACCAGATACATCCACTGCTGCAACCAGCAGATCTGACAATGGAACGGCGGCTATAGCCAGTCACCGCTACTATTCGTCACACACTTCATCTTCCCTCCTCCACGACGACCACCGCCATCACGTTCCCTCAAAACATTCGATTCTTATACCCAGTCCATTGAACGCGTTGCTTCATTCAGACAGACACATGAAATACCACTTTTACAACCTTGGTGGTGACTTCATTAGAGTTTCAGCCTATCGCCGCTTCAAACAGTTGTTTCGAATCGGCGGAGGCTCTTTAATTAAAGAGATTGTCTTTGATTTATCAACGTTTTTAAAACGAGAATTAAATGACGAGAAATCAGGTGTCCATTTACAGTTTAAAAATTACTTGACTTCGAACAGTAACATCTTGAAAAAGAAGGAATCTCATTGGTGTCTTTGTGATCACCAGTTTGGTTTGCGCAATTGGCTATTTATCGTGTTTGGTTACATGTTACAAACGTACAAGGAAGAAGAAGTACATGAATGTTTGGATGATGTTATCAAGATGTATTTGAATGCCAGAAAGAATAGACTAGACCCTGATAATATTCGAGTTATCCGTGATGAACGTGATAATTTTACATTAGCAACTTTCCAAAATTATATCAATACGGTGGAAATTCAGGAAGATTTATTATTTGGCAAAAACAACAACTCAACAAGATTTGTCACCATATCTTCGGCATACAACCAGAGGATTTACTTACCGCCTTTGCCCAAGCTACATGATCGGGATTTATTAATCAAGGCGTTGATGCATAAGGAGTTTTATCGGTTGTTGTTAGATCCTCGTCATAAATTTGCCCAGACTATGCAGTCCCATAATTATGATTTATCATTTGGTGAATATGGATTGATTCGTAAGGAAATCTCATTTCTTGATGGTTTGGGAGATTTCTTTTTGGCTCAGGAAACGTCGAGACTTATATTTGATTTATGCCGCAACAACAACAGTAACAACAACAGTAACAACAACAGTAACAATAACAGCAGCAACGGTACATTGGACACTGACGATTATGGGTATATCTCATTCAACCCCAATGCTAGTTCACAAACTTACAATTTACTCAAAATGATTCTTGCTACAAACACACTAATGTCTAAATTAACTAAATGCTACAACTTATACCAGGGATTAAATGACCCCATAATCAACACCAGGATAGCAGACGAATGGATTCCATATACCACAACTGGCCAACTACCTCCAAGCAAAAACCTTGATGAAGTTCGGATCTATGAAGAGGAATTTCTTGGTGATTTTTTCGAAAGTTATATGGCCGCATTGTTGATTGAACAGCCAAACATGGCCAAATCGTTCATTAGAGAAATTTATAAACGATTAATTTCGGTGATGACAAAGACATTACCCCCCGAGGTGACGTATCAAAATTGGACCATGAATATCCTAGGCCGAAATATTTATGGAAAGAAAGAAGTTGTTTAAGATTCTACATTTTATGGTACCATTATTAGATCTAATTTTATAGCTTTATCATACACTGTTATCCTTTTCAGCAACATATAAAATTGGAAATAATACACAAGTAAAAAATATTATCAGCAAACAGGAGAATACACGTCTTCCTGTTTTTTGAAACTATGTAACACGTTGAAACTATCACCTCACCTAGTAAACAAATTCTTTTTGGCTCGAACACTTTTATTATACCTCTTGTTGTTTTTAAGCTCATTATTCGACAAGAATAATTCATTTCCAGAACTGTCGTCTTCTTCATCGTCATCACTGCTACTACTTGATAATGACAGATCCTCCCCACTAGTATCAACTGCTGACTTCACATCTGATTCATCTTTACTTGCATCGATGTTGCTTGACCTAGTCTTCTTGTCTTCCTTATGCAGCTTTAAATCATCGATGTCTTTGACTTCGGGTATTCCACGGCTGCCTAATTCGGTTAATGTCGGTAGTGTAGGCTTTCTTGCAGGAGTAGCCAAAGGCATACTAGAAGCACCCGCACCATTATCACCAGTTGATAAGCTCTCCTTTGATCCACCACCATTTTGCAAACGCACTCGAGTTAGCTCTTCCGTCTTTGAGGAGTTCTCATCATTTGTCGTCACTTGGTTTACACCTCGTTTCTCCAATGCCCCAGTAAGCCCTTTATTGGCAATGGAAGTCAATAACCGTAAAGTCAGAAGCTGGCTCGAATTGCCATTAACACCTGGTGAAGCATTTCGTTTGATAGGCTCTGATGCAACTAGTCTCTTTTCAGCAGTTTTGGCCTCCATTTCCTCGTCTTCATCGTCACCAGCAACCGATTCAATATCGCTTGACCCTGACGATGATCCTTGCTCTTCTCCTTGATTGGCAGCATATAATTGAAGACTTTGGGATCCGGTCCTTTGATCTGGACCTCCCAACGATGTAGGTAAGCTGCGCGAGGGGAATTTAAGCGAGGTCATCATTGTAGAACTTACTTCAACCGATCCAACTGCACCATTTTCATTTGCCTTGACAGTGCCATTGCCATCTTGATGTTGATCGGGTTTTCCTTTGGTTGGTGAACTACCAACCCCAAATGCAGTATTATCACTCCGTCTTAATACCGATGGATCAGCCGAACCAAAATGCGAGTCCATTAATGTATCCGAAACAGGCTTATTGTCAGATTCCAGCTTGGATTCTCCATAAAATAAATTGCCTAAAGTTGCCTCAGTTGCCTTTTTCAGATTATTATAGAAGGAGTTAAACCTTGAGGTTGATTGTTGTTGACCACCATTTTCCAGTTCCAGTTCCAAATTTTCATTTTCTTGATTTCGAACTGACTTAACCTCGTTGACTGATGTACTATCTTGCTTATGTTCAACATGTTCATCAGTTTCTATTGATTTTTCACGAGGGTTTTTTTCTACTGGTCCAAGGGCAAATAAACTGCTCATTGCTTCAAACTTTGATTTCAGAGTTTTAGGCCCTTGTTCAGCCTCATGACCGGAATCATCATCAGAGTCATTTTCTCCCTTCTTTTTTTTGGTAACCTTTTTGGGAGTTCTCTTTGGCAAGGGTAGTTTCTTTGCATTGGTGGCCCCTTGCTTAGTATTGGCTACTTTAGCATCTGATTCCTTATCATCTTTCTTTTTCAGTTTGGTATCTTTGAAATGATCTTTAATTACACGTCCATCTGGACTGTCATCATCATTCATTGCTGGTGGATGTTTAGGTAATGGGCCCATAGGGTTTGCTCTAGTTCGGGATGCATTGGATGAGGTGGTAGCTTGTGGTTTTGGTGGGGCTTTACGCTTCGGAGCCTTGATTGACTCCTCAATCGATTCCTCTTCTTCATGTGTCTTGGCTTTATCTTCTTCATGGGTCAACCTCTCATCTTCATTATCTTCGTCATCAGACCCACTTGAAATTTTAATAACTTCAGTCTCGTCATATTCTATATCATCTAAGCCTTGGCTATTAAATGGATTTTGATCCGCTGGTTTCTTAGTTTTGACACCGTTCTCTCTATCAAATTGAGTTCTAGTCTTGACTTTGTAAGGAAGTGGCCCACTATAACTCAGCTCTCCGGAAAGATCAAACCGGAAATCAACTACGGGATCAGTATATACAGATTCACAAGTGTAAGCGCCAACCGCAAAATGCTTGGGTATTTGCTTAAACGTTCCATTGGGTCCTGTCTTGTACTTCAAGATCTGGTCGCTTAAATGACCCAATCTAAAATCTATACTATCGAGAATATTAATGGTTTTTGATTCATCATAAACCCTCTCAATAGGCGCTGGGGAGGCTGTAGCCGTGGTAGTGGTTGTCAGTGATGTCATTTTTTTAGCTCTCGTTGACCTACCTTTCCTAGGCGTTTCTTTTACCTCATTTGGAGCTGAAGCTGCTTCCAAATCCAGTTTCTTCTTATACGCAAGAGTGACTTTAACTCCAGCTGGAGTTGAAGTCGGAGTTGGTGTTAGTTGGTTCCCTTGTTGACGTGTTGGAGAAGTCCTTTTGGTGGTTGCCGGGGTCGATGTTACTGGTGCAGGCTTTGGGGTCTTGTCGTAGTCCTTAGTGGGCTCTATAGTGCTTGGTTCATGATGATTGCTTGTGGGGATATACGGATGTCCTTCAACAGTATCAATGTGTAACGACTTGAGTACAGCTTCACGCTTGGAGAGTGGATTCTTCTCACTTTGCTTTTTATACATGTCTAATATGTCAGCTTTGGCAAGTTTTTGGGTCTGACTGTTAACTTTGTTTATCGGCACATCGTCTTCTGATTCAGACGAATCTTCCATGGGATTGGCCTCGAGGACCGAAAAGTCATCGTCCTCTGAATTGTTGGCAGGAGGGCTGGCTGTTGGAGGTTTCACCAACATACCGGAAGTGATTCTTTGACGTGATTTAGCACCTGGACTTTCAGTCATTTTCTTCTTGGGAATCTTAGTCAGTGATGGTGCTTCAGGTGGAGCTAATGACACAGGTGACGATGCTGGTTGCAGATAAGTTTTTGTCGGAGTCGCACCCACTAACTCAACAGCAGGCAATGATTCCATTTCTTCTCGTGATCGTTTTATTGGTGTGGGTGCAGCTTTTTCAAAACTGTCACTGAAAAACAAATTATCAACAATGACTCTAACTTCATCGTTCAGTTCAAAAACATCGTCAACTTGGTAGTCCTTATCCAAGTCACACTGATTTTTATCTTGACACTTAACTATACTGATTACCAGTTCGTCAGGATAAAGTCTTTGAAATTGTGCAATTATTGCATCAAGCAATTCACCAATTTTTTTAGCCGGATCAATCAAATGTAAAAACTTTTTGGCTATTAGTGAGTCAATCTTTGACGTCGGTAAAGATGAACATTCCTCGGGTATTAAAAGTATCTGAAGCTTCAACCTAACCATTGTCTAATAATAAGGTGGTGATACTTCTCTGACACAAGCTGAACCAAAAATAAATCAATTCACAAAAAAAAATAAGATGAGATGTGGAGTATATATTGGACACAGATGTGAGATTCCCCTATCAATGGATCGGAATGGGTAAGATCCTTTGTTGTGTTGAAGAGATATAGATCTCGAATGTTATACGTCTTCGAGTGTGTGTCTGTGTGTTTGGTTCTGTGGTCTCTGTGGAAGTTTTTCTTCTCAGTCTTTTTCAGTCTCTCAGTCTCTTTGTTTTGTTTTTTCTGTTTCTGTTATGCTGTTTATATCCTGTATATAAATAACGTTTTATTACGAGTAAGTTAAACAAAAAGATACGCGTATTGCATGTAGTCTAAGTTATACAATAAGAGTCGGCCGATATCTATCACTCTCTAGTACTCCGTTGACTTCATCAACTCTTGTGCTTTTAGTGCCAATATCTGCCTCTTCAACAAAACTTCATCTGCATCTACACTGACTCCTCCTTCTTCTTCAAGTTCCACAACTTCTTCTGGGTCTATTGAGTCCCAAAATGGTTTCCAACATATTATCTCGCCATCAATGGTTCCACAGTAGTAGGTGGCAGTAAATGGTCCACCATTACACATTGAGCATGTCCTTCCAACATTCTTGGTACCTCTTCTTGTTAATCGGTTGACCAACTTGCCATCGATTGTTCTGAAAATAAGCACTTCACCACTCTCTGAGGGAAAAAGAAGATACTGCAATTCTGTTTCTTCATTGGGATTCAACAAGATTGGTGTTGTTTGCGGGTACTTGTTTCTGGTTAACGGACCAAAATTGATCAACTTATTTATTGGCGGATATGGGGTGCTAATCATATCCCATACTCTAATCTTGTCGTCATTACCAGCCGTAAACAAAGTAGTTCCTGATTCATCCCAGGCCAACCCATTGACTGGACCCAGATGGGCTTTGACTGATTGCTGGGTGAGATTTGCCTCTGGTTCAGAAGATCTTGATGTATTTGTAGTGAGCATATCTAATCGACATAATAAACTTTTGCTTCTTCTTATATCCCATATTCGCACTTCTCCATCATATCCTCCAGAAGCCAACAAGTTTGGATTAGTGGGATGCCATTTAACACTGAGTGTCTTTCCCTTGTGTCCTCTTAATGTATGGGTGCTCGAAGTCGAGCGCATGTCTAAAAGTCTAATAAATGGTTGATCGCTGGCAGTAGCAATTAATGAACTTTCTCCACATATATCGATGGAATAAACCCGATTATTTAAATTAAAAGAATAAACAGGGACTAATTCATTGGTATCCCATACTTTAATTGAATGGTCAAATGATGATGATACAAATAACCCCGTATCAAATGGCCACCATTGGAGTGCCGAGATTCCAAACTTGTGAAACTCTCGCGATGGCATAATTGCAACATTGGTAAATGCAGTCACTGGATTATCATAATCAAAAGTGTCAAATTTAGAATGATGATGGATCTTATTAAAACCAGCATCAACCTCATTTTCTTTTCGAATCTCATCTTGTTGATGCAAATCCCAAAGTTTGATGGATGAATCGCCTGATCCACTCAATAAAAACCGATAGTCCATACTCTCCAACGCAAGACTGTTGACCAGGGCATTTTTGTGACAGTTTGCGGGGAATACATCATATTTAGCCGTTTGATAAAGCTGAGATGAGTAGTAGTTGTCAGTGATTACGGCAGCAAACTTTAACGGCGTTATATTCCCTAATTTTCTTTCGAGCAAGAGCGATTGCATATCATTGTGTGTGGGGGGGGGGGGAGGGAAGAAGGGAAAGGAGTGGTGGTAAATAAGCCAAACAGTGTCTTATTTCCTTCTTTCAGTTGAAATTTGTATCAGTCTGGTGTAAAGAGTAGAAGAGAGCAGATCTCTTCAGTGACATACGTATATTGCTATATTGCTATGAACTGAAAGCTGAGTCTTTGTCGCGACTTGTGTTTATATGCACTCCTCAAATTGACCTCTTTGAACTCAAAAAAATTTTCTTTTTATTTCTTTTATTTTTCAGAAAATCGAAAGACGTTTCGATACACATCTACAGTACTAGAGCACATTATTACAAAATGTTGGACATTAACGCATTCATAGTCGAGAAAGGTGGAGATCCTGAAAAGATCAAGATTTCCCAAAAGAAAAGAGGGGCTTCAGTTGAATTGGTTGATGAAATTATCAGCGACTACAAGGACTGGGTCAAGATTAGATTTGATTTGGATGAACATAACAAAAAATTAAATGCTGTTCAAAAACAAATTGGACAAAAGTTTAAGGCCAAGGAAGACCCTGCTGAATTGCTTAAAGAAAAAGAGCAATTGACTGAAGAAAAGAAGCAGCTTATAGAACGTGAAGCCAATACCGATAAAGAATTGAGAAATAAGGTTAACCAAGTGGGTAATTTGGTTCATGACTCGGTTGTTGATTCAATGGACGAGGCTAATAATGAAATGATCAAGACTTGGTTGCCTGAAGGATATAAGGAACCTGCACAAGTTGCTGCTGGTACTAATGCACCTGCCAAATTGTCCCATCACGAAGTTTTATTACGTTTGGATGGATATGATCCAGAAAGAGGGGTTAGAATTGTTGGACATAGAGGATACTTTTTAAGAAACTATGGTGTATTCCTTAATCAAGCTTTGATAAATTACGGACTTTCATTTTTAGCCAAAAGGGGTTATGTTCCATTACAAGCGCCAGTGATGATGAATAAGGAAGTCATGGCCAAGACGGCACAATTGTCGCAATTTGACGAGGAGCTTTATAAAGTCATTGATGGCGAGGACGAAAAGTATCTTATTGCCACTTCTGAACAACCAATTAGTGCGTACCATGCTGGTGAATGGTTTGAAAAGCCACAAGAACAATTGCCAATCAGATATGCTGGATTTTCATCATGTTTTAGAAGAGAAGCAGGATCCCATGGTAAGGATGCATGGGGTATTTTCCGTGTCCATGCGTTTGAAAAGATTGAACAGTTTGTATTGACCGAACCAGAAAAATCCTGGGAAGAATTTGATAGAATGATTGGTGCATCAGAAGAATTTTATCAATCTTTGGGTTTGCCATACAGAGTAGTTGGTATTGTTTCTGGTGAATTGAACAATGCTGCTGCCAAGAAGTTTGATTTAGAAGCATGGTTCCCATTCCAACAGGAATACAAGGAATTGGTCTCTTGTTCCAACTGTACTGATTACCAATCGAGAAACTTGGAAATTAGATGTGGTATTAAACAACAAAACCAAACGGAAAAGAAGTACGTTCATTGTCTTAATTCTACCTTGAGTGCTACTGAAAGAACTATTTGTGGTATTTTGGAAAATTATCAACGTGAAGATGGATTGGTTGTGCCTGAAGTTTTAAGAAAGTATATTCCTGGTGAACCAGAATTTATTCCTTATATTAAGGAATTGCCCAAGAATTCCACTTCTCAAAAGAGAAAGTAGATTTAGGTGAAGTATTGTAAAATATAGTACTGATGTTGTTATACTTTCTGACTTTAGTTGTCCTTTGTAGCTGAAAGTCGTTGTTGTAGATGTGTCACACATTTTTATATCAATGAGGCTGAGACCAAAATCAATTTCCCAATCTCTTTTCAGAATTAAATACGCGGGAGCAAAATAAAAAACAAATAAACAAGGGGTCTTCTTTATTTTACAACGAACATAGAAGGTTGTATTTTTGACTACAAGGCATTCTATTAGAGCTTAAATCAAAATGACAACACCGGAGTACTCATCGAAAGAACCACCCCAATACAACCAGCTAGAAGGTGAAGTAAATGGAGAACACCAACATGACCACGGCCCTCAAGAGCAACTCCCTGCATATACACGCAGATCCAATAATGCATCTACAGCTACTTCCATATCGGATCAAGAGTCAGATATTATACTGAACCCCGAGAACCGTGAAAAACAAAATGAATGCAGTTTATGTTGTCATGATTGTTTTTGTGGAGGGTGTTTTGGGTGTTGTACTGGACAATCGAATATGCCAGGTAGTGATCGGAGCTTAATGGGGAATATATTGGTTGTGTTGTGTTGTGGTGCTGGTGTCCAAGCTGGTTTAAGTAGTTGAGCTGTTGAGATTTTAGTGCTGGTGGGTCAACTTTATGTATATTATTCATTGGGGATTGGAGACTGTGTCAATGGTAAATAGGACAGTATGAAAAATGGACAATTAATTAAATACAATTGTTTTTTCTTGGCATATGTTGTGGGTTAAAGGCATTCTTTGTTTGTTTTAGAAGTGAAACTGAGGTTGGGTGGTGTTTCATTTGGTTAGCACCGAGGAGCGATGGAAATATTATTACTTAATTCCTGGATTGTTAGGGTCAACAAAATTTCAGTGTGCCAAATTGCTGCACAAATTGCGCTAACTTTATTTTTCATTGTTAGTTATGACACAAAAGTTGACATCTTATTAAACTAAGAAAGCGAAGGAAGGGCCCTAATATTATATTTGCTGTTTAAACAACCACCTAACTTTCTTTTTTTCTTTGTTTGAATAGGTGTGGAGAATAGACACTTAATGCCACAGTTTTATTACATGTGGTGGCTTTGGGGAATAATATAAATACAGCTCAATCCTCACACCCACTCCTTTCTAATTACCAGCAACAGTTACATACTAATTAGTACAGCAAGCTTAAGCAACCATGTCAGCTTTATTAGCTCCACAACATCAAATTAAAGGTCAAACTGCGCTTATCACTGGTGGTACCAAGAACTTGGGCGCAGAAACCGCCAAGGAATTGGCAAAATTGGGAGCAAATTTATTCTTACATTACAGATCCAATCCTGACGAAGCCAAACAATTTCAAACCGAATTGACAAAACAGTATCCCGACATCAAGGTTGAAATTTACCAGGGTGACTTGAAACATGCTCAAGATTTGACCGATTTATTCACAGCTTCTAAATCAGTGTTCACTAAGGGTATTGATATTGCCATTAATAATGTAGGTCAAGTTATCAAGAAACCCATTACTGATTTCACTGAAGAAGAATTTGATTCCTTAGACTTGAAGAATAATAAAGTGGCCTTTTTCTTTATCAAAGAAGCTGGATTGAATTTAAATGACAATGGTAGGATCGTCTCATTAACCACCTCGCTATTAGCTGCATATACCGAATATTATGGTGGGTATCAAGGCACCAAGGCTGGAGTTGAGTTTTACTCGAAAGCCGCATCAAAAGAATTACATTCAAGAGGTATTACTTCCAATTGTGTGAGTCCTGGACCTATGGAAACACCCTTTTTGATAAATTCTGAGCAAAAGGAGAGTGTTGAGTTTTTCAAAACTGTTGGATTACATGGTAAATTGACACAAACAGGAGATATTGTGCCTATTATTAGGTTTTTGGTTACTGAAGGAACTTGGATTACTGGTCAAAATATCTTTGCTTCTGGAGGTTTCACTGCTCGGTAGAAAAAGCATATATATATATATAGCTGTTGTAATGTGAAGAGTTACTTTCCCTTCTACGTTATAGAACATACAACATGAACATTCCATTTCAAGACTAAAATCTCAATATGTTTTTTATTTATACAAAGTACCCACCCTGTAGTGTATATATATATATATATATATACACCTTTCCTTTACACGCTGCGCAAACATATCAACACATTCCTCTAGCACAACATATCCGCACATTCTTCAGCACAACAACAACAGATAATAGCAGCACAACATCCACAGAATGATGAACAACATCCACCACCACCACCCCTTTGTGGTTGTTGTTGGACATACATTGGTTGTTGTTGTTGATAGTAGCCTCCTCCTTGTGGTGGTGGTGGGCCCTGTTGGTAGTAACCTCCTCCTTGTGGTGGACCTTGTTGGTAATAGTTGGACTATAAAGAGTGGTTAGTAATTGCAATTGATAAACTTCTAATCAATAGTTGGTGGAGTGGAAGATGGTTGGGATTGTCTTGCTTGTTCGCCAAGTCTCCCTTGGTATGGCTGAAATAACGTAGGTGTATGACCAATTAGACTATCAGAACTTACATCGATATTTGCCTGACCATACTGAAGTAATATCATTAGCACTTCATGTGGCTGTTTTTTTTGTTCTTTTGTCAATCGCTGAAGAACACGTCTTTGTTTTCTCCCTATCGTCTAACACCTCCACCAAAAAAAAAGCACACCTTCACTTTATTGAGCAACCCAACTAATCAGCTGTATATTCTAATGTTATTACATACCATGGTTTAGTATTAGTGTTTATATACGAAGTGTCTTCTTGTAGAATGGAAAGAAAAAAAAAGATTTGAATGTCTTTTTAAATAATTGATGATCTTTGTTGATTTACTTTTTGTTTGTTGTTTGTTCTTTGTTGATGATGAAGGAAGAAAGATGAAATTTTTTTGAACCAATCATCAATGTTACACAAACACAACTCAGCCTTGTAACTACATTAATAGGGAAACTAAACTGTCAAAAAAAGAAACTAAGACCTATTTATAGACTAAACAGACAGTTGACCCTTCGTCAATGACACATACTCATAGAGAACACTATAGTTATCATGCAGGGATCCCATATTTCACAGTTGTCTTTTCCTCCCCATAGTCCACAAGTCGTAATCTTTACAAGTTACCTTTGTTATCCTAAGCCTCTCTGAGTTTCATATAAGAAGACGGAAAAAAAAATAAAATAAAATAAATAAATGCACGGAGCTAAAGTAGATGGGTAGGCTATAACAACATATCCACATGTCAAACACATATACTCTTCACCTGAGTAGAAAATTAGTTGCATCCTTTCAAAATCTGGCCGATTTAGATCATATATATAAAAATATATATATTTATATTTATATGTTCAGCACCGATGTCGGGTCAATTTTAGACACTTGTCGGCTTCTTCTCCACGCTCTGTAAAACTCATCTAAAATTAGAAAACGTTGGTCGTACAAAAGTTGTCTCTTTAAATAATAAAATAAAGTACGTCATTGTTCAAACAATTTTTATTTTTGGAATGGTCGTGTACTAACTGCTAATTAATGTCAATGTCGCGTATTATCACTATTGTCGTAAAGCCATGTATATGGACGATTCTTTTAATGACAACCCAATAGCCTTATAGGACTAACCTAGAGATTAGCACTACAATTAAAAGAATCGTTAAAGCGGATATAAACCATTTATAGAATTAAAGTACTTATAACATTTGAATATCAATAGCTGCATTTTCCTGAATGCTGGAAACATAATGATAAGTCAATACCAATGGAACCTTTCTATGAGCAATCAAGGCTAACGCTCGATCCTTAAAGTGGATGAAGCAATTACTTGTCCTCTAAACTTGCAAAAAAAGAACAAAAGAGCCCTTTTCACTACTCCACAACTAAGCAAACGCGTCTTAAAAGTAGTGAGTTGTTATAATTGCCCCTTTATTCAAGAACAAAACCTGCAAAGTAGTAAGCTGCAACTGACTCATTTCATAGCCAAATACTCGGTAATTGTCCTCATAGTAGTCTGTTCCATTCTACTTTGTTTCCTCTGTTCTTTCGCTCTAGTTATCCTTTCCTTCAAACCATCAAGCTTCAGTCTAATTGAAGTTAAAGTTGACGTGGTTGATTTTACCGAAACATTGCTCGATTCTACTTTCTTTAAATCTGACATAGTTGTAGTAGTAATTATTATCTCTCTCAAATAGCTTTAGTGTTATGTGAATTGTTGATTAATGTGTAACACGCAATTGATACATCAGACGAAGTGGCCCTGGACCTCTATTTATACTCAAATTACCTCTGGTTTAAAAAGCTCAAGTTGAATTAGTAATCCTTTGTATACATAACATAGTGAGTCACAGTCAATACAAAAAAAAGCTTAACCTTAAGCAGTCTTATACAATTAAGTTTACTGTGGTTTGCTCTATGTAAGGAACTGTCCCGTAAATCTAACAATGTCTAAGGGGTTAATTTTTATTGTTTTTGATGACTAATTATACAATGCAATACAAACAAACTGGTAGCGTAGATAACACGGCTGAGATCTCGTAAATCTTCTAATCTCCTATACCCTAACTCCTTCTACAAAAGCACAAGCTAAAATGTCCCGCTATTCATTAACCCATTCTATTATAATATACACACATCATATATACACACCATTTCCTAAGTTCCTAACACTCAATGGTTCACTTGCCCCTCTACAAAATTCATTGCATCTTCCTTATTAATTCCCACAATATTACTCACCTTGTTATTAAACATGACTCCATAAAACTTGTTTCCTGCCAACGACAATAACTCTGACCGGAAAGTAGTACATATAAATTGAGCTTTGGCACTAAGTGAATGGATCAAAGATGCCACTGATGTACGATACTGCGTATCTAAATTAGAATCAATTTCGTCAAATAAATAAAATGGCGCTGGGTCACAATGTTGAATGGCAAAAATTAGAGCAATGGCACATAACGATTTTTGTCCACCTGATAATTGTTCAATCTTTTGTTGCTCGTCATTTTTGGAATTGAATGACACTGATATGGAAACACCAGTGTAATTATCTATGGAATCATCTCCACCTCCCTCTTGGGTCTCAATATCTTCATCATCACGATGTGTTTGCGTTTGCGTTTGCGTTTGCGTTTGTGTTTGAGTATCACCAACACTCTTCCTTTGCAATTCCAAATAACCAACACCTTGCGGCACCAATTTTTCAAATATTTCATGAAAAGCTTCGGCAACTTGTTTAAAACTATTCATAATTGCTTCTTTCTTTTGTTGTTGCAAGTTTTGAATCAACTCCTCAATGGATTTTTTCGATTCATCCAATTCTTGCTTTCTTGAATTCAAATCATCTCGTTGCTTGGTAAATTGATTATACTGTTCCATGGCTTTTTTATTAATGTGGGAATATTTGGTTAATTTTTCATTAACTTTATTCAATTGGTTAACCAAATCATTGGAATTAAACTTGTCAAACTTCTCCGGCTGGAACGCTTCTTCAGGCAACATACCCAACTCTCTAATCTTCTTATTCGCTTCGTCTCTAGTTTGTTCCTTGATCAGTTTTTGATTTAACAACTTGGTGGCAGCTTTGGAAAACTTTTCAAAATTCTTCAATGTAGCAATTTGTTGTTCATTTGCTCGGGCCAAACTTTTCTCATTCTCACTAATCTCCTCCATAATTTGTGAATAACTTTCACTGGCTTGATCATTGCGTGATTGTGCAGTATCAAGTTGCATCTGCAAGGACTCCAATTCGTGATCAAGTTCATTGTATTCTTGTTGTAAGGATAATTTATCGCCGAGTGACTGCTTTTCTTGAATAAGGAGGTTCATACTTAAACGCATACTTTCAGCGTCATTCTCTAATTCACTTATTCTCGTGTCCCATTCCAATGTTGAAGTTACAATATCATCCAATTCACGTTCAATTTCGACTAGTTGCTGGTTATACAGCTCTAGTTGTCTCACTTCTTCCTCGCTCAACGATTGAGTGAAATCGGAATTTAATTCCTTTTCAAATTGTTTGACATTGGTACTCAATATTCCCTTTGTTGATTGTAAAGAGTCCAAATTCGATTGCAATACCGAAACCTCTTCATCTATATTGAACTTCTTTGCCGTCAATTGTGACAACTCAACCTCAAGTGGCTCCTTAGCACCTTCTAATTTATCCAAGTCACGAATACTCAATTGTAGCTCATTATTCAAATTGGTCATTTCTTGATTGAGGTTGGATATCTCCTGGCCAACTTTATTCATTTCAGTTTCAGTTTTGGCCAACTCATTTCTCTTTTTCGTTTGCAATTTTATAGCATCAATTCTTGAGGTTTTGTAATCGCGGTACCCTCCCGATAAAATCCCTCTAGTATCTACTCTGTCACCGTCCAAGGTAATGCATGTCAATTTAAACCTTCTTGAAAGTTCTGCTCCTTTTTGTAATTCATTCACCACTAGTGCCTTCCCAAAAATTTGGTTTATAGCTTTGCCAACGACTTCTTGATTGTACTTGAGTTTGGAAATTAATGGTAGACATTGATTTTCCTGCGAATCGGGATACTCCGAAACAAGAGTGTCCTCAATACGATTTAAAGGTATGAAGGTTACTCTGCCCCCTTTTGTTCTAATCAATTCTTCAATAATCAACGCAGCAGTGGCATCACTGTCAACAACAACATGAAACAATGACGTTCCTGCTATAACTTCGGTGGCGATTTTGTACTTATCATTGACATGAAACAATTCGGCAACAGTTCCATAAACATTCTTCTCAAGATTCAACTTTTTGGCTATTGATTTCACAGCAGCAATTCCCTGGGCTTGCGCACGATCCATTGTTTTATTGACAAGGACCGATGCATTGTTGTAGTCATTCGTTACTGAATCGTAAACACTCTTTAACCGAATCTCGTCTCTCCACAAACTCTTTCTCTGGTCAACTCGGTCGCTTATTTTCAGCTTCAATGACTGGATGCTGTTCTTCAATGACGTTATTTGGACCTGATGGTTTTCATCTTGCAAAAGCTGTTGCAACTCACCAATTCTCTCGGAGCAACTCTTTTCTTCACCAGACTTTGATTTGAGTTCATTTGTAAGTTGCTTTATGTCTTTTTCTTTTTCCTTGACCTCTTTTTTCAACTTGGAAATTTCGCTAGCTAACCACGAGTCCCGTTTTTCCTTATTGTTGAACTTCTGGAATCTATTTTGTTTGGAATAAAGAGCTCTTTGTTTTGATTGTAACTCGGCCAACCGCTGCTTCAAGTCTGACTCCTGCTTTTGCATCTCAATTAACCGAGGCTTATCTTTGGCAACTAAATCCAACTGCTGTTTGATTTGTGACTTGTGGCTCTCTATTTGATCCTCGAGGTCAGTTGACTTGTCATCGGCTGTGTCCAATTTAGCCCTCATTTCATTAACTTTGATTTCCTTCTCGGCTATATTCTTCAACAACTGAGTGCAATCCAAATCAGTTTGTTCTCTCTCCAATGACAAAACTTTCAATGACACTTTCAACTCATTAATTGATGTTTGCAATTGCAGGCACAACTTTTCTCTTTGTTCCATTTCATTCAAATCTTTCTGCGAATCAATCATCAACTGTTGATGTCTTTGCTCAAATTCACTAATTGATTCATTCAACTCATTAAACTCTCTGTCGAATATATTATACTCCAACACCTTCTTTTGTTTCTCCAATGACTGAAATTCCCTCAAATCGTCGCTCTCAATCTGCAAATCACTAATCTTCTCATTTATGCTATCCAACGTCTCATCAATCCTTTGCCTTTTTAATGTCGACTGGTTCATTTCCTTCATGGACTCCTTCAACTTACTTTCAAAAACCGTAGCACCACTGACCTCTTTCAACAACGTCAACCGTTCATGATCCTTTGAATTGGTTAAACTGGTGATTCTTCCCTGAGGCACAATGTAGTAAGGATTCGACCGAGAAAACCCTGCACTTTCCAACAAGTTCATTATATCTGATCTGGTTGCCGACTTTCCATCCAAAGAATAATCATCCTTCTTCATACCAATAGTCCTTCTGATTGAAATCTCAGACTTGGCAATGGGGAAACGTCCATCAGTGTTGTCAAAAACAATCTCAACATATGCAGACATCACAGTCCCAGACCCATCGTGTATTAGTGCTTGTCTTTCCTCTCTCGTCATATGTGTGTACGCGTCGCTAAGCACAAATCGAATTGCAGCAAAAAAGTTGGACTTTCCCGAGCCGTTTCTGCCAACAACAACATTGCAATTGGGGCTCAAGTCGTCAATAACAGTGGCATTCTTGTAAGTTTTGAAGCCCTGTATGGCTATCTTTTTGATGTGCATTGTGTATCTGTGGTGGAAATTGAGCTAGAAGAAATCAAATTGTGTGTTTACCTTTTCCTGTTTTTATTATTTTTTGTAAAGCTTTTTTGAACAAACAAAAAAATGCCAAACGCGTCGTTCGCCATTCACAAGTGATTGACACAGACAGTGGCTTTTTATTTCGCAGCATGGTTATACTAGAGAAACACTTTGGTTCTTAGATACTACTGGCTGTTTTAGAAGGTCTATTTACACTCTAGTGTATAGTCGACACTAAGGGTGTGAATTTGAGTTATCGAATAATACCGAGCATATGCGCCGATTTGTAGCTGTCATCAAAGTCCGTCAGGGTATTCCCGGTACGAAACAATCGCAAACCAACATCAGATAATAATACCCTCAATGGCATGCTGAACTCCGCTCAAGCTTCAACTTATTACCTCAGTAACCAAGAAAAAACCAATTGAATAATTTCATTACGAGAAAGTGACCTCAAAAATTCAAATTAGGAAATAGGCGCAGATCTACAGATTGATATAAAATATTATATTTTGGTGAACTGCATGGTTCTGTGGTTCTGCATCTCCAAGAAAATAAATTGCAATGATCATCAGTGTAATGAGAAGATTATTTTGAAAAGAGAACAAAAAGAGCTGAGTTAACCAGACAGTAGCGGAGGTTCCTTTCCGGTAATAATGGATCGGAAAAGGGTTAATAATGTATAACACCCACGTCAAGTGGTGCCGTGTGGATTTTGACATGCATAAGGATGCATTGAATCGGGAAGCTATCTCCATAATTGAAGCACTTGTCAGAAAGATACAAAGATTTGGTAGTGTGAGGGTTTGCAAAGAGGAGAAGAAGGAGGAAACGTTAAATGAGTAACTTTTCTTATCAGATGTTTCATGCATTATTATTATTATTATCAGTCATGTGAACTTGGTTACAAACCGGAACTCTGTTTCAAATTCGAAAATATCAAAGATAAGAGATGCGTATTTAAATGTTACAAGATCCGCTGATGTTTGAATTCAGTTGACTTCCCCAGAAATCAAAAAGCTAAGCAGGATGAGTTTGTCGGATAAGATCAGCAATGATGTCGAAAAACATGGTCATCACCTTTTAGATGCTATTCCAGAGGGTAATATCAGTTCAATCAACAAAACTGGTTTGGAACTTTATGAAAAAGCTCAGGACGTGACTGAGGAGGAAGATGCTGAAATATACAAAAAGATTGTCCGAAAATTAGATTACCGAATTGTTCCATTATTGTGTTTTACCTATATGCTTCAATTTTTAGACAAATTGTCATTGAATTATGCCTCTGCTTACACACTCATTGAAGATTTGGGCTTGGAAGGGCAACGTTATTCATGGGTTGCTGCTGTTTTTAACTTTGGGTACTTGTTCTGGGCCTATCCAGGAAACTACATCATCCAGAAATTACCAGTTGCTAAATATACTTCGTTTATGTTGTTTTCGTGGTCAATTATCTTGATTGGCCATGTTGGGTTGAGAAACTACCAAGGTGCATTGGTCATTAGGTTCTTGTTGGGTATGTTTGAAGCTGGTATAAGTCCGTCATGCATGATGATTTGTGGCTCCTTTTACACCATTCAACAACAACCAATTAGAATGTGTTTGTTTTTGTCGTTCAACGGTATTGCCACAATGTTGGGGGCATTGTTGGCTTTCGGATTGGGACACGTTGAAAACGGTACAGTCACCCAGTGGCAATTGATTTTTCTTGTCATTGGATTGATCAACTTTGCATGGTCATTGATTTTCCTTTGGTTGTGTCCCGATTCACCTCAGGGTGCCAAGTTCTTGACCGAACAAGAAAGGTCCATTTTAATCAAACATATTGCTAAAAACAACCAAGGTGTCAAAGATCAAAAATTCCAGAAATACCAAGCATTTGAAGCACTCAAGGATACCACGGTATTGATGTTGGCTGCCATCGGACTAGCATGCGGTGTGATCAATGGTGGATCGTCCAACTTTATCTCAGCATTGATTAGAGGATTTGGTTTTACTGGGATAGAGGCTACCGCATTGCAGTTGCCATTGGGTGCAATTGAGTTCGTGTTTGTTCTTGTGGGTGGTTACATTGCCCTTCGAGTGAAAAATACCAGATGCATTGTGCTATTCGTATTTTGCATAGCTCCTTTGGGTGGGTTAATTGGTATCCAGACAATACCTTTGGAACGGAGATGGGATTTGGTTGGATGTTCGTTTTTGCAGTATATTGTCGGGGGACCGATAATCATGTGCTGGATCTTGTTAAATGCCAATGTTTCGGGAAGTTCGAAAAAAACAACTGCCAATGGATTGTGGTTTTTGATGTATGCTGCTGGTAATATTACTGGAGCCAATATCTTTTATGCTGACCAGGCGCCCAAGTACAGAAGTGGTATTATGGGAATGTTGACAAGTTATTGTGGAGTCATGGCCTTGGCAATTTTGATGCGGTTAGTGTTGATGAGAAGAAACAGCATGAGAGATAAGGAGTTGGGTAAACAGACAGAGGAGCAAGCCGAGCAGGCAATTTTGAATGGGTTCATGGGAATGACTGATTTTGAAAACAAAGGGTTCAGATACTCATTGTGAGGTGGAGTTATGTACTTTAGTTGTTTTATATGTGAGAGTGTGACTATCTAGTGATGAAGATGTTGTAATGACAGCAAAAAGCGTAGAGATGGATGCCAGGGTGTTTTGAACGGCTGAAGTAGGGTGTTGTATAATGAGTATGTACTGTATACAATGAGATCTTCCATTGGACAAAAAAGAAATAATTTTAAAATTAAAATTGAAAATAAAAGATCCCATTTATTGTTTGCAATCCAGTGAAAGGTATGGCGAGAACCAGAAGTGGGTCAAAAAAGGCTTCAGCTAAGGAGGATATAACGTTGAGATCCACTGCTTCGATATTCAAGAATGCGGATCCTGCCCTTCTTGAAGAAGACGAGGAGAAGCAGAAGAAGAAGAAAAATAAGGCGGAGGATGTCAACGCTGATAAGGAACCATTAGGAAATGCACAAGATGATATCGAAAATGCTGGATTCCCTTTTAATTACCTTTACAAATTTCAAGATTTTTTGAATGAACATGTCAATCTTTTGAAAGGAGTGCAGTTGTTACTTATTGGATTCTTTATACAATTGATTTATTTAAACCAAGACAAATTTGATCATTTAAAACTGACACTACCAATGATTTTTTTCAGTTGTGTTGGTATTGTTGCTTGCATGGTGCTTAGTATAGTGAGAAGCAAACTGGACAAACTTCATGTGCCTGATTTCAATTACTTTTACTGCGTGTTGATACCATCATTGATTGGTATTGTCCATTTCGATCGTAACTGGATTATTGTCAATTGTGCGCTCAATTACTTTGTCATTGATCAAATGAATCCAATCTTCAATTTGATTTCGAGTGTGATATTTTTTGAGATTTACAAGGAAGATTCAAAAGCAACTTTGGATACATTTCAGTTTATTCAAATTGGTGCAGCCCATTTTTTCTTCAGTTTTGCCTTGAATCATATTAACGATATCAATATACATGGCCTGGAGGATGGGGACGTGGCTAAAGGTAAGAGTTCGTTGAAAAAGTCAGAGATTCAACTTGTATGTCTATTGCTTGTGAATATTTTGTTTAATCGTGCCTTAACTGATATGGCCTTGCCGTTGCAGATTTTTCAAAAATTGGCCATCAGCTTTGTTGTTACTGGACTCTTTGCCTATCCTGTTTTTGCATTTTTGCCTGGGTTGGTCAACATCGGCTTATTTGGAGGCATTTTCTGCTACTTGACAATCTTTCAATTGAACCAAGTGGTGGGAAAGAATGCATTAACCTGGTTGTATGAGTACATTGATAGTGACCCAGAGAAAATATACTTGATAAAGGTATGGGCCAGTCTGGCTGTGGTTGTTATACCATTGGTGTTTCTCCTCGCCAACTCAGTGAGTTTGAATGTGAGAAGAAAAGTTTGGCATTTGTATGTAATTTTTGCATTGACATTTTCTGGCGAGATTTTATTCGGTCAAGTTCAATTTACCTTGATAGCGTTGCTCGGTATGATTGTTGTGTTTTTGATAGTTGAGGTTTTCAGACTTAACCAAATCAGTTTTATTGGTAAATACTTGTTCAATGTGCTTGCGAAATTTCAGGATCTGAAAGATAAGCAAGGACCATTGAACTTGTCGTATATTTATTTACTTGCTGGGATTACTACTCCAGTCGTTTACGACTATCTTGTACATGGAGAAAGGGCCAGTGTAATTCGGTACATTGGACCTATTACTTTAGGAGTAGGGGATACCTTGGCGTCCGTTATAGGTAGGAAATTTGGCTCAATCAAATGGAAGGGAAGTGAAAAGTCGGTACAAGGTACAGTGGCATTCTTTGTTGGCTCATTACTTGCAGTCAATGCTGTCGAATACATAAATGCAGGAAACAAAAAGTACTTGCCCGTTGCAAATTGGGAAAACTTGGTTGTTTCAATCATATTGGCTGCTTTACTAGAAGGTACATCTGACCTCAATGACAATTACTTGACCCCCATCTTCCTTCCTGCTGCATACGAGTTGTTGAATAGATGTTACTAGACATTATAATGAAAACTTTAAACCAGAAACAGGCAATTTCAAAATCAATAGAGTCGTAATCTCTCGTTTATCTTGTCTTTTTAACGTGTCTACTATGCTTATGTAACTCGTATGCGTAGCCTCAATCACCTGTTTTTTGTTTTTTTTTTTCTTTCTTTCTCTCACACGTGTGTGTGTGTATGTGTGTGTGTATGTGTGTGTATCTTAGACTTTATATATAAATCTAGAACCGAGACCCCTTTTGGTGAAAGCACAGGTTGACAAAAATAAAAAGAGAAGAAGGAAAGAAAGAGAAAAACAAAAACATTTAAAGTTTACATATCAAAAGTTTTGACACATTATCTTGCAGTTTACAAGTAGCAGCTATGGTATCACAAAGAAGGGCGCCAAAGATACTATCTCGAAATGAGATAACTGATCTCATAGCCGAGGAGAAGATCATTGTCATCTACGATAGACTGGTGTTGAATTTAACACTGTGGATTTCGAGACATCCAGGTGGAGACACAGCCGTCCTTCATATGGTGGGTAGAGATGCAACTGATGAAATGAACGCCTATCATGACCCCAAGACGTTGAAGATGTTTAAGAATTTCAAGATTGGCGAAATTGACCATGTGTGGGAGAATTTATTGCCCCCAATTCAAGGAGCAGTCTATGAAAAGGGGCGTTATGTTGAGATCAAGAGTGCCGATTTAGATTCCAAATTGGATAGTAATTTATCCGAGAGTGGCTCAGATTTGGACTTGCAGTCTTTGCCTAGTTCCATTTCGGATAAACCGGATGAGATTCCGTCAAAGGAGAAAGTTTCTCCTACACGAAGTGAATGCGATCCAAAGTTGGTCAAACCAGTGGTGCCCCAAAATGTATTGGTGACTGAGTCAAATAAAGATGTGTTGTTCCCGGTGCATCATTCGCCAATTGTTGACCCCAAACTCCTTATGGAAAATTATGATAACCAATTGTCTCAGCAGGATATATTGTCGGTCCCTTCATTAGACTACAAGACACAAGGGTATTTGAGAGATGAGTACAACAAACTACATCTGTTTCTCATTAGTCACAATTTTTACCAGTGTGATTATTGGGCGTATGTGAGGGAAGTTGTCAAAATTGGTTCGCTTTTCTTGTACTCGTTGTCATTTTTCAAATTGAATTGGCTTTTCATGAGTGCCCTTTTTATGGGTATGGCTTGGCACCAGGGCACATTTATTGCCCATGATGCTGGACATGTTTCAATCACTCACAATTATCAATTTGATAATCTTTTCGGCATGATTATTGCTGATTGGTTTGGTGGTTTGAGTTTGGGTTGGTGGAAGAGAAACCACAATGTTCACCATTTGATCACCAATGATCCCGTTCATGATCCTGATATTCAACATTTGCCATTTTTTGCTGTCAGTGTCAGACTATTTGACAATGTTTATTCGACATATTATGAAAGGATCTTACCCTTTGATGCATTTGCAAAAGTATTGATTCCATTGCAACAGTATCTCTATTATCCTATATTGTGCTTTGGAAGGTTTAATCTTTACAGGCTTTCATGGGCTCATCTTTTATTAGGACAAGGTCCAAGAAAAGGCAAAGCGGCTTGGTTCAGATACTTTGAGCTTGTTGGGTTGAGTTTTTTTTTCTATTGGTTTTTCTACTTGTTGGTGTTTAAATCGATTGAAGGTGGGTGGAATAGGTTCAACTACGTAATGGTTAGTCATATGGCGACAATGTTGGTGCATGTTCAAATCACATTGTCTCATTTCGCAATGTCAACGTCCGATCTAGGAGTCAGTGAATCATTCCCATCAAGACAACTTAGAACCACAATGGATGTGGATTGTCCCGAGTGGTTGGATTTCTTACATGGAGGTTTACAGTTTCAAGCTATTCACCATTTGTTTCCACGGTTACCTCGTCACAATTTTAGAAGGGTGCAACCTCATGTGATTGATTTTTGTAAAAAAGTGGGACTTCCTTATTCCATTTATGGGTTTGGTGAGGGTAATGGGGTTGTGATTAGTAAATTGGCTGATATTGGGAAACAATGTACGATCTTATTAGATGCAACTAAAAAGTATGATGGTGATTTATATTAAAACGAGGGGTGTTAAGTTGTTTAGTGGAAAAGGAGAGGTGTGGGTATATTTATTAGAGATATATTAGACGAATAAAAGGACGTTTACTGGTATTCCTGTTGTGCATACGTATTTAAGCTCTGTTTTCGGTCGTTTTTTCCTTCATGACATCATGATTTATCATTCCTTTATCATCTAGGTATCTAATAAAGTCAATAACCAAACTATTTTCATTCTTGATTTGATCTTGGCTAATTAAATGTTTAAATAAGGATGATTTAGACGTTGTTGTGTTTTCAGTCCTATTGGAGTATAATTTAGGTACAAGAATAGTAACCCCATTTAGTTTTCTCTTGTAATGAGTCAAGCTATTTTGGAACTTGGTTGCTATTGGATTAGGATCATCGTGAGCATTGGGTATTTCATGAATATTTTTACAGTTGTTTCCATATTTGCATTTACCATATTGTTGAAAAAACCGACATATGGTTTTACTTCGTTTATTGTTCTCCTGAGTGCCATTTCCATCCAATGGCCGTTTCAGTCTTGTATTCTGCTGGTGTAATTTACGTTTTGCCTCCTTGAGTTGTTGTTTACGTTCAACATTGGCTTTAGTGGGCCAGTTTTTCTTTCTTTCTTCTATCCACTTGGCTATGTCCTCTTCTGTTTGGAGTGTAATATTAGTTCCCGGTATTGCTACTGCCTTCTTGGTGGCGTTTGAAGAAGAACCAGGTGAATCATTGATTGGTGTCTCTTGCACATCTTGCACACCCTTGTTGGTTATCGCTGGCTGTAGCTCAGGATTAACTTCAGTGGTTGATGATTCTGGAGTCTCGTTTGGTAAATGCGTCGGTAGGTCGAATAAAAAGTCCATATCCAGGTAGCTGTGCTTGTGCTTGTGTTTTGTTGGATGTACTGTGGTTGTGGAGTTATCACAATTCTTTTCTCATCGGAGAAAAACCTGAATAAAAGGAGTAGAACGTGACTCTTTTTATTAAGAGTGCTTTCTTTAAAACATGTACAAAACCATCAAGTAGGACGATTGGTGTAGTGGTAACATAATTGCCTTCCAAGCAATTGCCGTGGGTTCGATTCCCGCATCGTTCATTTTTTTATGTTATTCCATAATTTTATTTTTGAGCTTCATTGTAGCGTTTTTCTTGTTTTTTGGTTCAGCTTCCTTAAGAGTGAGTTAGGTTTAATATGATAGAACTCTTTGATTTCCTTTGAATTCAAATCTAGTTACATATAAATCAGCTTTCTTCAACAATGTTTTTATTTTAGCTATTGGTTTCTTTTTTTTTGCAACAAATTTGTTGCCAATTAAACCTAAAATCAATCTTGCATGTCAAATCAAAAACAGAAGAGGAAAGAATAAGCCCTTAGCGAGAAGCAAGCTGTGGTTGCTGGTGTTTACCATACCTTTTGAGATTAATCTAAAGAATGCTACTCTACAAAGAATCGTTTTGATGGTGATGATGAAAGACAAACTTTGCAAGAGTTTCTTTTGCAAAAATTAAAAAAAGGAATTTATTTAAAAAAGAAAAAAGTGCAAATAAAACATCTGAGACAAAAAGAAAGCTAAAAGAATTAGAAAGTTGAAAAAAAAAAAGTTTAAAAAGGAAGAGATAATTAAAAGAATGGCCCAAAATTGAATTCCAATAGTTTAAATCAGAGGAGTTAGTTGAATAAGTTGGTTGGTTGAGAAGAAAAGGTATGTTGTTGTTTATATTCAGCACCACTTCTCTTGTGAATGATAGATGATACAAGAGGGAGTAGGGGGGTGGGGGAGGCAATTCTCATATTGCTTTGCTTTTTTTATGGCTATGTAGTAGTAGCAACAGTAACAAGTAGAAGAATATAATAAGCAAAAAAAAATAAAGAATAAAAGAAAAATAGTATTGGTGAACAAAGAAGAAAATGAGTGACGTAAATTTTTGTCATATGACAAAAGAACTCTTTTACGAACAATACAGGTGGAGTAGAGTATGTGTAGTGAGTATGTGCATGATGTGTGCGTTTGTATTGACAGTGAATTTGAGTGTCAATGATATTTTGATATGGTTGGCTTTGCTGTGTAAGGGGGGTTATATACTGTTTTGTGTAATATCTGAAATCCGTTACTAAAAAATTCCTCGGAACAAAACACGAGAAAAAAAGAAAAAAAATTGTTCCACAGGCCAATCTATCCGGAGAGAGAGACATAATCAACCAACAACTGTAGCTAATATTGGTGTTCTTTTTACCACACTTTAATACTCAGTAAACATAAAAGGAGGAGAAAGAGGAGTACAAAACAAAGGGGATTGGAATTGTTGGGCATAAAATGAGATGAATAAAGAGTAGGAGTGTGGTATATAGTTGTAAGAAGCCATAGATGCTGTACTTTAGTAAGTAATGTAAAGTTGCAATTTCTGAAGTATGTCTGTAGGTGGTTAGATTAGATTAGATTTGATTTGGTTGCAGTAGGTGGATTATGTCACACGGACTTCGTTTATCAAATACACCAGTGGTAAAGGGAGTATACACACATACATACGTCGACAAAAGATATAAACTGAACTCCGTTTGTAATATATTTCTGTCTGTCTGTCTGTCTGTCTGTCTGTGTCTGTTGTTTTTATTGTATTTAATTTTATATATACAGTACCAGGAATAAACACATGAGAGAACAATAGTGAGGTTACTTAAAACAATTATAGATGATGTTGATGAAAGAATTTTTTTTTTTTTGTTCTGCTGTCTTGCATTTTGACATTTTTTGTAAAACAAATGTAAAACACTGTTGAGACATTCTTTGTTGTTTTTGACATTTTTTAACTATAGTAGTAGCATACATATCAGAAGCTTATACTAGATAGTTTTGAAACTAATTATAATAATAACAAAAGTTGAGTAGTGTGCTATTCGTTTCATCTAATTTTTTTAGTCTTCACAGTTTTCTTAATTTTTATTTTTATTTTTATTTTTATTTTTTTATTTTTCGAGGGCAACGGATTTCAGAACCATTTCGATCTTTTATTTTATTTTTTATATTTTATTTTTTATTTTATTCTTTATTCTTTATTCTTTATTCTTTATTCTTTATTCTTTATTCTTTTTATTTTTATTTTTATTTTTTGGTTTGTCTCAAAATTTGTCTCAAAATTTGTCTCAAAATTTGTCTCAAAATTTGTCTCAATTTTGTCTCAAACGAAGGATTTCCACTTTTTTTTTTCTCTTTTTCTTTGTCACCATATTACTATTAAGTATTTACTACAGCTGTAAGAGTAGTTAGTTTATTTTTCTAACTAGAAGGAGAAAATTAAAGTTATGTATCAAAAAATCAAAAAAGAGACTAATGTTGTCGATGGGAAGTTACTTTAAAACATTGTCTCTCTCCCATTAGACAGAGACAGTGTTTTAGAAAAAGGTGGTGTCTAATTTTTTACTTAAGAGGAGAGAGAACAATTGTTTTTTTGTTTCTGAATTCCGGTGTCTAAAATAAATGATAAATAACAATACAATATACACTACAGTAAATGATGTATATATACATAAGTGTATATATCAAGTAACCTATATATATATTACAGTTGCTATTTGTTTAAACAAATTTGAATTGGTTGTTGTCGTCATTCGAATATTTTATTATTTATTTTATTTTATATTTTATTTTTCTCTTACATTTTGTGTAACGGACTTCAACTTTAAATTTTTTAAAAAATAAAAAATAAAAAATAAAATGAATACAATAGAATATAGAATGAAAAAAAAAGAAGTAAAAGTATAATGTATAATATATATATATATATATATATATATATATTATAAAATTACATCATTTAATTTGTTCCCAATTTTTTGAAATTTACTTTTAAACAAGAGATATATACCCACCAATTTACTACCTATTTACTACTTACTTACTACACCCAAATAGTCATCAGCAATAGGTCAACTCATATATATATATATATATATATATATATATATTCATACTCGGTGAGCCCATGAGAGACATTATATACTGCGAAGACAATAAGACAATCAACTAATACTACCACTACTACTACTACCACCACTCATTACACACCACATCCTTGTCACACACACACGTCAAGCAATTGGAACCATCATCTAACTGTCTTTCCACCATTACATAAATTACTTTTTAATTGCAACAAAAAGATTTAACACAACTGAACTACTACAAAACTTTTGTTCAATTATTTTTAATTTTTATTTTGATATGGCAGAATACAACAACAGATATACTACTACAAATGCAGGTGAACACAATGGCAAAACGACATCTAATAACTGTACCAACGATTACTACTATAACAATAGCAACCCAAGTGGTAATAACGACGTGAATGCTTCTACCAACAACCACTATAGAGCAACTTCAAATATTGCTGCAAATATAAAACCAGATGCACCCACTGAAGGAAGTTTTCAACAGGGTTTATATCAAACTTCATCATCACTAGCAGGAGTACAACCTTCATACGTATTACATGCTACGCCTATTCCTCATCCACCGCAACACCCACTCATGTCGTTACCTCCCCCAATCACATCTGCTATGAATAGTCAGGCTAGCCCATCACAATCCATCAACCACCTTTACCACAACCGCAACAATAACAATAGTATTGGCAACAGCTTCACTCTGAGAGCTAGTCCCCATTTTCAAATGTTGGGTCATAATAGAAACAATAGTCTGGAACACAATATACAATATGAAACTTCTCATCAGTATGGCTGTGGTGGTAACAATGACGCTGCTTTTAGCCATGTGCCACAGTCTTATATGAATGGTTATCCATTAAGCCAACCAAAACCAACATTACCATTACCTGCAAATCATCAACTGCAGACACAAACACAGGAGCAGCAGCAACCACCACAGCCAAGAGATTCTCAAGAACAACTTACAAGCAACAACTTTCCCAATGATCCCACGTCTTCTTCACAACCCCACAACTCCAATGACAAGTTTAATTCACTGCTGTACCACATGGGCCAGCCTTCTCAATCAAATTCCCAATTTGTGCGTCAATTTCTGCATCATTTAAACCCAAATTACGCTGTCAACCTTAAATTTATCAAGGATTTAAACACAATGATGAATAATTGGTCAGAAGATGAGGTGAAGGCGAGAAGAAGATTGGTCAAGTTTGACGTTCTGCATGGGGATAACAACACAATGCAAATGATAAACTTTGAAGCTATAAAATCAGTTGACTACGGAGTAACACAAGCAGTCATTTCTTGTATTTATTGGCAAGAAAAGAATAGGTTTATTTGCACTTCAGTTGATATCATTTTATTGCTTGAATACTTGGTTCATCAAAGTTTTGGTATTGAAGAAAAAAACCGTATTAGACGAAATTTGCAAAGTTTGAAACCAACAACTGTCTCAAGATCAAACAAAAATGATCGTGACTTTTTCAGTTTAATCATGAGTATGGAAAATCCTCGTCCCAGAAATATTGAAAAGGACTTGAAAGTGTTTAATTGGAGTGATTTGGGTAAAGCTATTGCCAAGGTTATGTCAAAATATTATGTTGTATCTTCACCATCACCAGGATCGGCAAATTTATGGTGTAATGGTGGTCACCAACTGCATAATGTGCCGTTGTCGGGATCACCAGCGCCAGCAGCGCCACTAGCACCAGCAACACGACAGACACCCCAGTCTTCACAGACACTGCAAGAAGGAGGGATGCACGCGAGGCAAAGCCAGTTAGCATACGGTAATGGCAATAATTTACACCACGCCAGCCAACCACCATTGCACAAGCCGAGTTTACCACCTTTGACTCTGGTTGCTCCTATTTCAAATTCTTCAACTCCAACATCTACGCAGTTTCCCCATCATCAATCTCCTCAACCATACGGAGAAGAGATACGAAGTTCAAGTTCTGCACCCGACCTTCAAAAGACCCACTATCTGCTGGATTCAAACCGGCGCAAGGACTTTGCTTTCCCCCCCACGGCAAGAGTCCAACTGAGTAATACATCAACAATAGGAACCCCTCTGGACAGCTCTAATGTACGTAGACAAGTAACCCCTACATATCATACTCAAGAGTCAAAACAACAGTATCATCATCATTATCATTCGCAACCAACTGGCTTTCAATTACCATTACCACCTCCTAGGCTATTTCCTTCTGGTAAACATTCTTATTCACGAGTAACACCTAGTACAATAGACGCAGGAGTAACCTCGCAACAACAACAACAACAACCTGTGATACCAAGGTCGAGTGACGAATCTACCAAGGAGACGAGTAACATGAACTCAGTTGCATCATTTGGATTATTGAACTCTGCAGCGAATGATTCATCGTCCTTTTCAAACAAAGAAGAGCTGCTGCTGGATAGTGATAGATGCACGAGTAAGTTGAAGTCTGGATCCAACGCAAGAGGGTTAGTATCGTCGTCGGGTCAACACCCACCATCAATCAATTTTTCCGACAGTCCATCTCCAGATAAGGAGATTGAAGGTGATACTAGTTCGGGCTCAGAGAGACCTTCAAGTAATGATGACGATGATGCAGGTAGTGCATTGTCGGGCAACTCAAAAGCAAGTGTCGATAATTCTGATGACAGTGGACAGACAAACAAGAGTAATGGTATTTCGAATAGCAACAGTTCAATTAGTAGTGGTTCTAAAGACTCGTCAAGTTTATTTTCAATGCAACGTGATCTGGGTAATTCAAGTGAAGAATCAACAATGTCAAATTCAGTACCTGGAAGTGGTAAATTGACTCCATTGAATTTCAATAATAACAACAATAGTGTTGGTAGCTTGCTGGGAACTAATGGAGGTGCTGCTGCAACTACCAGTTCAAGTTTTCCAAAGACGAGTTTGCGTGCTTTAATTGACCCACAACCATCATCTCTTTTGGGACATAAAGTGGAAGAAGATGGAGAACCAGTAGGAGATAATGGTAATGAAGATGAAGATGGATCGATGGAGGATGATGCAGATGAAATGGATGTTGACGATGGCAATAAGATCCACAACCCCAACTGGAATCGAGATGAATCTATCAGGATTAGAGCTCCACCCATGACGAAAAAGAGAAGGAGAAAGCCACAAAGGAAAATGAGTAATTCGCATCATCAACTACAGAATAATGCAACTTCACAGTATTTTGATAATAAAAATGAGAAGTTTACTTCTTCTCATCATCAACCTTTGCCCAGTTTGAACGGTGGAGTAATGAAGCCACAACTACCACCGATATCTCAATTGCTTAAATCAGAATATACCTCAAACGAAGCAAGTCCTCCATCGTCACCTGCTTATCAATCACCCTTGGCTGTCGATGATGAAAGAGTACCATTGGTTAAAAAAGTTCATAATTGGAAAGATTATTGATTAATCTCGCCCTATGATTTTGGCTCGATATATAAAGAGGATGTTTTGTATTACGAATAGATTTTAATGAGTTTGTTTCCTTTAATGTAAGGCTAAGTTTTGTATTACTACCACTGATCTATCTATCCATCTCTCCGTAAAGCCATCATTCTCCTTTTATATCACTGACTTTACTCTCTCAGTTTATTGTCCAGTTTACGTTCAATTTCATCGACTGTTGGTTTGAAATTTGGCGTATTGGCAAAAACAGCCCCCCTTTCTGGTTCAATAGTAACATAACTTAAATAATCCAGGGAGTTTCTCGTGCTGGGATTTTCAAAGACAGGTTGAGCGGAAATTCTGGTATTCGAGATTGATTGAATACTACGACTATTATTTGATAATGTGCTTTGTTTTTGAGTGTTGGTGGTGGTGGTGGTGGTGGGGACATTATAGTTTGATTGAATGAGGATGTTTCTTGGTCCGTTGATTTTGACAAAATCGGTGGTTCCCAAGGAATATATTGTCCATTTTGTTTTTATTTGGTGATAGATACGACCAAGGTATGAAACGACTGATTTAGTAGATTGGGAAATCCGCAACCAGTAAGATTTGATTTGACGATACGTTGATGGTGATGGTGAGGTAGTAGCTTGTGGTGAGGTAGATGCTATATGTTGCTTACTGACTTTTGTATCCAGCAGTGCTACTACTGATGCTAGCGTTTGTTGTGAAATAGCTGATGTATCTTTGACAACACAGTTTTCCAAATCAAAAGGTCCATTCACGGTAATGGCCAATATAGCACGTTTATTAATCAAAATTTCCTCACCTTCGTCCACATCTAATTGATAAATACCTCCATTTCCAACAAGTCCCACTTGTCCTCTGCCACCTAACAAAGTATATCCTCTATTACTCCAGCTCTTTAACCCAGTCTCCACTTTAGTGCCTCTACTAGTATTGTTGTTACCACTCAATTGCTTGGCGAATTTCTTGGAAATGTATCGAGGTAGATTATGTAAACTTATGGACAATGAGTTCCCGGTATAGACTTGAATTGCATCATTGTTTAACACGGCCCAATCATTCAGTCCATCAAGGATCAAACTGACAAATGATGAGTCGGAAGTAGCACGATTATTTGATTTGTTTTTACTACTGATTAATAAAGAAATTGGTATTGTTGAAATAATGTTTTGGAAACTTTGAAATTTGCCCATGAGAATTAATCGTTTCCACCAATGAGGGTACTCAATCGTGTTACGTATTACTGGGCCATCATCTGTAACTTCAGTACTACTCAATGTACCACTCGCACTGTTATTGTTGTTGATGTTGATGTTGAAGTTGGTGGTGTTGGCGCTTGATTTCAATCCGTACATAGACAACAATGACCCCCGGCGCAAGTAAATTGGAACTGAAGGCGGTGAATGAATCGACAAGATTGTGGGCGGTGTACCTAAACTTTCAAATTTAGCAGTTTCCAAAGTCTGATACGGCTTCAATTGTGTCACTTGACTAATATTATCAGAATCGGTGATTGTCTTGGTCAAAGCTGCATTATTAGCGTCTTCAACAGGTGTTGTAGTGGCTGTTGTATCTTGCGGTGCCGATTTATGGTTGATCGATATGTGACGAGTGGCAATTGATAACAGCTGAGGAAAGCTGTGTGGCTGTAGTGATCTCAACGAGATTGGAGGTCGCCATGGACCCATACCTGGTGCCATTGTGTGTTGTATAGTGCTTTGGTTTGATGGAACGCTTGATGAAAGGTTTTTTTGACATATGTTTAGCAAAAGTGCGAGAAATGGAAAAGTAAGTTAGCGAAAAAAAAAAGAGCCAAATGCTTTTCTCAATTCCCATTTGACAGATCTCTGATTTGCATAGTTGCAGTTTATGAAGCTAATTCGACTAAAGCACAAACTTCAACAAAGGAACGAGTGCAGTTGGACTCTTGTGATGCGATAAGGGCAGGTATATTGCGGCGACTTTGTCCGTATTTTATCCTCGCTAATGCGATTGACAAAGATTCAGAGTGGCAACAACACAGATATATATCCTGCTACAGTATCCTAAATACCTATTTTTAGTATATCTACAGTGATACCTGTTAGTACATCTGTTTGGCCAGTATTGTACAATTTTGAAGTATGAATCATCAGGTCACAGATTCTCTTAACTATATGTCACGTGCTTTTAGTTTCTAAGACTTATTAAATCCAATGCATTAGTTGTTCGTATTATCTTCGGATAGTACATTTGTCAAATTTAACAATACAGAGAAGATTAGCATTGTCCTTGCATAAAGATGACACGCTTTACAAAGAGATTTACCATTTTTTTTTGCTTTTTGAATCTACTTGACATACATCACCTCAAGCAGTGTCTATATAGTCATGTATTATCACCTAGATGGTACCAACATGCACTACAGTGTCAGTTTCGAACTGGGTACTTTCAATTCCAAAATCTTCTATTTTTGGCACACACACGACTTTTATTCTTTTGTTTTTCTGACTTTTTGACTTTTCACCCAATTGTATTTCTTCAAATTTGACTTACAAATATTAAATTTAACATGTGCAAAACATTGTAAGGAAGTAAAATACCTACACTTTATTAAATTGGAATTGTAAAAAACATCTCTTTATAGCATCGACTTAGGAATCACTTACACCTATAACCAGCCCATTTCCTACCCTTAAACTTGCTACTTTCGACTCATTGGCTCTTTTATTAAAATTCTGTCACCAGGACCATTTTTGCGTAGATGTAGGAAACAGAAAAAAAAAAAACCAGAAAATTTCGATATCTTTAAACCCTACTTGACCAGTTAAGAAGATCTCACAATCCACATACTTTAACACCACCAGGACCCATTTGTGGAAATTCCCTCATTGCTACAACAACTGGCCTTTTTTTCTTTTTAACTCACTTGTACCATTTGTTCATAACTTATTTATTCAACCACCTTAAAATTCACATCACCGTTAGAGACTTTTCTTTTTTAATTTCAAACATGGTTCCATCGGCAATACTCAAAAGAACGGTTCAAAGGGCTCCAAGACTCGTTGCTCCCAAGTCTTTATCTATCAGGTCGTTCACCCAATCCACCATGAGACGCATTGCTCATGAAGAAGACCTTGTGGATCTTAAAACATTACCTAGAAAAGAAGAGCCTGAAATTTATGTTCCTTTAATAAACCCAACTGAAAAGTATAAAGTACAGATTGAAGAGTTGCACAAGTTTGGTACTTATATCATGGCATGTTTACCCAAGTTTGTTCAGCAATTTTCTGTATGGAAAGATGAATTGACAATTTATGTTGCTCCATCTGCATTGAGACCAGTTGTGTCGTTTTTAAAATATCACACATCAGCTCAATTTAAAGCATGTATGGATGTCACAGCAGCTGATTATCCATCGAGAACTAATAGATTCGATGTTGTTTACAACTTGTTGTCAGTCAGGCACAATTCAAGAATAAGAGTCAAGACTTATGCTAGCGAAACCAGTCCTGTTCCTTCAGTCACTCCATTATACCAAGGTGCCAATTGGTACGAAAGAGAAACCTACGATTTGTTTGGTGTCTTCTTTACTGGCCATCCAGATTTGAGAAGAATTATGACTGATTATGGGTTCGAAGGTCATCCATTGAGAAAAGACTTCCCAACTACTGGTTACACTGAAGTCAGATACGACGAAGAGAAAAAGAGAGTTGTTTATGAACCATTGGAGTTGACTCAAGCATGGAGAAATTTCACTGTTGGTTCATCAGTTTGGGAACCAGTTGGAGAAGGTCAAGATTTCACTCCAGAAAACTTTAAATTGCCAACACCCGAACCAGAGCCAGAGAACAAGGATGAAAAGAAGTAAATATAGTCTCTATTGATTTACTAGAAATGAGATTAATAGTGTATAAAAAGAAAAAGAAAGTACTTTTGCATCTCTTAAGCTTTTTAATGTTGTTGTAGCGATGCAATCTCTTGATTCAATTTGACCAACTCTTGATTTCGCGAGTCTAAATACTCTTGTAACGACTGAGCTTGCGTTTCAAGATCTTTAATGTCATTTTCGACTTTCAGCAAATCTTCATCTCCACTACCCGATTGTTGCCTATTATACTGGTCTTGCTTGTACTTTAACAATTGCTCAAACTCATACTTTATCATTCTTTGCTCTTCGGATTGCTTTTTATCAGCATTTGATCTGTTTTGAACCTCAGAGAGCAATTTTTCTAAATCAGCTAGTTCTCTTTTCAATCTCACTTCCTCCCAATCTGTTCCTTCAGTTGCCGAAAAATCAGTCCCTCTCTCAGCATTGCCATTACTTCCGTGGCCCAATTTGTTCAAGTAGCTCTCGGCAAATGAACGTTTTGAGGCTTGCGTCTTTGTCGTTTCGAGCGGTTTGGCTTGTGCGCTCAAGTCATAGCTGGGTACTTCCTTGGAGAAAGTAGCCCTTAAACTAGCAGGTACTCCACGGGGCACTCGTTTCCCGTTTTCTCTTTGGTTTAAAATGTGCAAAAATACCAAAGTCTGGTCCTTATCTATTGTTTCAAACGACTTCGGATTGACCAAGTTCCACGCCGAGGATATATCACTTGATGGAACATTCTTTAACGTTGCATATAATGAATTTAACGAATCAAATCTTATTCTACCAAATTGATCATTATTCGATTGGTATATCGTTTCATAAGTAGATTTGTCACTGGGGGATATATACCAATCAAAATCATCGCTCAACCCATCCTCGTCATCTTCATAATCTAATCCAACATTCCTACCTTGACTCACGGCTTGGTTGGCTTGAATCAACGCCGCCTTCGACGATGGAATCAACCATGAGGGCAATTGATCAGGAACTTCGGGAATCGATCCATTAACCAAATCAAAAATCAACCTCATAGTTATACAAAACTCCTCGAAATCTAAACTCCCATCATTGTCTATATCACTAAGTGTCCAAATGGCCGATAGTTGCTGTTGTGGTAATCGGGAATTCTTCAAAACCGGAGCAACGCTATCACCGGAGAGCTTGTTGTCCACTGGTTTTAATCCTTGGAAAATTTGCCAGTACTTCTTGATCTCGGCATCTTCTAAACGTGGCATGTTTCAGGTGTATTGTTGATCAATGGCAATGATGATATGTGCTGGTGATATTCAGTGAGAGCTCCAATTAAAATAGGCTTTTGGTCTTTTGCTGGATCGAAAAATGGTGATAATTTTGTCGATTGTGGAAACTCTATGTCATACAATTTTTTTTTGCTGCCAAGTTTTAAGAACTAATGCCATTTGACAATGATATAACTGCCCTTACAACCAAATAATCGACTATGGAAACGGGCAGACACTAAGTGGGATAGTGTCTGATGCACTGGCTACTAGAAACAAGCAAGCATGTTGCTACATCAATGACAATTAAAGATTCAACTGCAAGCAAAACAATCAATTTAGAAAATGATAGACTACTACATCATGGACAGGCTCTATATACTACCAGACTGTCACAGTTATCCTTGAAGCTACTTGAAGCTTCCAGACAGTTTATTTTGGAGTTTAGTTTTGAATATACACTTAAAGCACTTGTGTTAGATTATTTGATATGCTTCGATGAAAGGAGATGTCATAAGTTGGGATAGAGTATCACTGATTAGGCTTATTGGTTTCAAAAAAAGTGCCCGAGCAGATTATTTACATGATGGGGGTACCAAAAGACGAACTATTAACCTTTCATCACTTTTCCAAGATTTGTCCACTTACACATTGTTGTGCCAATTGACAGAAGCCATATTGAGTTATCAAAGAAAGCATGCTTGAGGTAGCGAATACATTCGAGGAGGTTGACGTGTAATGGTAGCTACAAATAAACCGCCTTTTTTAACAGAGACCGCCTAATCTTTCTGTTTCAGTTTCGCAACGGCTGTTGATCAAAAGAGGCAGGACTTGGAATAACATCCCATATGGACACGAATCAGGCTTATGTGTAGTTCACACTATTGATTTCAGTATAGCTATGGCGCCCTTATGCCAAATAATTAAAAGCGAGAACGAGGAGTTACAGTGCCAACACCTGCAAACCTTTGACAAGACAAAAACACTTCTACAATCATTCACTGAGTGCTGGTTATGGGATACGCATGGAAGGAGAACACCACTAGTTCAAGTCAATAGCACAGGCCATAGGAGGCTTTTCCATTTAGTTGAGACAATTAATATTCTAAATGATAAGAGAGCATTTAAAAATTGGTGCCGTGCAGGTTCAAGTGTCACTTCAAATAGTACAATTCAGTTGCCTTTCAGAGCTTTGGCTGAGTTTACCTTTAGAAATGCTCACTAAGCACATGTCACAACCAATGAAGCATATATCACTGGTAGATAGAGAGACACGGAATTACCCATTTTCAAGTGAATTAGGTAGGGGAGAAAATAGAGTTGGGCAGTGGATTTCTTTTTTTTTTCCAAGATAGTCTAATTTCCGTCATAACAAAGCTTATTTTTTTTAACGCCACATTTACGAGGGTGATGATAATACGAGGACAAAAAAATTGTTTTGGACGTTAGCTTGGGACGCTAAGCCAAACAAGAGTGAAATTGTCACCTCTTAAAGTTGAACGCAATAGTTCACAAGCAGCAACACCAATTGGTACACAGCTGGCAAGTCAATACAAATTACTAACTTTAGTGTTTGCCCAATTTTATTTGACCAGACATGACATGCATCACAAAACCTTCTTTTTGTTCACTATTGTGACTTTAAATTATCACATCATAAATCGTCGAGTTTTAGTTAATAGGTTGTGGGGACTTGAGAATATAAATAAGTGCGTGATTGTTCTGGCTGGGGTGCAATTAGAGGAAGGGTGTGCTTTTTTTCTTTTTGACCTTGGCTTTCAGTACCCTGATTTTCTCGACTATGATATACACCACTGACAAATTCAAACTATCGAAGCTATTCATAATATGGTGCATCCTTGTTAATCTGGTATCAGCTATTTCCCTTACACCACGATGCTCGAATAAAAGGGACGATGATTTCAGATTTGAAATGTTGAGGCTAGACGATGGTAACGTGATTCATAGTTTTGCTGATACGGACGATGCACTCAACTACGCGGAGCATTTGTATCTCAACGGTGATGATGTTTCCAAATACAGGGCTTTTTGCAATGATACAAGAATGAGCTTGGAAGGCTTTGATATTTCACGAGAGGGAAAAGCCAAGAGATGGAAGTGCTCCAATGCCCCGTTAGGAACTCATTTTACTCAGAGACGTACAGTCGAGAATGGTACGTTTTTCTCTAAGTGGAGCCAAGTAGCATGTGAGTTCAACAACTCTATCCAAGAAGTTCCACATCGTGCGTTACCAAAGCCATGGAAATACACAAAATCCAAAAGAGCAGATCGTGGATTTAATCACAAATCATGTAAAAGGTTGGCCAAGTCTTTTGGTTTGGACGCGGTTGATAAAGTTAAATTCAATAATGATAAGGAAGGGGTGTCATGTGCAAGTAAGCTCAATGAATTTGCTTCTGCATCTATACGAGTGCCAATGTTTTACTCAAAACAACAAACTCAGAGGTGTGTTCGGAAATATTATGGCAAACATGGATGCAAATGTGGCCATTGGTCGAAAATCAAGTATGGAGAATTTCCAATCAAGAATAAACGCCCTGAGTATCTTTGTCTGTCTCAAAAGAATTCATGCAAGTAGTGATATGGTTTATATGTGTGATATTTCCGAGCGGTTCATCGTCCACACATATTTCGGATTTGATTGTGTGCTGTATTGATAAAACTACAAATTGGGAAGAGTGTGTTGTTCAAGGCATGGTAGGCTTTTACAATTTAAAATATGTCAAATTATTTTGTTGTTCAATTTCAAAAGCAGTCTCCCAGGGGGGATGTGTTCTTTTGTTCCTTAAATGATTGAACGTAGAACACAAGTTGAATCGTTTGTGGATTGCACTTCTGTAGATCATCAAATGGGGTATAACAAGTACATACAAGCCTAAACTAACTTGAACTGTAACAAATTTGTGGGGATTTGCGTTTCTCTTTCTCTTTTTTTTTTCTTTGTTCTCTATATATCGGGCTAAACAATAATTTACTAAATAGGTAAAAGATATCGAGGAACCAACTCAAACGTTTGATTACCCACATCTCCGTGATTGATCAATTCAATGAATCCTTCTTTTTAATATTGTGTGCCGATTAGTGCTTTGGTTCGTCACAAGGACAAGCTCTTTATCATAACCTTTGGCTACCAAAGGAAGTTTCATCAGACAAGTCTTTTAGAACAAGTTAGAAAATTACTCCTGCCACTACAGTTGACAAAGTTTAAAGTTATCTCGGTATTCAAGATGGAGAAAAGTTAGAACAAATTACGACGGAGATAAAAAGACAAATGGGTAAACAAAGTGTCAAAATGCGGGGGAGTATTTACCAACTATACCCATCGTGGACCAACACAATAAACAAGACAACAATCAGATTTACGTAATGCATGACCTAAACAGGTAGAAGACCTGCAACAGAATAAAAAGAGAGAGATTTACACACGAACTCGCTTGCCAGATGCTTGACCCAAAAAACCCCACAGATTTGCAATGCAATTTCACATCGCTTTGTTTTACCTCATTATAGGTACACTTGCCGCCACCATAAAACCAACAAAACCATCCGATGATGACTTCTACACCCCACCTCAAGGCTATGAAGATCAAGAAGTTGGAACCATTCTCAAGCGTAGAAATACTCCCAGTCCATTGACTAGCGTTGTGAACCAAGCCTCAGTTCAGAATTCATGGCAATTGTTGGTACGATCAGAGGATTCATTTGGGAACCCTAATGCCATAGCAACAACAATTATTCAGCCATTTAACGCAAGCAATGACAAGGTGGTGTCGTATCAAAGTTTTCAAGATTCAGGAAAGCTAGATTGTGCAATCTCGTTTGCAATTCAGTATGGGTCAGGGTTTGATAATTTACTTGGACAGGCTGAGATGTTTTTTATATCGGCATTTCTAACTCAGGGATACTATGTTGTTGTTCCTGATCATGAGGGTCCGAAAAGCACATTCACTGCGGGCCGGCAGTCCGGGAAAGCCACTTTAAACTCAATCAGAGCAACATTGAACTCAGAAAATACAACCGGGATTCACTCCGGTGCACAAGTTATGATGTGGGGGTATTCAGGAGGCTCTTTAGCGTCAGGATGGGCAGCTGTATTACAAAAGGAGTATGCACCAGAACTCAGCCTGAATTTAATTGGTGCCGCACTTGGTGGGTTTTACTCCAATTTGACGGCCCTTTTTGACTATACAGATGGAACTATCTATGCTGGCTTAGTGCCCAATGCGTTGGGTGGAATTGGAAACGAATACACCAATGTTAGTGACTTTTTGAATCACAAAGTTAGCTCTGATGATGCTGAGCAGTTTCTGGAACGAGATGATTATTGCATCACAGATAGTACTTTTGCAAACCTCTTTCGAAATTACTTTTCAGGTTCAGATAAAGTATTCCCTGATGGATGGGGAATCTTTAATGAAGAGCCTCTCAAGTCGACAATGGAAGAAAATGGCTTAGTATACTTGTCTAAAGACTATGTTCCACAAATACCAATCTTTATTTACCATGCAACAAACGATGATATTTTACCGTTTAGAGATTCAAACGAGACGTTTCTGCGTTGGTGTGAGTGGGGACTTGAATCAGGGGAGTTTAATGAAGATCAAACTTATGCTCATATTACAGAAGCATTAGTAGGAGCTCCTGCTGCTTTGACATGGGTAATTGATCGGTTCAATGGTGTGCCGCCAGTTCAAGGGTGTAAGCATACTGCAAGAGTGTCTAATTTTGATTATCCTGGTATAGCATCATCCATCTTTGATTATTTTTCATCGATATTGGATATGTTGATGGGATCTGAGTTGGGTCCATTTTTGGAATAGCTTAATTAGTTGAAGGTTTATAAAATTAGATTTAAGACCATAGACTGAAACGTTTAGTAGAGGTTCAAAATGCGTTTCTCACCCAAAGGTGTTGCAAAACTTCTCCCTTTTTTCTCAAAATTGATATGCTGAGAAGGAATAATCAAATCCACTAACTTGGACTTAAACAGCACTCAAAGGCTTTCCAATTTTCTTCTTTTCATTGGGGTACCGAGTTATGATCGAAGCTCTTGTTTGTCCTTCAGTCCCTGACGAATATTCTGAGTTAACCAATGCAGACTTTCATGAGATTATTCCCTTTGTCAATCAAAAGTGTGATCCATTTTCGACAACTCCTGCTATTCAAACGCAATCAAATGTTTCCACTGAGGCAACTCAAACTAATGTTATTGATGATGACTATTTGCAAATGGAAGGTAAGATCGATGTGGATTATCAGATTGTCACTACTGTAACCACAATCAGCACCAGCACCAGCAGTATCCAAACACCAGACATAGACCATTTGTTCACATCTTTAAACCTGATAACACGAGCTAAGCCTCACTACTGTCATATTGAGAATGAGTCTCTTGCTCATAAACTCTCCACTCACCTCAACAAGTTGCATTTAGCTGAAGAAAGATTGACGATCGGTTGCCGACCAGAAACAAACCAAAATGGAGGCAAGTCGAGCAGCATCAAGAAGTGCACCTCGAATACACCACAAGTCGGTAATTTGAATGAATATGTACCAGAAACAACTTTTGGATACAAAGATGACATTTCGAGCGAGCCAGATAATGACTATTATACCCCAGGTCTGTCGTTTGTTGCGAATCTCGAAAATAGCAGACAAGGTAAACTACAACACCTGAATACAAACCAGTCAGGTGAGGAAGAGGACGATGATTATGTGATTGAACCTAGATATAATGAACTGTACATGCTAGATCCCAGAAGTGATGTTACAGAATTTCCCGATAATGCACGATGCTATGATAAAAGGGGGTTGGCCGAAGTCGATATTTGCAATGATAATCCAAATCTGTTTCCGGAGTCAATGAATGGTGGCCTTGAAACGGTTGATGAAGAGAAGAGAAAGGAAGCTTATAATTTGATTGAAGACGTTTATGAATTGAGTCAAGAAGACAATTATTGGGCCAATGAAGCTTATAATATTTCGAAAAGAGAAAGGATGAACAAACGATGAGGGGGTAGAGAAGAGGCAATCGATAATTCTGACGAGTATTGAAAATAATAAGAAAAGCGATTTTACTGTTAAAAAAGCTGTCAATGGTGTTCCTCTTGTTTGGAATCTTATTTTGCATATGTATTTTGTTGATGTTGAAGATGTGGGGTTGCTATTGTTGCTAATAATCAAAGATTAGCCTTTCTCCGGATACTTTACGTGCATTACAATATTGCTCTATTAGACCTATAATGAATTAAGAACTTGTATTTCTCAGTAACAGTAACACTTAGTCCCAATAGCAATGATTCGAATTGAGAGTTACATTGCTATGCAAATCAATTACTACTTCACGAGCACAACAAAGCGGCTATTTGCATTTGGTTTGGTTTCAGAAAATGTTTGATAAAAGCGGCCCTGCATTACTTTCTACTTTTTGTTTTATTTTGGATTCAGAAACATCTTATTATAAAGCCAAAGAGACAGAAGGAATATGCAATACTACTAAAAAAGCGTTGAGTTGAAAGGAAAGTTTGTGTAACTGCAGGAGACATGACGAGAGGTGGTGGGGGGGAAGGGGGGGGGTGCAAAAATTTTTACTAGAGTAGTGCAATTTTGTTAAATACATACTAAAGTTTATTGAAATTACAGTTGGATGACCAATTCCATCCCATTCTCTTGTTTTCTTTAAGCAATTGCCCTCTAGTAAAATAGCATGATTTAGTCATAGTTTAGGGGATATTTGAATCAACTAAGCTAGTCCTAATCTTCCTTGCTTAACAGTAGTCAGATGCTTTTCAAAAAACTACGTTATTGTAATAAATCTGTGTGCACACTTACACGACCAAATGAAAAACAAAACGGAAATAAAGAACCTTCTACGCATTAAACAAAAGTATCACAAAAGACAATTAAAGAAGTGTGGAAATAAGGTCGTGTATAAAGTGCAAAAAGTAAATTGGTATTTTTGCTATTATAGACACAAAATCAATGACGTCTTTTTAGTCTTTTTGAGTCTCTCGTTTGGTAAAGTTAAAAGAATGTGGACTCTAATTGGATGAGTTGCAACTGCGCCTAGGTACAAAGCGTTTGCATTACAGTGACAAACAGTTCAACAAGAAAGAGAGAAATTGGGAAAAGAAACGAAAAAAAAGTCTCAACAAAAATAGGGGGTGTAAAATAGGAAAAAACGATAAGTTCATACATATATATGCTACATGGACTAAATCTTTTGTTAACAACAGCCAAAAAAGAAAAACTTTTTATTGTAAAATCAAATGCTCTCTCCGGAGTATGACATTATATGCCAATTTTGTTACAGAAATAACCCACTGAAGACGAAAGGATTAGAGTAGATATAGCCACATTACCCTAAGAAACCCAACCTTCTTTGTAATATCGTAGCTGTATATATATGCTATGCATAAAGTATGATTGTGTTTATTCGTTTTGTTTTTATTTTTTTTTTCCTTCCGGTGTCCGGAACATACACAATTCGCCACGTTTTGTTCTATCAGCTTCTTGTCCATTGGCCACAATAAAAAGCTTATTCAGACAATGATTAGCAAGGTTAGCTCTAAGAATTAGCCACCTCTCCATGTGATTGACTGACCATCAGATATCAACACTTTTTAAAGAATAAATAGAGTACGCACACCTCATTTGGCCTGCTTTTCTTGCCTTCTTCTTCTTCTTCTTCTTCTTGGAATGGTAGCTGTGTAAGTGTCACACTTAGTAAGATTAGTTTCAATGTTAGCGTCTTTGTTGTAAAAGATATTCTGAAGTGTGTGTAAATAATTTTTGACACACACAGTCACACGCAGGCACGAAAACTTTGATTAGTTTACCAGGCATGTTCAATTTTGCCAATAGTACAAAAGAGCCCCTATGTACGTTCTATATATATTAGGCCAGAATGGAAACCTATATTCTTCCGAATCAGTTGGGCCCCCTGCAAATCAAAGTCGATGCGTCGAAGAATGGATGTAGAACAAAATATCTAAGACACTGTTTCTCGTTTTTTATTTTTCTTTTTTTAACACAAGAGAAAAACATAGAACAAAAAGACAGGGGGTGTAAAACACATGTCTCACTCCTGCATATAAACCAACTAATTAAATTTTGAAAGAAAAAGAAGAAAAAGAGAAAGGAAGAATAGAAAAGAAAATTTCAAAATTAAAGTTCGTATAAGAATCATACAAGATTCACACACACACATATATCATCATCATTTTTTTCTTACTTTTCATGTCTTATAAAACCAACTATATATAACCTTATTCATTTAAGACAAGATATATACAAATCACTTTTTTATTAGAAGTTATTAAACACAAATTTATACATCATAACTTATACCAACACATACACAGAGGATATAAGTCTAAACATTTCCCAATACCACAAGTATACTGGAACAACAACAACAGATATAGCAAGTCATATCAATTTCAGATACAACAAAGATTTAGCGATCACAACCGATTTTTAAAGAGTATGTATACACTTATTGTAACCCATTTTGGGAGAGAGAGAGAGAGATAGAAACTGTATCATTCGTGAGTTCTTTTCACATCAACATTCAAGTCAGATCTAGAGATCCCATTACCAATAGATATATACAATTGCCATTTCCACTACAATAAGAGAGAATCATCGGAGAGTCATAGAAGTTACGAGATCAGAAGATAATTCAGATTTTTGCCACACAAAATAGCCCAACGCATTTCAACCCTTTTTCATTAATGAGCCAACTCCTAAAACTACAAGCACATCTTAGATCAAGAAATATCAATAGCTCAACCTCACTTAATGTGTATCTTAAACTAAATAACCACAGTCATTGCTTTGCCTAGTGATGAAATAGGTCGTGGAGAGTTGCCAAAAAATGAAAAAGATACACACACACAGCAAGTTGAATTAACGAGAGTTACGATTACACTAACAACACGACCACACAGTGAACTGCAAACCATTAACAAAATCTAAGATTCATCACCCTCAATCAAAAGATGTTGTCACCTACGCTGTGAAATATTTGTTTCTCAGAAGTATAATTTTCACACCACGTTTGAAGACTTTTCTGGTATGCATGCGTGACGACGAAAAAAATAAACAATTTAGTTTACACCCCCATCAAGCCCATACTTTGCACCCCTATAGTAGAAGTTACGATAATCAAAGTAACTTTAGTAATGGAGTTTACCAATGAGTTAGGCAGGATTGTCTCTTTTGGATCTAATGGCGAATAAGGGCTTTTCTTCTCGGTATAGCGATGATTTTAGTTGGCAAAGTTTGTGGTGAATTGGCAACCAAAATTCAATTGAATCGACACTAATAAAAGAGATCATTTGCAGCACATAAACAAGAGCTTCAGTACAAATGGGCTACAATCAAGATACTCACAGATGAATGAACAGTTATCCTCTCAACTAAACCCTGTTCTGTATACTAACATTTTCTAGGCCATAACTGCTCAATTACCAGTTCAATAACTAATTTATTCCATCACAACATCTCCATTGATGCCTGATACATTACCAATTTCGTGTGTTTCTTGCCGAAAGAGGAAGATTAAATGTAACAAAAAGAAGCCATGTGACCAGTGTATAAAGAGACAAGTTGATTGTGAATTCCCTGCTACTTTTAGGAATATTAAGATAGGTGAAGATGGAGCAAAAGAAGGTAAGCAAACGAGCAGCGTGAAAGTGGAACATGAGCCACGAGGGGTTGATGAATCACAACTGGATATACATTTGGAACTACTACAGCAACAACAAACTCAACTTCAACTTAATCAAGAACAAATCAACCTTCAACAGCAGCAGCTACATAACCAACATCTCCAACATACGATACTTGAACAACAGCAACAAGGGCAACAACAATCACAACATCCAGAATTGCCTCCTCGCGTACCACTACAAACTTTGACTGAGTCAGGAAGCATCAAGAGTAGTAGTGGCACAAGTTCGAACTCCCTATTGACATCTACATCTGCTCAAAGCTCGCTAGTAACAGACCCACCTTCAGTTACTGATTCTACCGGAGCTGAAAGTGCCACAAAGATTATTTCGCGCGATGTTAATTTCAACCCCATTTCTGGCCAATCGGGAGAGTCAGGCTCAGAGTATTCGGCAGATCTGGCAAGAATGCATCCTTACCCAAGACAGATGATTTCATCTGATATGGATGACATGTCAGTGATGAAGAAGAATTTCGATATGATGAGAGCAGCCAATTCACAGTTGTTGGATGAAAACCGAGCATTGACACAAAGGTTGGAGGAGATTTTACTGAAAATTTCAGTTTCTGATACAACACCAGGGTCAACAACATCTTCTTCCTCATCATCAGCTCCAACATCAGCAGCAGCAGCAGCAGCAGCAGCAGCAGCAGCAACAACAACAGGTACAGCAACTGGAGGAGCCACCAAAAAGGTATCCAGTACTAGCTCCACTTCAAGCTCTGGCACTAAACGAGATCGAACTGCTGACTCCTCATCAGAGGATCTTCCCAATAAGAAGGAAAAAGTTGGCTTCTTTGGTCACTCCAAGGCAAGCTTTCCCAATGATTCAGCAAGTGCAAATCAAGGAATGTATTCAACAAATATTCCTGGTGTAGGTACTGTGCCAAAAAAGGAGATATCTAGTGGATCATCAGGTGGAAGTAGTGGTGACGAAGTTGGACAGCAGTTGGTTTCAACAGAAGTGCCACCTTTGTCTAGAGAAGCTAAAGCTGCCCAACCAGCAAGAAAAATTCACAAATTAAAGCGCAACAAATCTGGTGGCGGTGAAGGATCTAATAACTGGGAAATGGATATCGATGCCTTCCAAACCCACCAATCTGTCAAATCGAACCGTATGGTGGAAAGAAGTGGGAAGAAGAAGAAACTCCCAATTCTACCTTCCTACTTGTTGAAATACGAAGATCCTGACATCAGTGCCGATTCCGATACAAACCACGACGTTTTCCGTTTGAACTTTGAAGTAATCATGAATTTGGTATACAAATTTTTCGAAAGAAGTCCATATTATAGAACATTCATTTCTGCTTCGCATGTATTCGGATTCTTGAGGAACTATGAGCAAATCAGTGATAGAGATTGGGATAACGACGTTGACATGATGTTAATTTATATGATTTTGAGCTTGTCTGTTCAAAGACTTAGTTCGAAAGATTTTGTGGATTTGAACTTATTGCCTGCAGGTTCTGTCAACACTTGCACAAAATATAGAAAGTATTTGACAAGAAATGTTTTGCACAAAGGCTTTGAAAAATTAAGGCATGGTTTGGTGAATGAGTCTTTGTTGTCGATTCAATCGTATATTTTGTGCACTGAGTGGTACTTTTTGGAACAAAAATATGAGGAGTGTTGGACTATGATGTTCCACTCTTGTTCAATATCGTTTTCAATTGGGTTACACATAATGGGAAACTACAGTTTACAAGAAGTCAAACCGGGTAAGCAATTCAAGAATTTGATCAGTGCCACCGCTGAAGATTCCGATGTTAGTGACAAGAAAGAGTCATCAGGATCAGAAGAAGATGACAAAGGATTAGACGAAGGATTGGATATAACTCGTTACAGACTATGGTTTGCCTTGAAGTACTATGTGTCGCTGATTTGTTCCATCTTTGGTAGGCCAAACCCAATTTCAGTCCAAGTTGGTATGAACGGCTCCAATAGTGGATTAGGCTCAGCCATTCCTAATGAAAGGGCTCACATTTTATTCAAAGTAGGCGTATGTGAATCATTGAGATTGTCTAATCTAATGTTGATTGAAAATTTTATGATTGACTTTACATTGTCCGATTTGCTTAATTTGTCACACAAATTCGCCCGCGAAATTGCCATCTTGAACGCCGCTTATACCCTGAATAATGGCGGTTCCATGAGTGGAGTGGTGTCTGCATCACCTAACGATTTTGATTATTTAGTGATCGATGATTTCACTGGAAAACCATTGAAATACACAAGTTTGGAGTTGTTGGCTGACTTGATTATCTTGCACATCAATAATGCCAAATTGTATGAACCTTTTATTAGCAAATTCGAAAACATGGAAGGTTATGATCAGATTGTGAAGGACCAGACAGAGTCGGTGGCTAGGTTTTTGGTGTTGTTGAATACATTTATTGAAGGCTTTTTGAAGCATTGTGTTGATGAACATTTCCAAGAAGGACAAGTAAATGGAGGAGGTGATTCAAATGATGAATCGTTAAACTATGGTCCTGTTAAATTTGGTAAGCTTTTCAAGTCGTACTTTCCATTTTTGAATTCGTTCATATGCCAAGGTATCATTGTTGTTTTTACTTTGTTGCACTACAAGTCGAAGGACTTTGTTGCCAATGATGGAAAGTCACTATTAAACAATAATTTCCTCAGATTGGTTGAGAGCAATTTGAATTCACTCATCAACTTTGAACAAAGGATATCAACAAAGTATATTACAACCTCGAGAATGTGGTCATCCAATATGGTTTACTTGATCAACCGAGTATTGAATTTGATCAAGTTGCTTTATGAAAAGCAGGAGGATAGTTCGATTGCTGAGGAAATCAGGAATAAAAAGTCGATATCGGGAACATCTTCGTCATCACCAGAAAGCAATTCTAATTTGCCCATCACTACTGCCAGAGGTAATTTGTCGTACTTGCTCAATACTAATCCATTTGGTGATCCATCCCAATTTGAGTATCTAAATGGGTTCCATTTGAATGATCCATTTTGGTTGACTGTTCCAGATGGTTCAATGCCATACTATATTGAAGTAGATGGAAGACAGGATAAGTCAATTGCTGGATTCAAACAGTATACACGAGTAAATGACAATACTGGTAATGGTAATGACAGTAAGAGAGATAACTCAACGGCTTCGATGGCAACTGGTGGTGATTCGAATGGTGCAACTCCTTTGAGCAGTGCACCTATGTCTGCTATTAGTAACAGGCCATCGATTTCTCGACCACCATCCGACATGTTTGGATTGAATTCAAATTTTGGAAACTGGAATGATGTTAGCAATATGCAAGGGTTGAAACAAACACCAAACAGTGGAGCCAACTCATCAACAAGTACTCCAAACATTGGAGTTGGATTGACTGCTGGTGGTCGTAGGCCATTATCCTCAGGCTTACCACCACCTATTCCAACACCAACATTGCAACAGCAACAGCAACAGCAACAGCAACAACAGCAACAACAGCAGCAACAGTTGCCCCCACTTATACAGGTACAATTCCAACAACAGCAAGAACAGCAAAAGGACCAACACCCAACACCACCATCACAACCACAGCCACATCACCCTACACCAAACTTTATGGGTGGTGGATACATGTTCCCTCAACCTTCCGGATACACTCCACAGCCATTCCACAGTGATCAATCCTTTTACAATCAAGGAGACAAACAAGCGTCAAACAGAGATAAGAATTAAAGCTTGCTGCTGTTTTTTAGTTAGAGTGAAAGTATTGGATGCAGATATTATTTACCGTGATTTCTGATTTTTGATTCCTGATTTATTGAGGAGACGTGAAAGTTGTTTTTTTTAATGTGTGTAATATTTTAATAAATTTACATGTATTGTGATAATTGGTGAACATTAGACTTGTAAGTTCTTGTTATAGAGAATGTAAAAACGTAATACAGGAACACTGTTTTGTAGATTAGAAAAATTAATTTATCTTTGTAATTGCATCACTGTTAGTGGCTGATATCTTTTTTTTATCATCTTTGGTAAAGGCTTTGAAAAAAAATAAAACATCTCACCTTTAGCAAGAAAAAGAAAATGCATAGGAAACTCTCTCCTACCTGTTAGACAAGACCTTACAGGGGACAGTGATTAGGCTAACTAAAAGTCGCATTTATCTTTGAACACATCTGTTTTGTCAAAGGTGACTCTTTTGCTAAGTATCTTCATCGGAGTTACAAAAAAAAATACAAAATATCTCTCTTGTATATTTCTCTCAACAAAAAATAAATCTACCCGCTAACTCTAAATACAGAGGAAAATAAAAAAAAAAAAGAAAATGTTTTCCTTCAACAAAACAAAGTCTATCAACTCATTCAGATAACCACAAGGAGTTATATATCATCTGTTGATAAGCTCTATTTCACAATTGGTACAAATTAACACACACACACACACCTACTTATTTATTCTACAAATCTACCCACCTCAACCATCCCTTTTAAAAGCCATCTACACAACGTAAGTAATACTTTCCCCACTTTTGTCAATGGTGTCAATACTAACCACATCAAACTAGCAACACTTCAACTATGTCTACATTCAAGAAGTTTGCTGATAACCTTTTTTCCAAAAAGACGTTAAAGTATATGTGTACCACCCACTTTTGGGGACCAGTTTCTAATTTCGGTATTCCTGTTGCGGCTATAATGGATTTGAAAAAGGACCCCGACATGATTAGTGGTCCAATGACTGGTTCGTTGATCTTATACAGTTTAGTGTTTATGAGGTATTCCTTGGCTGTTACGCCAAAGAATTATTTGTTGTTTGGATGCCATTTTGTTAATGAGTTGGCTCAATTGGGCCAAGGATTTAGGTGGACCAAGCACCATTACATCGACAAAGAAGCTGCTAATAAGGAAGTAAAGAATTAGGATGTGGTTATTAGGGTAAGTGATTGCCTGGTTGATATATATATATATTCATAAATAGATTAATGACAGATATAGTATTTTGATTATAAAAAGTTGATTGGCTGAGACTCACTCGGGTATGGAGCTAACTTGAGTATAAAGGCTCTTGTTTTGAGCTGACGGTATGCACTTTTTCAACACAAGATAACTCTTACCCAATATGTCATTTGTAAGGTACTCATAATGGAATCAGTTTCACTATATACGGTAGCGCTATTATTATAACGTCCAGACAAAGTAACAAAACGGCAAAACAATTAGCAAGAGTGCAATTCACTACAATCGTTGTCCAACAATGAGGGGCATATACTTTCTACTCACATTTATTTCCCTAACACTAGGCTACTCTCCATCCAATGTGATACAAGCCAATGATAAGAATTTTCACGAGATTGTCACGGCACCAGGTAAATTTACATTTGTCGACTTTTATGCCGATTGGTGTCGCCATTGCAAGAAATTGTCACCTGTAATTGACCAACTACTGAACTTGTTTGTTGACTACCCCGAGATACAAGTGGTCAAAATAAATGGAGATAAGGACGGGAAGAAGATGAGTAAAAAATACGTTGAAATTGGGTATCCCACATTGTTGATGTTTGATGATCTGGGGAAACACGTTGAATTTAATGGAGTTAGAGATATCGATGCATTTAGTAATTTTATCCAGCAGTTGAGTGGGGTCAGGTTAGATAAATCGAAACAAGATGAAGTTGGCGAGGTTGCACAGGAAGAAGAAGAGAATAAAGATGCAGTGATTTCCCTCACACCCGAACTGTTTGAACAACAACTTCAAAACACTCAATATGCAGTTGTGTCGCTCGAAGGAAGTTGGTGCACGCATTGTAAAGAATTTGCTGGCGTGTTTGACCGTCTTGCAACTACCGTTTACGCTCGGAATAAAAATATTGTGTTTGCGACATTGACTGTGGATGAGCAAGGACATGGAGATGAAATACTCGATAGATACGGCGTCAAGAGGATACCGGCATTGCTTTTTGTCAAGGATGGCAATTTAAATGACCCAGTGGTGTATGAAGGTGATTTGAAACGGATTAATAAAGTAATTGACTTGGTTAATGACTTTACTGGAACTTTGAGGGACATTCAGGGGGGATTGAAAGATGGCGCAGGTGTGATTAAACAGATAACCGAATCGATTGCAAAAGCCAATGGTAACTACAAGGAGATTTTGCACCAGTTAGATGAGGTTAGTGGTGACACTGCTCCATTTTATAAATCAATAGTGGAAAGCTTGTTGACAGACCCCAATGCAATAAATGTGGAGTATAATAGGGTCAAGTTGGTTTTGGATCGCGATATAGATAATTTGAGCGGTGGTACAATCGATTCATTAAAACAAAGGCTAAACGTGTTGAATCTGTTGCGATTATAGACAAATACTTTGAATAGACAATAAATAAAGGGCAATACAGTACAAGAGCATGGGCTTTAAAATAGTAGTACTATGCTCTGCTTTCTAATTCTATCTTCTATTAAATAATTAAACTCTATACAGCTCTGATGTTCACCACTCTATTGGATTAAACTTTTGAACCAACCTCACCTTATCTGGCCACACCTTACCGTGCAAGATACATTCATCAATGATCGGTCTCACGTTATTCGGTTTGCACAATGCCAACCAAATGTTCTTTCCTGACAGTTTTAAATATATGATCACATTGGCAGCATATTTATGGCCACCAATATGGTTTATGTACCCAACGTTGACACCACCGGGCGAGTTGTCACACATGTCACGATACAAATCCAACTCTCTCAAGTACATTTCCATTTCTCGTTTCATTATGGGTGCTGTGACTCCACATCTCTTGTCTCTGGTACGATGGGAACATAAAAGGATGTAGGCCATGTTTATGTCAGGTATGATTTGTGGAATCTGTGCCTGGATGTCTTGCACTTGCAACTTATCATGCTCAGTGGTGGATAATATGTATAGTAATTTTGATAAGACTTTGTCAACATCAGCGATTTTCAACCCTTTAATCCACAAGAAATAGGGCAAAACCAATACATCCCCTGTTTGCTCAGTTATGTAATCTTCGTCCGAAAATAGTTCATCGTTAGCCAAAGACGAACAGGTAACCTTGATGGTCCCTATTGGACAGTCGCCATGTTTTTTTGCCCACTTAGCAACTGCATTAGATAAGGTATTGGGTGTCCCCGTTGCATCATGAGGCCAGTCCGTCCTTCCCGTTGCTACGTTCAAGTGCAATCCGTATGGCTTTGTTGATTGCCAAAGATTAGCATCCTCTTCAAAGGACAATGACTTGGGGAATTTTGCAGTGCAGTCGTCGCATGTTTCTGAACAAGTACTGATTTCAAATCCTTGTTCCTTGATTTGATCTTCAGTTGATTGTTTGGCCGATTTTCCAAATATTCTGTTGAGGATCGCCATGACTTTTAGATTATGAGTGGATAATGTGGATAATGTGTGTATGTGTAGTTTGAGTAGTACGTCTATGGAGGAGTGTCTTTGATCACTTTTTATAAAAAGCTCTTACCTTTGGGTTATGAAGGTGATTACTAAAATTATTAATAACTAGATCCAAAAGTAATCAAGAAAAGTATTACTGGATAGCTTTTTTTTCTTTATATTTTACTACCCGAGATTAGGTAATCCCGAAAAAGGAGCCACAGTGTTATGGTTCTTTTGTCTAACTCCGTACAGTTGCCGTACTAAAATTGACTGTGTTAGTATTGTTTGGATGCTTCTAAAGAGATATGGCACTAAATCAGAATATATAATAGAGAGAGAAGAGAACAGAAAAACTTCAAAATAATAAAAATAATAAAAATAATAAAAAAAACTAAAAAATGTGTAAAATTCGGAAAGATCATGTTCTGTTCGGATCGAAAAATAGTCTTCATATGTTTGTTCACAAAGACACACGGCATTGACATTTAGAGCTTTGTTGGGTGAGATGAGATCCTACTTGCCACTTTATGTATCATTCTCTTTGGGCCCTGGACGTAATCGGTTGTGATAGGAACATCCCACTTTCTTTTCCATTGGACTGTTTTTATCTGGTGTTTGTTAAAACTGAACCCCCGGTTGATGATACCGCCTACATTCTGTCAACATTGCTTCCACCACGCAACCAATTAGCTATTTACAAAGCACTTCAAATGGTTAAATGATAATCAGTCGCTCGCGACATCTTCAAGTCCTAACCTCTCCATCAGCTCCACACATTTAGTCGATTTGCCTCCCAGTGCTTATTTCAAGGTAGAACCACTTTCAAATGTTGCCATCTTCTTAATTGAAAACCGATACTGAGTAGCACCTGTAATAAGACCAAAATCTGGATCCGTTTCAAAGCGATTGTCTGTCAACACACTCTCAGTTCCCTATTTTTATGATACGTAAATGGAGCAATAGCTATCCACTTTAATCCTGTCATAATTGTAATACCCACATAGTCTTGTTCCAGAGGTAATTTGTACCATCATCATGTGCTTAGAACAAGTATGACGCCATTTAAAAGTTGAGTGTATGAAGACACGATCTCTTTGCTTTTTAATCTTCTTTTGTAATCCATACCTAGCTCATAAGGTATTCATGTTCAATTATGGTCAGTACTAGAAAACGATGAGATCCATGCGTTGAAACAGTTCGTTGTATCGAAAAGGATTGTAACTGCAATTCATGTCTAATAAGTGAAAACCTAAAATTGACACTTGAGATTTTGCAATAAGGTATCGTGTTAGTTTCTCCCCTCTTGGAATAATTGTATCCATTGTAAGGACCCCGTCATACAACACTTAACACCACTGTAATATGATAAAGGACGCGTAGCATCATGAGCTACAGGATGAATCCTTGATTTAACATGAATGTAAGTAGAAGTGGCAAATCAGCGACGACTGCAGTACCGTGGCATGTTCTCAAATCTGGATAAGGCTAGATTCACAGTGATCTTTCCTATGGTCTGTCAAAATAGCAATTGTTGATCAACGCCTTGATTCTGCAGCACCTCCTTTCGGAGATAAAAAAATGGTAAGATGTACAACAGTCGTATCCACATACAGTTTCCTGACCGGGCAACAAGAGACTTCTCATCCACAATCCATCGACCTGTAAGTATATCGCCTAACTGTGCCAAGTATGTTTAATGTGTGGGATATAATAGCATAACATAAATAATATGTGAAATTTCCGACCTCTGAGAGAAAATTAAATTTCTTTAATTACACAGATCGTCAAAAATTTCAATTTTTCTTCTTTGGGCCATCAAAACCAGAGAGAAAGCAACAGATAGAATATATATATATTTCTTGTTGCATACTTACACAGAGATTATAAGCAAAGGTTTACCTACTTGCACACGGAAATACACGGGTCAAAACTACAGATCTGCTACCTGCCATCATACAAGCTAGTAGGGTATCAACAACCTCAATATAGCTTGTTTCGTTCATTTATCATTGTCATCGTCATCGTCATCGTCATCCAGAAACTAAGGAAAGAAAAAGAAAGAGAGGGCGTTGCAAACTTTCAACACGAATAAATAACCTCATTATTAATATTAATATGATACATTTGTCCACAGAAGTTGATATGAATGACTTCCATCTCCACACGCCAGGTTATAAAACGAAATCAAAGAATAGTCTATCACATGAAACGATACTACCATCGCACCACGTCTCACCGTCTAATTCTGACGATTTATCAGACAGTAGAAATACCCATGCTACTTCTCCACCTTCATTTGATTACTACTTTGATAACAAACATAAAGATGAGGGGGCAACCAACTTGTCGCCAAAATTGAACGATTTATTAACATTTTCTGATATCGTTGAGTCTGACCCAATATCGATACCCAAGGATTACGAGCACCCACACGAAAGTGACGCCAAGTGGCTCTTCAAAGGGTCTGATATCAACAAATCGATAACTCAACCTCAACTTGTTGCTTCACAGAATATACCACAATCGATACTACCTAAAGAACTAGAGGACACGCGGAAGGAGTCTATCGTTAGTACCAGCGATGTCCAGCATACGCATCAACCTCGTAATGGACTACCAAGATCAACAACTACTGAATCAATACAGATGGAGCAATCCAACGTCCACCAAAAGAGAGTTGTACAGATCAAAAATCTTGAAGAGCAAGCCACTAGCACAGCCGAGGGAGAAACATACAAAATTCTTTACTGCATGTTAACGGGAATCAGAGTTGCCGTGAGTTACAAAGCAATGGGTGTCCGCAAGTTGACGTCTGCCGACTTCAACCAAGTACAAAAATTTACATTTCAAGACAATGATACCATCACACCAGCCCTGAATTATGATTTTCGTTTCTATGATTACGCCCCACAGGTATTTCGTTGGCTTCGAGACCAATTCAACATTGACCAAGCAAACTATCTTATATCCATCACGGGCCAATTAATAGTGTCACAGATTAAGTCGGAAGGTAAATCAGGTTCTTTTTTTTACTTCAGCAAAGACAAAGTGTACCTCATCAAGACATTAAGGTACAACGAATTCAAGTTTTTGCAAAAGATATTGGAGTCATATGTTGATCATGTGGGCAAAAACAATAATACATTAATTAGTCAATTTTATGGCTTGCATCGGGTCAAAGTGAGATCAAGTAAAGGCAAGTCAAAGACCCACCACTTTGTGATTATGAATAATCTTTTCCCGCCCAACGCTATATTGATCCAGACTTATGACCTAAAAGGAAGCACTGCGGGGAGATATACGCAAGTTACAAAGGGGAAGAAAAGCCATACACTAAAAGACAAGAACTTTTTAGAGTCGAAGGTGAAGATAAAATTTGGACCTGATAACCGAGAAGAGTTTTTCAAACAGTTGGAGTCGGATGCTCACTTTTTGATCAAGAATGGCATTATGGATTATCTGTTACTTTTAGGCATATGCAATTCTAAAACCGGACACAGTAATCGAGAACATATGGAAGAGTCAACACCCAAGGAACGTTTAAATTATTTTTATCATCAGGATGGTGGGATACAAGCAACTAGTGAGAGCAATCAACCATTACCCGAGATCTACTACCTTGGAATTATTGACTGTTTGACCTATTATTCGGTAAGGAAACGATTGGAGACATTTTTCAGAACTTTTGGACAATCTAGGAGTGCCATATCGGCAGTGCCTCCCAAAGAGTATGGATTGAGGTTCCTCAAGTTTATTAAAGATGGTACCACACAAGACAAGCTTAAATGGCAATGATATTGAAACAAGAGAATAATAGGAAGTAATGGAAACTATAGAATTATGCATTTGGGTTTTAACTGAAAAGTTTTGGATAAGATAGTTTTTCTTTGTAGACTTTTGAAGTTTTGGGTCGTTCAAGACCACATAACTTTGATGCACAAATTTCTCTGTTTGAATGGAGAGCTTTATTCTCTTCTACTAAAGATGCAATTCATGGCATCATCTACCTAAACGAATCTCTCCATTCATTGCATATATAGCACTTATTTATACGTTAAAACATCAATAATAATATTGATAATGCTCACCAAAACTTCGACACCAACAAGCACGACAACGATAAACTCCAAGTTCTCTTCGTGAGAGTGGCCCAATTGTTCCTTCAACAACTGCAACAAGTCTGAGATTACCTCCAATCTTTGATTCAATAATTCTACTCGTTGGTTGATTTCAAGGTAGCCTCTTGTTGCTTGATATATTGGTTCTAAATGTGGTTCGGCCCACATTAGTTCAGGCGAGTCCAATACTGAACCATGTAAATTAATATTAATCCTCAAGATGAACAATTCTCCAATCGACTTCATGATTTCGTCTCTAGACATTTCAACCTTACCTGTGTGAGCTATTTGTTGAGGAATATCCTGGGTGTCCTCAATTGTATTATCGACCAATTCTTCAAATAAAGATATCTTGACTGATTGGGCAAGAGCATGAGATATGGATAGCTTTAGCATATAGTTTTCGTCATCTTTCAACGTGATAAAGTCGTTGTAAATTCTTGGTTGATAAGATTTGGTGATGTAATAGTTGAACTCTTCAACTTGAATATCTTCTGCCGACAACTTTTCACTCTCAAACTTGGCCAAGTCATCCAAGAATGCTGCTTCTTCCTTCCTGGTAAACCCCCACATAATCACAACTCCATATTCAAAAACAAACAAATCAGATCTTTTACCCATATCAATTTCACCTCCTTCGTCGGCTAATCTAATCAATTTATGACCGTTACCGTCCTCCTCGTTGTTATTGTTATTGCTATCATTTCTCCAATCTTTATATGTGAATGGCGTATACAAACATTCATCAAACAACCTGGGACTGGTATTATGGATCCGCTTTCTATCCTTTAGCCACCTGAGCAAGTCCTTCATCCTATAAGAGGCACAAGTGCAGTAGGCAGTAACTCTGGGTAATAGATCTCTGTGCAGTTTTCCCAAAGTCTCAGCATCCTTACGGGCAAACGTGTTGGTGATTCGTTTAACCTGGGAATAGACTCGTGTTGGTCGTGTTGCAAAAATATCGTCCCCCTCGTCGTCGTCATCATCATCTTCATCATCATCCCCAGATGTGGCTTGCTTATTGATACTATCCAAATCAGGATCTTCGGGTAATAATTTTAATTTCTGCGATGTTCTGCTTGTTCTTTGTAAACCAATTTTACTGGATTTTGACATCTTTGAGTGAGATTTATTCAGGGGCGCATTAGAAGTGGGAACAGTAGTTACACCTGGTTTTCTTTTCGAGACCACTGCATCTGGGTGATTTGTGTTATTTTTTGAATTTGACGAACTAGATGTTGCTGCTATTAACGGATTCTCTGGTGCATTATTGTGTGATAGTAGGGGTGTTGTATCATCTCCATCTTGTTGCGACATGGTTTTCAGAGTGAGTTATATGACGAGTAAAAACTTGAACTGATGGTAGTATTGCAGCTGATGTGCCAATGAATAGGTGTAATAATATCTATCTTTGAAGTTCTGACTAAATGTAATTTTGTTGGAAATAAAGAACGGTATCTCTCTCTCTCTTCTGACATAACACATGTGGGTATGTAGTTGGTATTTTTGTCCATTAACAAATTGTGTGATCTCACTTGGTAGCGTCTACCCGAAACGGTTTTTTCTTTGTCTTTCTGTTTTTTTTTTCTTCTTCTTTTTCTTTGAGATGCTCATTGAGAGAGACAAAACATTTTCTTGTTCTTTTTTTTACAACCAAAGATACACACAGACCTAGACCCAGACCTAGACCTAGACCCAGACTGCTAGATTATTCTTTAAACAACAACTATTCTCATTCTTTACAAGCCCCTGGAAATGCCAAAGAATAGAACCACAGAATCTAGTAGGCGGCATGCATTTATCTCGTTCAGGGAAAGAGTGGACTCTATCAAGATAGAACCTAGTAAAAGACTAGATAGACGAGTCCACGATGAAGTCGAGTCATCACATTTACTAACTACACTTGAACATTGGAACGAACTTAATTTATCAGGTACATTCACTGACCTATCGTCCAATATTGCAAATTACTGTCAATCGTTACCCCAGGTGCTACACCACAAGCAACGGATTTATGATTCAATTTATGAAGCGATACAGCAGAATGATATTCATTCACTACAACCATCTTTAGAGCTTTTGAGTCAATTCATTCATGACTTGGGGCCAGACTTCCTCCCCTTTTACAAACAGACGTTGCAGCTATTAGTTGAAGTGGTTTTAATGCAAAGCCCTAATGATATACAAAACAACCGAAACACATCAAATGCATTGAATTGGATTTTTACTACATTGGCCTTTGCTTTTAAATACTTGGTGAAAATTTTAACTCAGGACTTGCAACCAACATTTTCGGGACTATTGCCGTTATTGACATTGACAAACAGGGCATATATATCGAGATTTTGTGCTGAAGCACTTTCATATCTTGTTCGAAAACTGAGTGCTGATGTGCTTCGCAAGTTCATCCATTATGCTATCTACGAACACGTTAACACTTTAGTGTCTAACGACCATTATGGGGAATCGTTGAAGATATTGTTTAGTGAATCAATGAAGAGCACTAGGGGTTCATTCCACACAAAGTCGAAAACAATTTTAACTATATTAATGGAATGTATTATATCTGAAATCAAGGAGAAGTACCAGCCTCAAGTTACGTCATTAGTGTCGGATATTTTGTTGGATGTTTTGCATCATGGTGAAGCAGACGCATGCCAGGCGTTCTACAAGTTGGTGTCTGAAGCTGTGCATGACGTTATTCAATCTAATTGCAGTGATCTCACATTGTTGATGTCAAGTCAACTACTATCCACTTTATGCTTTGCCGATTCAGGGAAAAAGGTTACCGATTGGAGCTGTGTATTGAATGTGGTGGATGAAATTGTTGAGGCTGTGGAGCATAGAAAGGAGACGTCGCTAGAATTGAATGAATCTTTGGTTTACTTGATGACTATAATTTTCAGAAATGTCAACATTCAGTCACTCGTGTCACACTACCAGCGATACTTTGACGCAATGTACAACTTGAATCGAGGACTAACTTTTCTTTCCTTTGTCTATGCCGGGTTAGCTATTGCCGGTGGAAAATTGAAAAATTTTGGAATTGACAAGTATATTCAGATGTATATCAACAACGCAAGTACAGCAGACAAGCTACAAATGATTGTTTTATTTTTGGAAAAAAGTGAGAAACTGGATCAGCTGAAATTTACCATACCTGATCATATTTTGGAAGCTCAATCACAACACGTAGCACAGGGTACAGAACTGGGTGATTACCAAAGCGTCTACTGGAGGCTATTAGTGGTAAAGTTCACAACTAAGAGAGCTATCGATGCATCAGTGTTGATTAAGTTGATAAAAAGTGCTCCAGATTCAGTTATTGGAAGAGAGATTGTTGCTTTGTCTGTGGAGTTGTTGGCACCGCAATTGGAAAAGTCTTTATCTGTCACACAAGAGCTTTCTGCGCACATTTTGCAATCATTTGGAAAGTTCAGTCGTTCATTAAACTTTTTGCCGGCAATGACGCAGCTTTTGAAGGTTGTTGATGAACCGCAAAAGTTTTTGGATCCGGCAATAGAATGTCTACTTTTGCCAAGTCATAAGACCAGATCTCACTCTATGGACCTCATTGAGTCAATCCTCGCCATAGAGCAAAAACCCATTTCACCTATATTTCTGCAAATAAAATTAATTGAGCAGATACCATTGTCGATTGAGACGGGTCGTGACATCATGCTTCGAGTTCGTAATTTAGCAAGTGAGCTTCTGAAGGAAATAAACCCATCTCAGTTTGACAAAACTGTAACAATCAACTTCCTATTTGGGTTATTATCAAACAAATTTCAGCCAAGTTGGAAAGCTGTTTTTGAGGCAGTTCCATTGCTTGCAAGCACTTGCAAAGGTGAGATATGGAAGACTTCTTTTGTGTTTTTGACGATGGATTACGAGCCAAGAGAAGAGCTGTATGACTTTTCATCAGAGTTGACATCGAATTTGATACTGTGGCAGCCAAGAAACCATAGATTGTACCAAAATTTTGAACAATTTGAGAATAAGTCGTTGGCCTATTTTAGAAACGTCAATAATTCAATCTATGACTTGGCACAAGATGCTTATCAACAAAATGAATTTGAAGGGCTCATTCGTTCCAACACACTCCAAGCTCTTCAAAGCGCGCCATCCGTCGTTAATGCGTCGAAGCTAGCCGACTTCTTACTTAATGACAAACAGAACGGTATATACCAAAATTGGTCAAAAAATGATAAAAATGCATATTTGGCCTTGTTATCCAAAGTAAAGAATTTGAAAAAGATCGATGGCTGTGATAATTTATTCAAATATATGTTGGATTTGTTAACAAGTACGTATACAAAAGTCCAGCTGCTATCGCTTGATGTCATTTTTGCTTTCAATGACCCTATCATCAATAAACATAAGGACGTCTTGAAAAATTTGTTGGATGACGTTACTTTCAGTGATGAATTGTCAAAATTTACCTCCGTCGATTGTCCAATCGAAAGTGAAGCCAAGCAACACATTATGCCCTTGGTCATTAGAATCTTGTTTGGAAAGTTTCAAGGGAAGCCGGCTAGTAAAAGCAAACAGGGTGGTAAGAATGCTGTGCTTTTGTCGTTACCAAATTTCACAGATGATGAAATTGTCTCATTTATCGAGATTGGGGCAAACAAAATAAGTTACAAGGACTACTTTGAAAAGAGAGTCTCATCTGTGAGCTTGGGTCTTGATGACGGGGAGTTGAAAAGGATCACCGGGTTTATTAATTTGCTTCAACAAGTTTATGAAGTATTCAAGAAGAACCACGCTTTTGTTTTAGCAACAACCATTGAGCCGCTTATTTATTCACTTTTGTGTGCCCAAAATAGAATCGACTGTAAGGTTGAAGGTGAAGATCCTGTTTCAGATAAGATGGCGAGAAATATCCGTCTGGGTGGAATGAGAAATTTAAAGGAACTTTTCCGTATCCTCGGACCACAGTTTAACTGGAAACAATATGTTGGTGTCGTGTCTGATGACTTGATTGCCCCTAGATTGCCTAAATTTGCCAATGAGAATTTGCAGCAACCGCTGGCTGTATTAACTTTAATGTGTTTTTGGATTCAACTGCCAAACACGTTGCCCCTTTTGTTTGCCAATGATTTTGAAGCTGTTAAAGCAATTTTGTCGCTTTTGGAAAGACCAGAGGCGAAGGAGGCTGTCATATCTGTGGTGTTAGATTTCGCTGTCACGGCATTGGAAAAGAAAGATGATTCTGAAGAGAGCTATTTTACATTATTGGCTATAGTGGTTGATTCATTGCTTCAAACGTTATCATCGACTATCAACCGCATCCTTGAGCCTGAGGTTGGATCTAAGGCAATCAAGACGCTTCTACTCATGATTCAAGGAGACTACATTGACACTAAGGAAACAAAATCGGCTTTGATCCAATCCTTGACTTTTGCACTTGAACGTAATAATCAACAAATTGACGTAAGTGACAAATCAAACGTTCTCATTGCTTTGTCGTCGTTAATGGCAAGCTATGATTGCACATTTGAGGAAATATTGCCCTTATATCTAGCTTGTGCTAAACTTCTCCGGGTTGTACCCGTAAAAGAGGTGCGTGAGACGTTGGCAACTTTGTTTGGTGTGCTTGGCACTAAGTTTGAGCAATTGCAAGTAGTATCTCAGATTATAACTGGACTTAATGCCTACACTTCGAGAATGAATGAATATGATTTTGAAAAAAGACTTGAGGCTTATCGGTTGGTAAATGAGGAGTTGTACCCATCGTTTGACCCTGTTCAGTGGGTTCCCTTGCTTAATAATGCATTGTTCAATATTAATGATCCGACTGAGTTGGCAATACGAGTGAATGCAGGTTACTTGTTGAGACGATTTGTTGACTGTTACACCTCAAAGACATCTGCAAATGAGGCTGTACCATATATTCATTTATTGAAGGACACGATACTCCCCATTGTCAGAATTGGTATCAGGAAAGAGAACGAAGATGTTCAAACAGAATATGTTGCTGTTTTGGAGTATATTGTGAAATGTGACAAATATTTCCCCGATTTAAAGGATTTGCAGGTATTGATAGGCGAAGAAGAAGACGAAGAGCTGCAGTTTTTCCGCAATATAAACCATATTCAATTACACTTACGTCAAAAGTCAATTCGAAGATTGGGCCAATTTTCCGACTCTTTAAGTGGAAGCAATGTATCTCATTACATATTGCCATTACTAGAAAAATATACCATTTCAAAAGAAGAAAAATATAGAAATATTGGACTTGAGGCTTTAGATTCGATTAAAGTTCTCGTTCGCTCAATCAACTGGAATCAGTACAAAGCAATCCTCAAACGGTACTTGGCTGGTCTCGAGATGGACTCTGAAGTATTGAGACAACGTGTTAATTTGGTAGTGGCCGTTTCGTCAGTCTTGAAGGATCACAAGGAAAATGGAACTTTGAGCAATGTTGCTTCTCGGGAAGAAATTGATGCGTTTTTAATAGGTGATGTTTTATCCCAAATCACAAAGATCTTGCAAGTGCGTGATGATGATACAATTGTTGCACGGGCTCCGTTAGCTGAGGCGGCGATCAACTTGATCTTGTCTCTTTCGGGTGACAAGGTTGAAGGTGCTTTACCTTCAGTATTGACAAGTATGTGTCAAGTTATGAGATCTAGATCGGAAGAGTTGAGAGATGCAGTGAGAAAGACTTTGGGTAGGATTACTATTGCCTTGGGAGCAAATTATTTTTCATTTATAATCAGAGAATTGAAAACTGCATTGTCAAGGGGTTCCCAAATCCATGTTCTTAGTTTCACAGTGCATTACCTTTTACAATGTTTGTCAAATGTTCTTAAACATGGTGATTTAGATGAGTCTATTTCGTTGACTATAGATATTGCCATGGAAGATATTTTTGGTGCCGCTGGGCAAGAAAAGGATGCTGATGGTTACACTAGCAAGATGAAAGAAGTCAAATTCAAAAAGAGTTTTGACACTTGCGAGATATTAGCATCCAACATATCGCTCACTAATTTCGGCGAGTTGGTTACCCCGATTAAGCTTTTACTTCAGGAGACAATCAACCATAGAGTTCAAGTACAACTCGATGAGGTGCTTCGGAAACTTTCTCTTGGGTTGAATCATAATACCGAAGCATCGAGCCAGAATATTTTGCATTTGTGTTATGAGATTTTTATGATGTCGAATGAAGCTGATCCAAACCAAAAAGTAACCAAAATTAGTGAATCAGAACAGCATTTCTTGACCACATTGAGTAGAAAGACCAAGAGCCATGTTGACCGACTGGTTTATAAACAAACAATGCAGAAACTTTCGCTTGAGTTGTTGAGAACAGCTATTTCAAGACATGAGAGTTTGCTCACCACGTCCAATTTGAAAGGATTTGTTACATTATTGGCAACAGGAATCAACTCAGAAGGTGAAGGTGTCGTTTTAGCTTCATTGAAAGTATTAACCATTATTATTCGTTTACCGTTTGATGAAGAGAGCCAAGGTATTTTGAAAGCTTGCGTGAGGAAAGCGTTGCTTTTGATTAAGGATTCGCCGACAACGAATCTGGATGTGTGTCAAGCAGCGCTCAAGTTCTTGGCAACTACTATTAAACATAATCCTAAAGTGGTGTTGAAAGATTCTGCCATAAGTTATGTGTTGACAAGAATTCAACCTGATTTGGAGGAACCTAATAGACAAGGGCTAGCTTTCCAATTTTTAAAGGCTATTGTGTCACAGCATTTGCTTTTGCCAGAAATTTATGATGTTATGGATAGTGTTGCCAAATTGATGATTGTTAATCATTCAAAGGAAATTCGTGATATGTCGAGGTCAATATATTTCCAATTCTTGATGGAGTATGACCAAGGTAAAGGAAAATTGGAGAAGCTGTTCAAGTTTTTGGTCAATAATTTAACCTATCCTACTGAAGAAGGCCGTCAATCAGTGATGGAACTTATCCATTTGATTATTTTGAAAGCAGGACCGGACTTGTTGGAGAAATTGGCTTCATCATTTTTCATTGCATTGGCAAACATTCTCGTGTCTGACGATTCTTCGAGATGTAGAGAGATGGCCAATGCGTTATTGACCAGTATGATGAAGAAATTGAATAATGCGGATTTCATTGAGAAATACTGCTCTGCGTGGTTACTGCAGTCATCGAATGTGTTGTTGAAGAGATGTGGATTTCAAGTTTACAAAATGTTGATAACTGTTTTTGGTATGAAACAATTCCCAAATTTGAACAAATTAGTGTTGGATAACATTTCCAAGATTCTTGCTGATTCTAAGTACAACGAGGAAGGGAATAGTGTTGATTGGGAACTTCTATATTCAAGCTTGTCTGTTTTTGGAGCTATTACGTCATGTGTTAAGGATCAAATTTATGAACAGAAGTATGTTGCACTTTGGGATTCAGTAATTGATTGTCTATTGTATCCGCATTCATGGATAAGATTGATAACCTGTCGATTGGTGTCGGTGTTACTTTCCAACCTCGACAAGAGCAAGTTAGACAATAATAAGTTGGAATTGATTGCAACAAAGCTCATCCACCAGTTGCGTACGCCGTCATTGACCGATGAGTTGGGAACCTTATGTATCAAGAATTTGACTTTTATTGCCGTCAAGTGGGAAACTACCAATGCCCATCTCAAAGGTGCTGCTAGTGGTGATGATAACGGTGAGGTACAATATGCCAATGATTTCTTAATCAAGAGAGTATGTGGAATCATCAAACAAGAAAATCAATCAATGCTTGCTAAAAAGATGGCAATCAAATTCCTCATCTTGTTCATTCAATTGACAAAAGAAGATCGTATGATTGAAGTGTCTGAAAAAATAATTGACTCCTTGTACAATTTCACTGATGAAGAATATTGTCGATCATTATCCGATGATGAACTAACTAATATGAGTTTACAAGCGTTGAACATGGTTAAAGAAAAAATCGGTACTACTGAGTATACTAGACTATTTGCTAAAGTTAGACAACAAGTTGATACTCGAAGGAAAACAAGAAAGGCCAAAAGATCGCAAATGGCGGTTACTGCTCCTGAAATTGCTGCTAAACGGAAATTCAAAAAGCATGAACGAGTTAGGGAAAAGAGGAAGCATGAAAAGGATGAAAATGGGTATTATAAGCCGAAAAAGAAAAGAGTTAGGTAATTTATAGACAATAATTTATAAGTTCGATTTGCTTTCTTTTATTAAAACCGTCTTACTCTGCTTTATCTTGCTCTATCTTGACCTGTGCATCTTGGGGTTGTTCAGTTTGCACTTCACTAATCTCGGTATCAGGATTTGGTTTTTGTCGCTTTGCTTCCCTTTCATCTTCATCCCTCTTCTCGCCATCTCCATCGTCGTTGCCGTTACCATCTCCGTCACCATCTCCGTCACCATCTCTATCACCTTCTTCGTTACCATCGCCATCTCCATCTTCATCGCCATCGCCATCGCCATTACCATCTCCATTACCATCTCCATCTTCATCCTCTGCTGCCCGCTCCAATTCAGCCTCCTTTTTCTGATTATATTCAGCCATTTCCCTCTGATATCTAACCCTATCTTCTTCATATAACTTATAAAATGGTTTTCTATCTTCTTCACTCAACCCTTTCCAGGCTTCAGTCATGGCTTTTGATAAATCTCGGGTATTGTTTTCTGGATCTTCTTGTTGTTGTTGTCTTAATCGTTCTTTTTCTTGTTCACAAAATAAAAGGTAGGCATTAGTTGGACGTTTAGGTAAATCAGGATCTCTATATTTAGGGTTTTTTGCTAGACTTGGTGTTTTTGGTGTGATTGCTGATGCAGTAGTGACATTGCCAGTTGAAGTTGCTAAATTCATCAAACTCCTGGCATCTGCTTCTGCTGGTGATGCTGATGATCCATTTCCAGTGATTTTCCCACCGGTGGTGGTCGCCTTCTTTCCTGGTTTTTTACCTGATCCATTTTTGGACGATTTTACTAAATTCTCATCTAGTATACTTGGTGTTGGTGGACCTGCCATTTCTTCAAAGTTGGTAACTCCGTCAGGTAGATGCTGAGCTCTATCTTCTAGTCTTTCAATCAATATCGCATATTCAAGCCTTAATCGACGTATGGACGCTTGAGTCCTACTCAACGCGATTGTGGCAACCTCGTTCGTTTGTTCAACTTCAAGTACCCTCTTTTTCAATTCCTTGCATTTTTGTCTGAATCTCTCCTCTAGGTTAAAAGGTTAGTATCTAAAAAAACAAAAAATGGTTACTTCGACGTTGGCCATTTTACAACTACATACCTTCACTTTCAGGGACAGTATCTTTCCATTGGGTTTTCATTCCAAGGTCTGTGTTAGATGGGTATGTAGTGTATTGTTGTAATTAGCCATGTTTTTTTTTTTCTTCTTCTTTTTTTCAGTTTTTTGTCGGTTTGGTTTTAAACAAAATGGAAATGGATTAGTGATAAACCTTTGTCTACATAGTGGGAATTAGAGCACTTTTGTAGTCAAAGGCTACGCAATTGTAAGGTGCGGTCTACTGCCTTTGGTTAGAGAGGAGATTTACAATTGTAATACACATACGCTGTTATGGGATCTTACCCAGAGAGAGGGAGAGAGACAGGAACCACTCTTTTCGCCATTGTTTCATCAGCTTCTACTACTTCGTTTTAGATGACAACTGCAGTTACATGTGACCACTCCGAGGGATAAAATTGCTAACCTGGCTAGATATTTACAAAAGGTTTAATCTGGGACACGAGCAGTAACTATAGAGTGATGGCTGCTAGGAAACTTCTCTTACTCTGAACTCCGCGGGGAAGTTATTTATCTAAAGCCAGGAGCGACTTACTTTGGAAACAAAATGTACCAACACAAGAAGTTTCATTCAAGGTTTGTCAATGGCTGATAAGAAAACCTTTTGATTCCTCATCTATTGTACTCTTTTGAGATACGCTGTTTGATAAGTATGAATTTTCTATGTTAGATGTGTGACGATTCCGCAGTGCTCCGACGGAACAAAATGAATTTCAGTGACGAGTTAATGACTCTTTTGCGAGGAACAATTCAATTACACTTTACTATATATACACCACCACTACATCTTTTCTACTTCACGTTCCAGTCTTTTCATAAAGCAAGATAGAGCAATTATAGTTGAAATCAATCACAAGAAAGCTTTAAAACAATCGACTGATTTCTCCCCTATTTCCAACCAATAACAAAAGATTTATCACTTTACCAATATGACTCAAGAAACTAAAACTGTTTGTGTATTCTGTGGATCTTCTTTTGGTAATAAACCGCAATATTCAGAAGAAGCAACTAAGTTGGGTGTTGAATTAGCCAAGAAATCATGGGGTTTGGTATACGGAGGTGGATCAACTGGGTTAATGGGGGCTGTTGCGCGTGGGTGTGCTACTAATGGAGGATACGTTCATGGAATTATTCCTGAAGCTTTAATTTCTAGAGAGAGAGTAGAACAAGGAGAAGGAGAAACAAACGGAGCCGAACTGGTAGGAGAGCAGGATGGTGGTGATGTCAACGCCAATACCAAAACTGAAGAAACATTCAATGCTAAATTAAAAGAATCAATAGACAATCACGATGGATCAACACCTATCCCTGATTCAAAAGAATATGGCAAAACAACCTTGGTCAAAGATATGCATACTCGTAAGAGATTAATGGGACAAGAAGCTAGTGCATTTATCGCCCTTCCAGGCGGATACGGAACTTTGGAAGAATTGATGGAAGTAGTTACATGGCAACAGTTGAATATTCATAATAAGCCAATTGTTGTGTTCAATATGGATGGATTTTATGACAAGTTTTTACAATTTATTGACGATGCTATTGCTAGTGAATTTGTTTCGGTTAAAAATGGTGAAATTATTAAGGTTGCCAACACGGTTGATGAAGTGTTATTGGCGATTGAGAATTACAAGGTGCCTGAAGGAAGATTCAATTTGAATTGGGAAAGCACTTAAGGGAGAGACTAGTGGGGAGCTAGTGCTTGATTGTAGTAAAAGTTGTTTATTTGAAATAGAATGTCTTATGTACATAATTGCTTATAATAAAAAACTTTTTTATAGAGAAAACCATAGCACCACTTAAACATGCTTGAATGTTTGTCTGTGTGTCTATTATAATCTATATGTAAAGTATGATACATGCTTATTATTCTATATACATAACTGTTAGTTTCTATATTGTCAATCTCTTTCTGTTTCTATAATTCTAACTAAAGGCGTATATCGATTAATAAATATGAACAGGAGGGTAATTTATAACGAAATCGAATTAGGTGCTGTCTGTTTCTCAGCAAAAGGAATGTATTGCAACCATTCTTCTTTTCTTCTTCTTTTTCTTCTTCTTTTTCTTCTTCTTCTTCTGCTTTTCCCTAATGAGGATTATGAGCTGATTCGTCTTCTTCATCCAGAACATGAAACAAATCATGAAATTCATCCTGAGGAATTTCCAATTCCGATAAGTATCCCGAAGAAACATCATAAATCATACCCCAAACTTCAATTTTCCCCTGTTTTAAAGCAGCACTAGCACTAGGATGTCTCTTTAATGCAATAACCGAAGCAATGACATTCAATTCAGCCAATTTCCTAGCTTTCAATTTAGGTTCGTGATTAAATTGTTCGAGTAATTTTAAATTTTGTGCCCTGATATGACGTACAGGGTTTAACCACAAGTCCAATACACCACCAATTTTTTTAGATGACAATGATGCCCAAATGCCTCCACAATCTGTATGACCACATACAATGATTTTCTTAACTTTTAATACATCAATGGCAAATTGTATAACTCCTTGTGAACTGAAATCATTTGAATTGACAATGTTGGCAATGTTTCGATGAACAAAGATTTCCCCTGGTAATGTGGCTAAACATTGTTCTCCTGCTCTTGAATCACTACATCCAATCCATAAAGTATGGGGAGATTGACCTTGGCCATTCAACTGAAATATTTGATCACCATGGTTATGTTTTATTGAATCAACATAGAATTTGTTATTGTTTAAATAGTCAGTAATAGTTGATTCTGAAGATAAAGTAAAGGGGAAATTGGAATGGGCAGCAACTTTGCGTTTGAATTGAGGGACTCCATCACCTTCCTCTTCTTGTTGAGAACCATTTTTGGAAGCCAATTCTAGTTCTTTGTCAGTTTCATTATGTTCTTGTAAGTAGTGTAATATGTTTTCTCTTCCCATTGTGTATGAGGAGGTGGTGAAAGATCGCTTGGGTGTGGTTATTGAGGTAATCAAAGTGGATGAGTAGTTATGAAGTACCGGTAGTAGCGGCAGTAGTTGAGGTTGTTTAGTTTGTGTTGAATCAGTTGTAAACAGTTTAGTCAAATATGATGCTGTTTGTGTTTGCTGATGCAGTAGTAGTAGCTGTTGTTGTAGTAGTTTCAATGGCAATTGCAGTAGTTTTTGTAGTTGCTGTTGTCGTTGTTGTTGTTGTTGTTGTTGTTGTTGTTGGTATATATATGTGGTTTTATGAAACCTAAGTCTGAGTATAGAACGCCACACGATTGCTAGAAAGTAAAATTGAAATGTAAAATTTGTTGGGAATAAAAAGGTGAAATAAAAACTGTGGATATATATATATATGAAGGGATATGTGGTAAATATCGATTGGAAAGATGAAATTTTGTTGAGTTTGAAGTTAAGACTAAATTTGTTTGTGTATTATTATTATTAATGTTATTGTTATTATAGTATATTGTTAATTGGGCGGTTAATTTTGTAGTCCCTTTTTGATAACGTCAGACTTAAAGAGAGATGAGAAAAATCTTTTCTTTTTTGTGTCTTCTTTTTTTTTTTGATTCACACATTAATAGTTTTAAAGTAAACTTATTAAACCCTAAATCAGAAGGACAGGATTACTCCGATATATATAAACACACACGCACATATATATACACGGATATACACATATACATATATTTATTGACAAAGAATAATAATAGTATGTACCAAGTGTGATTAAACGATGCTTAGCAAAACACGTCAGTTAAGAAAAGTAATGTCTTCTTCATTTTTTTATGAGAATTGATGATATGAATTGTATTGGTTGGTTATTTATACATTTTGTGTCTTATTGTTTTGATTGTTGAGTCACGTCACGTGCATATATAAAAACATATATAAATATATACAAAAATTACCACAAAACATATTAAGATTAAAGTATCATAATTAACTAGGGTTACTTGGGTTATATGATGAAGTACTCTTAACACGGTTAGTCCGGATGTGGCAAAACAGCTGATGAAAGCTATCTAAATGTTGTATTTTATGTTAGTTTTTTATTTTGTTGAGTAGTGTTTGTTTTGTATATGGTGTATGGTATATGGTGTAATAATATGTACTACTAGTGATGTCACTTAGTTACGTAAATGTAATTATTTTTATGTATTTATGTTTTTGTTCTATTATTACTGTTTTATATACAGTGCTGCGACATAATCATTTTCATGCCAACGCGACACCTTTATACAAACTAGCCCTCTCATTCTCTGTCAGTTATAAAGACACCACCACTGTCATATATATATATATATTTATAAGGGATTTGTACGTTTATGTCGTCATCTTCGAAAGAAGAATTGTCATTTACTTTTGAATTAGGGGAAACTTTATACCATTTGTTTATGATGATGATATTCATTGGCTATGGTGGTTTGTAACAGCTTCTGGCATATGCGTCATACGTACACCTTTCATCAAAAGTGGTTATGCGTGTTGAAGTAATATGTTTTAGTATTAAGTTTACTGGCCTTTTAAGTGTATATTTCTATATCTATATCTATATCTATATATGTTTCTGTGTATATATTACGTTAATATATCTATTCGTACTTGCCTAAATCCTCGTCCTTTAAAATAAGTTTGAGTACTGCCAATGTCTTATTCTTTGTTATGCAACTGAACCTGCTTTTGCTTTGGGTTTGTGATTCCAGTTAAAAAGCGCATTTATAAAACCCCAAGCCAGAGTTCCGAAGAAAAGCGTCCCCCCCCCCCCAGAAACAATGTCCACTTTGAAGGTCAGTAAAGTGACACAATTATAACCCAAGAGAACAACACTCTGAAATTTTCGACTATTTTTGGTTTTTATATATAGTCTTATATTTCTGAAAATATTTGCAAATGTCTTACTTTGTGTGCTCGCTCTTTTTGCGCAGATTCATACAATTTGATTGTGTTTTGCTATTGTTGTGGAGGATTATTGTCAATTTGATAAATAGGCGAGAATGGCGCAAAATGTATAATTACCGTTTTTAAACAAGTTTTGTTGCAAAATAAAGTTGAAATTGTCAAATATTGTCGTTGCATGCTTGGTTTGCATCTTTGAGGAAACCGAATTCGTAACTGAACTTGTAGGGCAGATGATGGGTTTCTGTCGTTTTTGAAATAGCTCGTGAACTGGATTGGAGAAATTATAGTTTACATTTCCTTCACTAAAAGTTGGAGGTTATTGGTTAATCTTTAGTTTCTTTCCAAACCAGAAGTGATACTGCCTTCTAAGATTTGTTGCAATTGATTTTTCGTGTAAGTACCTTTATAGAGTGAAAACGAGCTACCACATGATTATTCACGTGCAGACTGTCAATAATAAAAGAAACGGAAATAATGACGCGTATTTCTCTGTCTGCGCGTTTTCCGTAAGCACATTTTGATCCAAAGTCAACTTTAGCAACCAATAGGTAGGTTAGTACTGTATTACAACTATATCTTTATACTACCATCACAACTCCCCACAGTATCAAAATGACAACATCTCCTGCTAATAATATCTCAGAAGAGGAGGAGGATAACACTGAAGTCTCACTCAATAGTGAAACAGACTTAAAGAACTTGGTTGAGAGACAACAACTAACCGATGATCACAACTCAAAGTTGGGCAATGGGCAAGCTACAGCAGAACAAGAGGAGTTCAATCAGCTATCAAGGGAAAACAAATTAGATCGGTTGAATAACTTGATTGAAAAATCACAAATTTACTCCAAAATCATTGCTGATAATATTTTACAATCGGTATTGACAAGCAGCAACAACAAGCAAGTAGAACCAGCAGTATCTGGGTCAACAGCAGAACCTGACAATCAAACATCTGCAAAGACTGTTCTGCCATCACGGAAAAAGAGGAAAACTACCAAAACTGCAACAAAAAAGGGACAGGATATCGTGTCAATGTTAAAGACTGATATCTCAGATGATACAGTAGCTGCAAGAGAAGCTATCGAAAGATCGCAAGTTGGACATACAATGACACAGCCTAAGCTAATTTCTGGAGGTATATTAAAAGATTACCAGTTGGACGGTTTGGAATGGTTGGTAACATTGTACGAAAATGGTCTTAATGGGATTTTGGCTGATGAAATGGGTTTGGGAAAGACATTGCAATGCATTTCGTTTTTAGCTTACTTGATAGAAAATGGTATAACTGGTCCATTTTTAATTGTTGTGCCCTTGCTGACGTTGTCCAATTGGTATAATGAATTGCAAAAATTTGCCCCCAAGATCAAGGTATTAAAATATTCTGGATCAAAGCACGAAAGAGCTCGGTTGAATTTTAACAATAAAAAGTTTAACATTGTGCTTACATCTTATGAGATATCGATAAAGGATTTCAAGAAATTTGCCGATGTTTCATGGCAGTATTTGATCGTGGATGAAGGACATCGGTTGAAGAATAGCCAATGCTTGTTGATAAAGATTCTAAAGAAGCTTGATACAACCAATCGATTATTATTAACAGGGACGCCGCTTCAAAATAACTTGAATGAATTATGGTCTTTACTCAATTTCATTTTACCGGATATTTTCCATGATTTGGAATTGTTTCAGCAATGGTTTGATTTTGACCAACTAGCAAATTTTGAGCAAAATGAACAGGATGAGGAAACTAAAAACATGATTAAACTCAATATCCAGGAAACATTGGTCAAGAATTTGCATACAATTTTAAAACCATTCATTTTGAGACGATTAAAGAGAGATGCTATAAAGGACTTGCCGCCTAAAAAGGAATATTTAGTACACATACCATTGACTGAAATACAACGAAAGATTTATCGTGACGCATTGGATGGTCGATTACAAAAAGGGTTAGTGGAATCGAACTTAAAAGAGTTTTTGGCTTACAATCATAAGGAACTATTCAGGGACTACGATGTTGACTCGTTTTTGCAAAATGTCAACTCTGCAACGTATGAAAAGTTACCAAAAGATGCCATTAAGTCATACCAGGAGGCTGATTCTGATGACGAATTTGAAGTGGAGGACAACGACGAGGATTCAACCAATGGGGACAAGAATTCAACTCCATCGTATGATGAAGTCGTTTCCAGACTTGGAACGTTCAAAAGCAAGAGTGATAAACAAACAGCGATATTGAATGCGTTGTATGGCGATATAGTGACCCACATCAAGCATTTGAAATTGCAAGCATTAAAGATGATTCAGTTGAGGAACATTTGCAATTCGCCATATTTGTACTATGAGCCATTTCCTATTGATGGAAACCATGACAAGCAATTTATCGAGAAACTTTTGGAAAACCTGACCAAGTTTCGAGCCCTCAATCAAATTTTATTACCATTGATTGAATCGGGTCACAAGTGTTTGATTTTTTCTCAATTTACCAGAGTTATGGATTTAATCCAGGACTGGTTATACTTTCAAAACATCAAAACTTGTCGTTTAGATGGGTCTACGGCGCAAAGTGATAGGGAAGAACAGATTGCTCTCTTCAATGATAACAAATCTCCATACAAAGTATTTTTGTTATCAACCAGAGCAGGTGGATTGGGTATAAATTTAACGGCAGCCGACACTGTGTTCTTGTTTGATAATGATTGGAATCCCCAAATGGATCTTCAGGCAATTGATCGTGTTCATCGTATTGGTCAAGATAAACCAGTCAAGATATTCCGGTTTGTTGTTCGCGATTCAATTGAAGAGATTTTAATCAGTAAGTCTAGCTCGAAGCGATTCCTTGAGAAATTGGTTATACAAATGGGAGAATTCAAGTTTAACAAGTTGAAACAAATGATGGGAGGCACTGGTAATGAGTTAGATACCAGTATGAAGGAATTATTTGAGTGGAGCAAACACAATTTCAACCATGCTGAATCACCACAAAACAAAAATCCACACGATACATCGGTCACTGACTTGGAATTGAAAGAGTTGCTTGATAGGTCCGAGGCTTGTTATCAAAACACTGATGATTCAAAATTTACTAATATAACCATCTTTGAAACTACAAATAATTTAGATAAATAGAACCTAAACATCCCCTGTTTTTTTATTGTCATACGAGAATGTTATATAGCGAGGGCTTTCCTTCTCCAACGGATTGCATTCCACACTGCACTATAACTCCAGGTCAACTCATTTGCCCCTTGCATGAACCCAGTATTCTTGTTGAACTGTTCCGACATCCGGCCCTGCGAATCAGTGTGGGTACGAACAACATCAAGGAACGAATCGGCATAAGCTGTTAACTTCTTAATCAAGGAATTGAAATCAGTTGAGTTGTACTCGAATATATATTCAGTTCCAGTGACATTTATCAATGGTTGGAAGAATTGTCGATTTGCATCATTGATTACTAAATTAGATTTCTGAGTGTGGAGGTTATAGATGAACTGGTAGATAAATTCGCTGGCGGTGGATGTAGATATGAACCACGGATTGCCTTCTGAAGTACCAATACCATTGTAGATATCTTCAGGATACCTCCCTAATGCAACACCAAAACGATCTCTATTTATTGGATATCGTTGTCTCATATCAATGATCAACCCACTGATTGAGTTTAGTACATGAGTATCAAACACATTGAATGGAACCACATTTGGTTCGTCAATTCGTTGCTCTTTATCATCATTTTCATGAGAATAAATCACCGCCAATATTGTAGCTATATCCAACCCCAGTCTCTCACCCGAATGCAACAATTGCGGACTTTCAATTATGTGATTGGAACCAAGTGAATCAAATCCAAACCCATCTTCGACATACCACTTAAGGACGTTAAACGAATCAATCAACATTGCTGAAAAAGCATCATCCTCCTCTTGGAAATATTTTGACCATCGAATACCCATTTGCAAAGCCTTCAACTGAACCATTGACGTGAAAAAGTGAATTGAATCAACCTCTTCCCATAAATCAAACCCAGACTCTCTCCAATACCGACAAATATACTGTAAATCGGGCTTAATAATCTCTTGGTAAATATATTTCAAATCATGCAAATCAGGATGCTTCACTTGGCTGTCAGTGCGGTTCAAGTAATCAATAAACTGAATTATTGTAATTGCTCGCAATCCAGGTCCATCGCGTTGTGGTCTTCCCCAAGGTTCATCAAAAGCAGTCATATCCACATTAAACTTAGGTTCGGCCAAACCCGCCAAAGTAGTGAAATCGCCCAGCTTGTTTGGTGTTCTTTGTAATTGGTAATTATTCAAAATGTACAACTCAATCAAGTTCAGCACCTGGCTGTGTAAATCCAGGGGTAATATCTCTGTTTCGTCATAGTGGTGGTCTTCAAGGTATGAAATTAGCGTCCGTATAGTGATTGCAGAATCCCTAATCCACTGGTAGTAATAATTGGGATTTTGCTTCGATGGTGATGCAACAATGACTCCATCTGGACTTATATTCTTTAGAATAGCATGAAATGATATATTCTGTTGTATTTCAAGCCATGATTCAAATTGAGGTGGAGTAGTAGGAGGTATGTCTGTTGATGAAGTTGCTGTGGCTACCGGTGTGGTTGGTGGAAGTGGTTCTGTAGACCCGATATGGCTATTGCCATCATTCACTCCAAAAATGTACTTGAGAAACTCTCGGTATCCTTCAATTATCAGTGTTACTGGCAAGATTTGATATGGCCACAACTGGGCCCTGATCATTCCATATAAGGTAATGAAGATGAATATCGAAATCAACTTCATAGCATGTCCTTACGTAGCAAACCCCAATAAGACTATAGATGAGCTGTGATAGAAGTACGCTTGAATCCAAAAAGCTAAATCACAATGGGTGGTTGGTAGAGGTGCCTTTCTCACTTGGGAACTGTGGCTCTTCTGTGGCTCTTGAGTCAACACACAGTTGTAGTTATAAACCAGCTGATTTGGGAACGGCCAGCAAGATACAGCTCGTTTTCGAGGCTGGTCAAGTAAGGGTGGCGTGTTTTGATATATCTAGCTAAAGTGGGGATTTAAAAAAGCAGAGTAAAGTAGTAGATATGTGGTTAAGTTTCAAGTTTATGTAGAAAAGTCTAAATGGTAGTGTAAGTAGGATAAGATTATAAAGGCAAAGATAGCCACATACAACAATAAACCCTCAAGAGCAATGACATCAAGCGAAGGAGGTCCATCAATGTTTACGGCAGTCACCGCTATTACTATGACCGCTACGATAGTACTTGCAATACAAAAGATGGAAAGGCTATTATGGATGAAACAAAATCTGGCGAAACGGGAATAGCAAAATAAAAAAATAACTGACTATTGACCTATTCAATCAATCAAAACCAGTAAAGTATTTACATTCTAAACAAAACTATTTATTGATCTATTACCAATGTCTTTCATTCTCAAACTTTTGAAACTTTTTCTGGCACTGAAAACAGGACGGGGTTCATTATTAATACGTTTATTCACCCTCTCCAACCACCAATTTGCAGCCACAACACTCAAACCCAACAAAGCCAAGAGAACTCCAAGTATACCAAAGAACCATGCAATACTTGAGTCTTGACCGGGAACTGTAACATTCATTCCGAATAAACCAGTGACCAAATTCAAAGGAATCAACATGGTACCAATAATGGTAACTTTGGAAAACATTTGCGTGATTTTATTGTTTTCACCCAAGCTTTCAACTTGCAATTGGGCTAAGTAGTTGGAATGAGACCGTGAAAATATCTTTTCATACGCCAACAAGTTTTGAAACATTGTGATTATATGGTCCTGAATATCGCCCAAGTATAAAGCAATATCTGCACGGGGCCGAGCATTTTTCACCACTTTCTGCTGCCATTGTTGATAGTGATTACTGGACAGAGGGCCCGGTTTCTCTTCAGCAGCCTCCTGGCTTGAATGAGGGCTCGATATATTGGCTGATTGTGAAGCGACGTTGTCTTGATTAAACCCCCATTGTGCTCCTCTGTATCCTAATGCTGCTTCATCTTGACACCTCTTGGCAAACATCTTGATAACGTCTGCTTTTCCTGAGAGTAACCTCATCAATGTCATTACTTTTCTTCGTGACTCTCCAATCCTTTGCAACATATTGCTGAATACTGTGTCTCTTGCAGTAAACACTGCATCTTCAATTGCATCTGCCTCATATTCGATACCCTGTATAGCAGGAGCAAAGCTATCAGTGATATCATCAATCATTGCATAACATAACCAATCGGCAGTAACATCAACATAATCTCTCAACTGTCTCACTCTTCTTCTAACATTGGCTGGGTGTGTCAAGGGCGAGAAATGAAATGTAAGAATACCGTCGCGGAAAACAACAATATAAACGTTGATTGGCTCAAGATAGTCCTCTGACTCCTTGTCAGATTCAAACGTGTGGAAACAGACAAAGTAGTAGCTCTTGAACAATTCCACTTTTTCTCTTGTTTCCTGCATTCGGATATCTTCTGCCGTCAAGGGATGGATCCCAAACGCCTTGGCAAGCATCTTCATCTCAGCATCAGTGGGACACGTGCAGTCCAACCACCATGTCTTTTCTCCATTATGGAATAGCTCCTGTATTGATTCACCATTGGGAACTAGCGATGGGATATCAGGTGCATGCACCGTCTCTTCAGACTCAGAATGGAAAAATGAAAATCTGTCAGGCAATGTGCCGTTAGTGCCGTCAGTTACACGAGCACCGCCAAATTTGACCTGTTCCATTGATGAAGCATCATCGGCCTCCATAGTTTGTTTAGCTTTAATTTCTTCCAACGACGAGGTAGTAGTGCTAGTTGACTCTGGAACTTCGTTAGAACGTTGAAAAGTTTTATATAAAATATTCTTTGGCGTGTATTTGAGTGCAGCCGTGCTGGTTGGTTGTCTACTTAAGCCCGATGTACTCGAAGGCATCCCATTGACGCTGTTACCGCGTCCAAAACTATCAAACTTTCGCGAATTCTCATGGCTAATTTCTTCAATTGCCAGCTGGTTTCTGGTTAAAAATTCACGTTGTAATTCGGCTTCCTCTCTTTCCTCCCGAATAAATTCATCTATTTCATCAAAATCAATACCATTAACCTTGACATGTTCTCGTATCATTGGAAAACAAACATCTTCCTCTGTTTCTTGTGAGGTTCTCGATCCATGGGAGTCTGCTTCACTATCTATCGACGACCTTGAAGGCCTTCTCATTTTAACTTCTTCCCCATTACCGTTGTTGGTGATTATAAAGGAGTCATTGGTTTTAATCTTTGTCATTGGGCTCAGAATATCGGCCTCCAAGTTATTCGAGTTGCTGCGATGTGTCTTTTTCTTCATAATTGGAGCCAAATTCTCAATGGTTGACTTGCTTCGCGCTTTGCCACTGTTCGATGGAATGTTGATAATAGGAGTTGGCAATGCGGTGTTGTCATCATCATCTTTCAAGTAAAAATCCTTCCGCAATGAAGTCATGTACGATCTATTTGGTTGTCCATGGTTATACGCTTGGTATTGAGAAGGCAGTGTACCCTCTCCCACCGACTGTCTTCTCGATGATCCTCTTCTCGTACTTTTTCTTCTACTGGTAACTGGAACTGGAGCAGAACCAGTATTGATATTTTCAGCTAAATCATCTTCTGGTCTACTAGTGGCACGATCGTTGACTTGAGATTTTTCCTGAGGAGCACTTGTTGGCTCAGGGTGGTCATCTCCTTCATCAATAACTGCAGAACCAGAATTGGTATTTTGGTTCCTATGATCGTTTAAAATTTCATCCGTGTGCAATGTGTTGTGGCCGTTGCCCGTAGGGTGAAACACACTTTCCGTATCAGACATTTGACAATTGTTTTATTAAAGTAATTGGTCAGAATGGTTGTTGAAGTTGAAGTTGAAGCTGAAGCCTATTAAGTTTGAAAATGACACTTTTTTTCTTCACTGTGTGCCTCTAGTATTTGATTTTGCAAGTTGCTCTCTTATCGTTATCGTTATCGTTATCGTTTCTTCTTCTTCTTCTTCTTAGTTTGTCGAAAGAAGAAGAAGGCTTAGCATAGCTTGTGAAGAAGTAAACGGCTTGAAGTTGTAATGATATAGCACTACCCTCTATTTTCAAAGTGATGAGTGTGTGTGGGTGATACTTTCTTTGCTTTGCCTTTCCCTATTGAAGCCAAAAAAGAAAAAAAAAGAAATTTTTTAAAAAAAAATTTGAGCACGTTTTGATGTCTAATAATAGCCAGATGGAAAAAAATGACTGTGCAATAAAAAAGAACACTCTGGTTGTATAAAGTTGTTGAGATCTTTCTTCTTTGAATGTATATTGATCAAGATGCAACGAACTGTGATGAATTATACTCTCTTAGATGTTGAAGGATTTGTCTTTATTTTTTTTCTTTCTGCTTCTTAACTTTTACTGTCTCTATTTTTTTTTTTTCTAATTTAATCTCTCAAATATGATGATTTCTTTCTCTTTCTTCTGTTGTCGCTGATTTGAAACAAAATTACACTCAATGAATTAGTTAGTGTCGGTCATCAACGATGGATTGGATAGATTATGGTTGAGGTGTAAGTGTAAGTGTAACTATAAATGATTTGTGAACAATCATATATAAAGAAGAGATCAAGTTTATTGAAATGAAATGAAATGAGTTGAAATTAATTTGGTCTACAAACTTTTATTTAATTTATGGGAAGAATGCCATGTAACGCAACACCAATTTATTTTTTTTATTTTTTTTATTTTTTTTATTTTTTTTATTTCTTTTAATTTCTTTTAAGGTTTTTTTTTTGTTTTGTCCATTATTACACGACCCATTATATGCCCTTGAGACTTTTACTAATAATAATCGACCCAAAATCTAGTTCTTTTATTTTTATTCTTTGGTTGTAGGAGACAATTAATTAGAGAACATATTGAGTTTTTTGTTTAGACTCCCATAAGTTTACAAAGAGCAGTTGTTTATGACTCCAATGACAGATTTTTTTTTTTGGGGGGGGGGGGGGAGGGGATGGTAGTGCTCCCATTTTCTCAACAACATTGGAGAACTCCTGATTTATACACTCTGTACTCAGAATAACGAAAACGATTGTGTACTGGTGGTGTGTTCCAAAAGACACAACAGACAAAGTTAACAAATTGAAAGAGCAGCTTATTAAATATGGAGCTGGTCATATAATGTTGCATACACTTCGATACCCCAAAAGACAAGTTTTGTGCAAATCTCTACCCTTTTAGATCCCTCTTCACCAAGTGCTTCTATAGCCAGACCCTAAACTTCTATTGAAGCCAAACACAGTTCATGTATGAGTTACAACTTTTATTTCTAAATTTATATCGTATGATTCTAGTCGGAACACCATACAACACTCTCTTCAGAAGAAGAAGAAGAAGAAGAAGAAGAAGAAGAAGAAGAAGAAGAAGAAGAGATGTGTCTGCTCAAGCAACAGCGTTACTAGCAGATTTCCCATTGACGACTTGATGCTAAAAATACAGCTTAAATTTTAGCTTTGATGTCACCACCATCCTGTGTTTCCTCAGCATTTTCCCCTGTATAAGCTTGCAGAGGAGTTGCTACATTATGCAATGAGCCTTTATCAGAATCACCACTATCCTTTGTGCTTGTTTCAAACAAGTTCTCACAAAGATGGTGAATTACTCCCCACCCATATCCATTGGCAAAACGTCGTCTCACAATGATGTTATTATGAGCATCAGGCGGCAAATTTACCAACACTTTTCGCCAGCTGAGCTTGCCAGTGTGGTACTTGTTGGCTATAACCACCTGTTTATGTAGTCTCCAATCGGCCGAGTAGCCAAACAACCTTTCCTTCAACGAGCGGGACTTGACGTTGCTCTCGTCTCGCGACTTGTCAAAGTGATAGTATTTATCATGGAAAATTACGGGGTTTCTGGAAGCAGGGTCCATAATATACTCTTGCGAAGGAATGGGACAAATCAACGTATTCAAAGCAGATTCAATTGCAGATGCACGCGGAGGTACAGTGATTGTTGCCGACTCCTCGTTAGAATCATTACTTGCAGATATGCTATCAGAGTTAGTATCTGACCCCTTTATACTAAAGTTCTGATACTTTTTTTGTCGTCTTGTTAGTTTATTTTGGGAAGAATTTAACTTTGCAAACTCTTCAAATTTGTCATGAACTTCTTTCAATCGTTGTTGTTCTTTTGAGAGTGTTTGATGAGCTTGACCGTTGTGCTCACCACTTTTCGGTGAAACGTGTCCCTTGCCGGTAGATTTGTCATTGATGGCACTGGATTCAGGAACTTCCAGAACATTATTCTGACTCTCATTGCTTTCAACATCATGGTGATCGGTCTCCAACTCAGGCCTATCAATAACATTGTTTGTTTTCTTTAGCTCATTCACATCACCTAATGCTTCATAGTCCAAGTACAATATAGCGGCTGTTCTCAAGGGCACAATACCATCATTTATAGCATTTGCGTAAACAGTTAATCGTTCAAATTTTTCCAAAAACGTTTGAAGAGGGTCATCAGGTAATGTTTCCAAGACTGGCTTAAATCTATCCTTTGTTCGATGATCACCAATCTCAACATCTTTCCAACCAGGCAATCGTTTCAGCAATGTAAGATCACGCCCCGTTTTACCAAGTGTTCCGAGATCTAATATCCATGAGAGGACCAAGTTTAGTTCGTTTAAAATTCCCAAGAAAGGACTGGCTAATGAAACCAAATTGACCGGTTGGATATGTAAACGATCAAAAAAGTCAACACCTTTGGTCACTAAGATGTACTTGATAGCATATAATTGTACCACACCTCCAAGCGAATGGGCAATAAATGATATCTTGTTGAAATTATAGGGCTCCTTCTCAACCACATCAACAATATAGTTGCCCACATTACGACCCAACTTTTTAATTCCCTTTTCGGTCTTGCCTGCATTATATCGGTATCCTCTGATCATGATGTTCTCCAGCACCGAACTCTCCAAAGTCTCTTTCAAGTAGAGCATGTCTGCCGTGAGGTTGGAGAAGATTCCATGGGTAACTATTATTAAATGCACCGGTTTAAGTGGATCTGGTGGCTCATTATTCCAAAGATCATCGGTCGATTTTTTAGCAACACTTAGATTGGGATTGAAGATATGGTTACTCGTTTCATGGTCAAAAACTTCCTGTGCTGTTCGGTCCTCGTCCTTATTGTTAGGTACTATACTAGTCAAGGTTCTTTGAAGTTTGCCGAGTCCCAATTTTTTCATGGCATGTAGGTCTTCCCCAATCATCAAGTCGTATAGCACTTCGGTCTTCTTAGTAATGACAATCTGTGATATCACCTCTATTTCCCATTGAAAATGCTCATACTCGATACCATCTTCAGTGGATGTTTTAGCAAAAGAATTGTCATTTAAAAGCAATGTAACGTTGAAAGACTGATTCGGCTTGATTTGATTTTCAAAAGCCACCTCAGGATTTTGTCCCACATCTTCGGGGCAGAACTTCTGTTTGTAGTTGTAGTTACAAGGAACAACGTGACAGTACAAGATAAATGGACCAGTTAGCAAATGAATGGTTCTGATGCCCAGGTTTTCCACGTTCTTGATTCTGAAATAAATTTGGGAAGTGGTGGTGGCACCCTGCTGTCGTTTGTATGTGACAATGTACCTATTGACTTCGCCAATCCTTAGTTTAGCTTTGTCTCTATACCATAGAAATGGATCAGTAGTCATTGTTTAAAAGAAGGAACAACGGTCAAAAGTGTTGATGCACGGTGACCTTTACTGTGAGCAACTTTTGGATGACATTGTAAAACACAAAAGTGTCACATGCTTGAAACATTAAACGGGGAAAATATCTAACTAAATGCCGGTTTTGGAAAGCTCTTCACTGGGCAATGGCAAAGGAGAAGCCAAGAGTAGCTTCTAGAGGGGGAGGCACTCGAAGGCGTGTTTCAAACAATATAGCACATAGCAGAAAATGTTCAAATATTTCAACTTTTTAGGCAAGTGTGTGTGTACACTTTGTCGTGGAGTAGTGTGCATATAATGAGGCATTAGCAAAACTGACGCGTAGAGAGAGAGAGAGAGAAGTGTTGGAGCTACTAACCATATAGAAACAGTTTAATCGAAACAAGCCAAGTAGTTAGGGAGAAAGAGGGAGACTTGACTAAATAGAATATCATAAAGGATTAAATAACTCTCAGTTCTATTCAATTTCTCTCAACTTTCTGTGAGTGAGCTACTGTCGATGACATACCTTCAAAGTAACCAATACACGAGCAGATGAAGAAAGTGTTGCATACACCATCAAGCTTTGATGCCTGAAGCATACTTATTTTTCAAGTATTGGAAAATTCCAGCAAACTTAAACTTACGAATGAATAACCATTCAAGGACGAATCTTGGAAGAAGCGGGGTTATGAAACCCAAGATAAATGCCATTTTTCCACGGTACAAGTGCAAAGCACCTCCCACCTTGGCCCGCTCAAAATCATTTACAACTTGTCTGGCATAGGCATCAGCTGGAAGTGGATTATTATTAACTGCCATCTGTCTCCTTTCGTCAAACGCTTCCTCCATTCCAGGCACATTGTATAACGACGTTGCGGGTAAGCTTCTCTTATCCTCAATATCTGTTTTAACTCCACCAGTGATAAAGTTGATCACTTTCACTCCGAAAGGTCTCAACTCTAATCTCAAAACTGAAGCGTACAGCTGAATAGCAGCTTTTGAAGCAGAGTACGTGCATGAAAATGGGAATGGATTGACTCCACTAACAGAACCCGTGAACCCAATGACCCCCTTTGCATTGATTAAGAGAGGAATAAATTCTCTGACCATGCGCATTGCCCCAAACAAGTTGACTTCAAAACACTGTGTGAATTGTTGATCGGTAACATCAATTGCTGGAAATGTGCAGGATTGACCAGCATTGTTGAACAATATATCCAAAAAGCTGCCACCAGTTTCTTCTTGAATATAACTTCTGGCATCCTTGACACTCTGCAAGTCACTAACATCCAACTTGAAAGTCTTGATCCCGTAATCGTCTTTTAATTTTGCCATTGGTTCCAACCTCCTTGCCCCCGCAAAAACAATGTATCCCCTCTTGGCAAGTTCAATTGACGTTGCGAAACCTATACCTGAAGATGCTCCTGTGACCAATGCTACTCTGCGACGACTTATTGACATTATTGATAGCTCTTTAGGTTGAAGGAAAAGAAAAGAAAAGAAAAAAAGGGGTTGGCAATTGAAACCGGGAAAAGGAAATTGAACTTTTTATCCGGGGCTTTATAAACTTTTTATTTTTGTTCTTTACAAGTATATAAGGCGTGTACAAAGGCTAAAAGCGCTTTTGCATCCGCGGAGGAATATGTGGTCTGTCAGAAAGTGTTAGAATCGATGCTAAACACAAGCCTTAGAGGTACAACTGGTTGGCGAGTTTTGTTACTATAGTTAAAACAAAAGGCAACTAGATGTAAATATGCTCATGTTGACATATCTTAGACAAGAAAAGAAGTATTATATTAACATATAGTTCTCATATGCAAGGAGAGAGTACTCTCTTTGCTTCACTTCATTTTGTGTAATGATTCAACTTCTCACTTTTGTTTTAGACAAATTGGAAAAATAAAAACAAAATCTTTTCCTTTTATACTTACAAACAGACCTTAATGCGTTCCTTCAAAACAATACCACAGAGTGTATACAATCAAGTACGATTCAATTCCAATCTCCTGCTTAAGTTTTTTACCAAAGCACAATGTATGTTGTGCACAAATGCCAACAATGTACTCGAGCAGGCTATATCTTCACCAGCTGTAAAAGGAATAGGTTTCAACCTTACCAAAATAGATATAATGGATCCAAAAAATAAGAATTGGTTTGAAAAATATTGCTACGATGTTCCTGTCCTCCATATAGAGCTGTCCCAAGATGGTGATGTCAAAAAGCACATGCATTACTTTGACAAATCACAACTCGTCAAGGATTTCCAAGAATATGACTCCAGAAACAAAAGCTAAAAGTAAGTTCGATTAGAATATTTGTAACCAATCTAAAGCTTATATATATATATATGTACTCTTAATTCAAGAACATTATAGCGGCATATCTTTCCTTTACTTTTGTTCCTCTTTTGTATCGCTCTTCCATACAACTTATTCATTCTACCCTTACTCCTAGTCATCTTTGGGTTAGGTCTGCAAGTCACATTTTCAGTGTCGTGAGCAAAAGCCAAATCAGTGACATTTCAGTTCCTAACGTTCCCCTTGTAGTTTTTGTGTCGATTGTGTTTTGCAATCCCTTCCCCCTCTACAAAATGTTTTTAGTTGCAAAAGTAAAAATATAAAAATATATATAAAGACAACCACATCCACAGCATATGAAAAATAAATTCATCAGAATCTATGTATATAATCCACAAGATATCCTTCTTTTGTTTGAAGTTTTTGTCAATTTTCCAACCACATTACCATTCGATTTTTACCCTTATTGTCTAAATCTACTTCACAATAAATCATCCACCATTTCTACGGTCAACAATCACCTCATGATCAATTATTTCTCTGTTTCACGAATCAAGCATAAAATACTCAACATAAAACCTTTTTTCTCCTTTTAAGGCCCGAAGAGCGCCTGTTGGATGCGTCTTCATTGTGGAACTAGGGATGTGAGTCCCAACGTGACGCATAATTGTCCTGTTGGCTTCGAGGTGAACTTGAGGAAGGTTTTCAGGTCGGGCGGCTACTTTGATACTCGCTTTAAATCTGGTCATGGGACATTCCCGCACTTATGCGAATATGGTTTCGGAGGACTTAAGGTGGTGAGCTCGTGTGTTTTGATGATGACTAAATGGGGATATTTTAGAAGGTGGTGGTGTTTGCATCATTTCAGAATTGGAGGCTGAAAGAGACAGGAAACAATTAGAGGGAACAAAGAGAAATAAAATACATTTGAGGTTGCGTACATAGCATTCCTTTTGAGTATCTTTCTTTACACTTTGAGAAGAAGGCAATTGAGGTTTGCTTGGAAAGAAAAGCTTTTGGTACGCCAAACTCATTTGAGAATTTAATAGGGCACGTGATAACTTTGTCACAAAGCATCAACATCGGCATATTGTCGAAGAGAGAATTGCATGAGATCACTGGTCTCAATGTGGGTTTACAAGCCCAATTGAGGTTCAAAAGTTAAAAATATACGTAAATTTGTTGTTATAGTGTTTTATAACAAGATATTATTTGTAGATGATCTCTTAATCCTATATACTACTTTTCTGACCTAGAAGTTTCTAATATACAGTGCAATTTTTTCTCTAATACTTCTAAGAATCCAAGATCTATGCTCTGATTATAATAGTCCCTGTCCTTCTTATTCTAGATTCTTTCCAATGAGCGTCATAAAGAGTAAGAGATCTTACTTCTACGACTTTGATTATAAAATAAATATTTCTACAGTCTATTTGTTTCTTTGCCTATAGATCAATCCAGCAGATACCAAAAAGGCAATACCACACAAGATAAAACTTAGTTCGAATGCTCCCTTGTAGCACTCATTACCAAGATAGCAAATTCCCGTCTCGCCATCTGTTTGGCTATCGTAAATCCACCCAAAGTACTTATTCAAGGCATACAATGTAAGAAGCGGCCCTGTACAGATCAAGCCCCAATTGGTCGAAAATGTTTTGGTGCCATACGAATCAGCTATGACGGCTGGGTAAGTTCCAAAGATGAGTCCATAGCAGGCCCCAGTTAAGGTCGAGGCTACTGCAGTCAAATGGAATGACGCAGTATTTGAGATTGTAATGTACTGGGCCAATGAAAGGACAATTAACGTGGCCTGTACTATCCAAAGCCTCTGAATGTGCCATGTTTTGTGGATGTAATCACTAACAAAACCTGCAAAAATACGACCTAAGAAGGAAGCGATTGACAAAATTGACACCTGTAGAGCTTGTATGGAAGCAGCATCTGGGTCATGGACCGCAATCTGAAGAGTCCTGGCCACTAGGTCATACTTTGGATGCACATCATGCTCTTTGTTGTAATAGTATTGTGCAGCAACAATAAAGCCTACACTATATATGTAGACTTGACCAACTCCGGCGGTTATTGATACAATAAAGTAATGTACCAAGTAAATTTTGTCAACAAGACGATGCTTTATGGTTTCAATAGGACTAGCCCTTGGTTTCGGTTGCTTATTGGCTTGTTCTACCTCTAGCAAACTTCGCGCTACTTCAGTGGCTTCGGAATCTTGTAAGCTTATCGATGATCTTGGGGTCCTGGTCCCAATTCCCCAAAACGAAAATGACCCATTTAAGGAATCAGATCTGGTCAAAGATTGTGGAGGCGGCTCTATATCAGATGTCAAAGCAGCTTCTTCCTCTAAAGCTGAATGCTGTTGGGCCGCATTCCCTTCAATCGGTGTCAAAAGGTTGTTCTCTCGTTCATCCTCTTCATCGCCAACATAAACATGGACAAAAAAGGAGCCTAATAATGTGACTGATCCGCAAAAGAAAGCTAAGAACTGCAAAAGGCCACCAGTGTTGTCCTTAAAGAACGATGCCGATATTATAGAAAAAACGGTTGCAGAAAACCCAAAACAGCTGACTGGTAAAGCGCCAGCAACACCCTTGTGTTTGGGAAAATTGGCCTGAGACGCTTTCAAGGTGGCAAAATAACTTGTGATAGATCCAAATCCCATAAGAGCCATGGCAATGCATATAACAAACAAGTTGCTATACTGATGTTGGTAAATCTTAAACATGGTAAAATACCCTGTAAGTATGCACAATGATCCAACAAATATACTGACCTGGGGGCCAAAGTGGTCAATAAGAAGTCCTCCTGGCAATCCGCCAACCCCAGACCCAATATTAGTAGCTAATGAAATCGTTGCCGAATCCGAGGCAGTTAGGCCTATATGCTTTATCAATTGCGGTGAGTAGACCCCATACATGTAAGGGGTACCAGCAGCCAAGGCAACAAACACAGATACAATCAATGCTGTTAATCTCTTAGGGAAATGAGATGCCATTAGTTGGTTGGAGTGGTATTGGCGTTCAAGGGCCTCTGACATGATTGTGGTCGGGATCTTTGCTGGTGATTGGGGTTTCTAAGCTGTGAGGTGAATGATGAAGCTATAGGAAAGCAAAAGGATGTACCACCAGGTTCTATTTAGAAATATTGATATCAATGTAAGTAGTTCAATATAGTGAATTGAGTGATTTACTTCTTATAAATGGTGTGGTTGTAAATATAATTTCCCTCCATTAAATTCCGTCAACATTTTTACTTTTACCACATTTTACACAAACAGAAACAAATACATTTTAAATCTGTTATGTACACAATTGGAGAGTGGTTAGTAAGATATTGGTTAAGACACACTTGTGTCCAAACTTAGAGAAAAGAGTCTTAAATGTATATATTAAATACAAAAACAATCTTTCTTACTCTTGCCATCGAATATAACTAGATATTTCAAACCTGTGGATGATTTAGAGAGGGACCCTATCCATCAACACTGATAATCGTAGTAAAGAGTACACAGAAGAAATCTCATACAGAAAAAAAAAATTAATCAAAATTTAACTTACTGCGACAACAACCTAGCCCTACTCAACTATATTCACTAGAGCACCAGGAAAATGACAAGATTAGATAACTCGCAATTTCTAAAAGAGTTGAGCCAAGTGGTAACCAACAACAATGGCAAATCATCCATCTATTTGACTCAAAAACGGTTAAGTTCACCTGATGTAACGTCGTCCCCGTCGATCAATGATCTTCCGACAAATGTCATACCTAACGATCAAATACAGAATAACACGTCGTACCCCATTCTTATTAGGATTTCAATGAATAGTTCGAATAACAAGGAGAAAAAGCAAGATAAATTGCGTTTATCAACTGTTGTAGAAACGGACCAATTGAATCAATTTTGGCAAGAATATATACGAGTATTGAAGAATGGGCTTGTTGGGTTGAAAAAGAAAGAAAAGAAGAAGAATAAGAAAGGCAAGGTAAATAAGTAGATCGAATGGGGTGGGCTATCTGTGGGATGAGCAAACTAAGTTTGGACGACATCGCTGTATATGTTAATGTGATTGCATATTACTCTATAGGTCATATAAATGTTGAATAGATGTACTAAAGCTCGTTTTTCTATACATCCTCCACTAGTAGCAATCCATTTGGGTATATCAAATCATTCTGTTCAATTTCTTCATCCTTTTTCAGCGCCATGTCTGTTCTTGGAGGTAATGGCGATGTTAGCGTAAACTTGAATTCAACCTCAAAGTTCTTAAACTTGTTTGTGGCTTCCAGTTCTGTCAAATTGGAAGTCAGATCAACAAGATTCTGTCTCAATATTTCAACAAATGTAAACACGTCTCTTACCTTGAGATGCTTTGGGAAATAGACTGTCACCCTGGAAGAGTCAGGGAACTTCAACACAATTCTAGCATACTCTTTCGCCTCTTCTTTTGGGGGTGGATTAGTCAAGTTCTTATACAACGGTGCCTTGTATTTTAGATACTCCTTAGTTAGGGCCCTCTTTTTCTTTTCATTCTTTTTGATCATATCTTGCTGCATGGAAGCCATATAGTTATACTCTTGCTGCTTGCGCAACACCTCTGTCATGTATCTATCCTGCAACTCTTGTCGTATCAAGTTCAATTCTGGTTCATATTTCCCAATCTTTCTTAAAAACTTGTTCCTTATTATGGTACTGGCATCATCGAGGGAGTTAACTTTTCCCCCTTGAAGTTTAGCTATCATTGAGATCTTTACTGGATCTTTCTTTGGCCCTTCTGGTGTCATCTTCGTTCCTCTCGTTAAACACAATACCCCTAGAAAGGGAAACTTGGTAACATTCAAACTGTTGGCCAATTGATAAGCTTCGGGGTTTTTCAAATCACCACCCCATATTATAATATCCTTATTGAAGATTCTAATGAATTCCTGACTCATGATGATTTCATTGAATATGAACGAAGCACTTTCGTTCTGGGGATTGGTCAAATATACAAAGAGAATCTTGCCCCTCTGTGTTGCCATATACAATGCTTGTGTATAGCTTCCTTCAAAGAACGGAGGTAACTGATTTAAATTTTGAGTAATCAGTGGTTCCATACCATCTTCCAAATCTCGGACGAATTTGTTGACTTTATCAATAGGGTCAATCATTTCCTCGGGTGGAGGGGATGTGTTTAAATCTCTAAAGTATAGAATATTGATCACCGCAGACAACAACTGGAATATTAGTAGAAGTGTAATAATGAGTGGTTTGGCGACTATCACATTAACATAGGCTGATATCTTTTTTAATGATTCACGAACGGTGGTGCTGGGTTGTGTGTTTGTTTGTTCTTCTTGGTATGCACCAGGCATATTATTGTTGGTGTGATTATTGGGCGGTTCATTTGCATCTGTCCTTTGGTACCCATTTCGACCTAGTATCGATTCAAGCCAGCTAGGAAGTGCCATGGTGAATGTAGTTGTTGAAGCAGATTGTACTGGGTAATCTATTTTTTTTTACGATTTTAGTAAGCGAGTTTTGTGAATTTGTCAAACCCAATTACGTGGGGAACCGGCTTGACAATGGTAGACTCAGCCTCGAAAGGGGTGGTGTCTAGAGATCAATGACACTGGATAAAGAAGTACAGCTGCTCAGTTTGTTATTGAGCCTGAACCTTTTTGGCTCTACGATAATACAGCAAGCTGAAACCAAGGTGAAACTCAATTTACTAAAGTTGATCAGTACTGTCACTTTTGATGACACCGTCAAGCTTTTATAGATTTATGCCCCCCAATCCAAAGTAAAGCTATTGCACATAAACAGTTTAATTGTTCAACTGTTCAACTTCGTTGTCATTGTCATGTCCCAATATGGTGAAAAAAATTAAAACATCGATCCGTTGTTGCAATATGCAAGTCTTCTTCCACCCACTGAAATGAAAGGCTCATTATCTGCATATATAAAATAGACTTCCATAATGCCTTCACCAAAATTGGATCAGGTAGAATACCTTGTACGACTTCTAGGCCGGAAACGTAACGTTATTGAACTGGAGGTAGGGGGAGAAGAGACTCACCACTCAGACTACAGCAACAGCAACAGCAACAGCAACAGCAACAGCAACAGCAACAGCAACAGCGACTTTGAAGATATTATATCTTCCCACATGACACGAGACGAGATGATAGCACAATTGCATAAAATGTCCCAGTCTAGCAACTGGACCATGAACGTGCCACCAATCGATCTTCAATACCAATCGAGCACAACTCAACAGCAAGATGAATGTCTCGATGACGTGATTGAGACTTATTTGGAAACCCCCGACTTGAAATTCTATAAAGAAGCCCATTTGAATTATGTAATGAAATGCCTCACTGCCAAGTTGCCGAGTGGATACAAATCGCTTGATGCCAACCACCCGTGGATGATGTATTGGTTGTTGAATTCGTATTTCGTTATACACCGTGATGTTGTAAATGCCTCTTTAGACGATGAGATTATCGGATTGGTTAATGAAAAGATTGAGACGTGTATAATTGACGATGGCAAAGGTGGAATTGCTGGTGGCGCCAATCAAATGGGCCATCTAGCATCAACATATGCTGCTGTGTTGACCCTTGTCCTTACTAAAAATAAGACTACATTGTTGAGAATAAGGAATAATTTGTACTCGTGGATAATGAGCTTAAAATGCAAGTTGAGCCATGGCTCATCATTTATCATGCATGAACTAGGAGAATACGATGCTCGTTCAACATACTGCGCCCTTGTGATAGCATCGTTGTTAAACATGGTGACACCTGAATTGATCGAAGGTGTTCCAGATTGGATTGTTTCCTGCCAAACTTATGAAGGTGGATTTGCTGGAGTGCCCAATACCGAAGCTCACGGAGGGTACACATTTTGCGCCTTTGCATCACTATTTATAATAAATAAAGACCCACAAGCTGTAATTGAGCAAATACAATTTGACAAATTTGTTAGATGGTGTGTTGAAAGGCAAACCTATGAAGGCGGGTTTTCAGGGAGAACTAATAAGTTAGTTGACGCGTGTTATAGTTTCTGGATTGGTGCATTGATACCCATGATTGATATTCTACGCCCGTCACACATTATAAATAAAGCAGCTTTGAGAAATTACATCTTGCGAGTTGCCCAAGTTGAGTCTGGAGGATTTCGCGACAAGCCAGGAAAGCTGGTTGACTTTTACCATACAAATTACGCTTTGTGCGGTCTAAGCTGCTGCGAACATGAGTATCACCTAAGCGAGGAGAAGAAAGAAGTTGACTGCTTGGCATTCAGGATAATAGAAAGGAGCACGGATGATACAACATTTACAAAGGCAATTAACCCAGTATTTGGTATCCCAACATCTTTTTGCAACATTGTTCTGGAGATGTAGTTGTCACCAGTCTGAGCAGAGAGATGTTTGGTTTTGCATAGGAGATCAAACCATAATAGCAAAAGCAGATACACCTGTGATAGTAAGGTCTTACCAAACTCGATTGTCGTAAAAAACAGTTGAAATATGGAGCCAATTAGACACCTATCAGTTTCTAGCCAATGCCGGTATTTACCCCACCACTACAAGACAATACAAGTTGAGTGATGTTGAAGCAGCGTTGAAAGAAGTCCATGGTGCTTCTGTGTATGTTGGATGTTTGAATAACTCAATTGACGAAATCTGGTATTATCACAATTTACAAGGAAGTGTATTGACAGGATTGTACAGGCCAATTGACTCTTTAACCAATAGCACTTGTAAAGAGAATGTGTGGTATATTCCAAAGTGATTTAAAACAACTTTTGCAAATTTATTTTTATTTCGTTGCGTTGTAACTCCAGTTTAGACTGGGGGGGAGGTTGATTTTTGATTTAATAAAAGCCTAAAAGTCTCGTATCTCTTATACTGATTTTCTCTCTATGTAGAACTATATCTAGTATCGTTTTTCCCCTTAAGAAAAAATATCGGTGAAACTCGCCTGCCATCACTTTTGTTATTCAAATTGCCATTTATGCTGCCATCAACTTGTATGCAGTTCGCGTGTTTGGTGAATGTGAGTTTTGGTTTTCGTTGGCAAAGTTGATTCTTTGCATTGGTTTAATATTCTTCACCTTGGTTACCATGTGTGGTGGAAACCCTCAGCATGATGCTTTTGGTTTTAGAAATTGGCATGTTGCTGGTGGTCCCATTGGAATGAAATATGCAACTGGGAATTTAGGTAGGTTCCAAGGTTTCTTGGCCTCACTTAGATTGTCAAGTTCATTTACTTGTGTTGGTAGTGAGTACTTGAGTATGACTGCTGGTGAATGTGTCAATCCAAGAATTAACTTGCCCATTGCTTTTAGGACTGTGTTGTACCGTTTGGTGGCATTTTACATTGGAGGTGCATTATCTGTCTCAATTTTGATTGCCTACAACGATCCCAAGTATGTTGCATTAACATCATCCAGTTCCGGTGCTGCTTCTTCACCATATGTTGTCGCTATGCAAAACTTGGGAGTTGATGTGCTTCCGCACATAGTCAATGCAGTTGTGCTAACGTCGGCTTTCTCAGCTGGTTGCTCATACACATACACTTCTTCGAGATGTTTGTACAATTTGACCAAGAAGGGATTTGTGCCAAGATTTTTCAAAATCTGTACTAAAAGAGGTATTCCTATTTACTGTGTCTTTGTTTCCTGCTGTTTCGCCTTGTTGTCGTTGTTACAGCTTGGAAAGTCGGGAACTAAGGCGTTGAACTACATCGTCAACTTGGTCACTGGTGCACAAGTTCTCAATTACGGATTCATGAGTATCATTTACATTGGATTTTACCATGCGGTGAAAGCACAAGGAATTGACCGCTCGAAATTCACCTATAGATCATGGTTTCAGCCATATTCCATCTACTTCACTGCGTTCATGTACTGGTGTATTATTGGAATCTTGGGTTACCAAGTATTTATGCCCGGCAAGTGGGCAGTTGACGATTTCTTGTTCAGTTATGTCATGATTTTCGTCTCGTTGGCAGTTTTCATTGTCTGGAAAGTGGTGAAGAAGACCAAATTTATTAAGCCTATTGATGCTGATTTGACAACCGGTCTTGACGAAATTGAAGCCCACGAAGCGGAATATTATGCACAATTGGAAGAAAGCAGTCAGGACGAAAAGAAGAGTAGGTGGAAAGGGTACTTGAATTGGATATTCTGAGTCTAGTACTACTTGTATATATTATATTGTAAATTAAACGTGTATTAGATGTGAAATAAAAGGTCGTGTATATTAACATTGTACTGATCTAAACTGGTAGTACAGTGGCATAAAGTTTCTTATCGCACACAAAGTAAGTAAACAAAAAGAAGAGAAGATGGGGTGGCTTAGGCAGGCAGTGCCTAAACCCAAAAGAAAAGGTAGCACCTCCTGGAATGACTGTTAGTTTACTTTACTTTACTTTACTTTAGGAAGGAATATCTACCTTTTGGATATAGTATTAGACACTTGCATGCTTAAATTTTACAGGATAAGTACCCCAGTCTCTTCTTGATGTCTTTATCAGTGATCTCTCTTTGTTGTAGTTGTAGTAGTAATGGTTCATGGGGATTGGTGTTTGTTATTAATCATTTGGTAGTGGTGGTCTTAATAAAAAAGAAACAAAAATTAAAAAGAAATAAGAATTAAAAAAGAAAAAAGATCTGCCTCTCTCGCTATTGTCATAACAACAATCCCTCTAAATCAAAACACATTCCTAAAATATCATCAGTGGTGCCCTAATACTACGCCATAGTTGTTACATACTCACATTCGCTATAAAAATAATATATTACATGCTTTTGAATACTTCGAGTTATTTCTAAACACGACTGTATTTTGAGACAAATGATTGAAGGAAACTCAAATTCTAATGAGAATGAAACAGGGAAAAACAGCAGCTATCTACCTCAACCAGTAGCTAGCTTTCCACGAGAGCAAGAGCCGCCACCTGCTCCTGCTGAGCACCTACCATCACCAGATACAAATCAAGAACAAGGTGCCCCCAACAACAACAACAACAACAACAACAACAACCTCCTTCCGTTGCCTGCCTCTTCACATACAAGACGAAAACGTGGCTTGTCTTTGAGGTCACAGTTGTTCAATAGAGCCTTCAAAATACACGAGGAAGAAGAAGCACTTCCAAAACACAATGATTCCACAACAGCCACACTTAAGCCATCAGACAATATTGAGCTTCAATCACTTTCCAATACAGTGCATACAGCACCCCCTCAAATTAACATTGACGAATCACCAGACCCATTGCCAGTTTACGAATCTTCATCTTCATTTGGCCAGAAATATGAACCTTATAGCGTATTTGAGTCACAGTTGTCCAAATCGACAACCCATCTAACTATTGAAAGCAAAAGATCAAGTATAAGCTCCACCTCATTTGTGACAAAGAAACGACGCTTGCATAATACCTCACAGAACAGATTTTGGAGACGACTTAAACTGTTTAAGAATAAACTTTTGGGGGTCAAGATTTCACAGTCTACAGAATGCGGAAGAATCATTCCCCTTTCGGTAAATCCAAATGGAGTTAACGATTACTATCAGGATGAGTATTATAGCTCCGAATCAAAAGGCTACATTGATGAAAGAACAAATGAGCCTTATGTTAACAACATCATCACATCTTCGAAATACACAATTTATTCTTTTCTTCCCAAGCAGCTACGAGCGCAATTTTCAAAAATAGCCAACTGTTACTTCATGGTGGTGGCTATTATGCAAATGATACCCGGCTGGTCCACTACTGGTCAATACACTACGATTATACCCTTGTGTATTTTCATGTCAATATCAATGGCGAGAGAGGGCTTTGATGATTGGAAAAGACACGGCCACGACAAAGAGGAGAATAGCAAAATAACCACAGTAGTTAGGGAAGACCAAGAGTTGAGTAATTTTGACACTCATTCGATAAATACCATCTTGACTGAGACTATACCGGTGGTTTCTGGACGTTCCGCAAATCAAGGAGGTTTGCCCAGTCTATCAGCAAATTCCTCGCTATCTGACTTGGAAGACTCTCTTACTTCAGATAATTTACTGTTTGCCAATAAAAGCGCTATGCAACAATACAATTTGAAAGAAGTACCGACAAAATGGAAAAATATCAAAGTGGGTGATATTGTCAAAATTAATGAAAATGAGTGGTTTCCAGCTGATGTGATATTGATTGCAACGTGTGGGGACGATTTGCAGGAAGCATTTGTTGAAACAATGGCTCTAGATGGTGAGACAAATATGAAATCAAAATCCCCTCATCCGGAAATTTCTAAAAAGGCACGAACAGCACCTGGGTTGAAAAACCTACATACTTTGATAACCACTGAGGACCCCAATATTGACTTGTACAACTTTGAGGCGTCTTTCTACATGAATGAACAAGTGTACCCCTTGGGTTCTGACAATGTGGTGTATCGTGGCAGTGTTTTGAGAAACACGGAATCAGTCCTAGGAATTGTTGTATTTACGGGTGAGGAGACGAAAATTAGAATGAATAATATTAAAAACCCAAGAACTAAAGCGCCAAAGTTACAGAAAAATATCAATTATATTGTCATCTTTATGGTTTTTGTTGTGGTGATGTTGTCTGCGTTCTCAACAATGGCACAACGTCTCAAATATAACGAAAATAAAAGCAAGGCCTGGTACCTTTACGAAGAAGACGCCGGTGTAGCGGCAACCTTGATGGGATTTATTATTATGTACAACACGTTGATTCCGTTGTCACTTTATGTCACCATGGAGATTATAAAGGTTATGCAGTTGTGCTTTTTGCAGTTTGATATTGACATGTATGACTCAAAGACAAACACACCAGCAGATGCCAAGACTGCCACCATTTTAGAAGAATTGGGACAAGTGTCATACATCTTCAGTGACAAGACGGGAACGCTTACAGATAACAAGATGATATTCAGAAAGCTAAGTGTCTGTGGAATGAGTTGGCTCCATGATCTAGATCTTATGGTGAACGAGCGCGAAAACCCTGGTGACCAAGATGTTGCTAGCTTGGTGCAAAGGCAAAGCATGCAAGTTCCAAGACTGTCGATTCTGCAAGTCAACAAGAACACTACTGAAACAAACCGATTTAGTACCACTTCAATTGCACGTGAAAGTATGGACATCAAGCCATCAGGTTTGAGCGCAAAGACATGGATTTCCACAGCACAGCCTCATAAAGTACAGGATACATTAAACACGTTGCAACTAATCAGACACTTGCAAACGCATCCTCAGACTTTATTTTCTCGCAAGGCCAAATTTTTTCTATTATCGCTCGCATTGTGCAATACGTGTTCCCCTATTAAACAAACGGGTAAAAAATTCAAAATCAGCGATTCGAGCTCGTCACTAGAGGAAGTGTTTTCGGGGCAAGATATTGAAGATGATGGAGCGATATCTTATCAGGCTACATCTCCGGATGAAGTAGCATTGGTGCAAGCAGCTAGAGACTTGGGATACGTAGTTTTTGATCGACAATCTGATAAGTTGAAAATAAAAACATACCCCGAAGGTTTTGAAAGCGATCCTGTCATAGAGGAGTACCAAGTGTTGGATGTCATTGAGTTCTCTTCTGCTAGGAAGAGAATGTCAGCGGTGGTAAAGTTCCCCGATGGTAGAATTGCTGTTATTTGCAAAGGAGCAGATAACGTTATCTTGGAACACTTGCGCAACTCCAAACTAGCTAAAGAGAAAGCAAAGGATATTTCTATACAGTCAACAGAGCGTAAAATGCAGGAAGCCGATGTGGTATTGCAATCGAGGTTCTCACAAGATATGGAATCGAGAAAGTCTGGGTTTTCTTTGCGACAAAGCTTGAATTTAGGTGGAGGTGGAGAAACAAAGATGAACACTATTGATAACGCATTGATGGGGTTCGAAGAGGAGGAAGAGGCAGAGTTAGCCAGCATTGCCAATCAAGCAAGAAGGTCCTTACACCATCAACAGGCTCAAAAATACAGTATGGATGGAAGTGTTTCTGCCAATGGTGAAGGATTACTGACGAATCTAAATTCAGATGAAACACAACTACCATCCATCCCACATGATAAGCTTATAGTTAATGATGAGTTTGTAATTGAAAAAACGTTGGAGCATGTCGAGGAATTTTCAACCGAGGGATTGCGTACTTTGTTATATTCTTTCAAGTGGTTAAACCAAGCAGAGTATGAAGAGTGGCATACTGAGTACACCGAAGCTAAAACATCATTAAAGGATCGTGCGCAAATGGTTGAGGATGTGGGAGGTAAAATCGAATTCAATCTTGAGTTGCTTGGTGCAACTGCAATTGAAGACAAGCTACAAGATGGAGTTAGTGAATCAATAGTGAAACTTCGAAGAGCCGGGATAAAAATGTGGATGTTGACGGGAGATAAAAGGGAAACTGCAATAAACATTGGATACTCATGCCGTCTTATAAAGGATTATTCAACGGTGACTATTTTATCTAGCGATGAGGGTAAGCAAGCTGTTTCTGATAAGATAAGATCGTTCTTGAAAGATATACAAGGCGGTAGGATTGCCCATAGTGTGCTTGTTATCGATGGTGGAACTTTGGCAGAAATCGAAAGTGATTCTCAAATACTGTCTCAATTTTTCGAACTTTGTGTGGAGGTTGACTCGACTGTGTGTTGCCGAGCTTCTCCTAGTCAAAAGGCAAACATGGTGAGCTCTGTTCGATCTTTGAGGAAGAAGGCAGTGACTTTAGCAATTGGAGACGGTGCCAATGATATTGCCATGATTCAAAGCGCCGACATTGGTGTTGGAATAACTGGGAGAGAAGGATTACAAGCTGCTAGATCAGCTGACTATGCAATTGCCCAATTTCGATTTTTGCTCAAGCTTTTGTTGGTGAATGGACGTTACAATTATGTCAGGACATCAAAGTTTGTGTTGTGCACGTTTTACAAGGAGCTTTTGTTTTACTTGACTCAGTGCATATATCAGAGAAACACACTTTTTTCTGGATCATCCATGTATGAGAGTTGGTCGTTATCCATGTTCAATACCTTGTTTACCTCATTACCGGTTCTTTGTATCGGGATGTTTGACAAAGACTTGAAGCCAGCCACTTTAATTGCTGTACCTGAGCTTTATTCAAAGGGACGCTTATATCAAGCATTCAATCTTCGAGTATTTCTTTCCTGGATGATTTTAGCAACGCTTCAAAGTGTTGGAGTCGAATTTTTGGCGTGGTACATTTGGGGATTTACTGGCTTGCGAGACAATACCACGTTTGCATTGGGATCGTTAGTATTTACTGTTTTGGTAACTATCATCAATGCGAAATGTACCTTGTTGGAAATGCAGAATAGACAATGGCTTGCTTTTGCTTCGTTCATTATATCAGTTGGTGGGTTGGCATTGTGGAATGTTTTGATTATGTTCCTTTATCGACTGAAGGAGTCCACCATATTTTTTGTAGCTTATGGCTTAATCACATGGGGATTGGACCAAAGTTGGTGGGCTGCTTTACTTCTTATATTAACGGTGCCTTTATTCTTTGACATTTTGATCAAAGTATTTATTTTCATGTTTAACCCCAGTGACGATCAAATTTTCCAAGTTTATGAGAAGGATATGAAGTTGAGAAAATTGTTTGAGCAATCTGCATATAAGGAATTATATCAAGGTTGGACCTTTCCTCGAGACCCATCAACTACCAAGACCCTGTTATTTAAGTTGTTGAACAAGATCGGCATTAATGTGGATTTGAAATCGTTTGGAGGGAAAAACATTGAATTGGGTGATAATGAGGATGACCTTTATGGTCAATCTGCACTTAATAGAAAGAGAGCAGGTACTAACCCAATGGATCACGAGCTTCCACCAAGTGGTGATGGAGTTGGCGTTTTTGCCAGCGATGCTATGCCACATGATGTTGTTGATGAAGACGGCTACGAAATTTTACCCAGTGGTAAGAGAGTCAAAATTAGAAATAGAGAAAAAAGGAGCTGGTCGCTTTCTAAAGCGTTTGGTATGAAAAAGAGGAGATCCCTGGCAGATTCCGATGAAGATGTTGATGCAATTATAGATAGCCGGTTGAAGAATTTGCGTGAGGAGGAAGAGGGTCGACTGTAAGTACCTATATAGTTAAAAAACGTTTTGTCACTTTCATGTATATGAGTGTTGATAGTCCTCTCTTTTGCTTAAGCGGAGCCTACGCTTTGTCACTCTTGTTATTAATTTAGTCTCTCAAAGGTTAGCAAAGTGCGGGAAAAATTGCAAAAAGGAAAAAATAACGACAACTGCAGGACTCGAACCTACGCGGGCAGAGCCCAAAAGATACCTTGAAATCGTTCAAGTCTTTCTCCTTAACCACTCGGACAAGTTGCCAACTGAGCCAAACCACTCATTTGTTGGTCAAAATAAATATGTATTTAATAAACAATTAAATATTAATGATCTTATAACAGCTTGTTTGAAGGACCAGTGACGAAGAAGCAGTTCAAAATCACTTCTATTTGTTGAAAAATACCTCTAGAATGAGTGTTGAGTTAGTTGCATTTATTTCCTTGAGGTTTTGTAATTCCTCATTGGACGTATTTATGTAAATTTTGCATTGATTTTATTCCAAATTCAACAATTTCTTAGAGATGTATTTAGGTTTGCTTCCAAAAAAAGGCATATAAAATAAAACATCTCATTGAAGAGTTAGCTACACGACATTAATTGATCAATATATCAACAGGTCAAATGCGAAAGAGATGTTCTTGAATGCAAAGGATAAAAGTAAAAAAGATCAGTTCACTATTTTGCAACTGAAACGGATCAATTAGAAAACTAAAAGTTCAGCTACAAGTAAAATTCCACACACTAGATTACGTTTACTAACATTTTCATCACATTTCAAATACATCCTAGGTTTTGAAGAGGAAACTTACTCAGTCTATCGGCATTGAAAATGCCCCACTGTGTTTCCCATTGTTGATTCGAGGTCCAAAACACTTCTTTCCACGGCTCATCATATGCTTCAAAAAAGTAATACTCGAGCGGCAACTCCCTCATTGTACATAAAAATGTGCTAAGGAAGATCTTCAAACTTGACACACCTGCTTGTCCATAGCGATAGCGACCGCCTCCGCTTGGCCACCCAACTTCTGTAATGACAATCGGGGTATCGATGTTCTCATTGTGCGGCAAAATCTGGAAATCAAGAAAATGCAACACCCAGTGGGTCGCATCTTCGACGGAAACACCACCGAAAAAGGGTTGAATGTTGGCACCGACTATGTCACAGTTGATTAGTAACTCCAGATCAATGAGGGACCCAATTTCCGAAGTACCCACGGGAATGTCATCAATTTTCATCACTTGTAAAAATCTCTTTGCATCATGGATGTATTCTATCAACTCTTTTCTGGTTTTGTCACCTCTAAAAAGAACTTCGTTTCCAATAAATATCGAATTGATTACTCTGGAAGGGTCTGGGTGCTTGGCAATGACTTTTTTCATCATATCCATCTGCTGTCGGTTCAATGTATCATTCTTACCAATCCATACCCCCATTGCCAAGGTCATGTTCAAATTCATATGATCAATGGCATCCAATATCAACTCGGCTTGTTCACATTGCATTCCATACGTTCTTATACGTGTCGTTATGGTGGAGATTTTTGCCAAATCTAGCATCGCATCACGCTTAGTGAACTGACAATGGGGCTCCAACGCATTATTGGGGGAGTAAGCAATGCCGTGAAACATGATGTTCGATACACCTTTCATTAAATCTGTGACCTCGTTGTCGCCCTTTGCCGCAATACTTAACCCATCAACCGAGTTACTTACAACTCCAAAAGGTTCCTCCTGCAGCAAATGTTTAGCAAACAACTCTCTCAAATGAGGGTTGTTTTTGCCATTATTAAAATATGAATCAACCGAGTTGCGAGTCCCGTGAGATAGAATGTAGATAGCAATTAGGAGTCCCCCTAAAACCATTCCAGCAAAAACTACAGATACAGATATAGCTATACCAACTTTCCAGCGAGAGGATGCTGCCATGCTGTTAGATTTTCCACTGATAGAAGATTCAGAATTGACTCTCTTTCCATTTCCGTCTTTCTCGGCCAACTTGCCAATAGTTGGAGCTCCTTCAAAGTTCATTGACGCAGACAATCTTCTGTACAATGAATCCTCACTTTCTATATTATTTGGACCCGAAAGGTTGAGACTCACCAAATCACTACCAAATTTCGACTTTACACCAGTCCTTGTTCTGTTTGTACTTTCTGAAAGGGGAGAGTTGGCACATGAATGATCTCCACTTTCTGGTCCTTGCCCTTTCCCTTGCCCTTTCCCCTGTTCATGCTTTGATGCACTGTCATACTTTCTGGTGTAGATGACTGTAGCATCGCGTTTTTCAACATGCTTGTCAATTTGGTCGAAATGAAAGCTTGATGCAAACTCGGAACCAGTGTTGATGATATTTGCACCCAACGACTCACTTGACTTGTCACCGTCGTGATTAATAACACCCAGATAAGCTGATTTCTTCTTTTTATGGAAATGGTTCTCTGCACCATTCAAGGCTGCATGCATTTGGTTGTTTCCAACTTGTGACGACTGCATCTCAAGACTATTTTCTTCAAAATCTGGCTGTTTTTTATTCTCAACTTCTTTGGAACGCCTTGAGGATATTCTAGTGGTTCTCAGTTGATCCAAATGTGAATCAAGAACTCCTGGTTTGTCTAACTTTGTCCCTGAATCCTTTGATCCTGTATATTTGAATATCATCGGGTCATCTTGACCTCTGGCTGACTCCCCAGAAAGCTGCTCATTTGCAGAGTTGCCGTGAAGGCTGGGTGATGTATCAGCAACCGGTTGTACAGTTGGCGTTTCAGATATCTTCACTACATTGTCAGCTAAATCTGTGTTTTTTGTCTCTTTCACTTCCTTTTGCACCTGGGATGAAACAACTTGAGATACATCTGCTTTGGGGGTTTCAATTACTGGATCTGATTCCATACCAGCATTGGCAGCAGTTGCACCATACTCCATGAATACATTGTATGAGGTAGCCCGTGCAATTTTATAGGGGTTTAATTTGACCAAATGGGTTGCACCTTCTTCACTGCGAAGTGGGGTGTGGTCTCTTCTGTGTGTAATTGGGGCTGTAACTGACCTCTTTGATGACTTGCCTTTCTTGTCTTGCATTGCATTAAGAAAATATTTCAAGCCCCTTGATGTTCTAAGTTGATTGTTTGGTTGTAAAATTTAAACCACTTTCCCAACCAAATTTTCTTCCTCAAAATCTCCAATTATTATTATTATTTTTTTTACCGCTTTTTTTTGCAACACACCACGGTATGCACATCGCTGCACTTTGGCTCAACCATTATAATCATATCGCTGAACGGTATTATCATCGTGCATGAACATACATCTGTAACACAAACTTTGAGGTTGCAAAACACTAAAGTAGATGTCTACAGCAACGTGCTCTAAAAATGTAATGTATTTGCACATGTCTATAAACCACTAATACCACCACCACCACCACAGCAGCTGGCACCAAACAATTGTCCTCACCTCCATAAAAAGATATAGGCGTCCTTGCTTTAACATTTACAACAGGAAAATACAAGATTACCCAACCAAGTTGCACATGAGGTCACACAACCCTCACCGTTCTTAGGGCAACAGTCGATTACTCCGAAACATGTGAAAAATTCAATACAGAATTCAGTACACTCATTGTGTTCTCGGTGATACCCACTATGTCCAGAGAAATCGGAACCAGAACTGGAGGAAGTTCCTGATGATGACGCAGACGCGTTGGTTTTCTGAGGTTTCAAGCCCTCAGGATTAGCTGGGCCTACAGCCCATTGCAGCTGTAGTTGAAATGGGTCCTTTTCATCTGTAGCTTTGGGTTCCGTTGTGATTGTTTTGTTCTGAGGTTGATATTTAGGTTGCTGTTCTGTGTCGTCTTGTGGTGTCTGAGGTGATTGAGAAATCTCACTCATAGGGATAGATTCTGGCATGGTTTGCTATGATTTGTGATTCTGTATCAATTTAAAGTGTAACAGCCCCAATTTGCTATGAACGTAGGTCCAGGTAAGTCCAAAAGCTGAAATGAAAAGAAATGGTACGCCAAAATGATGTCAAACTGCGAAAGAAAGAGAAGAAAAATTCGTTCTTTTTTTCTTTTTTGTTTCTTTTTTTTTTTTCTATTGTTTTTGTTGTTTTTTTCCTTTGAAAGGGGGTTTCAGGTAGTAGTAGGTCCTGAAGATTGTGCTCGCAAAACATGGTACTATGAAAAGTAAGTGAGGGTCACAGAAAATGGTTTTATGAAGCTGGTTTGAAGCTTCAGAAATCAGCTTTAGGAGGAAACTAGGAACGTTTTTGCCCAATACGGAAGACAACTAAAGACCTCTTAGTATGCAGTACACCAAATAATGCCGTTGTTTTGTGGTACGCTTCTAGCCTGGAAATACCGTTGATCGACAAAGTAGCTATATGTAGCTTGAACATGAAGGGTTTTTTCAAAGGCCTATAGTGGTTGGCAAGTCGGTGATTGATAAGATGAGTTTGACCGATCGGTATTTTCTTGCCGGAGTTACATTCGAGGCACAATTTTTTGTTTTTCCGTTTTGGGAGGTTAATCCCGCGCCTGAAAAAAATTGACTTTGCAGCATTTGTTAAAGCCGTGTCGTGACTAATAGCCTTGATTCCAAAATGCTAACAATTTAGACACAAAGTCCGATCAACTGTGATATGAGAGTGACTATTTGGGTAAGACATACGGCAAACACTCCTTCGTAAGTACTGTCACTTTTCTAGAATATAAATTGGTTTACGAATCGCATCTAGGATTTCTTGAGATTTGAGGTTGGGAAATAATAACTATCATGAAAGTTACTACTTTACTGTTTACAATTCTCGGTTTGTTGTTGGTGAAAGTTTCGCATGTGGCAGGTGTCGCTGAAGTAATTGAAGGGGGCTATCAAAATCAACCCCCTGTTGAATCATCAAGGGCTGATCCTTATTCAAACGTGACTCCTTTAAGTTTGCAAACAAGCTCTACATCTGTTAACCCAACACACAGCTCAACTGTATCGAGTACATCATTGTCGTCCTCCATGTCCAAAGGAGATGCAGCCCACTTTATTATGCCAGTATTTGCTTATTATATAATTTCTCTAATGTTGTAAGTTTTTTCATGAATACACACGTTATTACTGATTTATTAGCTGTTGTAGATCCATTAATAAGAGGCATCGATGGTTTATGTCTTTGCAATCGTAAAACATACCAAATTCAGTGGTGATTCAGGATTTAGGATACACTCTAGTAAACGCCCGAAACTTTATCTCTATTACCTATTTGGACGGAAATTCCGTTTGCCAACAAAGGAAAGATCAGTTTATGCATCAGGGCCTAAAATGAACTTTTCGCACCCAATGTTTACACGGAGTTAATTTGAAGTTAGTCATAAATGTAATAAAAACAATAAACAAACACCGATAGCTGTGTCATACACGGCTAACAAAGTATTGTTATTTCGCCATCAAAAAGAAAAAAATAAAAACATAGTCTTTATAAGTGATGTATAAATATCGTGATGTTATATTTTTGACAGGGTTTACATTTTGGTTCAAACTAATCTATCCCTCACACTTTCCATCAAATCAAATCAAATGAGACATTTCCTTTTGCTCAATTGCATCACATTGCTAATTGCTTCATTTTCGTTTGCTATCGTCTCACCCATCTTTGGCCAAGCTGAAGTTTACAATTTATTGGAGGGCAAAGTATATCAACCTGCTGACGCCGCCGGAGAAAATATTGGAAAAACATTTGTTGGTGGCGAGCCACCTGCTGCAAGGACCATTTCGCAACATACATCACCACTAAGCACTTCATCGTCCATTGTTCTGATATCGACCGCTGATATAAATGGAACAAACATTGGGGTGAGCTCTGCTAGCGTTTCTGGAGGCAGTCGTGTTGCAGCACCAGCTTGGTTAATTACAATGGGTGAAATAGTGAGCCAATTCTTTCCTATTTAAACACCATATAAATGCATGGATTCAACACAGTTCGAACCATTAACCTCTGAGGCATCAAAGCTCCGATTTCTGGAATCAAATGATTTTATTGAAATTTTAGAGGGGCAGATAATCCCGGACTTCGAGAAGTTGTATTATCTAACACAAAATTGGTTTTCGTTATGTGACATTAAGTCAAAAAAAAACATGCCGGTTTATTATTGGCAAAGGTGACTGACAACAACTGCATTATTAATCGATTTCACACCCCTCATCTTCAGGATCCTCAGGTTATCTGGTTTATCTGTGATCAATGCTATCCTTTATCGATTTTGTAAGTTTTTATATCTCTTAATAGCACGTATACTTTGAAACACCAACTCTAACGAATGTAGAAAACCGACATTTCAGGTTGCTTTCATGCGGATTCAATAGTAACTTTAACTTTGAATGGTTGTGGCTATGAACCAATTCCAAATGGAATTCTGTTGCTTTTGTACTCTGTTGCGTGCCTAAGCATTACAATACACACACACTGTCAATAAGATCAGACAACAGAAGACTTTTGAGAAAACAAAAGCTGAATTAGAGGGGAGGGGGGGTTATCATCAAGAATCTGTTATTTAAGGTTGTCTAGAAGCATTTTTTGGAAATCAATAATATGCAAAGATCGAACATTGGAATAAGCATGAAATGATGATTCACAAGTGAACTCATTGTTGGAAAAAATTGAGAGTATACCTTACATTAGTTTTAATACAGAACAATATAACCAAAATATAAGAAACAAAAATACGCCTCTCTACTTTACAACAGATTATGGGCAAAAGTTCAAGGTTCAAGGATGTTACTTCACTTTCCGGTCATTTCACATTTGAATCATGGAACAAGGAACTCAAATTCACTCTGTGTATTGATCACAACGATCTATATTGGCAAAAAGGCAATGTTCGACGGGAAGAACCAATTCAAAAGAAACATGAAATTATACGAAAAGTACCTAGCCCCCCTTGGGGAAAAGTTTGTACCAACCAAATGGATCCATGTCAAACTTTTCGCCAATACCTAATAAAATTATTTGTTGACATGCTTTAGAATAGTGCATAGTGAGTTTGGATGCAGCACAAGTCTGACAATTACGATGAATAGGGTTGATATTGTTGGTATTCAATGAAGTACAATTATGTAGTTCCATTGTGCAATTCCAATACATGGAAATCCAAGATCCAAGATCCGAATAATGTAGATTATAAATAGAATACAAGTTATCCAACAACTAATTATATCCATCAAGAAAGAAAATAAAAGTTTTAACATGGACTTAACCATTCTCTGCCTCCCTCTTCTCCTTCTCTGACGAATATCAAAAGAAGCAGAATACCCAGCTCCCATCGATCTCCTACTGCCAAACACACATACAACCAGAATAGGTAAAGTATGCGTGGTTAGACAAATCACAAAATTTTGAACGCCTCTAAATAAAACAAAACTGTTTCCAGGTTTCGTTAGACATTCTCAAGGCGAACAATTAAAAGTTCAATGGTAAAGAAAAAGGTGTTGTCGAATTAAAATATTTCTCTACAACTTGCTTTCGCCTTTTTATAATTTGGAAAATTGAGAGAATAAAAGGGGGAGGTACAACCAATCAATTTTGTTGAAGAAAATATATTATATTTAGATAACCACCCAAAAGCAAATCATAGGGAACTACAAAACTAAAACCTTTTATTACCGTAACAAAATTTCTCTGTCTATATTCCCTTCATTTCTCTCTCTCTCTCAGTCTCTCTACTTACTTATTATTAATTAAATACTCTATGAATATCTCATAAATTATAATAAATTGATCCAAATTCTGCACCATCCCCACTCGTTGTCTTCGTTGATGTTGCACCAATTTATAAACCAAATCAATATCCGAATCCATTACTCGTTGTTTCAGATTCTTCCATGCTTGAATCAATGCATCAATAGTTATGAAAACTCCAGTTCTTCCACATCCAGCAGTACAATGAACCAACAATTTCTTATTCAATTTGTGATCTTCTATCAATTGGTTCTTGTATTGAACCATATCCAAGATTGATTTGAATGATTGAGGAATTCCGAAATCAGGCCATGATAAATAATGGAAATGATATATATGATTGTTAATTAACCGCAACTTGAAATCAGGATATGGAGTATCAATCATTTCAATGGACTTGACTTTGGGGTGATCGAAATATTGAATTGGTTTGGTTTCTAAATTGACGATAATTTGCACATCTTCTTGTTCAATGGTGGACCAAAAATCGTCAATTGTTGATGCCAACGGGTTTTGGGTGGCAATGTAGGTGATGCTATTACTTATTAATGCATTGGTGTTAATGTAGTTACCATTAAAGTAGTCATCTTGTTGACTGTATTTGTGGTTGCTATGGTTGTGCTGGTGTACATGACTATGGTTTTGCTCTGCCTCTTCCGCCTCTTCCGCCTCTTCCTCTTTAGCCAGCACATCGTTCTTAGCTTGACCCAACTTGACTCGTGAATGTTCATACGGCCATACATTATTAAACCTATTCTTGTAACCAAATTCAATCCCTTGTGGTAATTGGAAATCAATTTTAGAACAATCTGGGCAACAAGGCGAAAAGATTTTATCCTGGCCTTGAATATTGGCAGTATATGGTGACTTGAAATTGGAAGCCATCTTATTTAATCGACACTTTTCAATTTCTTCAATCTTGTTGAACTTGGCAATCATATACTTCAACAGTTCATCATTAGAGTCTTGTTTCATAAATTGTAACCAGTGGGGGAGTGTCAATTTAGCAGGAATTTCTCTCAACTTATACTTGTACGATGAGTCGGTTGATTCAGACACGCTGGTATTTGACGATGGTTTGGCAAATTCATTAGGTAAATCACTGAAAAACTCTTTATTTGTATCGCTTCCCTTCTTCACATCATAATCATTATTTTTTTTAATAGATTGAACAAATTTGGTCTTAAAATTGGTGGCTGATGGTAATGTGAATCCTGACAAACTTTTGGTTTTGCGATGTCCATTGGAATTTGCACCGCCATCATTGCCATCTCTGCTATTATTCATGAGTGGCATCGTTTCAACCACTCCATTATTTTGAATCAAAGCACCAGAAAATCCACCGTCAAGATAATAAATGTTGAACCTATCATGGTATTTTTCAAACTTTGAAATAGTTTGATACAAGGGGAAAGTAATTGCATCATTTGAAGAACATTGATCATAAATTAAAATCGAAAGTTTATCATCCTCTACTTCTTCTTGTTGCTGTTGCTGTCCTTCCTTTTGTAAATGTTTTGTAAATACTTCTTTCAAATCGCTAGACAAATCAACCATATTAATCAAATCAATTAAACTCATTGAATTACGTTTTAATAATGTTGTTGGAAGACACAAGTTAGTTGACTTGGTAATCCTACTTTTGGAATATAAATTAAAAGGACGAACATCGAAAATGAAATCATAATCTTGAGGGTTTAAACTGGCAACTGATTGCTGAGAAACAGTTGATGGGAAACTAGTGGCAAATGTAGGTGTAGTGGGAGAAGGTGAGTTAAATTTAAATGATGGAGTAGATGGCCCCAGTATTGAACCTGATCTAGGAGTAGATAGCGTACTACTATTACTATTACCAGTAATATAGCCATTATTCTTGATAACTGAAGAAGACGAATGATAAGGACTTTTTGGCAGTAAGAAATGGCCATTTTTAGCAGTGGTAGTAGTAGTACTGTTATTAGGGGTATATTGATTATAAAGCAATGGCACTGATTGCGATTGGTGTGGTTGTATATGCAAATTATGAGGCGAGGAGCAAGCATTGTTTGTGGTGTTTGATTTGTTCAGCTGCTGCAGTTGATGTTGATGTTGGGGTATTGAATGTAAGGAAGGAGGGGTGGTATCAGAATGAGACGAGCGTGGCGTTGACTCAAGATTAGGTAGTTGTTGCAGTTGCAGCTGCAGTAGCTGTCGCTGTAGATTAGGTGTTGCTTGTTGAGTTTGTTGAGGTAAGGGTGATACTATGTTTGTTGTAGTTGGTGTACTGGTGTTGGAGCCGTTGCTGTTGCTACTACTATTACCACCGTTGATGTAATTGTTGTTATTCGTACTACCATGAGTATGTGTAGTATGAGGAGGACTCAACCCATTCGGACTACTGGTTGTTGCTGTTGTTGCCATCGTCTGTTTTTTTTTTTTTCGTTTATTTTTAGTTTAAATGGATAGAAGTGTTCTAATGTGTAATGCAAGAAATGACTTTGATTCTGTTGTTCCAGGTGGTGTCAAAATATATATATATATATATATAAAAGAAAAGGAAAAGTGGTTTGTTAATATAGTTTGGGTGTGTTTTGCTGGGTATTTAGATTTAGATGTTTCTTTTCTATTCCTTTGCGCGTGTGTGACTGTCTCTGTGGAGAGGTTATGTTAGCTCTCCTTGTAGTTCGGGGGGTGTTTGTTTAAAAAATTGAGGTTTTAAATTTGAATTAAAAGGTTAAAAAAAATGGAAAATAGAAAATGGAAAAGTTGTACCAGTTTTATTTTTATTTTTATTTTTATTTTTATTTTCTTTTTATTTAAGTCTGATATATTAGTTATATACAGTACTAGCTTACATTATAGAAGACCAGCCATACACAGACACAACATAAACAATCAAACAAACAATCAGACAAAACAGCCAAACAGATAGACAAACACCCCCCTCCCCCCTCTCATAAGATAGAAGAACAAAACAAAACAAAAGCAAACGTCAAGTCCAAAAATATTGCATGACACACCCTTTCCTTAAACACATAATAGTTGAAAAGAAACAAACAAACAAACAAACAGACAAGCAAACTACAAAGTCACACACACACCAAAAGAGAAGGTCATACAAAATCAGAAAATAAAATAAATCAATCAATCAATAGATATAACATCATCACTAATGATAATAATAGTAGTAGTAGTAGTAGTAGTAGTAGCTGTAGTAGCTGTAGTAGTAGTAGCTGTAGTTGTATCAACCAATAAACTGTTTGTAGAAAATAAAAAAACACGGAAAATAAAAATTTAATTTAATTTAAATTTAAATTAAAATGTTATATTCTGAAAAGAGTGGGAGATCTATTTCTTTTAGACAATAGAAATAAATATGGGTCTAGAACCATCTTGTACGAATACGTCATTATTTTCTTTTTTTTTTTTTTTTTTTTTTCGTCTTTTAAACACGCACACACACACATAAAGATGTATATACTTCCCCTCCCTTTCACTGTATGTATATACATAACATATACTTAATATATACTTAATATATACTTAATACATACTTAGTGTATGTATTAGATCTATCTATTGTTTCATATATGTTAACTTTTGTAAACAAATGATGATTCATTATTGATGAAAGAATGTCTCACTCCAACAGTAATTGTACCTCTGTTTTAACCATTTGCATTATTACACAGTACTATTACACTTTACACTAACTGTTAACTAAAGTGTTGCAATAATAAATAATATTTAGTTTGTGGTGTCATATAATATTGATTATTACTAGCATGACGTAATTTATAGTTGTTACTTACACAATAACCCTAAATAACCAAGAGTATTCTTTTTTGTACAACAATCCAAATGGCCTAGATTCTTGATAAACACATATATATCCATACTTTAACTAGAGAAATATCACTAGCCACATCTACCACATACACACACTTATCTACATCACACTAAACTACGCTACACACGTACCGTCAGACACATAACACATTTATCACAATTTTCATTCTAAAGACATATCTGTAATTGTATATAGAGCGCGTGATCTTACGCCACAGACAAAATAATAAAACAAAAACACGCGTATGAATCATAAACCCCAACCCCAACCCCAACCCTAATCTGCAATTCAGTCTAATACCCATACACATGCCACCTTCGAAGTAGAATATACTGGAGAAAGAGAATAAAGAGCGTGAGAGAAAGAAGCAATTGGATGTCATTAAAGTTAGAACTACACCGTCGAATCTAACTTATGGTCGCATTTTATTTCCTTTTTGGTAAGTCCTAAGTAGAAATTACCTATTATCGAGTGTAACTTTGCGTGGAAATCAAGAGATACCTGGTAACATCGCACTTTGTAGCCATCTGACTCCAATTTTATTTTAGAGTAATTAAAGTTGATAAAAATGGAATATCTTCAATAGTTATTACCAGAATTAAGCGGATTACCGATCCCAAGTCATGCCACTTTTACTTTTTACATGAAAGCTTCTGATCTCCACTTATTGGCTACATTTTGGATTTCGACAACATGTACTATTTCATATTTCCCTCTACAGATTCGCCCGTGGAATGAGCTCCCACCATCTCGTCCAACCTTTCCTTGTATTCCACTTCCTTCACCTTGTCTATAATATCTTGCAACTTTTCCCCTTTCATACATCCATCAATGTCATGTAAACTATATCCACATCTGTGGTCAGTGATTCTGTTCTGGGGGTAGTTGTAAGTCCTTATTTTGTCACTGCGGTCAGTAGTTTTCACCTGCGACGTTCGAAGATTCTTTTGCTTCTCCAACTCTTCGATCCGCTCCCGTTCCGCCAATCGACTACGCAATATGGCAAATGCCTTGGCCTTATTCTGTGGCTGTGACCTTTCATCCTGCTGGGTAACAATTAAACCAGTTGGAATATGCACTAATCGAACTGCCGAATCAGTAGTGTTGACATGCTGTCCTCCTTTCCCGCTGGCTCGCATGGTATCGATTCGCACTTCGCCCGGTTTAAACTGAAGCTCATCATTGCGTAAACTCTGTTCAGTTCCATCCGATAGTTTAGGTAGAATAACCACTGCTGCTGTTGATGTATGGATTCTACCTTTTGACTCAGTCTCGGGCACTCTTTGCACCCTATGAACACCACTTTCGTGACGTAATACATCGTAAGACCCAGGCTCGTCAATAGACAATATCGCCTCATTGATAAATCCACTGGCAGTTTTTCCTGTTGATACGATCTTGTATTTCCAATTTTTGAACATTGCAAAGTTGACGTACATTTGTAGTAAATCTTCTGTAAACAAACTAGCCTCGTTCCCACCAACTCCCGGCCTTAACTCTATCATAGTTTTACACTCGGCATATTTTACCGGTGGCAACAATTTGGCTTTCAACTCATTGCACAACTCTTGCAATTCTGGAACCAATGACTGAATCTCAACTTTTGCATCCTCAATTAACTCACTGTCTTTTATCCTTGAAAGCTCTGCTATCTCTTCGCTGAGTAGCGTAAACTTCTTGTACCTGTCCATTATTTGCGATATTCTATCAAACTGGATTTGAAGTTCGGGGTCATACGAATCCAACTTTTTCGACAATTCATTATGTTCATTTCGCAAAAAATCAGCACGTTGAACTAATAATGGGTGAAGTTGAGGTAATGTTGTATCCGCTGCTTGTATTACTGTAGAATAAAGTCTGAAACTCGGTAGCAAGTTTCGTATACGGTGGATCATATTTGTGTGTATGAAGAGCAGACCAGTTAAAAGGTCGAGATGGGAAATTTTCATGTCGCGAAAAGTGTTGTGAAAAAGAGCGATCTCTTGAGACATTGAATTTCTTCTTTGCCCCTCCCACTTTCTCCAATACATCAATCATGTCCGAATTTCCCACATTGACTCTAGATGAATTCTGCAAGGCCATTAAGGATATATCACAATTTGAGCTAGAGTCAAAGAAGGATCAGCAGCGACATTTTATTCTCAAATTGGTCGAGACCAACAATGAGTTGCTTGACGAACTAAATAGAGAAGGCACATCATCCGAGGACAAAACGCTATATACTGAAACAATCGATGAAAATAGAAGGAGCTTGCTTGAGCAAATTGGTAGAGTAGCAAGCATAAATCTGGAATTGGTAGAGAGGCGATTAATCAGTACCGAAGAGAAGGACAAGGAAGAACAAAAATTGCTTGACGAGATCAACAAAGCTGATAAAAGTGCTAATAAGATAATTGAACCGAAAATCGTCGAAGTTGAAGAAGCAGAAGAAGAAAAAGAAGAAGAAGGGGTAGTGTTGTAAGCATTCTGCGTAAAAAGGGCGGCCGGACAAATACGTGAGCAATGTTCCACGACCGAGTCTTATTAAATCTGGTACAATCCAAACTATATACAAGTTATATATATATATACAAGCTTATTTTCTAAAAGATTTGCTTTCTCTTCCAAACAACTTGTCCAAGAACGGCTTCTCATCCATATTGATGGGGTCTTCTGGACGTTTCAACACTAACATCCAAGTAGTGCTCAAATGAGCCCGTTTTTCCAAAGTAATATCTAAATTAGCTTCATCAACCAATTCACCAATATCGAGATTCCATCTACACTTCCATTTCTTCATTCTCTTTTCGGATCTGAAATCTAAATGATTATTAATGAAATCCCACTTTGATCTTCCGTGCTCTAGTAAAATGATCCTTCCTCCTGGCTTAAGCAACTTGGACATGTTTCGCAAAACCTGCACGGGATCCTCGTGGCAGCACAAACCAAATGCTTCGACGACCGTATCGTATTTCAAAGAGTTGTCATCGGGCGCCATCTTTAATAAATCTTCCGCCTTACCCTGCGTGAATGCAACCCTTTTAAAATTAGGAAAAGCTTTTTCAAATTTCTCCTTTGTCAACTCAACCATATTCTTTGACGAGTCAAGAAAAGTGATTGATCTGATCTTCTCGATATACGAAGACAAATAAGGGATGTTTCTACCAGTTCCACAAGATACCTCCAAAACGTCACCTTTTACGTGCGACATCAACCATCTTCTTCTAATACCCATAAAAATACCACGTTCTTCCCATTTGACAGCATCATCGTATTCCTGTGCCTTTGAGTCGTAAAAATCAGTCGTGTCTTCAGCTGCAGCAATGGATGAATTATCAAGATTGACTTTGTATTCCTCCAGAACATCTTTCAAGACTGGTGCACTTTTCTTCTTCTTTCCGCTAAACCTAGCTTGTCTCAGGTACCATTCATCCAATTCTTCCGGAGTCGGGTTGAACATCTCACCCGACATAAAATTCTTGCGTCTAAATTCTTTCCTCATGAGTTGGTAAATCTTGTATTTTTTCTGCTCCAATGGTCTAAGTTTGTCTGTCTGGCTCAACGACTTCAAAGCTAGGTACTCATACTCGCTCAACGATTTAGGGTCGTTGGCATACTTTTCACGGATTACTTTAAGCTGTTTGTCTTCATAGAAACGATCTCGCATGTAAAAGTACAATGGAATGAATGACAATAATATGGCACTGAGGTATATTCTGGGCATGGTTTTGTCCTGGAAGTACTGCGATTGGACGTACTTGGCTAGTCTTCCAAGCCTGGATGCGGGCTTCCCATCTTTATTAGTTTGCGTTTGTTTGATTGGAAATGGGTCAGAAGAGTAGCAGCGAAAAAGCAAAGGTGTAGTAGTTCTAAGCACACTGCGGCTTAGTAGAGGTCCCCTGGATAACACCAAAGACCTTGGAAATGCTGAGTACATTTTCACCAGTTGGGACTTCGTCTAGAATGATGTGAGGTCGTGCGTTATGGTGTGGACTTTTTTAATTTAATTTTTCACCAGAGTCTCAAAACTTCTCTCTCTCAATTGATGGCAAAAAAAAACACAACGAACACACTATAATACATACATACATACGATAACACTTCCCATTTCCCACCTCCCACTTCAAAGGCAAGTAAACAACAGCAATGTCAGAACAAGCATTACTTGAAGAGGCAAGAGAAGCAGCCAACAACAAACAATACGATGTTGCAGAGGCAAAATACCAGAAAATTCTAGAAAACTCAAAGCAAGAATCCTCCACGTCTGCCAAGGTGTTACAACTTCAAGAAAATACCATATTGGAATTGGGAAAGATATACCAAACATTGGACCAGTCTCAAAAATTGTCACAATTGATTACAGACTCGAGGCAATTACTCGGGAATTTTGCGAAGTCAAAGACCGCAAAGATTGTTAGAACTTTGATTGAGTATTTCGACAACTTGACCGATGCATTAGATATACAAATTGACGCAACAAGAAAGTCAGTTGATTGGGCAGTAGAATCCAAATTGTCCTTCTTGAGACAAAACTTGCAGTTGAAACTCAGCGACCTTTTGTACCAAAAGCATCAATATCACGAGGCATTGAAGCATATAAACGAGTTATTGAGAGAGTACAAGAAATTAGATGACAAGTCGTCGTTGGTGGAAGTTCAACTTTTGGAGAGTAAAATATACCACGCCTTGCGAAATATCGCAAAATCGAAAGCAGCCTTGACCAGTGCAAGAACTTCAGCCAACTCAATTTATTGTCCCACGTTATTACAAGCAGAATTGGACTGTCAAAGTGGTATTTTGAACATGGAAGACAAGGATTACAAAACGGCCTTTTCATACTTTTATGAAAGTTTCGAGGGGTTCAACTCTCAACAACTGGACGAGAACTCCAAAACTGCCGTCAAGGTTTTGAAGTACATGTTGTTGTCAAAGATTATGTTGAATTTGATCGATGATGTCAACAATATCTTGAAAAACAAAAACGTAATTCAATACCAATCTAGAGACATAGATGCTATGAAATCTATTGCTGTGGCGTATTCCAACCGATCATTAAAAGAATTTGAAAACAGTTTGATTCAATACTCAGCCGAGTTGAAATCCGATGAGATTATCAAAAACCATTTCAACTCGTTGTATGACCAGTTGTTGCAAGTTAACTTATTGAAGATTATAGAGTCGTATGAGTGTGTGGAATTAGAACACATTGCCAAGGTGATTGGCTTAAATGTTAAGCAAGTGGAGGGTAAATTGAGTCAGATGATTTTGGATAAAGTATTCTACGGAGTGTTGGACCAAGGAAATGGATGGCTTATCATTTATGACGAACCAAAGAGAGATGCAGCATACGAAGCATCATTAGATTTGGTCAAAAACTTGTCGGGTGTTGTTGACTTGTTGTATGAGAAAGCAGGGGCTTTAAATTAGATGAGTATAGTAAATGTAGTCTTATAAACAGTATAAACCATCTAACCCACGTTCGCTAGCAATGGCCGATAACTGGCCAATCTTTACCAAAAATTCTTGCAATCTACCGCTTGAAGTAAAGCACTTAAGGAAGTCGTTGGCACCATCATTGGCAACTTGATTCACCAATCCAAAGGCCAATTTAATATACTTCCAATCCTTCTGTCTAGCATTTTCATAAACTGTAATCAACTCAATGATCATGTATGGCACATACAACGATCTAAACTCCACCAATATGGGATCCAGTAGATCTTTAAGCCACTCTGAAGCAAGTGCGGTCATGGTTTTACTTGTCTTATTGAGCGATGTTTCCACGTTCGACCCATCGTAAGTGCGTTTTTCAGCGACAAATTTTCTCCATTGGCTCAACAACCTCAATCCTTCGACAAAGTTTTCGTAATTAATCAATTCATGTTTTGTATCTTCACTAACTTCCTCACTCTCATCTCCCGTGTGTTGGAGATTGTACTCGGAAACAAGATTCTTGAAATTTTTGCCTTCAGCAAATCTTTTCAAACTGGATAATTTTCCCATCATGAGGAATCGACGAATTACAACAATGGTCGAATTTATAGCATCTTCAAACATACGGTTATCGTAGAACCATTCAACGGCATCACATAGCCTAATATCTACCTCACTAACTGCATCCTCCACGTCATCATCAGAAACAACAATTGCTCCATCGCTAGGTTGGTAATAAGGCGCTGTTTCATTCATCACCCTCTCAACCGTTCTCCTCAATACATTATCAAGCATTTCTTTCGGCGTATCATCGGCAACAATCATGGTATCGTCGTCAACCTGTGGCGAAGCAATTCTCTTTGCAATTTGCAATTGCTTGGCACGTTTCTCCTTGTCAGTTATCGAAGAGAGAATCAACGAGTATGTTTCTCTGGCATCTCTTTCATCTGGAATGAACGACAAATATAAGGGTATCAATTCAGCTTGGTTTGATTCAGATAATTTTGAAATATACAACGTGATCAACGCACTCAATTGATCTGGGTTTTGCGACGGTTGCACCAAAGCAAGGAATATTGCTAAATGAGTTATTATTCTAATGATATTTCCGTCTGTTTCAGCATCAACATTTTGAATCAACAAGTCTATTTCCTTGATCATCACAGAGGCTGTTATGATTCTAATAGGATGGGCACTCTCTTCTTTTGCTTTTGTACCATCAGCTGCAGCCACAATGTTTAAAATATCTCTGATAGATTTCGCTTGTGGTGGAGGTATGTCAATATTTTCGAATGACGCATGCTCTTCTTTTTCCAAAGAGAGGTAGATAATGAGCTGGTTAATCAACACATTCAAGTATTCCTCGTAGGAGCGCGATGCTCTGTCTAGATTTTCACTTATATCACCACCACTCAAATATGCGTAAATCAACTTCTCATAATGACCCAATTTTGGATTTTGCGACAAGTTGTAGACAAGTTTGGTCCAAGTAGACTTGACATAGCTCGGTTTAATCTGGTCTACCATTTCCTCCTTGTCTTCATCCAACGCTCCAACAAGAATGAGCGCGAGGGCAAAGTTATCTGTGTCCTTAGCATGATCAATTGCCTCTTTAATTTCACCTTCGAGTACCAAATCATATATGATTTCGAAATTTTTCGAGTCAATCTGTTCATCAGCAGATTCAATCTTTTTATTACTCCTCAAGGGTGCGTCAACATCCAAATCTTCAACTAAATCGTCTTTGGTATCATCTCCAGCTAGAGCTTTGTATCTAGCATTGATAATAGATCTTTTGGTGTTTGACCACTTCTGTAAAGTACATTCGTCTTTTGCATCATCTGTTAGCGAGCTCGTTGGGGTACACGATTGTAGCCATTTAAAAATCGACTCCAACTCTTCAAGTTGACCATTTTGTTCAAACTCATTCCCATACAAACGAATATTGTATAATTCTCCCACCAATTTCCATAGCTTTGCCTCAAGCTCCCAATTTTGAAACTCTTTCTCTGAAATTGCACCACTATGTGATTCTTCTACCCTCAAATCATATGCTTTCTGGGACACAATGTCACTAAACTTTTGAACAATTTCCATAGGTAGGTGTGTTTGTTGTTGGTTGATTGAATCTTCAAATGTTGTCTCCTCATACGACTTTAGCGAGGATAGATGTTTTTCCAACACTTTTGCAAACTGTCCGTCTACGCTAATTGACACATCTTCAATTATCAAATACTGCGATTGATACGCCATTGCTATGCTGAATAGAATTTGGTTTCGGGTATTGTACGAACATCGTTGCGATCAGTATTTTTTTTTTTTCTGCTCGAGATCGTCAATGAAACCCATCTTGGGTCGCGACATCGAAAAGATTCTACAGTGAAGGTGTGCAGTTATAAACACCCAATTGTATGAGGCTGATCTTTGAATATGTTGTCATATAAACAATAACGATTACTTCCTGGCCTTTCAAAAACCATTAGTAAGTCTGACCATTGAGTTGCAAAATGACTTTCAACTATGCGACTTTTGCAACTTATTTTTGAGCCTTTATTTAACATACATGAAGAGGCGTCAGAGAGCTGAAAGCTGGTAGACCTTTTATGTAATAGAGGCTCTAACCAATGATTAATATACTTGTCTATTGCCAGAGACGCTAGGTTATGAAACAAAGGACCATTCATTAAATTAAGAACAGAAATGTTTATTTTACTGGTGTACTGGAAAAGCTGTCTATACTGATTTTCCAAGGTGGTTTTCCCCTTGTGTTTTATGTATTGTGTGATCCATTCTCCTCTCAAAGCCATTTGAAGTTGCGTATACAGCATTCCTTTTGAGTATCTTTCTTTTACATTTTGAGAAGAAAGCTATTGAGGTTTGTTTGGAAAGAAAAGCTTTTGGTACATCATGCTCGTTTGAGAATTCGATAGAAGGTGTGACGACTTTTGTTACAATGCATCAAGATCGATATATTCTCGAAGAGTGAATTACATGAGACCATTGATCTCATATGGGGCTTATACCCAATTAAAGCTTTTATGTAGGCGTTGAAAGGTTTTCAAAAAAGTGAAAATATTCGTAAATTTGTTGTTATAGTGTTTTGTAACAAGATATTATCCGTAGATGATCTCTTATTACTACATAGTGCTTTTCTAATATAGCTATTGAACGCATATGATAAAAAGGTCGGAAGACGGAGATTACTTAAGAACGGAATACAAGAAGTGGACAGCTTATTCACTTTCTTTCCTGGTTTAGGTGTCATCGAGTCTGGACACTATACGCTTGTCCAGTGCTTCTAGCCTTGATTTTAGATTTAAGTACTCCTGCTCTTCGTCGCTGACTTTGACATCTGGATCGTGGTATATCTCCTCTTCTGGCTGCTCACTCCTTTCGGCTTGCAACATGTCAATGGCCTTTTGCTTTTCCACATCTATCTCATCCCATAATTGCTTGATTTGTTTGTCTTTTTGTACAACCTTGTCATTCAATTTTTGAATTATTGCATCCTTGACAAGACTTTCTTCTTTCAAAAGATCATACTTATGGGATAACTTGACTTCAACTTCATTCTTCTCATCAATCTTTGCCTGTAGATTTTGGATCTTGTAATCATACTCCTTTTTCAACCGAGCAATGTTGGAGTCTTGGTCCTTGAATATTCTTCTCTCTTTATCTTTGAAATCCTCAACCAAGTCACTTCTCTCCCTATCTTTTGCATCAACAGTTTGTTTCAAACAATCAACAACTTTCCTCAACCTTTCGACCTCACTCCTTAGTTTCTTGTCTTCGTCTTCAACCAGCTCCTTCTTGCTGGTCTCTTTAGGAAACAGTGTGGTTTTATCATTGCTTTGATTCGTCCTGGCAAAATCTGCTATTTTTTCTTCCAAATCCAGTTGCTTTGGTGGCTCCATTTTGTATATTGATTCAAGTTTTGACCGGAATTCATTCTTGCGTCGCGTGAGACTTGGTGGTAAACTTGATTCAGGTTTATTGTCATTCAATGGGTTTAAAAACCGTAGTTCATCGATATTGCTCTCCTTCATCAATTTTTCAATATTGGCGTGCCACTTTTCATTCTTCTTCTGTGCAATAGCAATATCTTCATCAATCATGGTATGTATGGAGGTGGGGTTTTTGTTCTAGTTGAAGGTTGTTGCTATTATATGTTATATATATGTATTCACAAAAGTGTATACCATATAGAACTGTAAGTGAAAACCGCGTCTAAAAGTTTTATTCTTTTATTATTTTATTTTTTTATGTTTGTGTTTGTGTAATGTTTATCTCAGAAAGAAAATGCGATTTTATTTTTATTTTTATTTTTATTTTTATTTTTTTACCGAACTTCGCTCCCATTGACCAACCCTCCATCCTTAGAACCCACCCCCACCTAAGAGAGTTGCTATCACCAAGATGTCGACAAAGAGATTGGTTCGAAAACAGTCTTTGGTGTCCAAACTACAATCATTCCCCTTTGATTTTTATCTTTACTTGAATGAATTGCGATTATCAATTGATTGGGATGAATACGCAATTTCAATTGGGTTACCCACTGGTATTGCTTCATGTGCCATATCGTTTGGAATCCAATCAATATTATCCTACTACAATTCGATAAGCAAGCGCTCGAAAAACGCACTATTCGATTCAAATTACTACCAATATGAAAATTTAAAATCATTAGTTAACTCGAAACGGCAATTACACGATTACGAAATAAATACCTCAACTACTAATACAATAATGTGGATCTTCAATGGAATTCAAACTTTGATCATGGTTGTATCCATTGTGAATTTGATTTTGATCTTTACTAGTAAAAGGGACTATCAACTTTTATACCACAAGACGAAACCAAAGTATAAATCAGCTGTTCATCCTGCAAATCAAGAATCGTACTTGTATATGTTGTTGTATTACATTGTTGATTTTTTTTCAAAAGACGATGACCATGAGGACGAGAATGATGCCGATGATGATGCATTAAATGACTCGATTAGTATAGAGGAAGGGGAATCTTGGCAATTGCGTGTATGGCAACCATCAAAATTTTCGTTGTACTTGTATGTTACTTTAAATCCAATCAACAACTTTATCATTGGCAGCTTCACTTCACAGTTTTCATCATTAAGTATTATTGGCCTAATAGCAGTGGTTTCGTTTTCCAACTACAAGTTGATTGACAGTTTTTGGTGTTTAATCCAGGATAAGCAAATCATTTATCAAGAGACATTTAACGAGTTTAATAACAAGTTTGTCAAACCAAAGACCAATATATTGAAAAAGGATGCAATGGTGGATGCGACATTGGGCCCTCTCTACTCATCCGTATTGGTTAATAACCAACCATATACGTTCACCAAGCTGAAGGTATTCACGACTCATGATGCAAGGGGTAAAGAGGTTAAGGAGTTTATTGAAGGCGATCATGAAGTACCCTATTATCAAGATGACATGTATGGGCATAGGAGTAGGCTATCAAGCCGCCCTAGTAGCCGATTATCCAGTCGCCAATCGAGCATCTACGAGCATTATGCAGATGGTCATACTCTAGCGCCATTCGCATTCCGCAAGACAGGTCATGATTATGTGTCCTCAACGCCTTATCAGGGTCAACAGCATTCGCCTTTCAATCGCATGCAAAGTCCTAGCTCTTCGCGATTTTCCAATAATGCCAATAGTTACAATAGATCTCCGAGTCCGACAAGAAGTGTATTGAACCATAGGTTGAGCCCTCAGAGACTATCGCCAGGAAAACCCGATTTAACACACCCAAGAAGAGATAGTGTGGGACATTCTAGCTTACATAGCTCACCTTCGTTTCGATCGCCATCGCCACAAAGAAGTTCTATTTTTTATCGAAGCCCATCACCCACCCGGCCTACTGATTCAAGCAGAAAACCAGGTTGGAGGTGAATGAAAACTTTCCGATTAAAACATATTATAAAATAATATATGTTTACATTCTATTGAAATCTATAAATCATGGAAGCCGAAAATATAATTGGATAAGGTCTTCAATACACTTAGTTTTGGTTTCTCTTGTTGGTCATTCTTATTTTCATCCTTCTTGTCCTTTGACGGTATGAAGTAATGCGATTCTTCTTTTGGATTCAATTTGTTTACATATGTAGATTTGTTTGCTCCCGATGGCGAAGATGAAGATGGTGGGGTAATGACTTGATTTTCAATTACACTAGATTTCTTTTCCTGATCAAATGCCGATTTCAAAGGCATTGACAAATTACCATTGCCAATGTCCTCATTTACAAAGACTTTTTTCTTTTCCAACTTATCAATAACACTTTTGTGATAAGGAACAACGCCAAGTAAGTTACCATTGAATATACATCCGTTTTCTTGCAATGCATTCAATGAAGAATTATGATTATCATAGGTAATTTTGATCCAATTAGGTCCAGTATAAATACTGGTATTTTTCCTCTTTTTCTCATAGTTGCTCAAGAGGTTCCAAGCTTCATTCCCAGTTGAAAGATCGGTGAAATCCTCAAGGATGGTTCCAAATTGTTTAAAATATTGGATAATTTGCACCGAGGTATTTTCTGGGTATCCAAATACAATAATGGCATTTTCAGACTCATCAACTATACTCTTGGCCTTATCGTCCCTCTTTTCTTTGTCAATTTTTTCATCCTTTGGTTCAAATCGTTTGAATAAATTATTGAAATCTTTGGGATCTTTGTTAATAAGATCAGATTGTTTTCTCGTGGGTTTATTGACGCCAAATGTGTCTTCATCTAAATCGTACACCGATTTCAAAGGTGGAGCATCAGTAGGTGCATCTATACTTTTAGCCACTCCGTCATCATTTTGGAAACTTTCATTCATAGAATCATCGAATCGACTAAGATCGCCTCCAACAGATTCAAATAGCGCACTCAAACTTGTGTTGGTTCTATCCAAAAGATTACCATTGCTGATGGTGTTTCTTCTGTTGTTCCCAAATGAAACTACATTGAATTGATCGTTGGACACTAGCATCGATGATTGTGATTCATTGGAACTTTTATTTTTAGCGGTGCCTGGCGCACTAATTTGAAAATTCAGTTTCTTGTGAGGTACTAAATGGTTGGGAATAATCCTCTTTTTTTGGTTATGTTGCGACTGTAGCCATGCAGGTTGCGATTGTTGTTGAAAAAGCAGAGACTGGCTGGATGGTTGCTGCTGCTGTTGTTGTAGTTGAAGTTGTTGTTGCTGCTGTTGTTGCTGTTGTTGCTGTTGTTGCTGTTGTTGCTGTTGTTGCTGTTGTTGCTGTTGTGGTTGTTGTGGTTGTTGTGGTTGTTGTGGTTGTTGTTGTTGCTGTTGATTGGGCAACTGAGTCCCATTCCCAGAATAGAGAAATTGAGTCTGTGGTTGGCGATTGAATAACGTTGACATTATATAGAGAGTGCGTGGGTTGTATCCTCTTGTGAAATACTGACAACTTCGTAAGTTAATGCCTTGTTGATGATGAGTTTTCTTGTTTTGTTTTGTTGAAGAAAAGAAAAATTGAAAAAAAACTATAAAATTACAGTTGGTAGCGTACAATACTGATTGCACTCAGGCAGCCTTTCATACCTTTAAAGCGTTCACCTCTTTGTTTTAAGATGCCTACCAAAGGAAAAGGAGTTAGAAAGTACGTTTTTGGGTTTGTTTAGCTAGAGTTCAACTGGTGCAAAATTGTCGTATACATTGATTTAGTAACCATCGCATTAGTCCCCAAGGATGATAGAACGGTCTTCAACTTATAGGTACGTAACCAGAAATCACCATTCTACAATTGTTAAAGAGTAATGGCCTGTAGTGTATGCAGCTAGTCGATTGTCACTAACCCTATTCAATTTTTGCAGCAATAAATTTGTTTTCAACATCACAGATGAAGAAGAAGAGCAGAAGAAGAGAAAACGAGAAAAAAAATAGCAGAGCCAGAAACAAAGAAGAGTGTTCCTCATCGGCCAACTTGTCATCCTACAACACAAGCACCCCAACATAATAATGCTACTATCTCCTGCTGAAAAACAATATCTATATGATTCACTAAGTCAGTCGTCGGTAATAAGACCAGACTCACGCTCTATCCACCAATATAGACCACTAGAAGCAACAACCTCATTTTTGCCTGGTTCAAATGGATCAGCCAGAATTCGATTACTGGACGGAAGTGAGTGTTTAATCAGTGTCAAATCTAAAGTTGTATCGATTGATCCAGACGCATCGAAGGACAATCTATCCAACTTGATCGATGTTGATGTTGATATTGTTGGGTATCGTGATGATTCCAATTACATAACCAATTTGAAATTTCAATTGATCAATTTATTACATCAGAATTTCCCCCATTTGGTGTTGCAGTTAACTTCAAGATATGCATTTAAGTTGTTTATTGATTGTATCATTATTAGCCATCTGTCTTACCCCTTAAGTTTGATCAGTTTGGCAACGTACCTCGCATTAAAAACGACAAGATTACCATTATTGGTCAGCGATCCAAATGATTTGCAAGTGGCAGAATACCCAACATTTTCTGACGATTGGGATAATGCCAGAACAATTGAGGAAATATTGGTCGATAAGCAAATAGGAACCGAGTTTAAACCGCCAATTTTCATCACGATTGGTGTTGTTGGCAAGAACCTACTCTTTGATCCATCAGTTGAAGAGGAACAAGTGTTGGAAAATGGCGTCATTGTCAGTTTTTATAATAACAAGGTCATTACTCCGATAGCGAATGCCAATTTCGCTATAAATTCTAATAATTCAAATTTTAAAGGGTTGAATAAAACGGTTTTGATGAAGTGTATCACCTTGTGTAATCAGTATTGTCCAGCAATTGTTAAAGCTTTGGATACACTAATTGAACAAGAGGGCGATCAAAATGATGAGTCTATATTTTAGCAACGTATATATAAGAAAGTTAAATAAAGTGTCATGGCTGTACTCTTCTCCCCTCCATTAGCAATGTTGTGTAGAATATGCATGGACTATAATTGCCGTCGCCGTTTGAATATTCATTGATCTTACAATACCCACTTGTTTAATCTCAACGCAAAAATCAAGTTCAGCCAATAAATCTCCCGGTATACCTTCTCTTTCTCTTCCCAATAATATCAATGATTTTTGAGGGAATTTCAAATCATTGTTTAATTCCACTGATTGATCAGTCTGTTCTAACCCAATTAAGGTGTACCCTTCCCTTTTCTTGTCCAACAAGTAGTCCCGAATGTTTTCCGGAGTCACTTCAATCATTGGCATCCATTGATCAGCAGTAACGGCAACATTTTTAAATTGTGGATGCTTGCTTATTGACATATCATGGATGGTTAATAGCCCGGCTCCCAATACATCACTCAACCGACAAATACCACCCAAGTTTGGTGGCTTATCGACAAGAGAAGCAACCACAATTAAATCACTTCGAGTCAACTCTTTACCAATATTGGTATCAGAGTCTACATCCATAACTGCATTCCATGCACCACTCTTGGTTTGTAATAACGGAGATTGTACCACAGACTCCACGGGAGAAATAATCGGCTTCTTTTTGTTGAGTTGTTGCTTGGTCCAAATATCGGTTTCATCGTGTCCTACAGAATGTCTCAAGCGGCTGATTTGCGAGGCCGACAAATTGTGATTAAATTGGGCTTCAGTTATGAAATCAATATCATCTCTATCGGTTAATCGTAAAACAATCCCTCCTGATAGTGCCACTAATGTTAAGTCATTGGCAATATCCCATAGCAATGCATCACCACTTCTAAATTGACCAAATGAATCAGACAAGGTTGCCGATTTATACAAATTGGCAATGATGTTCTTTACTTTATCGTCAATGGGTAAGCCCTTTTTGGTGATTTCATTTTGGATGGAAAGTACCAATGACAATGAAAAATGACGAATCAATTTCTTCAGTGAAGTTGCACCTGGGACTACAATATTGATGAATTTTGTTATAATTTCAGCCTCTTTAGCCGAATCGAGTTTGCAAATCATGAGAAATAGAATTCGTAAATACGATGTTGCAACTGCTGGCTTCAAATTGTTCATGTTTGTTGTCAAGTCATTGAAGACCTGGTTGGTTCGCTCTTCATTATGTAGTAAGTTGTATGCAAGAATCCATTCAATGTACATCCTCACCAATGGACTTGGTTCGGTTGATATGCGCTCAAGAATACCATCAAAGTCAATCTCCATTTTGTCAACGAGTGAAGTTAAAATCGTGTAAAGTTGTAGACGATTCCATTCTTCGTAGCTATCGGTAGTCCGAAGTGGATTGAAAAGAGTATATTTGGCCTCATTTTCGACAATGTAATTGTATATGCGCTGTGCAAATGCTTGTGATTGAATTGAATTGAAAATGGCCATCAAGTTAACTCTCGAACTCACTTCTTTTGGTCCATATGCATCTTGATAGATATCGGATGAACCATTCAATGCCACTTGTTTATCATACATGTCCGCCATGATATCAACCACTTTAAAATAGGATGTCTTTGCCTGATAAACCAAGAATCCCGTGACCAAGACTTCTGGCAACCAATGCAACTTTTCAAATTGGTCTTGATTGGATAATTGAGCATGTGCCAAAGCTTGAGTAAGTGCTGGTAATAAACTACGTCTAGTTCCTGAGTGGTCCAACACTGAGAGGCAAAATGACTTCAACTTGGATGCGGCATCTTTGTTGAAAATAATTTTAGGATGCAATGAAGTTTTGATGATTGATAGTTGCAAGTCACGTTGACTCAAATGCAATCTTCCTGTTTCAACCACGCCAAACCATAACTCAGATAAAAAGTCAACAATTTGTGATTGCAATTCACCATCTGAAGATATTTCAAGATAACAGTGAATTAAATTCACCATGGCGTAATTGCCAGTATAGCTTGATGAAGTTGAGTCAAAAGTCTTGAAAGCGGATGCGAAGAAAGTGGGATTTTTCCGGAAATTGATTTCCAACGCTGTATAGTACTCTCCATCGATCTTGTCTTTGATTTTGTAAAAGAATTTATCCAATTTAGTCAAATCATCGGTATTTGTCAACAAAGTACTTTTGAACTCAACTAGTGTCTTTGGATCTTCAAATTGGAAATCGGAGTTCCCATAAAGGTTATTGAAATGTTTCATTTTGTGATAGGCATTGTTTAATATGGTTAAATCTTGAGATTGCAAATCAGACTCAATTTGAGACCACAATTGCTGTATCTGCTCACCTCGAGGTACAGCAAAGTTGAACTTGGCATAATCAACATTTGAAAGAGATTCCACCACTGCGATATCTTCCACAGTAACCAAGTCTTGCAAGTCCTCGGCAATTGATTTCAATGTTGCTTTTCTAAATCCCGATTCCAACAATTTAGCTAATAAAAGGGGTTCAGTTTTCGACAAGAATAAAGTTTGGTTTGAAATGTCGAGTAACAAAACTTTCAAGTCGACATCGTCACAATCTGCAAGAAATGCTTCCAAACCTCCATCATCTGTTATGTCATTTTGGAAAAGACCCAAGTTTTCATGCAAGAGGGTAAACCCATTAAATCGGGTGAACTTGTGTAACGCTTTTAGGAATTTAGACAAATTTGGTTCAAAGTTGAGCAACAACCGCAAGTTCAACGTCTGGCTATACTTTTCAAGTAATGCACCTTCCGATTTAATTTCGAAAAGTTCCAATAACGGCAGATCATGTACTCCATATTGCAAAACTTTCCTGCCATTCATCCCTTCAACTAAACCTTGCATGATCAAAATTCTTGTCGGGGCAAAATTGTGTTTGAATTCGGCACATACACGCAAAATGGATAAAGCAACATTTTGAAAATCGTTCTCTTCATTCAAGTTCCTAACCATACTGGCGATTAAATCTTTCAATTGATAAGCAAAGGGACATTCAACTTTGCCATTGATGACTTTCACATTCATATTGGCAGCAATCATCAAATTAGGCAAGAATGATTTCTCTAAAATCGGTAACGCATCTTTAATAAGATGCAAATTTTGTAATGGGATCGACAACAATAATCTAATGGTTAGTTTCCTAACCGAGTCAATCGTTGCGGTGAACCCCGTTGATAATAAGCACCAACCCCAAGATGGTTGGATTAAAGAGTTGGGGGAGATCAATCCAGTGATGTCAGTAAACCCCGCTTCAGCTTGATGAAGCGAAGTATCAATTGCCAAAATCTCGTAAAGCGTGACATATCTTGCCCATTCAGTCAAGTAAGCGCCAGCTTTGTACATATCCCATTTTACAAAGTCGTTGGACAAGTCGATATTGATGGACTTAATCGATAATTGCAAGATAGATACCGAGAATTTTCTATGTTCATGAGTGGTGCTTGTCAAGCCGGATTGAAGAATGGCCCAGTATTGATTTGTTTGTAAAAGGTTTTGATATTTTGGATTGTTCTGTAGGTCATTGCTGCTATTGAGATACCTCAACCAAAGAATAAATGCTGACGATTTCTGAAATGAGGACTCTGAAGACTCCAAGGCAAGTATGACTTTCCAAATCAAATCAAACTGGCTTGTAGCATTCAGTATTACTTTTGTTCTCCACCTCAACAACTTTGATGCCTCATTTGATACTATCTTTTCATCGATTCCTAACAAGAGCAAAAGCAAATGATCCAATTGGAGAACTGAAGTTTGGGTTTGCTTTTGAAATATCTTGCTCATTAAGGAAAATAAGACATTTAGATCAGCTTCTGATATATCATGGTCCTCAACTCCATCATCCCCTAATTTAAATAATTGATAGTATGCCAAACCAAAATCAGATTTATGTCTTTGAATATAAGTTTGAGTCAAGTTTGTCACTTGATCAAGAATTTGATTTTCCAATCTAGGTAATACATTGATTAATTCTGATATTGGATCAATGTATCCTCCGTCTAGTAAGTTGTGGTGGCAGTAAGATGATATAGCTTCAAAGATTCTGTCGTTAACCTCAACATCACGTAAAAGTTCAACCAAGACATCAACGTCATCTTTGTTATCGGTTAGTTTTGTTGAAAGATTCTCAATAATTTCCAATTGCTTGTCATGACCAACATATTTACTGATCAATGATGCAGCACTCATGGCTTGAAAAAAATGGGCAAGAATAGTTGGTGGGTAAGGCTGGTAGGAGCTGCTGCTATTAGTTTGGTTGTAAAAAAGGACCAGGGAGAGGTAAAAATTCTCCGATGCGCATCGAATGAAGTAATGTGCTACCAAATGATCTCAAAAGAGTGCTATTCATAGGTTTTTAATTGAATCGAGGTTGGATGTAGAGGAACCAACCCTTTAACCAGGTTGAGTCACCCCTTTCTTGAGAAGTATGTTATTTGCTTCTGTGAAAGTCATTTGTTTCTGATGTAAATAAGCACCATAAGTATGAGTTGGTAGTATACCCAACTGCTCTATGCATCGTGATGGTGGTTTTCAAAATAAAACCCCAACAAAGGTGGCGCATGGCTGTGTATCTAAAGTTAGACAGGGTGTATTCTTTGTACAACAAACGAGGTTGCACTAATTGCAAAAACCGCATAAGCAGTTTTTCATTGAATTGGTTAATGCTCAGCCATACGAGACCCTGAAATGTGGGGCAGGTGTGAGGCGTAATATGTGAGGTTGTATGTACAATTATTGTGTGCTCTTTTTTTTTTTTTTTTTTTTTTTTCATGATACGGCGTTTTCTTACTAGGAACAAAAAGGTAACATAATTTGTGTAAGAGTTACTTAGCTATACTAGAGTGAAACTGTGGGGGAGGGGGAAGGGGGTGCTATACAAATCTCTATATCAGACATCTATGTCTTTTCTGCTCCATTGCTGTTTCTTGTTTAAATATGATAGTGGTATAACCTTTATTTGTAGAAAAGATTCAGTTTGCAATTGTATAGTTAGTGTTTTAAGTAAGGATAAGCGAGTAGTCTTTTATGTTATGTTTATGCTGGAGGGTTATCAATAGCGAGAAAACGGAAGTTCAGTATTACTGTATTAGGAATTATCAACATTTTAATATAAAAATACTGCATATAGATGCATTTCTATTATATTTTTTATTTATGTTTTGTGTAATCAAATCATTCTCTCGGAGTATAGCACAATACTGTTGCATTTAAAACGCCGTATAAAAGACAATAAGAACGATAATGTAGACCCATGTTGTTGATAAAGAATGGATATTTTTCCGAAAAGGGGCTTGTGATAATGATAGGATTGTACGTATCTTCTACCATTACTATCTTATCGGGTCTAAGCAGGCTTAACAAAGATCTACAACAAGTACAAGTGTAGTGAAGTAGCAATTATTGCCCTCGCCTAGTTTAACCATTAAAAAAACTTCAAGCCTCAATCCAACTTTTAGACGGCAAGAAGAAACGTTTGATATCTCATAGGACACAGAGACCGCAGAACACTTCAATAGATGACCCTAAACCGATATTTAACACAAGATACATTTTATCCGTGGTGTGAGATACAGCCAAACTGAACGTATGATCAAAAGCTGGGGTGTTTAGTGTGTGGTAATGTGTGAAAGCGTCTCAGCTTAAACCCATTCAACAGAAATACCTCTCGCTTGTACATACCCAAAGAAGAGTTGTGAAATTTGGTAGGTCAGAATTCTCTTTCTCAGGCGTTTTTGGTTATATTTTGTTTTATTTCTGTAACCATTTGAATAAAGGGTATATGTATGAAAAAGCATAAAATGGTAAGTACTAAGTACTAAGTGATAAATTATATACACAAGACTAAGATAGAGAGATAACAATTAATTAATAGATTAAACCAAATGCACTAAATGAATTGTTTTGTGTTGTGTAGATAATAAATTTAAACTTCACTATTGTTATACTGCTATTGTTCTTCTTGCGAAAGAAAAAGATAACCAAAGATACTTAAGCCCAAATTTTCTTTTTAGTGTTATTGTTGATGACGAGAGGGGGAGAAAAGAATGTTGAGCATGAAGAGGTATTTGTAACTTTTATCAACTGATACGTTTTTATATATAATGGGATCAAAATATCCACTTTCATGAATTTTTCAACTACTTCAGCATCATCAGCAAGACAGTTGTATTAGCTTCTCATATATAAGCAATAACAATATCATCAACAACAACAATCCATAAAGATGGGTCTTAAAGACAATTTGGAAAAGATTGGTGTTACACGAAAACACATCTATCGAGGATCTTCCGCATCCTTGAATTTAGCTATATCCAATTCGCAAATTGTCGAAGTTGATGAGAAAACGGGCAAAGTTCTATCACGTACCAATTCTGGAGCAAGTGCTCATACCTTTGAGCCAGAAACACTAGAAAGAGGCTTAAAATCAAGACATGCTCAATTGATTGCTATTGGTGGGGCCATTGGTACGGGTTTATTTGTTGGGTCAAGTACGGCATTGGTTACCTGTGGACCAGCATCCCTTTTCCTTTCATATGTCATCATGTCATCAGTGGTGTATTTCGTGATGCAAATGTTGGCCGAGATGACAATATTTTTACCATTACCCGGTAATGGTCCATTGGCATTTATTAATGACTTTTTATCACCTTCTTTTGGGTTTGCTTTTGGTTGGAACTATTGGTATGCGTTTAGTGTATTGGTTGGGGCTGAAGTTACTGCCGCTGCTGTCGTTATTGAGTATTGGACTACCTCAGTCAATACTGCCGTGTGGATAACTATATTGTTGGCGGTGATTATATTTATGAATATGACGTCGGTCAAGTTCTTTGGTGAAGCTGAATTCTGGTTTGCCTCAATAAAGATTATTGCCTTGGTAGGGTTGATTATCTTGAGTATTGTGTTGTTCTTTGGAGGTGGTCCAAACCATGATAGATTGGGATTCAGGTATTGGAAACATTCGCCATTCAAAGAACACCTTACAGGTGGTTCAACAGGTAGATTCTTGGGATTATGGACAGCTATTATCAAGTCAGGATTCTCATACATCACGTCTCCTGAATTAGTATCAACAACAATGGGTGAAACCGTTGCTCCAAGATATAACGGAGCTAAAGCTTCGCGTCGTTTTATTTGGCGTTTGATTTTCTTTTACGCCTTGGGTACTTTAAGTATCAGTGTCATTGTTAGTTCCAATGATAAGCAATTGTTTGGTGGTGCTTCTGATGCCTCGGGTAGTGCATTCACAGTTGCCATAAAAAACGCTGGTATAAAAGGGTTAAATCATGTGATCAATGCCGTCATCTTGACGTCGGCGGCATCAGCCGGTAATTCATTCTTGTACTCAGCATCAAGAGCCATATATTCGATGGCTCAAAGAGGTAAAGCACCAAGAATCTTCACGACTGTCAACAGATTTGGTGTTCCATATTTTGCCGTTGCCATTTCATCGATATTTGGCTTTTTGGCTTATTTGAATGTGTCTTCTTCATCAGCAAATGTGTTCAACTGGCTTACCAACATATCCACCATTTCTGGGTTCTTGGCGTGGTTGGCTTTAGGTTTCACCTATATTCGTTGGAGAAAAGCCATTGAATTCCATGGTCTTAGTGATAGAGTACCATACAAATCCATTTTACTTCCATATGGTGCCTACTACGTCATATTCATGATGTCGGTAATTACAATTACCAATGGATACGCCGTGTTTTTCGATTTCAATGGCGCTGATTTTGTGGCTGCATACGTGACATTACCCATTGTTGTTGGGTTATATGCAGCTCATCGCATTTACGATTATTGGAGAAATGGAACTAAGCGGTGGTTGGTACCCATTGAGGAGATCGATTTGACTAAGAATTTGGATTTGGTTGAAGAAGAAGAACAAAATTATGAACCGCGTGTGCCCAAGAATTTTTTGCAAAGATTTTGGTTCTGGTTAGCTTAAATAGGGGATCTAGTGAAAGGTTAGATATGAGGGGTTTATTGTGTGTGTTTTATTTAGTAATGAGATATGAAAATATGAGTTCATAGGCTAGTCTTTGGTGAAACTTCTCTAAATTTGTGCTAGACATTAATGCCAAAGGATGGTATGGATTTAAAAAGAACAATTTGAGGTTTTTATCAAGTGAAGAACAATATCCAGATGAGTTGGTAATTAGGGGCCACTTCACCAACCCGTGTCATAACCTACAGGACCCAAATCGGAGTTTGCCGTATCATCTTATATTCTCGTTCTTACCTGTTGAGAGGTCTAGATCTTTGATCACTCCAACAATTACTCAACTACAGTCGCCAGTAGTCATTATCATGGTATCAAGGTTGTGAGAGCGGAGTATAGAGTGAATACTTACTAGCAATGGTTAATTTATCGGGACAACCTTTCAACGGGGCTTTTATATATATATGTGAGTGGGTTGTTTATTTTTGTGTTGAGTTGCGGGATCCGTTTCCGGTGTGTTGCGAAAGGGAATTCTATTACACTCATTTTTTTTTGTATGATTTTAGCGCGCAAAAAAAGGTTTTCTTAACTGCGGAGAAAAGAGAGATATATGCAAAGATAAGCAACAAGTAATAGTAATACAGTCTTTTTATTTTTTATTCATACCAGTGCGACATAATTGTTTTATGTCGCACTGGTATGAACAATTATGTCGCTTTGGTATGAGTAAAAATTAAAAAGACTGTAAGTGAAGTATATGATACCGGATATTGAAACCCGATCAAATCACAAACTGACTTTTGAAATTTATTTTCTCGTCTTTTCACCACTTTAGGTAAAACTATTTAACAAAAGATAATGCATATACATACACACATACATGTGCATATATATATATATATCACATCCCTCCGCTAATTAGGAAAATTTTATCAAACCATACTGTTTTATCAGTTTTTCAGTTTTTTAGTCGAATAAAACCCTATTGATTCCACCAATTTTACACCAATCTATTTGCATCCAAAAACAACATCAACTGAATGGAATCAACGTTTGAAACTTTATTCACCAAGTTCAATGCGTTTTCCTCTTTTGGTGACCAAGCATCATTAGATTCATCATCGCCTTCATTTTGGTTACTGGTCATCACCATAATCACTGCCGTGTATGTGTTAATCACTAAATACAACAACAGTATCAAAAGTAAAAGCCAATCGCATGATGATGATGAGAATAACCTCAGTTCCACCAATAAAGAAACCTCGTCCTCTTCGGCACCACCGCCACGCGGAAAATCGAAATTCTATGATTCATTTGATGAAAACTACAAGATCCACCCAGTAGAGCCCGACTTCCAATGGAGCGAAACCAGTGCCTTGAAATCATATCCATTCAAAAATGCCGCATACAAACTAACCATGTCAATTGCAACATTGCATCCACAAGATTGGTTATTGGTTGAACCTACGTATTTGAATCGTCTTGAAAATAAGAAAAAGATTTTGAACAATTGTCATCCTGATTACCCCAAGGACAAAAACACTCGTGAGTCCACCTTGTTTATGACTGATGAGGCTTATACTGCCGTGGTTGAGTTTTATGAGTTGGTGATGAACTATATGTGTGACAAGTACCCAACCTGTTTTGAACGTAACAATGAAGTTGAGAGTGAGGGTGAGAGTGAGAGCAAGAGCAAGAGCAAGGGCCAAGTCAAGAATTTAATTACGGGCAAGAGCTATCCTTTACACGGTAAGGGCGTAGATGGGTTGGTATTGCAAGAGTACCTTACTGAAAATATCGAGGAAGATTTCATCATTCTCCAACTCGACCCCGAGCAAGCCAAAGCAACACCCGAGGATCCAACATCAAGTGAGTACTTTTTCAAAGCGGGAGTGTTTGCATTTGCCGCTGGGTTCAATCCGTTAGATCGGTTCAATAAACCATTGACGTTTATTCACGAGCGTATTCCGGGATACACCGCCAAGTTGCGGACGTCAATGAATAAATTTTTCAACCGTATCCAACCGCATCAGTTTGTAACGAGGTCCAATTGGTCACTACAAACACATAGCAAATTTTACGTTGATGATAGTAACAAGGGACATAATCTACCAGCGGATTATATTCAACAAGCGTTGGATTACGATTCGTTGGATTTTGAAAATGACGTGCATTATCGTAGTGAACGTCAAGTGTTGACACGATTGCCCAAATCAAAGGCTATTGTATTTACCATTCGCACGTATTTGTTACCTTTGGCCAAAGTTAAGTCGGATGGAATGGAAGTTAGACAACGTTTGATTGGAGCTATAAGAGGTTTACCTGAAGATATTTCGCGTTATAAGCGAGCTGAAGAATGGGGGCCACCAATTATAAAATACTTGGAAGAAGAGGAAGATTAATTCAGTACAATTAGAGGTATACATACTTATACATATATATATATATATACATATACTGTATTGTTAAAGTTCTTCAATACTTGATAATTTCATCTTTAACATCTTGCCATATTTCAATATTCTTTTTTGCCCATCCAATCAAAACCTGATTATAATACAACAATATCTCATAAATCATCTTCAACTGATGAATTTGAAACTGTTGTAAATTCTTGTCAATTTCATCATAGATAAATGATAAATCAGCAAGCATTATATCTTGACATTTCTCCAATACGCCAATCTTGTCAGTTAATTCATGGATTTTGGTGCGTCTTGTTTGTTGCGGATTTTGATCAATTATTTCACTTACATATCGCGTTAACTTCTTAAATTTAAAACTGGGCAATTTGAATAACCCTGCTCCTCCGCCGCTGGCGGAAGATGTGGGGGACGTTGCATTACTGTTGTTGCTTGATGCTCCATTAGTTATTGGAGTACCATTGGGGGCTGATTTGTAAGCATTAGTGGAGGTGGCAGCAGAAGCAGACGTGGCTGCATTACCACCATTCAAGTCAAACTTTGACTTGGTTGAATCGTTATTAGTGTTGTTGCTGTGGCTGTGGCTATTATTGCTACTATGCTGATGCCTAATTGCATGTTCAACCATACCTGCTTCTTGTTCAATCTTCAATAATTGATTCAACTCTTTTCTCTTGTACTTCACATCATCATCCAACATTTGCTTCTGAGTCAATTTCCTTGACTGATATTTGGTTATATAATGTAATATTTGAGTATATTGGACTGCCTCACCCAATGGTTCGGAAAACTGAGTTTCCAAATCACCAATTAACGAATTAATAGCAATATAAGATCGATCAAAACACTGACCAATCTTGTCAAAGATGAAATTCAATTCATCGTCATCATCATGGTCATTAGATTTGTCTTGTCCAACTCGTTGATTGCTTGTGACGGCTACAGCTGCCGATGTAGTTGTAGCTACACCACCATCGTCGTCACTTGTATTAGCAATCCCACTACCTCTCCTTCCTCCACCACCTTCCTCTTCGCTACGCAGCAGCAGCAGAAAAGTTTCTGAAAACATCAAAGAAAACGAATTAAACATACTACCCAATTCGGCATAATCGTTAGAAAGACCCATGAAATTGGTCATTATTCTTTTATTCACTTCATCTAATCCCGAAGTGTCGACAATGTATTCACTTTGTTTCTTCTTTTGTAATGCTTCAGTGGCGGTTGTATCGGGCGTAGGCGCGACTCCAGTGGCTTCGGCCGCTATAGTGCTAGCACTACTACTAATGCTGTTTCCAATCAATTTATTGGTCTTTTTGGTGATCCTTTTCCCGTTATCCTTGAAAAAACTCATGGTATTTTTACTTGATGAAGGATTTGGTAAATTGGCATATATGGCATCTGTTTTCAACCCATTTTCTGGATTCAGTAAATATATTGATTTAGGCAATTGATTTTGAATTAAGGCAATTTCATCAGACCAATTAGCATTAGGATCAAGAAACTTGTGGAAAAACTCAAGGTTGCGGATCTGTTTAATTTCAAGACAGTTGTTTAAAAAATTCGAAAGGAGTCGTTTGCGATGTTCAACCAATTGGTTTTTAGCTAGATGGTTGGAATTAATGTATGCGTACGATGCAGGGTTAGAAAAGTTATTGGTTGATGAGGTGGTGGCATGGCTGGTGTTGACGTTCGCATTAGCAGCAGCAGTTGCTGCTGCTGCACCCGATGAGGCAGACCCTAATCCACCAATTGATCGATCTTGTCCAATACCGCCACCACCTACTCCTACTCCCCCACCATTGTTTGTACCAAATCCGATACTTCCTTGTCCAACAAACCCATTGAAGACCGAAAAGTCAAAATAATTCTTGGGTGGGATTGGTGGGATAATAACCAAGGGGAAAATCTTGGTTAAAACGTCACGCAAACTTTCGAAATCACTATATCTCCTTCTTGTTAAAATCTCATCGTTTTTAGCATCCAAATTGACAAGCTTTATGGTGTAAACGATATATTTCTTCAGGGAATTGTTCATGCCTTCATTAGACTTTCCTGCTTCAGTGATTTGTATTTTAACTCGAATCTTGGGCTTTAGTAATTTAGTAACTCTGCTCTCAAAATTCATATTGACAGTATTGAACGACTCGTTATGTTTGCTGTTTGATTTATCTAGTTTATTGGATGTTTTGTATAGTAGCATTGATTCGTCTACTTCATCCAGTGATTTAGACAACTCTTCGTTGGGTTGTTGGCTACTGTTGTTTAAATGCAATTGACTAAAACTACTTAGTCCTTGGTGATGCAGAAACGGATTGTTATCTTCGTCTTCATCGTATGATGTCTGTGGCGTACCCTGATCTTGTTGTGCCTGTTGCTGTGGGGTCGTAATATTGGCGTCGAGTGTGGACTTTTCTGTTGCAGTTGTAATTGAATGACCTTGTGATTGTGATTGTGGTGATTCTATTGGCGTCTGTGACATGATTATTAAAGAAAAAAGGGGTATACACAGTGGTTAGTATTAAATCAAAATGAAAGTTGCCTCCACACAAATAGATTATAGACAGTAATTGAATGAAGTAAGAGAGAGAAATAGATACTGCGTGATAAAAAATAATTAATTTTTGTTTCTTTCTTTATATGCAGGTAACATCTGCCTCTTTTCTACTCTCCCCCGTCTCCCCCTAAAGAGATAAGAGGAAGAAAAGACAAGGGCAATTCGGTGTTATTACTTCTAGCAGGTGATTACTTCCTTTAAACATATTGAGTGTTGTTCCTTTTTGCTACACAACTATCTTCTTTTTTCCTTTATAATATGAATGAGTAGTGAATACACCACTCTATTGCTAAGCTTCCAGTCAAAAAGATCAAGAGTAAGTGTGTGTGTGGGTGTTTCTATACTTAGAAAGGATAGATATATGTGCCTATAATCAGGGATATATATGGGGATATGGCGGAGGTGGTAGTAATATAGTATTTAAGGACAGTTTGTTTGCATTTACTGTTGATCGAATATACAATAATTTAAGCACAGGAAACATTCCACCACATGTAATTCCCTCTTTTGTAAGAACAGTTGCTACTGAAACCAAATATTGTTACCCCAATCTTCCATTTACAAGCTTCTTTTATTGACTTCGAAACGCCACTTCCTCGGGTAATTCAAATGAAACACAAAACATTGGTTTAGTAGGGCTCACCATTCTTACTTGATGAAACTCCATCTTTGTGATGTCCAATTCGTAATCAATTAATTTACAGATCTTGGCCCATAGCCTTTCACTCAACTCTTGTACTGTTGGGTCTTCGCCATTTTCAAATTTTTCAAAACAATGAACGTGGATCCAAGGTAGCTTGAAGCCTGGCTCGTCACGAACTTGGGGATATTTTGAATAAAGGCCAATGTATGCATCAAGAAAAGACAAAGCAGAGTCGGGCAAGTTCATGACAAAATGGTGGTAGAACTTTGGCACAGGGATGTCTTCAGTGGTGATGGTTTTATTATTCTTGGATCTTTTGACTGTAGACTTCTTCAAAGGACCTCGATTTGACAAGTCTTGTAGCAACTCTGCTGCTGTTTGAATAAATTTTCGGCCATCCAAGTTCCATGCCTTGACGAACGTATCTACCTTGTTCAACACTATATTCTCCTGCAAGTACTTGTAACTCTCTGGGTTCAAATCGTTAGCAAGAACAATTGTGTCCTTCTTACCACTGGGTAACGCAAATGGACCAACACCAGCCATGACATCGCCAACAACCTCATGCTTTCCAAACTTGTTAACTAGCCTTTCATGCTCCGTGCTAAGACGTGAGTTCCAGTAAACCTTACTAAAATCAAACTTAAAGCGACACCCACTTTCATTCTGCTCCACAATAAAATTGTCCTCCCCTGCAAGGAGCTCCAAGGGAAATGTCCTAAACTTATTGGCGATTGTGTTCTTCTTGTCAACAACTGTTTTTATCGAAGGGTTCTTGTCCATAATAACTTGCCCAATTAGTTTACCATAGGGTTTAAATTCATCGCGTAGATTTAAATGAGCGAGGTGTCCTGCCTGGCTGTATCCACTTGGAACCTCATCAACTAGATCCTCAGGCAAAATGGCCTGTAGAATCTCGTCACTTTTCCAAAATGAATAATCAAGATGAAGTAGGTATGGCTTCAACTCAATATTGAACTGTCTGACTTTTTCCTGAGTCTTTTCACCCAAATCCAGTACTTTCTCAATCCCTTCCCTCAATAGCACCGCCTTGGAGTTATCCAAATCGACAATATGTTTAATATTGCGAACGTAAAAGATGTCTGGTTGACAAGCTTTGACAAATTGTCCGAGAAATTTTGGTTGTGGGAAATAAGCAGCTTGAAGCGGTATTGTTTTGTTGAAAAAGGACCGATCCAATTCTCTCATTTCTCTATTGACTGGAGGCTTATACACGGACATGACTACCGATTGTCTCTGAGATTTCGATAGGTGGGATAGTAGCTTCAAGTTCATTGGAAAGTTGAAATGAAATGGAAAAAAAAAAAATATGAGAATAATTTGCAAACGAGGTGTATCTCATCGGACTAAACAAGATGGACACAGCAGGAGTAATAAGCATATCAAAACCAATTTCACGAGTGGAGTACGAGGATGAGAGATCTGATGATGACATGGAAGTGGATGAGCCTTCCTTTGAAGACTCAAGACAGCAAGAGGTCCGCAATAATGCTATTGTCACTCCTGGAGAATTGATTACAAGCGACCCAGTTTGGATGAAAGGGCACGGAACTTACTTTATTGATGACAAGACTTATTCCTCAGTAGTGGGCAACATCTCGCGAGTTAATCGACTTCTTAGTGTCAATGCTATACGTGGAAAGTATGTACCCGAAACAGGAGATCACGTTGTTGGACGTATAACAGAGGTTGCCAACAAGAGGTGGAAAGTGGACATTGGCACCAAACAAGATGCGATATTGATGTTGGGAAGTGTCAATTTACCAGGGGGTATCTTGCGTCGTAAGTCAGAAAGTGATGAGTTACAGATGCGGTCTTTTTTGAAAGAAGGCGATTTGTTGAACTGTGAAGTGCAAACAATATTCAACAATGGTATTGCTTCCTTGCATACAAGGTCGCTCAAATACGGGAAATTGAGAAATGGTATATTTTTGAAAATCCCAAGCTCATTGGTTGTAAAGTCAAAGAACCACAGTTATGATTTGCCGGGAAATGTTTCCGTAATATTAGGAGTCAATGGATACATATGGCTTTACAAGACCAAGTCAAAACTAGCACCGCCTTCTACTGTCAATTCGAATGGACTAAAAGTACAGCTGGGTGCAAAAGATTACACACCAGGGCAGGGTTCGGTTTCCATAACAAGATTAGAGGAGGAAAGTTCGTGGGAAATATATAGTGACAAGAATGAGGAAATCAACCAGCTGACAAGAAATAATATTGCCAGATATTACAACGTGATTAAAGCGTTGGCATTTGGGGAACTAGGTATAACAGAGCAACGAATAATAATGGGTTATGAAGCAAGTCTTGCATACTCCAACGTCGGTAGTTTGATTGATCGGGAGTCCATGGAACAGTTGTGCAGAGAGGTTTTGACAAGCGAGGAAATGAGGGGTCAATAATAAACTGAAATTGTCAAAGTTCACTGAAAACTCGGTATGGTCAAATTACTTATTGTCTATTATATTGCTAAATATTAATGATTAAAATTGATGCGAATTAAATAAAATGGAAAGCAAATACCAAAGTAATGCTATCAAGCTCTAATGAAGGTGTAAAATATCATTTCACAATCTTTCGAAGGAAAAGTTTAAAGTATACTAGTTGTATGACACCACAGACAAATATCGTTGAACAAAGTACAATGCTGATAAATGTATATCCACTGAAAATCTCCTCATTAACGTCCCTCAATTTAAATTCGTGATCTAAAAGCTCCTTCAATACATCGTCGGAATTGTGTAGTTTGGCTACAATATTGTCAAGGTCAAGGGCAACCATATTCATCTTGTTATCAAACTCTCCCTCTGTTAGATCTTTGTCAAGATAGGCAAAGAATTGCTTGTACATTTGATAATCAGTGCTTCTGATGTCATCCTTGATATTCACTGTCATTTCAACTTCATACGTCCTTGGCTGAAAACTCCATGACAAGTCATTAAACGTATTGTAAAAACAAATGTGAACTAGTTTTGAGGGAGCCAAGTCACGGTCTTGCAAAGGAGCCGAAGCCTCTTCGTCATCGGCTACACCCTGGGGATTAATTATAAGTTCAATAGGACTGGAAAACTTTTGCAAATTTGGCTGATCTCTCAATTTATTGCCCATGCTATCCAATATCAACAAATTCAAGTCCTGTGACTGTAAATGCTCAATCGACTTAATGGTGAGAAATAGCACCTCATTCGTCCCAAGTTCGTAGGAAAGGCATTGTTGTAGGTTGTCCAACGATGGGAGCTGATTTTTCTTCAACGGCGGCACTAGCAATCCTATTGCGAGCGAAAGTGGTAGTAGAGCTGTTAATAGAAAGCAAGTTCGTAGACTCCCGAGAAAATGCATCTTGGTGGGTTGTAGTGTAGCGAGGTTGATAAAAGTTGGATGGTGACAAGCGAGTGGAATATAAGACGTTTTTATATGCGTTTGGAGGTGTGGACAAAGCAACGGTGTTCCTGGTTAATTACCGGATAATATGGTAATGATAAATCTAATGTAGGATTGTAGGTAATCTAGAACAGTACTTCAATTCCATATGTGTTTTGTAGTGATGCTGCTATTTCAGTGGTAATTTCCAAATCTCACACTGAACTTTGAATGTTTTTTTTTTTTTTAATTTAGTTTTATTTTTTTTTTTATTTTATTTTATTTTATTTTATTTTATTTTATTTTATTTTATTTTATTTTATTTTATTTTATTTTATTTTATTTTATTTTATTTTATTTTATTTTGTATTGTTATTGTCTTACAAATGAAAATTTTGAATTTTCTGTGTATGTACTGTATGTAATCATCCCTCGAGTTGTGAAAAAAAAAAAGTGTGATGTACTTTTAAGCCAAGGAGATAAATCTTTCTTCTAGCCTTCCATAGAAAATATTAAGTGATGTATTTGCCATTAGAGTAAGAGAAAGGAAGTTGAATCAAGAACAATCTTGCAGAAAAAGGTCATAGTATAAGAGTTGATATGCGATTGGTTGATTAACACTGGTTTCTCATATATATATACATTGCACAAAGTATTTATATAATGTACCAAGAAATTTTAAAGTAGTATTAGTACTAATTAGGTGTAGTTCAAATCTAGTCTACATAATTTAACACAAACATTACAAAAGTTTACTTGGCTACTGTTTCTTTTATTTTTTTGTTTTCCTCTCTGTATTTTTTCTCTCTTTGTTATTTGAGGGTGTGCTACTCTTACTATTGGAAAGTTTGAAATTTTGTGAAGACATTTTCTTAAGAGACGCGTCAAAATCGTAATGTTTTTTTTGTTTTTATTTTTCTAGTGGTAGGGGCCATTGTTTTATCAGAGTCACGAGAGTACTAACTATTTCAAGTTGACAATAGACCATGTGCAACTTAGTTGTGAAAAAAAAAAAAAAAAAAAAAAAAAGAATTATGTCTAGCTTACCTCCCCTAAAGCTGTCTGGGACTTTATGCTAACCAGAACCAGAATTTTTGCAACAAATTCTTTGGTACGCGTGGCTCGTAATTCTGCTCCTCCTCTTCAATCAAGTCCAAGTTTGTCGTCAAGTCGATATCCTCTATTGGAATAAACCATAACTTGTTTCCCTTGATGAAACGCTCATACAACCAGTGTCCAAAGTACAATACAACCACAATGGGCAAGGTTATATAGGCAGCAACAAAGTCAGCACCCTTAAAGTCAAAAAACACAGCATAACCGTTGGTGATGGTTATTATAGACATCATAAATATGACATAGTAAGCTCCAAATGGTTCCAAGTACGATCTGTAAGGAACACGGTCGGAGAGACCGTGGAACTGTATTGCCTTTCTCCAGCGAAGGTAAGCAATTGCAATTGATAGCCAGCCTATGAATCCTGAAATTGTCGAAATATTTGAAAGCCAACTGAACACGCTTGCGGAAGCAGACGACACATTCAAGTACGACAAAAATCCAAATAAAGAGGAAGCGGCAACACTGTAAACTGGTATACCAAACCTGTTGACTCTAGCAAAAAGTCTAGGAGCGTTCCCACTTTGGCCCATAGAGAACAATGCTCTCGAAGCAGAATACAAGAATGAATTACCGGCCGATTCTGCTGACGTCAAGATGACTGCATTTATAACATGGTTTAATCCTTTGATGCCAGCATTCTGGATAGTAATAGTAAAGGGACTGCCTGACGAGTCAGAAGCACCTCCAAACAATTTTTTGTCTCTTGAACTTACAATAACACCAATGCTCAAAGATCCCAAAACGTAAAAGAAAACCAAACGGTAAATAAAACGACGAGCAGCCTTGGCACCATTGGCTCGTGGGGCAATAGTTTCCCCCATTGTTGTCGAAACAACTTCTGGTGACGTGATGTATGAAAATCCTGACTTGATAATAGCTGTCCATAATCCCAAGAATCTCCCTGTTGAACCACCTGTAAGGTGTTCTTTGAATGGCGAATGCTTCCAATACCTGAACCCCAATCTATCATGGTTTGGACCACCTCCAAAGAACAACACAATACTCATGATAATCAACCCTACCAAGGCAATAATCTTTATTGAGGCAAACCAGAATTCAGCTTCACCAAAGAACTTGACCGACGTCATATTCATAAATATAATCACCGCCAACAATATAGTTATCCACACGGCAGTACTGACTGAGGTAGTCCAATACTCAATAACGACAGCAGCGGCAGTAACTTCAGCCCCAACCAATACACTAAACGCATACCAATAGTTCCATCCTAAAGCAAACCCAAAAGAAGGTGATAAAAAGTTATTAATAAATGCCAATGGACCATTACCGGGTAATGGTAAAAATATTGTCATCTCGGCCAACATTTGCATCACGAAATACACCACTGATGACATGATGACATATGAAAGGAAAAGGGATGCTGGTCCACAAGTAACCAATACCGCACCTGACCCAACAAATAAACCCGTACCAATGGCTCCACCAATAGCAATCAATTGAGCATGTCTCGACTTCAATCCTCTCTCTAGTGTTTTCGGTCCTTCAGATTGCCCACCGGTAGTTGAACTTATTTCTTCTACTATTTGTCCGGTTTTTTCATCGGCATCAACTATTCTAGATGTACTTATGACTAAGTTCATGGAGGAAGTTGGCTCACGGATTATTTTTTTGCGGGTGACTGCAAAATTCGTCATATTGCCCTTCAATCCCATATCTTTTATTATAGAATATGAATATTGAAATGGCTGTATATTAATGGTAAAACGGGTTATAGGTTTGAATATGTTACTTATATAGCGATGCCAATGCCCTGACAGTCTTCTCGGTTTGAATCATGCCATAATCCATTTCCCCACAAAAAACAACGATACCTCTTTCTGGAATATGCAAGTGTACCAGACTCAAAAAAGCCATTTATATAAATTATTCAATTGCACCTCATCACCTGCTCTTGTGACATCCTACCCCTTCCACTAATCCAAGATAGCTAATCAGGATATTTTTGTGTAAATACTAATTTTCCGTACAAAAAGGTCCAGTAAATAAGTTAACTGTGAAAATAATAAAGCCATGTAAAGTCCCATAGCAAAGAAGAACCAATTAACGACAGTTGTATAGTTTTAGTTGTTACCTGTGCTAAGACGATTGTGTTCTCATTAATACTCAAAGTGCAATTGTAACCTGCTGAAACATTTACAGCACAGCATACTCAAACCAAACTTTCTTCATAGCCTGCAAAGCTTATCTGCAATGTTTAGTTTCTGAAACTATTTTTTGACTCCTTCTGCAGTAGAAATTAAATGGGGTACTGAGGTGTACTTCTGGTTCTTGACCGACCTCAAGTCCACTTTTCTCTAGCTCACAGCTAAAGATCCTGAGTTTCGTTTCAGCTCTGAAGTTGTGTATATAAAAGCTTCGTTGTACTCGTATCAGCTAGAGCCATATACATATTTATGACTGAACTAGTTCGTTACTTGAACGATGTTTTTGCTTCCAAGCTCATTAAATAAACACCACCATTACACTTTTTTAGATGATGCAGGAGCGGGGCTAACTTCTCCAATAGGAATGTTGTGGATTCTTAAAATAAACTCGCAATTCTGTTTTCCTAAATAGGGTAACAAGGTTTCATTAATTACTAATAGGCCTCGCCAGTTGTATCTCTTGGCTAACCTCTTTGTCGCATGGACTTGTCGTTTCAAGTAACTGATTTTCATAGGCAGATATGGATACATCACTTGTTACCAAAGGCGTAGGAACCAAATTAGCGAGGAATTCTTTTCAAAAGGAAGTTGGCAAATGGAGTCTTTCCAATGCTGAACTAAGCCATATTGTGGCATGTTAAAGGTTTTGCTTTTTGTTTTTGACAGTATTGCGCACAGCAAAGTAGGCAAAATCTTTATGATTTATTCTTGATAAGTCGGGGGTGTGTCAATTGAGTTAGCTTCGACTCAAAAAAACACTCTCATGCTGAAAAAGATGCAAAGGTGTGGGCATTGCTTGTACATGATATACAAAGTTCCCGCCCTGATTGCAAAGCAATAAACTGTTAAATTGCGAAATATACAACCGTAGTCCCCTTTAATGAAAAGGCTTGAATATGTGATTTTCTTACTATTACTTGTTCAAATGTTGCAAATAGGAGGTAGGAAACTACATTTTATATAAATGATGGCCTTGGAAGTACAGAAAAACCTTAACTATTTAGAAAATATTCTGGCTACTCTGTAGAATAATCAATGAATCAAACGAGCAGAGCTAAAGAGACTGATGAGAGATCAAACTACAACTCGGGGCGGCTTTTGAACATTACTTTTAGTTAAAAATGTAGTACAAACAAACAAGATCCAAAATTCCACTTGGGGTCCCTGAAATCTCAAGAATCTGGTACCTCCAGGAACGAAAACATATGAAAACCAAGTGACATGGGGTAAAAAAAAAACACAAAAACAGAAACAAAAAATGAAATTCTTGTGACAAAGATTCACACACAGGGAACCAGTGTAATATTAAAGTGAAGGGAAAATCAGAACTAATATATAGATTAAGCATGACAGCTAACAGCTGATGGAAGGTAATATTTACCAGGTCACTAACCCAATGGAATCTCCCTTGTAGGACGTGGTTACTAATTTCGACATCGTTGTTAGAACCATTTTCTAAAGAAAGAGGAAAAGAAACAAAGCACTTCAGACTACACATCAGAATGTAACATTAACCTATGACGTTGAAAATTACAAGTGATGAAAAAACTAAAAATTCAAACTTGTTTCAAGAAAAATTACGGAACCTTATACACTATCAAATTCAGAACCAAAAATCAACGATATCGGTATCGTCAGTGTGCTTCACCGGTGCAATACCAATGGTTTTCTTTTCCAAATCCTTGACAAAGTAAACATCTCTAAGGAAAGGAAGTCCAATTCCTTGCAAGCCGCCTGTATTGGAATCATCAAAAATAAAAGTATTGCATACGGCTGGTTGTACTTTTGTTCGATAAAAAAAGTTAGAAAGTGGGACGGAAATGTTGATTGGCCCAAGATCAAATGTCAAATTACGACCTGTATTCAACACCCGATCACACAAAAACTGACCCCATGGGCTCCCTCCTAACTCGATGTAGACTTCGTCAACAATACTTTTATCCAACGATAAACCATTATTACCAGTATCAAATCCCACTACCTTAGTGAATGGAAGCACCTTTCCACTTGGAGTTGTAATCGATTTTGCATTAATGTTTTGCTCAGACTGGAAAATGGCCAACTCTCCTTCGTATTTGGCCTTGTCAACACCTCCCAAGAGTAAAGTACCTTGATCGTTCGGACCCAAGTACACAGAGTAACCAGCACGATTGATCAACCCAGCATGCTTGGAAGCAAAAACGTAATTTGATTTTTCATCATCAGTATCTCCAACACCAAAGAGACCAATCTCAGTCGCGCTCACAGTGCTGACATCAAATTCAAAGTCCGGAATTTTACGACCATCATCAAAGTAAAGGTCATCGTTAACCTTGTAACCTTTTGTGATTGCTGAACCATCACCATAACCCAGATCAGACCCTTCAGTCAAGTTTTTGAAGGTGGAGGATCTGTCAGGATGAAAAACTGCATCCGCTGCGCAAGTCTGCTTTGCACAAGTTGCACCTAGACCCGGGACGTTTAAACGGTAGCTACCGGTATCAAGTATAACTCTCACAGCCTCTTGAGAAGAGCCAAGCTTCAATTTTGTAGACCATCTGTTTCCAGTGTCAAAAAAATTTTGCTGCTCAGAAGGAGTTCTTTTCTGCAAATTCACTTCAGTACGTTCAAGCTCGTGAACAATAAATTTGTCGTGCCTTTTTTCAATGGGGGTACCATTGGCAATGGCAGCAAGCAAAATAACCAATACCGAAATTTGGAGTAAAGATAACATATTGTGGGTGTAGAGTCTTGGTGGTTCCTGGCAGTGAAATTGACTAAAAGTGTGCAAACTCCTCTATTTATAGAATTTCCGTAACCATCGGTCGTCCACTCTACTGCTGCTCGGGGGCTAAACAGTGGAAGCTTCATGGGAGCATGTGGTGGTCACAAAGTCATCCCTAAAGAGTCATAACCATTATCTCTGCTGAAGTTGCCGTGGAAACGGCACCAAAACCTCAGCATCGCTCAATTGCTGCGACATTTCAAAGTGGGTGAAAAACCATTGGATTACACTGCGTTTCTCATAACCCCACTTGAGGGGCGCCTTACTGCAGTCCGGTTTAGTCCTACAAGTTAAGTAGTTCCTCCCTTGTCACTCTGGTTTGTATACTCTTCGCTCATTCATTGGTGAAGAGGAAATGAGCGAATACCATGCTTGCAATGTTCAGTGTAATTGTATTGTAAAGTATCATAACCATGTGAATACAATACCCCTATTGTTACTGCAAAAAACAGAATATGGTACCACATGGCTATATTGCTATTACTTTTAATCAGTACTTACTGACAAAACAACATAGAAAGCATCCCTGACAGCCTATGAATTAAATTTTATAGTTCGTGAGTTGACTCTGTCGTGAAGTAAAACTAAGCTGAATGTCGTTGTTCTCACGACATTGCGTTACGGAAATGTGACATTCTGACTTAACCTAAGATAACTAGGCATGAGGGTGAATGGATAAGTTGCATTGAAGGGCGTTACAACGCTCTTCTAAAATATATATGACAGGGAGACACAAAAGAGAAACGAAAACAAATTGTCGCTATAATATGGTTAAATAAAGAATATATATGAACTGTAGAATCCGTCTATGCACTGAGAAGTGGAAAAGACTTTGTGAGGCATTAAGATCAACTTAAGCACTGTAACACGGGGTTCACATGGTGCAAGTACGTTTTATTTACAGAGATGGCACGAAGCCAATATGTTACACCAACATATTTATTGGATCACACAGTGCATTCGTGACAAATGTCGCACCTAGTCCTTGGTAAGAAGAAAGAAAAATCAAAAACTCTTCAAAGTGCATCTCCAAAGACAATGAGCGACAATCCTTTAACCACAGTTGACATCTCCAACTTGAGTGATGCTAAAGTAGCTCAAGATTTGCTAGATGCTTTGGTAACACAAGGCTTTGTGTTTGTTGATGGCCATAAATTCGAAGCAAGTGAGGTGGATAAGATATTTGGGTTATCAAAGGAATTCTTTGAGTTGCCATTGGAGTATAAGACAAAATTCCCCTTTGATAGTTCCAACACTGGATACATTCAATTCAACAGAGAAAACCTCGATCCTTCCCGAAAGAGGGATTTCAAAGAGGGCTTGAACCTCGGAAGCATTGATTTTACAACAGGAGAGCCTTCTGGCCCAGTTCCAGATTGGTTTGTCGAGGATATAAAACGGTATGAACTTATCAAAGATATGACTTTAAAATTGAATCGCTTGGCTCTCGACCTACTTCTAATATTGGCTAGAGCGCTTGAAATTCAGGATAGTGATGATGGTCCTGGCATTGAGTGGTTTACGTCAAGATACAAGCCTACTTCCAAATCTGGTTCGACTTTCAGATTCTTGCACTACCCGGTCCAAAATACAAACGATGAACTGAATGAGGTTCGTGCTGGTGCTCACACCGATTATGGCTCCATGACCCTTTTGTTTCAAAAGGAGAACCAAGAAGGACTTGAAATATACAGTCCCGTGAGTAAAAAATGGGAAAAGGTACCTTTTGTTGCTAGCTCCAAACCAGGTATGGCACCTCCAATAATTGTCAATATAGGCGACTTGCTAAGCTACTGGACTGCTGGGTTATTGAAAAGTACTATCCACAGAGTTAGATTTAGCAACTCACAAGCCGAGGATAGGTATTCGGTTGTATTTTTTAGCCACCCGAGTGACGAGGCATTGTTGGAGCTAGTGCCTAGTAAATTGTTGGAAACCCGGACAGGTAGAGGTGTGGCCAAGGACAGCGAGTACATCACCGCTTTGCAGCACTTGCAAAAGAAATTGTCCAACACTTATGGCTATTGAGTAGAAAGTGTGCTTTGTATATGTAATATATTTATTTTGTCAGAAGTTGCTATTGTACTTTGTTGGTGTCTAGTGGTAAGAAATTGCCCTAATTTCAAAATTTCTAGTCGGAGTCCGGGTGAGCGATTCAATCGATCACAGTCTTGGCTGAGGCTCGACCACGAAAATACTCTGCCGGCTTTTAAAAGCCTATACACTTGCAAGTGTATGTTATTCTGATCTCACTTTTATCAGCCAAGCCTCCTCCTTTTCGATGATTAGCTCTTGTAAGCTTCACCTTAGCTCTTCTTCCTTTTTGATGATCTTCAGCCAATCAGACCCAAATTTTCCGGCTTTGTGTAATATTCTTATCTTCTATAAATTGATAAGAATGTGTTGCTAAAATGTAGTCCGCTCTAAATCAACATTAGTTACTTTAATTCACCACTTGTAACTACCGACCCATATTATACACCACAATGACCCATCCGTCACCACAAACATCAAACTTGTTGTTACCGCAAACAACATCTGATCCTAAACAGGTGGTTGATTTCATAGCGCAAGAAGAAAAACGAAAATACAAGGCAGGTATATGTTTGTTGATTATATCGGTTGGAGCATGGATTATTGGTTTAGAATTGGTCAACAGTGTCTTGAAAAGCGACGAATATAGAAAGCCAATCTTTTTTGCTATCATTACAGGTTCCTGCTTCTCGTTGAATTTCTTGTATGATTTGTTTCAATTCATATGGATGAGGAAACCAGAGATGCACCAGCCATTGTTAGACACGGATAAATACAATTATCAAGAGAGCACAGCCATGTCACTGAGGGAAGTCTTGGTCCTAGCATGGCAAATTGCTACAATCTATTTCCTTTACAATATATTTGCAATGGAGGCGCTAAGATTCACCTCAGCATCCACTCAAACAGTGATTGGATCTTTAACTTCTGTGTTCACGTTAATCATTGGCGTCATAATCAAGACTGAACGGTTTTCCAAAACAAAAGCCGTGTGCGTTGTTGTAAGTTGCTGTGGCGTGTTTTTAGTCAACTTGAGCTCGGTGGCTGACCCAAGTAGCGGTCACAAGTATACTCCAAAAAACCCTAAGCTTGGGAATATATTGGCATTGGGTGGCGCTTTGTTCTATGCATTTTACTTGTTGACTATGAAATTTAAGTGTGGTGGGTCCAAAACAACAAACGAAAGGAGGTTGTTTGGTTATGTTGGGGTGATTACTTTTGTAATGGGTATGCCTATATTGTACCTTGCAGATACACTTGGAGTTGAAAAGTTTGAGCTTCCACCAAACCACACCATTGTGTTAATTATTCTTGCTAATGGTGTCCTCACAGTGGTGTCAGACTACACGTCCATTTTGGCCATGTTGTTGACCAGTCCCTTGGTTGTGTCCTTGACGCTAACCAGTTCAATCCCAATTACCATCTTCATTGATTATGTTGTGTTGATATACTCTCATGAGCCCATTAATACCAGCTCAGTATACATATTGGGTATCCTGTGCATAGTCGTTGCTGTCCTTCTTGTAAATATCAATGTGGCATCGGAAAACACTTTGATTGAGGAAATTATAGAAGACACATTGGAGTCGGCAATTCACAATGATGAACTCATGTCACCCATATTATCGCCTCTCCTTGGCAGATACCACAACCTGATCAAATCGCCGTTACAAATGATATTCAGTCCAGAGATGACAGATCAGCAATACCCAATTCCAACAACCATAACTGCATTCAACCTCAATGGAAACGATGAAAGCCCTCCAACACGAAACTTGAACCACCATCCTTCAATGTACACCACCGAACCAGACGCGCCTAATCTACTCGTTTCAAGGGGACAGAATCATACATACGATATTCAAATAATATAAAAAAATGTCGCCTATTTTCAATCTCTATTAAGACTTGTATGTAATTTGTGTTCTCTCATAAACAAGGACGAAATAACGCCAATAACCACTGCTACCGATGCAAAATAAAATGCCCCTCTGCATCCTTCATCGTAGGAAGTCCTGATTGCTTCTCTCACGTACTTTGGCGCTTCGTGAACGTAGTTGGTATCCTCCAATGCTTTTGCTATGATATTCCTAGCTTCTTCTGGATCCTTGACCAAATTCATAATTCTCCTTTGCAAACTCAGCCCAAGAACTGTTTCAAATATAGCTGAAGCTGCTGACACCCCCAAAGTGGACCCTGTTGACCTAAAAGTGTATTGGATCGAGGTTGTACAGGCTTGGTATTTCATTGGAGTTGCAGCAATCAAAGCAAGTAATGTAATTGTCAAGATACAAGAGTATCCCAAACCTTGTGGAATCAACATTAAATACTGTTGCCATGTGGAAGTTTGAGTATCAAGAAGAGTGACTCTATAGGAGCCAAATATGGCCAATATTCCAGCAGCTACTGCTAAGTTGTAATAACGCCCAGTGCGTTTCATGTAATACCCAGCAGAAAGAGAGCCCAATGATACACCGAAAAAATTAGGTACCAACCGTAACCCATTTTCAGTGGCTGATAAGTAAAGCACTGATGTAAAATATACTGGAACGTAAAACAAAATTGCAAATATTCCCATTGTGTAGAACCAATTGGTCAAAGATGAAGCCAAGACTGTTCTATTTGCTAGCAACTCGATGGGAATGATCGGTTCCTCGCTCACATAGGCCTCCACATATAGAAAAGCAAAAAGCAAGACAAAACTGGCCGCCACTAATGAGATAAACAAGTTTGATGAAAAAGCAATATCCCTTCCTCCTAACGAAGCGGCAGTTAAAAACAACATCAACGAGCTAATCAAGCAGAAACTCCCCAAGAAATCAACTCGTTTCAACTTTTGCCAAATATCTTGGCCATGGGCACCCAACCCCGGCGATCCAGCAGGTAAATTTAAATTAAGATAGATAGCAATGCCAACTATAATGGCAAGGGGCACTTGTAAGATAAAAACGTATTTCCATCCCAATGTGTCAGCAACGATACCGCCGATAAATCCGCCAGATGCAGCACCTAGTGCGTAGCAGATGTTTGCCAACCCTTGGTATAACCCACGGTCTCTTAACGGGATGAGATCCGACATGGTAATAGTTCCCACTGCAGTAAGTCCTGAACCACCCCATCCGGTTATAAATCGACCAATTACTAACCACCAAAGCGAGTCGGTGACACAGATGGTGCATCCTATACCAAACATAAGCGAACACCCAATCAAAATAAATTTACGACCAAAGATATCAGACAACTTTCCAAAAATTGGTTGAAAGGCGGACGAAGATAATAAATAAGATGTGGCAATCCATGATATATTTTTGACAGCCTTCAATTCAGAAGCAATGATTGTCAACAATGTAGTTACAACCGTTACATCCAATGCGGCCAAAAATGAGGCCATGAACAAACTAGACACCACCGTAATCAACTGTCTTTTAGGTAAGGCATATCCTCCATGAGGGTCGTCTATTTCGTATGAATCAGGAGTCTCACCTTCTATCGCACCATAGCTGTGAGATTTTAAAATATTGTTGTTGAGTAGACTTCCATCCTCGGCAGCTAATTCCGAAGCAATAATGCCTGCGGAATCTGCTGAGGAGTCATGGATAACGTTAGGGTGAAGGTGGTGATGTTGTTCGCATGCTCTAGAATTTGGTTCTGTCGACATTTCTGTTTTGGTACCAGTAGAGCCTGTGAAAGAAGTTGTTGTTTAAATTGAAAATTTTCCAATTACTAAGTGTGGCTCTAGCTAAAAGGTAAAAAAAAAATCAAGAAAAAAATAAATGAACTTAGTACTAGACTATTTTGAACTGTTGTAAGTGGGGCTTTGCCAAATACTTCAACGGCATGTATTAGATAGCCTAAAATCTGACTCCGTTTCACGCCAAGTAGAAGCTTAATAATTATTTATCATTCAGCCCAATTTGGTTAAGCGCCGATAGACGAAAAGCGCGAACAAAAAAATTGATAAGAAAAGTAAGCGGTGCCGAGAACACAAACAATTAGAGCCTTTATCTCAAATGCTACACACGTCTAGAGAAGCGATTTGAAATGAATGGATGTTTATAAAGCAAACCTCCTTTATCGGGGCATTCTGTGACTGGTTGCTTAGCTAATAGAGCTATAAATGCGGTGATGCTATCATGGATTAGCCAATCAGAAGGGGTTGAAATATTGTAGAAACTCACAACGAGCAAAGATTGTTTGAGAGGTGAAGTGGTCCGTCGTAATGAGAATGGTCCGCAAAGCGTTGGCTGGGGTTGATAACAGCCTTTCTTTAGTCTGTAGTTGATTCTGATTTGCACACAGTAAAAGTGGCGCGTCTTTTTTGAAGACAAAAAAACCCATAACGCGTACAACCCAGTTGCTCAACACGCCCAAATGCCCGTCATAACATGCTCAGACAAGGTACTGAAAGTGGAAGCATCATTGCTACCTATGCATCTTCAATACAGTGGGCCTGCAAACACTTCTGATTACTTTACTCTATCAAAGACAACTGAAACCCAAAACGATGGATCTGAGATTAAAACAGCATATTTTAGAGGGTGCAGATTAGTCGCCAAAGAGGTTAATTTGAAAGATAGCAATGTTGAAGGATACATAATAAACAAAAATGAGGTGTTGCAGAGGAAATTGAATGAAGAAGATGGCACTGAAGAGGTCAAAACTGTCAAAAACTATTCTGCAGCGGCATCGTTTGACAAGTTGACTTTGTATGGGCACGATTCAGAAATTGAACTGACCAATCAGTGGTCGCTAATTCCAGAGTATTTAGAAATAAGTAGCATAATACATAAATAATTGTTCACCTGGTTATTTCATTGCTTCGAATTTCTCGCATCTTTCCTCTTCAAAGCAGAAAAGCAATGAACGATCTTTTCATTGCAAGCGACGAAGACAGTGATGACAATGCCCCCCCTCTTAAAAAAGTAAAGGGTATAGGGTATAATGACAGCTCTGACCTTGATTCAGACTCTGATTTTGAAGATATACCCTTGCAGCCAATCAACCCGCAATTGCCAAGCCAAGATGGAACAAGTGAATTCAGCATCGCAATCCAGTCAGTGGATGACAAACAAAGGGAAAAGCTAAAGCTTCTGATTAAGGATAAACAACGAAGAACCAGCTCACAATACCTAAGTGTTCTTGCTTACACCTTACACGCCTGGCAAAGAAACAAGTTACTTTCAGATAGAAAGGTTTTAAAGACGTTGAAGAAACTCTTGCCAGATCTGTTTATGAAACAATTTCGAAAGTTCAAAAAGAATTCCTCTGACGAGCATTTGGTTTATATCATCAAGTACTTGATAAAATGGTTCCGGAAGAATTTCAAGCACGACTCAAATGGGCTAAGAGTGCTTGGGTACTTGCCAAGAAATGCCAAACGAGATGATTACTTCCCGAATAATTCAAAACCAATATCTACTGTAAAGGACTTGCTTCTGGTGATAAAAAAGTTTCAGCATAACCGGGACGTGGGGGCGCAAATCTTTACATCGTTGCTCAGGAGTTTGGGATTTGAAGCCAGGCTTGTCTTTTCGTTGCCTGTCTTGAGTACTAAGAAACTGGCCAAGCTCCAACCAAAGTTGAATAAGAGCATACTTGGTGCTAATAAAGATAATGATTTGCTTTATCCGTATTTTTGGACCGAGTTGGTTAACCCCATTGATCCGTCAGAAATATTTGTCATTGAAACACAATGCTTCTTGGAAGAAGAGAAGCAATTGAAGAGATTGAAAAGATTTCTGCCTAAGAGATCCTCCACTGGTGCCTTTTTTCCGGTTCAGAACCAATTATGCCAGATGTCTATGCATTACGTTCTTAGTTTTTCCAATGCAAACCTTATTATTGAAGTTAGTTCTAGGTACATGAGAGATATTTCATACAGATGGTTCAACAGGCTCGATTTGAGAACTGAATCTGGCCGAGCTGCCTTATTACTTCACTCGGTTATTCGAATTTTAAACTCTGACAAACAGTATACGGTGGAGGCCAATAGGGAATTGGACAATCTACGAGCTATTGCCATGCGTAATTACACTATCCCAAAAACGCTTTCGGCAATGAAGAAAAGTCCCAATTTCACAACACAGTCCACATTACGATACAATGAAATTATTGACTCTAGTGCCGTACCAATTGCGAACAAATTGAATGGCGAGCATTGCCGTGTATACTTTAAAAACTGCCTCATTGTTGGGAAATCCGAACAGCAATGGAAATTTTGTGGAAGGTCGATAAAACCAGATGAAATTGACAAGCCGATAAAAACAGTCAAGGCTAATCCAAGAACTATACATCGGAAGAGGATATTTAATTTGAATCACTTGAGTGACCCCGAGTTGAATACCCTAGCGTTGTACTCGTTTTCCCAAACTTGTCCATATATCAAACCAAAGGTTGAGAATGGCGTCTTGCCAAGAAACAAGTACGGCAATATTGAGATTTTTAGACCCAACATGGTTCCTGGTGATTGTTTGTGGCTTAAAATATCGGGGGTGGAAGTGGCGCTTCTGAAAAGCAGAGTCAATTACGTACCTGTAGTTGTCGGATTTTCGTTCAAGAGCGGCTCGGCATACCCTTTGAAGAATGGAGTGATTGTTTTGAAAGAGGATGAAGTTGCCGCTAAAAAGATTTGGCTTTCATACAAGGTGAAAGAGCAGAAACAGATTGAAAGATACAAGCAGCTACATGCCTTGAATGGATGGAGAGTGTTTCTAAACAAACTCAGGGTTCAGCAAAATTTGAATGAAAAATATGGTCACTTGTAATCTGGTGGGGCATCTGAAACGACAACCTTTAAGCTCAATAGTCTACCTAATGATGTATACGCACCTTCTGTTTGCCCTTCTAAGGTTGTTGTCATTCTCGACTGAATTTGCTCAAGTTGCAAGTCACTAAAACTGTCCGGATCTTTTGGCAACCAAATTTTTGGAGGCTCGTATTTAAATGCAGGGTGTAAATACAACATGTCGTGGTTAGTATCAATCCTGGTACTCGTTGCTGAATCTTTGCCTTTTTGATCATCCTTGTATATTTTATCAGAGAGTATTGGCAAATTGGAGAAATAAGGGATGTACCGATTATAAATCAATGTGTTTGCAAAAACCGTAAAGAACAACACCCATGTCATTGCGAGTCCTTGGTACTTCATGGGATATGAACCTCGTGAATCTTTCAGAACGAAAAATACGCCGATTAAGCAACACTCTAGACAGTATATTCCAACATACAAATGCAACAATGCGCTCGGGTATAATCTCCCCATGGTTTCGGAACGGTTAATATGGCTAAATACGTACTTCAATGCGTACTTGAAGTACAATATTGACAAGTTAAGGAAAAAGATGATGAATATGGAGATGAGTGGCGATATAATCGAATATGAGATGCCAATGCAAGCATAAATCGAATACACTGCAAAGGTGGTTCCCCATTTGATTTCAGGAAGAGTGGTGATTCTAGTGAATTTTTGTCGCGGTGTTACATCAATCCACTTGTACCAGGTGTTTGTCAACATCAACTGTTTTATTCTTAGAAAACTGTTGCCACAAAGGGCAAAAGCACGGAGACAAATGTATTGGAAAAAGAATGTGGCCGATTTGGGCAAGTTTGTTGCTAGCAAGACTGGTATGGAAGTGGGCTGGTCAATGATTTGTCTGCAAATGACGGTTACACTTGACAGAATGGTGACAACAAGGAACTGCTGAACAAACAAAAATGCAAAATACCAACGTTGCAAATCCATTTCAATCTCACTTCCTGTTGCTTTTCCTTTGAAGTATGATAGGAATCTGAAAAGCATCATGACGATTTCGGTGAGTACTGTGAGAAGGATCGATGGGAGGAACCCCGATATTGTTTCTCTGGCCTCTTCAGGAAGTTGATAGACCCAGTTAAGGCAAGGCATAAGCTTGGTGAGCGTGGGTATTTGTGAGACTAGACCAATTAGTGATACTGGCACCACATACAATATGACAACAGTGATGAATATCAAAGTCACCAAGTACTTTTCAAACTTGCAGGCGATGCCGTCGGTTCGTGATATGTTCCCCCATATGACATCATCGGGATGAACCTCAATCAATGTCTTGTCTAAACATCCTTGGCTTTGTGAGAGAAGAGCTTGGTGAGCAATGCATGCGCCTCGTTGGTCTTCAAATTCAACAAATACCTTGTTGTGTTTGGTCAAATCGTTGTTGACGAGTTTTGAGTTCTCCTCGTCGATTATAGCCTGGCATTCCGTCAATGTTTCTAGCGACCACGTTAACATGGAGACCCTTTTTTGCAAAGCAAACACTCTGATCCAACCGGGGAACTTGAATCGAATGCATCGATCTATTTGATGTATTGTGATCAAGTTGCAATAAACAGGGGGGTAAAACTTGATATCTGTTTGCAGGAGAAACTTTGCAGCATCGATATTCAGTTTTAACCAAGTTAAACGGTAATACTTTGTCATTGTCAACATCTGCGACATTTCCAAGTACATTAATGCATCACGGGCTTTCCTCACTTGATGATCTATTGTTTCAAAATTGTACAAATGCCAGATATTTCTAACTCCACCTGGGACATGTTGAAACAAGTCTTTAAGGATACCTTTATCTTGCAAATATGGCGGAACATTGAAGATCAATAGAGTTCGTGCCATGATTGAATTGCGGTGCGACTCAGACAATAAATAAGATTGTCTAATGGTGACAAAGCTTTGAAACTCGTATATGATCAACCAGTGGAACAACGCAATAGTAAATAAGCCCATAATGAAATGAGCATTCAATCGAGTAACGTTAGACAGTGAGATGTTGGAAAGACTTAACTTGTCCAATCCAGATGCGGTGTATTTGGCATCACCACTGGTGAAGTTTATTGGAATCAAAATGATCATATTCAATGACCCAACAAAGAGGAAAAATAGTGACAATACCGAAATGAACCTGATGAAGAAGTATGCATCCAACCCTAATGACAAATATGTGTTTATACTACTTTTCAACGTTGGCACCACCCACTTCATGAACCCTCTGGGCAACACTTCCATCCTTTCATTAACGGGGACGCAAAAACATCGTGGCTGGTAAAGAGAATTAAACACTGATCGTATTAAGCAAAATAATGTTAGTTGGATGGTGCAGAAACATATGGAAGTGAATAATGTCTTTATAAACACGGAGAAATCAATGCCTGATGATGAATGTGCTGAACCTGTTTGCGTTGTATTTAGAAAGTTTGCAAATTGTTTAGAGTTGAAAAACTCCATATAGGTTTGAGTTAGTGTTTTGTAATCATTCTGCTGGATATCTATTGACAGCATTGTTTGCGAGGTAGGGAGTGATGATTTTATCGTTATGATTGTCTTTGTAAGTTTTTGAGCTCTTGCCCTTTTTTCCTTTTGCAGCCACAAACATGAGCGTCGTGTGATGCCGCACATTTTTGAAGTAACTTGAATACTTACACACAGTTCTCATTAATAGATGAGGTTCTCTGAAGTCATCAGAGATGTTATTCTATTCAGCACCAAACCAAGTAAATTCAATCCCTAATACTTTCTTTAAGATCATACGTTAATTGCATGTGGTTCGGCCATTTCTATCATAGTTACTAACCTCTGTTCCATAACTTCAGAGGCCCATTTAAGATGCTTGGTAAACACGAGACAAAAGCTGATAACATGCCGTGCACTCTTTAGGTATAGTGAAGTTCTTGTATCTAAGCAGCTGAGATGATATTTGTCTGTTGTGATCTAGTTATCGATCCTTGTTTATGTGGCCTCTTTTTCTGGAAGAACTGAAAATATGTCTAGCCATGGCTATTATGTACTCAAGAAACTAAATAAACCTCTAAAAAAGGGCTAGCTAAGCTCTGATTAGTGTCAACGCAAGGAATCATTTGCAACACATGATCAAATACTCTGCTACAAGGCTCTTTAAAGCACTTACAATTTCAGAAATCAGCGCAAATGGTTTAGTGGTAAAATCCAACGTTGCCATCGTTGGGCCCCCGGTTCGATTCCGGGTTTGCGCATTTCGTTTTTTGGTCTTTTTTTGTTTTTTGCTTTAGAAATAAGAAGATTCAGTAAAAGAACCTGTCCTGAAAGTATGTTGATTTAGTACAGAGGCCAGTGTTTAGGGTTTGTTGATGGGAGATTGGACTTTTTTGTTTTCTTTTATTTTCTATGTGAATTTTATCTTTAAATTGGATGCAAAAAGTTTTATGAACCAGGTACATACCCACGGCAATACTTACATTTTGAGTTATAACCATCTTCTGCTTTACTCGCTAACTTGAATAGAACCTCTATTGCAAAATGAATCTAGATGAGAGAGTGTGTGTGTGGAGACAAATCAGAAGGCTTCTTTACTGTTTTTGGTAAAAAGATCGGCCAAAGTTATCTAATTCTTTCAAGCACAATCTCAATCCTGTTTAAGAAAGGAAATGTGTTGCTGTACCGTGTGCGGTGTACGTGCTTATGTATATACAAAGCTTTGTGTATACAATAGTGATAGGATAAAGTGTTTATTTTTTTGGTGGGACTGTAGTTTTGTTTTAGTGGGGCTAGAAGTAAAATAAAAGGTGGGGCAACACAATACAGGATTGTTATTTATTGTTTTTTTTTTTTCTCATTTTCCAATTTTTGGTGCCGTTCGGAAAACGTAAAAATATGGTATTTAAGGAAGAGTACGTTTGATATCATCACCAAGCAGACATCATTGTGTATCAGATGCGGATAAAATAATATAAGCCATCTGTTAGTATAAAATGTTGGAAGGGGTGGTTGTTGAAGAAAAAGGAGGAGGAAGAAAAGGGAAAGGGAAGGCTCCAGGTGTTCCTTATTTGGCACTTGAATATGTGTAGCATCGAGGGCTTCAAGTAAAGCACATAACCGTCTAACCGCCATCACCCCCTCCAATGCAAAACATACTTCGTTTCTTAAACTGGAATCATGTTTTAAACACAATAAACAGCATTGTTGTGTGGTTATGGTGGTTCCAAGTGGGAGATTGTGGATGTTTTTGTCCGTTGTAATACACAGTGTGGTATGTACGTCTGGTGAGTGGCTATGCTTTGCATTCAATTACAAACAAATATATGAGTTTGCTAATTTGAGTAAAAAAAAGCTGTAGCTATACGAATAATATTATTCAAAATGTGGGGCAGGAAAAATAATGAAGAAAAGGGGTTATGAGTGTTCTATTTATTTTTGTTCGTATTTCAAAAACCTTTGTTTGGTTTAAAACAGGATAAGCGTCTTGTGAGAGTAACTCATATCAGCCTAAAAATCCCCTTTCAATGTAGGCTTTAGACTCAGCAAAGAGAAATACAGTAAGTTACACGCTTAACTATTTGAAAACATATTCTCTTACTTTTATTTTTAAACTTTATTTCCTAATTTGGTCTATTGTGCCTAATTAGGAAAACTATGGTATACTATATATATATATGCACATCTTTATTTTTGTCACCGTTTGTTTGTTATAGTTATAAAATTAAATGAAACAAGTAGTATTATTTGAAGAGTGGAGATGGGGTTTCCTCTGACAGTAGTGGGATCATAACCAATGTATGGATATAATTTATGGCTGTATCTCACATTGTTGTTATGTATACCTTGTTTAAGTAATAAAAGGACCAAAACAGTAAGGAGTTTGTGTGTTAATAATATGAAAACGCAATTTAACGTTGACCTTCTTCTTACTATCTTTAATTTTTATCCTACACACTACCTTATACATTTTTTTTTTTATACGAAGTGTGTTCTGGGCCTATTGTCAATGAAGAGACAAAGAGACAAATAAAGAGTCTCAAACACTCGTTTTGCCGAATGTATTCCTTTCTGTCTTTCTTTGACTTAAGAGGAATGGATGATGTAATGAGGAGCAGAGTAAAGCAAAATATTACACCCCCTTCTCCCTTGTTCCTCCCCTTTTTGCTAAGACAATAAAGAAATAATTGGGAACAATAATATTAAACGTGCCTCCTTTCTTCTTATTGTCTTGGTCAGGGGGGGGGGGGGTAAAATTGGGGTGTCTGGATAAAGGATAAGATCGAGATCCAGAAGTTAATAGAAGGAAAGGTTATGAAGCCAACGATGACAAGCAATCTCTTTTGTCAGAAAAAGGTGTGACTTTCGTTGTGGTCGGAGATTTTCGTTTAAAAAAGTAAGGGAATATCTTCGGGTTTTACACTTATTGCCGTATTCCGTTTTGTTGCTTTACTCGTTTATATGACCACCAATTAACCTTCCGTCCCTCCCACTGCCCCACTATATAGACTAAACTAGATTATCGCCGAACTACCTTCCGTTGAATTGATAAAGAGAAAAAAAAGAAGAGCTCCGATAAAGAAAAAAAGTTTAAACTTTCTGATAAAAGAAAAACCCCGCTCTTCTGACAGTTCCTTTTTTTTTCCGTTATTTCGAAAAAATAAGAAGTGAGGAGAGTGAGATCATGTCGGTGTCGTCACTGGACACTTTATTACAAATGGTTTTTTTACGAAAATGAATGAAATTTCACTGTTTTGTATAGAAGTGGGGCAGAAGCGTATCCTTACGAAAGACGTGTGTTATGGTACTTGTAGTAACACTAGACTGCTGAACAATAGGTAGTGCTAGTGATAGTAGTTGAAGAAGTAGGCTGTGATGGGCGTTGATCTAATGAGGAGTTGTTATACGTTATTGTTTAAGCTACTTACTTGAAATTAACAATAAAGAAATGACAAAATAAAAAAAAATAAATAATATAAAAACGTTTGGTTCAAAAAAATATTTTATTTTTAATGAAAAAAATAGAGTTTGTGCAATTCTTTAAAAACCGACGATTTTTTGATTTTATAAACATCTCGAACAACAACTGCAAAAAAACAAAGATTAAACCATTTTCTTTTTAAACAACACTCCATATACCTCAAAGACCATAATAATAATAACAACAAAAACAGTTGTTATACTATTAGTAGTAAGATATTATAGATTTACAAAGTTTATTTGTGTCTAATCTCTCTACTGCATCGCATCGCATTACTTTTTTTTTTTTTTTTTTTCATTTTGGTGGCGGAAAAAAAAAGAGCAAACTGCATTAAGAAACTATGTCTTCGATTTTTACTTTTTGTATTTTTTTTGACAGTTTCTAAGTCCTCTACATCTTTACTCTTTATCCATTGTCAAAATTAGAGATTGCAAAATGAAAATGAGACACTCATACGATAGTAATTAGTGGATTTCTTGGCAATGGCTTAAATGCAGATTTTATGGCTTAAAAGTGCGTTAATCAACAGGTACCCTACACTTCTGATCAAAGCCTTCTGATAGACATATGTGTTGTTTAATCACAAAGAGAGAGAGAGAAGGATTGTTACATGGTGGAAGGATTCAGACATAGCAGGTGGATAAACGAAAGAGCAAGCAAAAGTGTGTAAGTATTTCCTAAAGTTAGGCTTCACACATTATATTTGGCATCCCATTGTAAAGGTTGCAAAAACCTATTGTTTGTAGTGGGGGGGGTCTTTTTTATAGGAACGAGACCTCTTCCTTCAACCACCACAACCATACTACTCTATGCTTTTCAAAAGCGAGAACGATTATGAGCTGATAAACAATATTACCTGAATGTGGGCAATAAATGGAAGTGATTTATTTTTCAAAAAGTATATTTAAAGCTACATGTATATTGGCTTTAATCTAACGGTCAGACAGCTACACGGCGAGTTAAACGAGATTTTCTTACTATTTCGTATGTTTTACAGCCAATAGAAAGATAGATAACGTATGTTTCCCGTATAGCTGATGCATAATCAGCTTATCCAAGGCCTATATAGGGTTTAACGTTAAAGATTAAGGTGTGGGGATGTAAAGCGTTGTTTGTTATTATGTAATAGGTTAGTCATAAATTATGTGCCGTATTATGTAATACAGAATTCTTCTGTTAAAAAGCACCCTGAGTTAAATTATATTAATGTATCACATACATATATAATTTATTAATAGAAATAATAATACTGTATATAAGAGAGAGAGAGAGAGAGAGAGTAATATGCACAGTGAATTATTTCTTGACTATATTTTCGAGGTGGGGTTTGGGGTGTAAAAAGAGAAAAAAAAAAAAATAGAAATCCAGAAATGTAATTATTATGAAGGAAGGATTGTGTTTGCGTTTGTGTTAAAAAAGTATAAATAATAACAACATATTAAAAATATGGAATTACTAAATTAAGTAATTCCATTTACTACATACATCCATAAATAAATAAATAAATATTCTCCCCCCCATAACCATACGATTTATAGTAAAGAAGGTAAACAGCAAACTTGCAAACTTAAAATAAGAAAAAAGTACTAGGGTAGATGTTTAATTCTAAAAAAGTAGGCTTTTGGAGGAGAGTATTTGTATATACGATATAAGCCATTAATATGATGTATAACATAAAACCAGGGTTGGTGATGGCTTAGTTAGCTAGCTAGCTAACTAGTTGGTAGTTTTGTTGTCTCATTACTGTTTTTCGAGACACAAAAAAAAACAAAGAGAAGAGAAAAAATTAGCAGATGTTGATTTTGTCATACATAAACTAACCATATTCACATTCCTATTATACCTACTGTGACCCTAAAACAACAAAATAGACTAAAAGTATTAATAGGGAAACAATACAGTAATCCTTCAACACATTATATAAATATGTATGTACATTGTGTAATTGCCTTCCACAGTAGAACAAACAATACACATTACACATTACAGTAGTGCCATACACAAATTCATTTGAAATATAAGAAAGACATTAAATCATCCATTACTCCAAAAAGATTTATATCCATCTAAACTTCCCCTTCCTCCTCATTCCAGTTTAGTTTATCTTTTTTTTATAATTTCACATAACAGGATTTTACTCCTTTACACACGTCAATACCCATACACCACTCAACCACTACACCGTACTATACATACCACAACAGTAGTATAGATCTAAAACACCTTGGGGAGACAACAGAAACGAAATAATAATAAATAAAAAAAATACAAAAGTTTAACCAAAAATAGATATAATATAGTACGACAGACAAAGTTTTGTAACAGACAGAAGTATTTATATATATATATATATATATATATACCTTAAGATTGCCACCTTATCCCATCCCAACCCACTTCCCATACACATACGCTACACTACACATACGCTACACTGCACATACGCTACACTACCATCAGTTGTAACACATCATTTACCTGGGAACAATAGGCAACCACGTATCATATCACTGTCTATTGCACTCGTTTCTTTTTATTTTACCAGATCTGACGATTTCTAATATCATTATACCCAGACGATTCCTATATTGATCGTTGTCCCCTTTTGCTAAGATTACTATAAGCTAGACATGCCTCAGTATCGTAATCACGGACAGCAACAACAACAACAGCAGCAGCAGCAGCAGCCAAGTCAGCCGTATCACGGCTACTACACTGGTAAAAAACCAGAAGGACAACCTTACTATGGTTACTATTCTGGGTTCAACAAAAGCGCATCAGCACAAATTCACCATTTGGCTAAAACAATAACAACCCAACAACAATCATTTTTCGATGAAAGCTATATTAGACAACCACACGCCACAGCTGCAACTCCTCATGGAGTGAATCCTTTCTTGGACAAGACAGATCCCACTTTGGATCCAAATTCCCCCAGTTTTAGCTCCAAGAGATATGTGCAGAATATGTGGAGGTTATACCAGAGTGATTCCGACTACTATAAACCAGGAAAATTGGGAGTTGCTTACAAGAATTTGCGAGTCTATGGAGATGCCGTGGAAACTGATTATCAAACCACTGTATCCAATGGTGTTGCCAAGTATGCTAGAAATGTGATTAACAAGATAACCAACAAGAAGGAAGAAAACACCTTTGATATTTTGAAACCAATGGAGGGTTTGATAAAACCAGGAGAGGTCACTGTCGTGCTAGGTAGACCAGGAGCTGGTTGTACAACTTTTCTCAAAACCATCGCTTGTCACACTGATGGTTTCAATGTTGCTGATGGCTCCATAATTTCTTATGATGGTATCACGCCTGAAGAGATTAAACAAAATTTAAGAGGTGAAGTGGTTTACTGTGCTGAAACCGAAACCCATTTCCCTTATTTGACAGTTGGTCAGACTTTGGAGTTTGCCGCTTTAATGAAGACACCAAGAAATAGACCACTTGATGTATCGCGTGAGCTATACGCAAAACATCTTGTTGATGTGGTTATGGCAACCTATGGATTGTCGCACACAAAAAACACCAAGATTGGTAATGATTTCGTACGAGGTGTGTCAGGTGGTGAACGTAAAAGAGTTTCCATTGCTGAAGTTTCGTTGGTGCAGGCATCAATTCAGTGTTGGGACAATTCAACTCGTGGGTTGGATGCTGCTACTGCCCTTGAATTTATCAGTTCTTTAAAGACTTCGGCCTCGATTTTAAATGATACCCCGTTGATTGCTATCTATCAATGCTCACAAGATGCTTATGACTTGTTTGACAAGGTCATTGTCATGTATGAAGGATACCAAATCTTTTTCGGTTCAAGTCAACGTGCAGTAGCATATTTCCAAAAGATGGGATTTGTTTGTGAGGAAAGACAAACGACACCTGATTTCCTTACATCAATCACCAACCCGGCAGAGCGTATAGTCAAACCAGGATTTGAAAAAATTGTTCCTCGTACACCAAAGGAGTTTTACCGTTACTGGAGAAGATCACCAGAAAGACAAGCTTTAGTGGAAGAAATTGATGAATACTTGGACAATTGTGAAAATTACGATCAGAAGCAAGAGATTTTCGAAGCCATGCAAGCTAAAAAGTCAAAAAATACAAACAAGAAATCCCCTTACACCGTTTCATTACCTATGCAAGTACGGTATATTATAAAGCGAAACTTTGATCGAATGAAGGGTGCACCATCATTCCCAATTTTGACAGTCATTGGAAATGTCATTATGAGTTTAATCTTGGCATCAGTGTTTTACAATTTGCAACCAAATACTGGATCGTTTTATTATCGTACTGCTGTCATGTATTATGCTTTATTGTTTAACTCGTATTCGTCGGTATTGGAGATTTACACTGTTTATGAAACTAGACCCATTGTTCAAAAGCATCGTGAATATGCTTTGTATCCACCGTTGGCGGATGCAATAGGATCGATATTGGCTGATTTCCCGTTGAAAATTATTAGTAGTTGCTGTTTCAACTTGGCACTTTACTTTATGGTTAATTTCAAGCGTGAGCCAGGAGCATTCTTCTTTTACTTGTTGATCAATTTCCTTGCTACCTTGATGATGTCGCATTTGTTTAGAACGATTGGTGCATTTACAAAGACATTGGCCGAAGCAATGACGCCATCGTCATTGTTGTTGTATGCCATGAGTACATTCACTGGGTTTGCCATTCCAGTAACCTATATGCTTGGCTGGTGTAAATGGATCCACTATGTTAATCCGTTGTCGTATGCTTATGAAGCCCTTATAGCTAACGAGTTTCATGGCCGCACTTTTGAATGTTCTCGATTTGTTCCGCTGGGATTTGGATACCCCAAGGAAGGTAACTCAATTGTTTGTGCAACACTTGCTGCACTTCCAGGCTCGACTTTTGTTGATGGTGATTTGTACATTAAAACTGCCTTTACCTACGAGTGGAAAAATGCGTGGAGAAATTTTGGCATCTTGTTGGCATTTGTCATTTTCTTGTTCTTCACCACATTGTTTTTTGTACAATACAGTCAAGCAGCTAAATCCAAAGGTGAGATTTTGGTTTTCAAGAGAAGACATGCCAAGAATATGAAGTCTTATGAGGATGATGAGGAAGCATACATGGAGGACCAGAAGGCGTTGGAATATAGCGGATCAACAGAAATGAGTGATGAAACAGACTCGTATGAGTATGTCGATCGTAAAATGTTGCAAACTTCCAATGTTTTCCACTGGCGTGATTTGACCTACAAGTTGCACATCAAAGGAGAAGAAAGAACCATTTTGAATGGCGTTGATGGATGGGTTAAGCCTGGTGAAGTGACAGCATTGATGGGAGCTTCAGGTGCCGGAAAGACAACATTGTTGAATGCCTTGAGTGAACGGTTGACGGTTGGTGTTATTACTTCTGGTTCGCGAATGGTTAATGGATGCCAATTGGATAATGCATTCCAACGACTGATTGGATATGTTCAACAACAAGATTTGCATTTGGAAACTTCGACTGTACGTGAAGCATTAAGATTTAGTGCTTATTTGAGACAATCACGCACGGTTTCTCGTGCTGACAAGAATGAATATGTGGAAAAGATTATTGAATTGATGGAAATGGAACCTTACGCTGAAGCCGTTGTTGGTGTGCAAGGAGAAGGTTTAAACGTTGAGCAACGTAAACGGTTAACCATCGCGGTTGAGTTGGTGGCTAAGCCCAAGTTGTTGTTGTTTTTGGATGAGCCAACATCAGGTTTGGATTCACAAACAGCATGGTCGATTTGTAAATTGATTCGAAAATTGGCTAATCATGGACAAGCCATTTTGTGCACCATCCATCAACCGTCCTCGATTTTGTTGGAAGAGTTTGATCGGTTGTTGTTCCTTCGTAGCGGTGGTGAAACTGTTTACTTTGGAGATTTTGGTTACCAGTGTCAAACATTGATTGACTATTTTGAACGCAATGGGGCTCCCAAGTGTCCTGATGATGCCAACCCTGCTGAATGGATGTTGCATGTAATTGGAGCTGCTCCTGGGTCCAGTGCTACCAGAGATTACTTTGAAGTGTGGCGCAATTCGCCAGAGTATCGTGCGGTTCAAAATGAATTGGATGAAATGGAACAAATGGGAACTGGAGCGGTTGGATACGGACATGCCCCTAGTGGTACGACTACCCCATCAACAAAGAAGTTGTGGAGTGATGAAAAGGAAGCCAGAAGAACATATGCATCACCACTCCGGCTCCAATATTATTATGTTTTGAAACGGTTGTTTCAACAATATTGGCGTACACCATCGTACATTTACTCGAAATTTGCCATGGCCATCTTGTGTTCAATGTTTAATGGGTTCACTTTTTTCAAATCAAAAAATTCAATGCAAGGTTTACAAAATCAGATGTTGTCAATTTTCATGTTGTTTGTCGTTATGACCACGTTGGCGCAACAATATGTGCCCATGTTTGTTACGCAACGTGATATATATGAAGCTAGAGAACATCCATCACGGACATTTTCCTGGTTTGCATTTATTGCTGCTCAAATCACTTCGGAGATCCCTTATCAAGTTGTTGCTGCTGCCATTTCCTATTTTGTTTGGTATTACCCTGTTGGTATGTACCGTAATGCTGGAGATGCTGTTGAACAACGTGGAGCTTTAATGTGGGTTGCCATGACATTGATGTTTGTGTACAGTTCGACGTTGGCGCAAATGTGTATCTCCTTCAACCAATTGGCCGACAATGCAGCAAACGTCATTTCATTCCTCATTACATTGTCGATGACATTCTGTGGTGTTATTGCCACCAAGGAGTTTATGCCTCGTTTCTGGATTTTCCTTTATCGTTGCAATCCATTTACTTATCTTATTTCGGCAATGTTATCAATTGGTATTGGTAATTCTAAAATCAGATGCACTAAAAACGAGTACTTACACTTCCCACCCGAAAAACCAGGAGTACAAAAATGTAAAGATTACATGGGGGCTTACATTTCACTTGCTGGTGGTTACTTGACTAACCCTGAAGCCTCGGACAATTGTGAATATTGTCCCATGGATAAAACAAATCAATATTTAAAAACCATTGATATCTCCATTAATAACTTCGGACGTGATGTGGGTATTTTCATTGCCTTTATTGCGTTTAATATAGTTATGACCGTGTTTTTGTACTGGTTGGTTAGAGTGCCTAAGGGAAACAGAGAAAAGAGCAATAGTTGGTTTTCCAAATTTGCCATTTACAATGGATACAATGAGCAAGTTTAGAGGTACCTTAATGGTAATGACTTAGAAGACAGGTTTCCCCTGTCGTTACGTTACGTTACGTTTTTATTTTTCAAGCTATCGCAGTACATTTCGAAACAGGTTAGATCGGTTTTGTTTAAAAGGATTGTTTTAGTCGACCTATATATTGTAATTTTATACTCCCTTTGTTTATTTCATTCTGATGATGTAGACTTCACAATATTGATGAAGATGCATACGTCTAAGGAGTGAATTAACTTTATTGACTTTAGAAGCAAAAGCATTATTCATCAGTTTTCGATGGCTCTCCATATACACGTATACAATCAATCAAGAATAAATAGCAAAACCAATGAAAACTTAAAAAAAAACGATACTTCGCGTCTTTGTTAAAAAAGAGAGGCTTCATTAGGAATTACCCGGAAAACTTTTCCCAATTCTTTTGTCTCTTGAAATTATTAACCTTGTAATACTTTGCAGTACATGAATAAGCTTTCCAAGAAAAATCGTCTTTTGGATTACAGTCACAATTCCTCTCTTCTCTAATTCGATCATCAACAGGACAATTGTTAAAAGGAACATGGAAATATCCAATATCTTCAAAGAAATGGATTTTTTCCTTGGGCAAAAACAATGCGGCTGCAATCGAGTGTACTGGTGCATCACCCCATCTCTCGTAAAAGAACCCCCCTGCTTTGTCCAAGTATTCGAAATAAGCTTTATATGCATCGCTTCTCCAGAAATCCAAGCTGGCAATTTCAAAATTGGACCAGAAATGACAACCATTATAAGTTTTGCCACCATCGTCACTAACCCAATTCATCATATTGTTTTGAGCCAAGTATTGAGGGTTCTTATCAATAAACTCCTTGGTAGATTTCCACAAAGTTGGGATGGTTTCTTTATATTCCGGTAAAGTAATAGTAAAACTGTATTCTTTACCATTATCCTTCATCCATTTGAAAACATCATAATCAATATCACAAAACAATTTGACATCAGGATCAACACGCCAGTAGTATTCATAATCTTTCAAAATATCTTGTCTCCAGAAAAATCCCGACTCGAATCGACACATGTGACGATAACTGGCTGAATCTCCATAAATGATCTTCCTCTCTCTCATATCTTCTCTAACAAATGCGGCTTTTTCTTGATCAATCCAATCAGGGTACGACCAGTGTTCAGTTGGGATCAAGCCAAATTTAGCTTCACCGCTAACAGCATTGGAAATTGTCGTTTTGAACTCTTCACTAAATTCAACTTCGTTGAGGAAAACCCAGTCATACTTGAACTTTTTATTGAATCTTTCTTCAATCGTTTTAATTGATTCTAAAAACCCTTGCAAATCTTGATTACGAGCTAAACCGACAAATGCAGCCTTGATCTTGTCCTTGGAGGAGTAAGTTGCTGGGTCAATGTTCTTTTGTGGAATGTACTGTGGTGTCTTTTTGTCACTGCCGAGGAATGCCTTGGCCACTGGACCCATGTTCTTGGGTGTGTAAGGCAAATCTCCTGTTTGTCCTGTTAATTGAGCACCACCATTTGCTGAACCTGCTGCTCCCCCTTGTGCTTGCTGTGGTGGTGCTGCTGCTGCTGCTGCTGGTGCTGCTGCCGGCTGTTTCTGAATCTGTTGCTGTTGTTGCTGTTGTTGCTGAAGCTTAGGAGCTGCAGCTGCCTGTGGCTGCTGTTGAAGTTGAGAAGCACCGCTAGCTCCTTGCTGTTGGACTTGTTGCACTTGTGGTGGCTGATACGACGAACCTTTGGTGAGAAGGTATCCGCATCCAATCAAGACTACGGCAAACACCACAAACCTGATCAATCGAGCATTAGATCTTGTTATGATCATCTTTGAATAATTACCTCTCTTTGACTTTTTCTTATTCTTCCCAACACGCGTTGAAAATTGAACCATGAAAAAATAAAAAAAAAATTAAAAAAATTAAAAAAATTAAACTGAGAGATCGAATCACAGGCGTCGTTGTCGCGCAAAACCCACACTGCCACTCTGTCTTTTTAAGAAAACAAAAAGAGAATAGGGCGCTACCTGCACCAAAACTGAGGGGTGAACCATGGTCTACCTTTTGAATGGGGGCAGAGTCAATTTTTTTCAGTCAGAAGGGGGGTATACAGCCATTATTTAGGATAGAATGTGACCAGGCTACATTTTAGAAAATCAAAAGATGTAAAGCGGAGGAAGACTGGTAAATCCTTTTAATCTTAAAGGGGTAGTGTGTCACTCGTAGAGGGTTTAGAGTAAGCCTGAAGAGCTTAAAAGGCTTTCGTTAAGATTGATTTTAGAGATTATGAGCAAAAACCTGTTCCCTTATTGTAGAAGAAAGACAGACTAGCTCCCAAATTTCGAGCATTTGAGTTGTGTGCTTCTTTTTTTTCACCTTTTTGCACCCAAATTGAATTTCAGACAGAGGTTTGATCAAACACAGTATAAGTCAAGAACAGTTCAAAGCTGTCAGGTTAGCAATTCCAGCAAAGCTAAACGAACAATTTTTTGCAATTTCTTACACTAGATGGGATCGGGCCAGGAAATGTTCACGTATTCGCTTTTATTTGTCCAGAACCTTATGATAATATAGCTGTTTTCATTGAACACATTACTGAGCCAACTGGGGAACTATCTAATTTTTCCTGACCAACACTCCGCACTATTGCACTAGCTTGTGATGACTTGACGGCTTTGGGAAGTTCTGGTTGTTACAGTGTGTCAAACAAAGTGCTGCTTTTATCCTATCTCAGCTACACATACACAAAAATCTAAGTACTTGATTAAGTAAGCATCCCTCATTATTAACGATCACGTCTAGACACCCCTTGTGTTGCTAACGAAATCTGATTCCTTAGTCTACACCGCAAATCGATTTCTTACAGCATCCATTCAAAAGCAAGGCAACTAAATCCCCAAATTGAGACCAAAATAAGGGATAGTTTTCTTGAGAAGGTGGGCAAATATAACAAGTTTCTCTGGCCAGAAAGTACCGTAACTATATATCATATGACCCATATCTGTGCATTGTTTTAAACATCAAATTCTTCTAATTCTAAATCACCCTAAATGGTGCAGTGGTCCTATAGTGTAGCTTGGTTATCACTTTCGGTTTTGATGCAAATAATCAAATTTCCGAACAACATCAGTTCGAATCTGGTTAGGACCTTATTTTTTTGCAATTTTTTTACTGTCTATAAACAGCTAAAAGCTGTTCTTTTTCTAAAAAAAATAGTATCAGTGCATGCAAGTAGTGTGTTGCAAAGTATCTAATACAGTTAGGTGGGTGAAAAGATGGTGTACCTGTTGTTGTGCTTGTTTTTATTAAAACATTGGTTTGAGAGAATAGTTTTGTGTGTATATTATGCCAAAAAATACTGAATAACAAATAAGTGACAACGAATCTGGAGCAAACAATTGAACTATGAGATATAAACATTTTTCGAACGGCAAGATAGCTTACTGTTTTATATAATATTATTTCTAGCTTTCTACATTTATCTAATAGAGGTTTGTGAGCGCTCTCATCTGTCGATAACTAACCCCCTCAGTGATTTGAGTTTTGTGTAAAGACTAACTCTGCTTCTTGCAACTCCAACGAGACTGCAATAGCAGCAGTTCTTCTTATTCACAGAAAAATAGGCATCGTAGTCCATTGTTTTTCTTTATTTTGCAACATTATTACCAATTCGATTCAAAGTCTGGAACAATTATCGCGGTCGATAACGAAACGAAAAAGAATTAAAAAAATATAAAATAAAAAGACTGTTCCGAGAATTCTCCACTCTATCAGCCGCTGTACAAAGTATGGAAGAATCAGACATTATTGACGTAAAATACGACGACAGTATCACTATAAAGAGCTATCCCACGTCATTTGATTTAGTAGATAATGATTCCACTCCCGATATACGAAATTTAAAATACAAGACGAACACTGATCATTTGAATTGTCCTATTTGTCAACAACCTTTCATCACTCCACTAACTACCATATGTGGACACACATTCTGCAAAGAGTGCATATTAGAGTTTGTTAAATCACTAAGGAACGGGTCGAATAATGACACCACCACCACTACCGGACACTGCCCCCTTGACAGAACACCTATTGACGCAGCCAATATCAATGACTTGTTCCCCACCCCACTAATAGTCACAAACCTAGTGGATGACTTGAAGGTATATTGCTTAAACAGTGAACGTGGATGTGACTGGTCGGGAAGTCGATGGGAAGTCGACCACCACGTAATGGATTTATGTCCCTATACGGGTGTAAAGTGCGGAGGACAACGGCACAATGACCAAGTATGTGAATTAATCGTTGAAAGAAGGTATTTCAAAAATGCTGAAGTAAATGAATGTATTCACAAGATATTCAACTGTGAATTTTGCGATGCCGAGATAACCAAGATTACTGAAGAGGAACATCTAGATCACGATTGCTTGTACAATTACAAAACATGTGAATTATGTGGCAATGACTCTATACCGCAAAAGAATATGGCCAAACATCAAGAAAATTGTATAAAAATGGGCAAGATCAAATGCCCTGCTCATGAAATTGGATGTAAATGGGTAGGCTCGAACGAGACCTCATTGGAGATACATCTTCAAAATGGCAACTGCCAGTTAAATCAATTTCTACCTTTTTACGCATCAATGAACGAGAGAATGACTAACTTGGAGCTGGAAAATCTGTTTTTACAACGACAACTCAACAAGATACTAGATTCAATTATACAAGGTAAAGTTACAAATTTGGGATATAATGAAGGCTTGGAGGAAATCAACAAATTCTCGGGCGGAGAAGAACAGGATAAGCTTATTTACCTAAACTTTGAGCTCGATCGTCTTAAATTTGAAATCAATGAAAAGTTAATCCCATTTATGAAAAGGTCAAAGATGAATGACCAGGAAAATATGATTAAGAATTTGGTCAATGATAATTTTATGATGCGCGAAGATATGAATCTCCAAAGAATGATGATCAATAGCTTGAGGAAACAGCTACAGTTTATGTTATTCTCAAGGAACAGAAGTGTTGGGGTAGGAAACGCCATGTCTAGCCCAATGCATGGTGATGATTTCGGTACTGATTTGTATGAACTCGAGTCAAGAAGCAGTTCAGAAGAGAGGTTTAATTTAAAGTTGTAAGACATTTTTACTTAACAGTTATGAGTAGATGAATATATATATCAGATCTTTTGACTGTTGCCCAGACCTGGCTTGCTCCACAATGAAATTTGTGTAAGTGAAACAATAGAACCGTGGGGACAATTTATCGCACCGGAATTAAAGGCAGTGTGCATGTGCGTTTTTTTTTTTTTTTAAATTTTGCTCTGGGGATTTTTCTCCATGTGGGTCAATATTATTCTGGGAAGATCTTTTGTAAGGGGAGGCCGAGTGTGACAGCCATTAGATCCTCTACAAATTACCAGGCCAAATAGATCTGATCATAGGCAACAATCTCATGGGCTGTTGACCTAAAATACCTCATCCATTCTACTCCTCTTGCATTAATTCCGTCGCTCAAAATCGCTCTCTTTTTTTTTTCTCCAACAAAAAGAAACTTTTACTTTTCCCCAAAATAGAAGAAATTGCATAAATAAAGAGAATACGTATATATAAACCTTTTCGAAAACAACACACCCCCTCTTTAGAATTTGTTTTTGCCAAATTTTCTTCATGGCTGCTCTTATTTGAAGCTCAATTCAGACAGTAACCATTATAGTGCCAATCTTTTGAAGATCAAGAACTTTCCCATCCAACATAGCATACACAACTCAGTGATTTCCAAAAAGCAGAACCATAATTCCTACAATTTTCAAGTCATTGGGTTTACCTAAGATTCACTTAAAGAGATCTAGCTACTATACACAAACACCATCACGCAAGATTCTCAAATGCCGGCGGCTTCCGACTCAGCAATGGAGACATTGGAAATCCACTCTAAGGATTTCTTGATCAAATGGATCAATGCACCAGAAAACTCCACTATTGATTGGCAAGTGAAACCTTTGAAAAAGTCTATCAATTTTTCGTTTTACCAAAAAAAGGACGATACAGCTTCCTCCCAGTCGTCCCTTGATGCATCGGATAAAAGTGCCCCATTAACAGAGTTGGCCCCCCCTCCTCCACAATTAAGAGCAAGAGCAGGTTCAACTGCGTCAGTCAACCAGTTCAAAAAATCAAATGATGTGTACAAGTCGAAATCGAGAACATCCACCTTGTCCTCGATTGGCGAATCTGATCTAGCTTTGGTCAAAAATTACAACAAGTTGGTTGCTAACGAGTTGGTACACGGAAAGTTTCATACTCCAACCGGGGGAATGTTTGCCTTTGTTTTTGACAACTCATTTTCCAAAACCATTGCCAAGTCAGTTCAATTTTCTGCCAATGTGATACCTACTGACACGTCACAAGAGGAAAAAATCCAACATAACGACCAGCAAGTGTTTGATAACAATGCCGATAATTCTCTTGCTGGTGAAGTGTTGCAAAGCGTCATGTTGAAAAAGAGAAGAAAGAAGTTGCAAGGGTTTGTTAAGCGTTATTTTGTGTTAAATTTGAAGAGAGGCTCCTTATCTTATTTCAAAGTGGATGACAATAAATTGAGAGGTCAAATGCCGGTGAAGGAAGCAATCATCTCTGCAAATCCATCAAACAGACAATTTATTATCGACTCAGGTATGGAGGTGTGGCATTTAAAGACCATTAACCAAGCTGATTTCAATGCATGGGTCAATGCATTCAACGCTATCAAGAGACAAGATGCCCCACCAGCAACGACCTCTAAATCAACATCGCCTTTCAAGTCGTCAACTGAATTGAACATTATTTTGCAAAAGTTGGACAGGTTGAGACTTGAAAATTCCTCGCCTTTGGTTGCTGAAATACACCAAGACATCCTAAACTTGATTAATAAAAGCATTGGAGACCCTTCTGACGGCCAAGGTTCATTGGGTGATTCGCAATCTATTCTCACATCAGATTTCCATGATGCAGAAGAAGAATTTGATAATGACGAAGTGAATATCATTGAGCCAGATGGATATGCTCAGCAACCAGATGAAGAAGATGAAGATGAGGAAGTTGAAGAAAGCTCCTCAGAGGAAGAAGAGGACGATGACGATCAGTACTTCGATAAGAAAGCACCTCAAAATGATGCAACTGGGATTGGTGCAGCAGCAGCAGCAGCTCCTATTGACGAATCAAGCCAGAGCCAATTATTACCTGCAGATGGAAAGCAAGAGTTGCCCCAGCCAACAGTTTCCGTTGAGGATAGTTTATACCCATTGCCACATGATCCAGTTTCGCGTGATGCAGACATTCCAATTTGCAAACACACGCCACCTTCATTGCTTAGTTTTGTTCGTAAGAATGTCGGTAAAGATTTGTCAACAATTGCTATGCCCGTAACATACAACGAGCCCACAACCGTTCTTCAAAAGTTTGCTGAGATGCTTGAATATCCTGAAATTGTCACCAATGCGGTAGAGTCAGATTTTGACGCCGACAATGGGGAAAAGATTTTAAGAATTGCCGCATTTGCATTGAGTTCTCTTTCTTCTCAGAGAGCAAAAGAGAGAAACAAACGTAAACCATTTACACCATTATTGGGTGAAACCTATGAGTTGGTGCGCGAAGATCTTGGATTTAGATTAGTTTCAGAAAAGGTTAGCCATAGACCGCCTGTTTTTGCTTTCCACGTTGACACTGATAATTGGAAAATGGATTTCGCTTTGTCGCCTTCTCAAAAATTTTGGGGTAAACAATCGGAAGTGACTACAAAAGGGTTGGTTAGATTAACCGACAAGTTAAGTGGTGAAGAATTCACCTGGACTCAGCCTACGACGATGATTAAAAATATTATTGCTGGAGAAACCTATGCTGAACCAAATGGAACAGTCACCATCAAGTCCTCAAAGGGGTACAAGGCTGTTGCTGAATTTGCCAAGGGTGGAATATGGAGTGGAAGATCCGAAGGCGTAGAAGTAAAGGTTTTTGACAAGTCAAAGAAGGAGTTGCCATACACCGTATCAGGTAATTGGACAGAGAAATTCACTCTCAAGACAAACTCAACTGAAAAGAGCATCTGGCAAACGGGTGAGTTATTGCCTAATTACCAGAAAAAGTATGGTTTTACTGTGTTTGCAGGAACATTGAACAAGATTACTGAAATGGAACAAGGTGCCATTCCACCAACTGATTCAAGACTTAGACCTGATTTACAAGCTTATGAAAAAGGTGACGCCGATAAAGCCGAGGAATTGAAGACAAAACTTGAGCAGGATCAACGTGTGAGAAGAAAAGAAATGGAAGAGAATGGTGCTGAGCATGTTCCTCAATTTTTCAGGTTTGTTGGTGATGGACCTGTTGATGAAGGTAAATGGGAATTTATCACTGGAGACAATAGCTATTGGAATAGAAGAAAGAATCAAGATTGGCAGGGTTTAGTTAAATTGTGGTGAGCCCTAGATCTAGATATAGGCATAGATTTTAGAGATTTTTTTAGACATTACAAAATAAAAGAAAATATATCTGTTGCTATTTTAAGTACACTCTATTGGATCCCAGCATGTCACAATAGACTAAACAGATTCGTGCCTTCATACTGTACTTCGCCATTCAATTAAAGATTCCTCACAATCTGTTTATACTCTCAAAACCCTTTGATGCGGCTATGCAAGAGAAAAAGGAAAAAAAGAAACGCAAAAAAAGGCGGAGATTCGTAAAAAAAGAAAAAAAAAAACAATAACAAGCATCATCATCGTCATCGTCCAACAAAAAAGGGAGAAGGGGTGAGGAGAAAGACAACAAACATCAACGTTTGGTTTAAATAAAGTTATTATACTTAAACAGCTAGTAATCATCCACACGAGACGCAAGTAACAGCCGTATAAAACCACACTAGAGCCGTTTTTTTTTTCTATACATCCCATTAGCAGAACACACACAAAGAACTATATAGAGACCACCTTTTATTCCCATAGTTACACTTGACCATCCATCAAAACTATTATACAAATCCCAATCAGCTACATACACCATGGGAAAACCAGAAGCTCCTCCCGAATACACGCAGAGGCCAAGTGATGTATTGGATTATGACCAACCCCCACCACCGTCAGTAGGGGATGAGCCGGTGTATTTTGAAAGTGCTGACCCTAGAGGCTGGTCAGTCACTATTAATAATCGTTTTTGGACGGATGGATTTAGAATCTTTGTTAGCAAGGACTCAGCAGAGAAGTTTAAAGCTTTCAAAAACAACCCCAATGAACATATAACAGAT